GTCCCCAGTTGATTGTATCGCCAGAAGTAGCGCCGATCGCTGTGGGAAGTCACGACAAGAGATCAGTTACGCTTCGCATTGGCCCCGACCTGGGGACCCATCATTTCCTGGAGAAGGGCTCCGGAGGCTGGTCGACAGGTCCTTCGGCCGGTTAAAGTTGGAGAGTTCGTAAGGACTCCTTTTTAGAAATGGAGCATTGACTGCGTCCGGCATCTCAACTCCTCAACAAAAACTCGCACGTTAGCTGCTTCCTAGATGGACGCTGACATCTTTGAACCTCGTCTGACGGGCGCTTCCCTTTCATTCCGCAGTTCTGCAATCGCACGAACGCCGAAAACACGGCCTCCGTTGTACAGGCACCTGCATATGCGAGGGTGTGCTCTACGCTGCCGTCTCTGGGCAATATTTCCCATCCGTGAGCTGACGAGTTATTTATTGGCCCGCACAGAATGGAAATCCTGGCAGATACAGTCCAAGATCTCGAACCGATATGCGCTTGAATGGAGGTGATGTCTTTGCTCAATTTGGTATCTGCCCCTGTGGTACATCTCGATCCCCATCTCCAGCGCCAACAGGCACGACGCGAGTAAATGGCTGCTCCGTTAGATCTATGACTTCCATCGCCTGTATGGCCACCTCGGCGTGCTCCGCTGGTTGTATCTGTTGGTGGTTGACAGGATGACGACGGTATACGTGCACGAATCTTGGGCCGTCCTCACTGGATGTCTGTCCCAATACCACATGTCCGAACATGACTGACTACTTGCACATTGGTTCTCCAACCGACTCTCAGGATACGGGAGGTGTAAAATCGCCCTTTCAGGAATGTACACGTCGTGCCCGCAGCCATTCACAAATCCCTGAGTTTCAAGACGTCGAACAGCTGCGAATGAAGTTGCAGAGCTTTCACGTTCGCCGGAAGCAAGGGCTGGACTTCCCCCCGAAGCCAGTGCGGTTCAAGTGCATTGGGATGCAGACTGCTACCCAAGCGCCCTAAACAAGTCTCAGCGCGGGGCTGCCAATCGTGCCTGAGCGATCTTCGCCGTGTGCCAAAGCCGAATTGTGTGCCTGAAACCCGTCATCTCCAGGCCAGAATGAGTTGATGGCAAAGTCACCATGACCCCGTGGGTTGTTTGCTGGAGTAGCACGACAAAAGATGCGATGAGAATGTCTTGGCGATGACGTTGGCCGCTACGCCGGTTTGAACGGCCGCCGCTCACTTCCACCTCACCTCGGCCTCGATGCAATCCTGAAAAAATCACTTCTGCCTTGCCAGCTCGTATTGCACCCGCACATTTTCCTCACATCGTCGACAAGCCGGTGATACCTCAGACACCAGTATTGGAGTGGGCTAGCCTCGTTCTGCTGGGATGATCTGCAATCTCTGGTTCATGCAAGGCCTCATCCGATCGAGTCAGCGCTTCACCGCCATTGTGGCTTCTGACCGCCGCCTCGTGGTCTGACGCAAGATTGGCGGTGAAGCGACAAACGCCCAAGGCTCTGATCCCACGCACCAGTGAACAGATCTATTACGTGCATTTGTGCGGGCCGAAGCGAGATCGTCTTCCCCAGAATTGTCAAAAAGCACGGATCTGGATGCCCAAACCTGTCAATCAAGTGCGAGACCCGTCCAACCTAATCAACCCTGATCCAACCTACATTTTAAAAAGACCTCAGCGGTTCAGATGCCACGCCTAGAAACCCGCATTCTACTCGCTACGACATAATGGTGTGGTTCGAGTCGAGTTGCCACTGACCTCGACAGCCACGGAGCCCGCTAGGACTCCCGTATGTCCTGCAGCTGGACAATGAGAATGTGTAGCTAACAGCTTCGCCAGCTCGCGTCACCCAGGCACACAGGACGTGTAGATGCCACATCTGGTGACACGCGTCCGTTTCCGTCCTTGCCGAATATCACCAAGTCCCACGCTTCGACCAAATTCAGCCGTGCCGCCAAAACCCCCACTGGCCACTGATATCACCGGTCACATGGCACATCCGTTGCGGGCGTGGCCTGACGCCATCTCTCAAAACAGACCACTGCTTGTTCCTGCATTATGCTGTGCGCTGTTGCACGGATCGTCCGCGCTGCGAGAATCGTGTCATGCAAGTCATTCGGGAAGGTTTGTAACGAGTCTGGAACCTCCGGTGGGTTGCTTGCAGCCAGCGCTAGGGTATGGCGAGAGATCCTCCTCGGGCAGACCTTCCTACTGGTCGGCAACCGACTACGAGTCTCTGATCTGCCGGCAAATAACATCGCTTAGAAGACCAGCGTTGGGGGGAATCGCCAGTTCTTGGCGACAATCTTGCTGGGAGAGCACCTTGGGCGTTTCTCGCCACCCGGCCGCTCCCAAGCTAGATTTTCAGCGAAGGCTGCCGTCAGTCAAATTTTCTGCCGCTGTCATTGGATCTGCACGTTGCGGATCCGAAGGGGTGGGAAGATGAACAGGTGCGGTTTGGAAAGCCCCGATCCCGGTCAATGGACCAGCAGTAGCGACAGACAAAGCACGGCTCAAAGCAGGGGTGCCGTTCTTGACTCAAGTCGAAAGCCATCGCTGATCTGGTGTGACCATCATGATCTACGGATGGTGCTTACGTTGCCTGGTGTTTGGGTTTCCTGTCCGCCCACTCGAGAACTACTTGATGCCAGCGGTACTCGGTCTTACCTGCGCAAGCTCCTGACACCTCGTCCCTCTTCCCCACCAAGTTCAGCTGCTGGGGCGATATCTGTAGGTCGCACCTGGCCAGGTGCACGGAGCTTTCCGATGCAACTTGAGCGTGGGTTGCGCACCACTCGCTCAACATTCCCGACCCTGCCCGATGGGATCCAGCGGAGGCGGTGTGTCATGCTGGGGGAGCGCCATGAGTGAGTGAGTGAGTGACTATGTGTGTGTATGTGTGTGCGGGCAACCCCTTGCTCTCTCTCGGGGAGAATTTTGCCCTCCTTTGCACCAGTTGACCAACTGCGAAACACAACAGCCGCTAAATTCCAGCGCTGAGTTGATATTTCGCTCAAATTCCGGCACTTTCCCCCTGCCTTTGATCGAGAGGAGGTCCAAAATGCCACCATGTCGTATGCTAACCCAACAAATGACTCCAATAGAACCGACTTTTACACCCACTGCGGATACACAACCCCTATCTTTCCTGACGCACTGCGGATTGCTCTCGAGCGGCACGGTTCCAGCACGAAATGACCTTACTTTCTCACACATATGCATCGAACAAGCCTACCAAGTCCTAATATACTTCGACAGGGGTGGTCGATCAGGACATGGACAAGGATGTGCTGGCATTCCAGGCCGAGTGAAGAGGAGGTATAACGCACAATTCGACGTGGCGGCCCTACACAAGCGGTTACGAGGATGGTTGCAGCTTCGTGCCGACTCTGTCCGTTCCCTTTCCCTCAAAACAAGCGGTTCCTACTGTTGTGAACCTTTGAGACTGCCACCTCTGTGCGTTCACAAGCTCCCCGAAAGCTTTCTCGCCGCATCCGTAGGCCACCGTAGCACTTGAGATCTTGAGGGATGTTCGACGTCCCATTTTGGGGCCGGCTCCTCAACTCTGTCTTGCCCTTTCCAGTGACAATCGTTCCCTCGAACACACCCATTGCAAAATTATTGAACAGCTAACACAGGGTTTGAACCCCCAGAGATCAGATCAAAGTTTTCCATGGAAAGAGCGCTCAGGTGAACTAACTGTTTAGCAAGGTTACTCCCGCCTCCTTGCCGCTCCACTAAAACGCCGCTTACAAGCCAGGCCTTTCCGAGAGGAGATAGATACGGAAGCGGATAACAAGGTCAGTGCAGGGCTGGATCTGACTCTTCTTCGAGCACGGAACTGATGATAGAAGCATAAACTGCCACATACATCCAGCGAGAGGGAAGTTCCAATGCGGCGGGCATGTCCCAGGAGCCGGACACCGTCGAGCGAAGTAACACGACCGAGCAGATCTTCCCTGCCTTGACTCCACCATATGCCACCTCTGGGAAATCTCACGCGAGCGCCCTGCGCATTCCTAGGGGACTGCGACTTCACATTCGCACCTTCTTACCGAAAATTCGGACCCCACGACACGTCCTGTCCACGCTGGGCTCACTCAACGAAGTCAAACCCTCTATCTCAGCATGATCATTACCTGCGCGGCCATCGAGTGCAGAAGCAGCTTGCGGGACTCGGTCGAGTCCGGGGTAAATGATGGCTGCGCAAATCCATATCGGTCCCCGAATGGCAGTTGACGGAACATCAACCGCATTACTAGGAAGATCGAGTTCGAACGGTGGAACGGTCGAGCGATCGTCTTTGTGGAAGCGAACCGCACCAGCCGCTAAAACGTATCCTTTACCGATCTAATGATCGCGCTCGTATACCTATGCGACCGATCGAGCTGCCTCGTCGCTTGCAACCGAGGACTGCTGCGCAATGGCGGACGCAGACACGGGTGGAAAAAAAGTGAAGAGCGGGATGCCCGGCATGAAACGGCGCAATACAAACATGTGCAGTGATGGCCTTGCAGTCTTGATCTGCCATGCTTGTCGCCTGCTCAGAACAGGTTGCACAATGCTATACTGCAGGTTGTTATGATGCCGTCAGGAGGCCCAAATGGCGCTTTGGACTTCCATTGGTGCCATTGCGGTCGCATGCTCTCTGATTCGATGGGCTCCAACGAAACAGCTTGATCCAGATGCGCTGGACAGAAGCACATTTGTCTAGCTGACTGTGTAGGGGCCGATCGAATGGACTCGAAAACTTGAGCCGCACCGTCGTTCTGAACCTTTGCAGTCCTCCCTCCTACCCCTCGAGGACAGAAGAAAGAGCACCAAGGCTCGAATCGAACACATGCATCCGCGCACGGGCCCCAGCGACCCAGACGCGAAGTCGTCTACCCCTTCGGTATTCATGATTCGGTATACGGCTCGCCTTTTGCTTGCTGCTTGCATGAAGAGGAGGAGTGGCTGGCCACTACAAATATGATATGGTGATTACCCGGTTGCCAGCTCTTAACTGACGCTGTCTCCGAAAGTGACATCAAACTCGACTCCGCCGAAGACTCCTATGGCAGCATACAAATCACTCTCGCCCATCAAGCCGTCCACGCCTTCGTCCCGCTCGTCCCTCTCCTCGTCGACCTCCCAACCCCACCGCTCATCGGCCCTCCCCTCCCTCGTCACGAACACCCTGGTCTTCACTCTCTGGCGAGCGACTTCTTGCGCCTCAAACTTCATCCCGATCCCGACGGTCTCGTTCTCTCGGAACGCCGCCACGAATTCCCGCCCTCCCCACGGGTCATTGACGAACCGTCGCCCATCGTCCCCGTGCACGCCGATACTCGCGCGATGCCACCCGGGCAACCGCCAAGGGGGGTAGGGTCTCGCGGCATACCCTACCGCGATGCCCGAGCTGGCATTCTGAATCCTATGGACGTGGATCTGGAAATATATCGTCTTGGCACGCCCTGTGAAAAGCGGGCTATCCGCGCACGCGAAATACAGAGGCACCGAGGACAAGAAGATGGCGTCCTGCTGGTTCTTGTGCGTGCCCACACGCCAGGTCGTGGGCGAGGTTTGCCGGAACGTGGAGACGTGACGTTTCAACGGGCCGGGCGGTGCCTCGAGCGTGATGTGTCCGGCGTTGGCGAGGAGGTGGAGCTCATGCGACGGCCGTGATGGCGTGTACACGGGGTGGCGGGCGCACCATTCGTGGGCCCGGGCCGCAGAGTCGTACGTCGCGTTGTTGGTCGGGGAGTAGTCTTGCGGGAGTGGCGGAGGGGGCGGGAGTAGCGCCGTGTCTGGAATGACGGTCCAGTCGTGGTAAGGTGGAGGGTTGGCGTTGGCATTGGCCTTGGATGACGCAGAGGCAGGAGGGGGACCTGAAGGGGGGAGGAAGTCGTCTTCGGCTCGACGATTGTGGGACGGTGGAGGTCCAGGAGGAGCAGCGTATTCTTCGGCGCCGTTGTCGTGACCTTGACCACGGTATGAAGGTGGGGGGCCTGATGGTAGAGTGGAGTCGTCGTCTCTGTGTTCCGCTCCTCGATGGCGATGGGATGGCGGTGGACCAGAAGGGGATGAGTATTCTTCTCGTCCTCGGTTGTCTGTCCCGACTTCGATCTTGCCTTTTAGGGATTTAAACAAGCCCATGATCGAGGGTGGATAAGTTGTGATATAGTGTGGTGGATAAGTTGTGATATAGTACGGTGGATAGGTTGAGATACAGTTCGGAGGACACTCCCTGGCTGGGGCTTGCTTTCTTCAATAGAAAGGGACGGAAACTCTATACTGTATGCGGATGATCCGTGGCGGAGAGTGACAGTGACGGTGACGGTGACAGTGAGTTGTGGTGTTTGATAGAATCGAATACACGTAGTGGTAGATCAATGTCGTATGAGTAGGTGTTGGTGTAGATGTAGGTGTAGATGTAGATGTGGGTGGAGATGTAGGTGAGATGTAGGTGTAGATCAACGTCGTATGAGTAGGTGTAGATGTAGATGTAGATGTAGATGTAGATGTAGATGTAGATGTAGATGTAGGTGTAGGTTACTAATGGACTCGTATCACCTGTCCCTGTCTGACTGTATGGGGAGATCGAATCCCCAAAAAGTCAAATGGAAGATGTAAATGTAAATGTAGATACCTGCACTTGCCAGGGGATAGGGGATCAGGGACACGGGACAAGGGAGGAACGTCGGGGAGCGAGGAAATCGAGTCTTTTTCTTCTCGCTGGGTTCCGCGTGGCGTGTCTAGTGTGAAGTGAGGTGAAGTAATGTGAAGTGAAGCGAGGTTCACAAAGGCGATATACCGTGAGTGGAGACGATCAAGTGAGAGGTGACACAGTATTGAGGTCAAGGTCCAGTTGAGATCAGCTCAGTGGATAATTCGAGGCAGGTCGTGAATAAAACGTCGTGTTCAGGCTTCGCCACGCCACGCTGCGTTTCGTGCCGTGCCGTGCCGTGCCGTGCCGTGCCGCGCCGCGCTGCCTGGCGTAGTGAGGAGCCTTGGATTCCCTTTTCTGGGCGTCGTATTGGGGAAGCTGGATGGACAGGTCGGGTCGTCTGATTCTTGAGGGTCGAGGCGAAGGAATGACAAGGTTGCAGAAGGCTATAAAGGGTTGCTGGATGAGGCGTGTAATGAACACAAGTCGATGAGACCTGCAATGCCTTTACCCGTGTCCGTTGTGTTGGGTTGTGCTGTGTTGCGTCGAGACGTATTGTAGGGGTAGACTTCGATTTGGAACGTAGGCAAGGCGGGCAAGGCAAGCAAGCTTGGTCAGGTAGACGATCAGGTAGGTAGGCGAATGGATACGTCGATGGGCAAACCGGTAGCTGAGCAAGGACGGGAACTGAGACGCTGGGCGCGGACTCCGCCCTACCTTATCCTAGTAGATGCCAGACCAGTCATCCGCGTCGAGATGTTGGGGATAACGTCGCGGGTTGGATGGATATGGTGACCTCAGATGTGGATTCTGAGAAATGGGTGATAGTGCGGCTAGTCGACCGACCGACTTGACGTCAAGGAGCGAGCTGGAGTAAAGAGGAGACTGTGTAGCTCTGTGACCTGCTCTCAAGGTGGAAGAAGAGACAATGTACCTCGTACTTGGTGTATTGTTAGCCATTCGCTGGGGCGTATGGAGGTGAAAGGTGAGAAACTGACAGGCAAGGGTGAGGTACAGCAAGTCGACCGTCGACAGATGCTCGTGAACAGTGCGGGTCAGAACAAGTGTGGTGGTAGTGGTCGCCACAAGTCCTGTTCTGACCTGCTATGTGCCTGCTCGTGCTCTGAGAGGTTTCGAATCTGAGCTGCAGAGGAGCCGTGGAAGCGTGTGCTGTAATTATCTGAATCTGACGGAGCTGCTGAGCCAAAGCCAGCTAAGCCAAGGCTGTACCCCTTGATACGATATGATCGGATATGATGGGGGCAAGGGTACGAGTACAGGGCCATTCAATAAAGCCAGGATGCTTGCTGGTGCTCGGAAGGATCGACGTGACGTCGAATGGTCAGTTGGTGACAGAATGGTGCGGGGTTGGGGAAGGGAGCGAGATAGACATGGAGGTGACATTCTCATGTGGTCAGTACACCTTTAGCATGTCTAGGGAACGGGATTACTGTGACACTCTCATTTGATCTGTAGAAGCATGTGAGTCCCTCTTTGGCATGTCTAGGGAACGGGCATACACTAGGTCCACAGCTCTACAGGTTGTGGTTGTGATACTCGAGCAAATCTATTTACATCACAAGGCCAACTCACCCTAAGTAGATCTTTGAGGCCATTGATCCAACGTCGCTGGACTGCCACTCAGAGTAAAATTCCAGGTCACCTGCGTCGGCACATCGACCAACAAGCCGTAATCACCAGGATACAAGATCTGGTCGCCATTGACATCACGGCGAGCAATGCTCCCTAACGTCAGGTTCAAGGTGGCGGTCTGCGAGGAACCCCCGGTGACGTTGAATAGTCGTTGATATGCCACCAGCTCCTTGATCGGGTATGGCTGAGGCCCGTTCTGGCCGCTGATGAAGCCGAGGGTGACAAAGTCCGATGCCACCGAACCGGTGTTGGTGACGTTGACCTGGAACGAGTCGAGCGGGCAGAGGTCAAGGTACTTGTACTGTGACCGGTCGCAGCTGGAAACCAGTTGTGAGATGTTGTACGTAGTCTGGCTTGACTCGACGACATCCACGCTGAAATTCGTATAGTGCAAGCCATATCCGAATGGCAGGACTGCGTTGTCATACCACTTGTAGGTCCGGCCAGGATTGCCAGACGAAGCATTGGGCCTCAGGTTCATGTCCGTCATGTCGACCTGGTTGACGTAGTCGCTGGGATATTGTGTGACGGGCAGCCGGCCGGCCGGCTTGGTCTTACCGGTGAGAATGTTGACGACGGCGTCGCCTCCAGCCATGCCGGGATACCCTCCCCAAAGGATGGCTGAGATGTTGGGGTTGTTCAGGAACGGTGTGTTGTCGAGCTGATCTCCGAATTGGAGGATAATGACCGGCGTGCCCAGGGTGGCGATTTGGTTGATCAGGTCGATCTTGCCAGGTGACCAGCTGATGTCGTATCTGTCGTTGCTCTCACTTTCGTCGTTGGTGTTGATTCCGTCAGCCACAATGATAAGGTCGGTGTTCTCAGCTGCAGCGACCAATTGCTCCCAGTTGCCGGTGGTGGGAAACTGGATGCTGCCTTGACTGCTTGCGTACCGGACGTTGACATTTGGCAACTGTTGCAGGGAGTAGAGTGGCGCATGGAGGAACCGGGCAACGCCAAAATAGTTGCCTTGAAGTTGAGTGGTGACATTGGCCCATCCGCCGAGCAGCGTTATGTTGGTTTTCCTGCCAGAGGGCAGCGACAGAGGCAAAATCCCATCGTTTTTCAACAAGACGATGCCCTCTTCGGCGGCTTTCAGTGCCAAAGCCTCCGACTCGGGAGTGGACACGTTCCTGAAATCGAGCGACCGGTATGGGGTTGCTGACGCAGGATCGAAATATCCGACCCTGATTAACGACGAGTACAGGCGGATCAAGGCTTGGTCGATCACGCTTTGGTCGAAGAGGCCCTGGTCGTAGGCCACCAGGAGATGAGTCTGGTAGTATGTGCCCTGACACAGCGTCAGTACCTCCAGCATGGTGGACCTAGGTTTCACTTACGCAGTTGAGGTCAGTGCCCGCCTTTAGTGCTTCGGCGACCGCCTGCTCTCGTGTCGCCGTATAGTCATGAGGCATATAGATGTTCTGGATGGCATCGCAGTCCGAGGTGACGTACTGACCTTCGCCGGTCCAGTTCCAGTGTTCTCTCAAAAGCGTCTGAAGGATGTACGGATCAGCGCAGGTAGGCACCCCATTCAGCGCGTTGTACGAGCACATGATCGAGCTATGGAGATCAGCGATTGAGTCCACAGCACCTCGTTGCATCTCACTCACCCAACGTTGGAATCTCGCGCACAGGTCTGAAAGGGTTGCATGTAGTATTCAGCCAGCTCTTGGGTGTTGACTTGGGCGTCAAAGTTGTAGCGGTCCGTGGTTCCCCAGTCCTCAAGGTCATAGGCCGCGAAATGCTTGCAAGTGGCTATCACCTTCTTGAATTTTGAGTCCGGACTCCCTTCGAGGCCGCTGATGAGAGAAGCGACGTAACTCTTCAGGTGGAACGGATCCTCGCCAGGTGTTTCCTGTCCGCGACCCCATCTCGGATCTCTGCCGGCTCTCTGTCAGTACAGCGCATCCAGAGCGTGGTTTATCAACCGTATACGCGTGTTACTTACTTGTATGGGTTGATGTTCGGAGTCCAAAAGTCCAAGCCGCTTCGGTTGGCATTGTTGAAGGCTCGAGCTTCCGTACTGACCACAGTCGCAACGGCATGGATCAAGGCATCGTCAAAGGCCGCTCCCATAAGAATCGGCTGCGGGAATGAAGTCGCGTAGGAGTAGTCTCCGTTCGGAGCGAAAGTCACTCCCGGCGAGCTTGCAACACCGTGCAGTGCTTCCTCTGTCATCGAAGTCAGCATATGGAAAGGGCAGGAGAGCTGCGAGTGACTTACGCCACCACTGGTAGCTGTACAGTCCTAGCCGGGGCACTCCCGGGGACGTGCTTCCCGTCAAGTTGAACTTCTCGTCGATGTCCAAGGCATCGACCAGTGCTCTAGCTCTAGCAGCCACAGACGCGGTCGTGTCGCAGACGGTGTTGTTTGCAAGTGGTCCATTGGCACAGTCTGGGAACAAAGCCGCAGCCGCTGGTGCAGCCAGCAAGGCACAGAGACCAAGCAAAGTGGCCGCCATTGCTTCCACCCGCGTAGTCTGCTGAAGTCTGAAACTTGCGAGAGACGCCTTCGCACCCAGCAAAAACCATCGTGGTCTCCGTTCAGAGTTATAAGGGCACGACTCTCACCTACCTCCCACCAACAGTCCTCTGCCCCTCTGCAGTCTCCGCAAAAGGTCTTTCGACATGCCAAAGATGGATATAGCCGTCGTTGGGGGAATTCATCCTGAAGCTACAAACCTCTTGCAGTGACGATCATCAATTGCCGGCAGGACAGGACATGGTTGCAGATGCAAGGTCGATACCCTAGTATCATCAGTGACAACATACAAGAGCTATGCTGCGGCTTTTGGTGGATTTGTGTACGAACTCATCCATCGGACTGATCGCCGCCAGCATACCCTGGGGCTGCTGAGTAGAAGGAATCGTAGCCCGGGCGGGTATACGGCACATGCGGCGACAAACACCCAGGACGATGAGTTGCGCATATCGTCATAGGCAGCTGCAAATTCTCGCTTCTAAATTGCGAGCTGCAGCTGGGAAGGTGACATTGATGAATTTGGTTAAAAGGGCAGAGCCGACAGTGATGCTTGCGCAAAGACGGAGAAACACCAGCAAGGCACCTCCTGCCCAACCAGTCCCCTGCGAGGAACACGACTCTGGTTAAATAGGCTAAATTCCAGCCGTGACTGTGGAGGCGGAGGTCGACTTTGTTGTGGAGAGATGGGGCTACGCCGGCCTCTCCTGATGCCTGACCAGGGAAGGGCCGTCTTTTCAGGCATTTGACCTCATCATTCCATAGAACATTCGACGGCAGTTGGCGGCGTTTTATCCAGCCACCCGTACGAGCGTCGGACCACTAGCAACCGGAGGCTTCCATGCAGCGACCCCGGACAGGATATTGCCAAGTCTGACCCTGAAGACTTCTTGGCCACCAACACAGCCAAATCCGTGCTTCTCACTGCGTCACAAGCGGGATCGATGTTGTCAGACAGGCGCGGACCTCCCTCTTGCGAAGCCTTTTTGCACCGGATGCTAGCTGCCGATCCTCAACGATGCTTGGTCTAGCTTGCTGGTGGTCTGCCGGTGCTTAGTCTAGACACGCCGTACTTCGCTGCTCGTTACCCCGATTGACGGCTTGCTAACCAGGATACCTACCCACTCTCCAATGAAACCTCGTCGGTGCGCATGATTGAGCTGGAGAGGAGACGGGCCATGTGCGCCATGTGTCCCTCAAGGATTCCGAATTAGCCTGAAGGCGGAGAGCGTGTCGGCGGCGGTAACATGCAATCCTATACAAGGCCAGCGGTTGCCATCTCGTGGCCTGGCTCCAGTCTCCAGCTTCTCGAGAAAATCTGAGCTGACAAGTCGCCAACATGGTTCACGGTACGGGAAAGCCTTCGCAATTCAGCGATGCTGCCCTCCAGCAGCGTATGCAGATGGCCGGCAAGGCTGGGCCACAGGCACTTGTGCGGAATTTCCGTGTCTTCCTGACTGCCTGTTTTGCTTGCATTGGTGGTCTCCTTTATGGCTACAACCAGGGTGTGTTCAGTGGTGTCTTGTAAGTATGCCTGACTCCGTCCTGAACATTGTGCTGCCGGGCCTGCAAGGGCCGGTGTCGTCCGGTCTCGACCTCTTGAGCGCTCTGTCATTCGCGTTACATGCGCAGTCGCTAACACGGGGAACAGGACCATGAACGCCTTCAACAGACACATGGGCGACTATACCACCGATCAATCCAAGAAAGGATGGCTTACCTCGATTCTCGAACTCGGCGCCTGGACGGGCACGCTGTACTCTGGGTTCCTTGCCGAGATCATATCCAGGAAATATGCCATCATTGTCAATACCTGTATATTCATTGTGGGTGTCGTCGTTCAATGCACGGCCACCTCGGCCGGCCACTCTGCGATTCTTGGTGGTCGATTCGTCGTCGGTATGGGTGTGGGATCGCTTTCGATGATCGTGCCCATGTACGTGGCCGAATGCTCTCCTCCCGAGCTCCGAGGTCTGCTCATCGGTATGCAACAATTCGCCATCGAGTTCGGTATTATGATCAGCTTCTGGATTGTGAGTCGGTCGCCGTTGTAGCCAACGCGTGTTTTACTGACATTCGCCAGGATTATGGTACCAACTACATCGGCGGAACTGGCGATACCCAATCCGAGGCGGCTTGGCTCGTGCCTCTTGCTCTTCAGCTTTTCCCGGCGTTGATCCTGTTGGTGGGAATGATGTGGATGCCTTTCACTCCCAGGTGGCTCCTTCACCACGGCCGTGAAGAAGAAGCACGGCGGACTCTTGCGACCTTGAGGTCATTGCCAATCGACTCTGAGCTTATCGAACTGGAGTTCCTCGAAATCAAAGCTCAGTCCCTGTTCGAGAAGCGAAGCGTGGCGGCCAATTTCCCTCACCTTGCCGAGCAGACCGCAACAAACACAATCAAGCTCCAGTTCGTCGCCATCGCCTCTCTGTTCAAGACGATGCCCATGTTCCGCCGTGTCATAGTTGCCACAGTGACCATGTTTTTCCAGCAGTGGACCGGCATCAACGCAGTACTTTACTATGCACCGCAAATCTTCGGCGCTCTTGGCCTGTCCTCGAACACCACTTCACTTCTTGCTACGGGTGTGGTTGGCATTGCCATGTTGTTGGCAACGATCCCATCCATTCTGTACATTGACAGAATCGGGAGAAAGCCTGCATTGGCCCTCGGTGCTCTCGGAATGGGTCTTTGCCATTTCATCATTGCTGTCATCTTCGCCAAGAATGAGAACCAATGGCCAACCCACAAGGCGGCAGGTTGGGCTGCTATTGTCATGGTTTGGCTTTTTGTCGTCCACTTCGGCTGGTCTTGGGGTCCTTGGTAAGTGTCAACTCAACCGGCTCCTGCTTTGCAAATCCCTAACGGCTTCTACAGTGCCTGGATCGTGGTTGCCGAAGTCTGGCCATTGTCCGCTCGTCCATATGGTATCGCCCTGGGCGCTTCCAGCAACTGGATGAACAACTTCATTGTCGGTCAAGTCACCCCAGACATGATCACCGGCATCACATACGGCACTTTCATCCTCTTTGGCTGTTTGATCACTCTTGGAGCTGCCTTTATCTGGTTTTACGGTAAGAGCACTCTCGGCTGCCTCCCACCGAACGAACGGCTAACAGTTTGAATAGTGCCAGAGACGAAGCAGCTTACTCTAGAGGAGATGGACCTCGTCTTCGGATCTAGTGGTGTTGCCTCCGCTGACCAGGAGCGCATGGCCCAGATTAACGCTGAGATTGGCCTCAACCGCAGGCTCAGTACTCTCGCGGGTGAACCAGCCAGCGATGAGAAGGTTGCAGCGTTTGATGAGAAGACAACCGCAGCCAAGACGGTGTAAGATGTTGGCGGTTCAGCGTCCGACTCTGTCGTGGTCCTGGAGACATAGTAGAGGACAGCGTGACAACTCTCGGTAGAATTGGCTGCAGATATATATCCTCCATCGAGGCCATCAACCCGCCTGTAATTATTGATTCCAAGTGGTTGAAGTGAATCTACGCAGAACGTTCCGTTCCTCAAACGGATCTCTGATCCTACGCGCGGTCGCTGAGATCCGCAGCAGTTCGAGCCACGAAAGAGACTTTCGGCGCTCGCCGGAATCTGCTGTGCCGAGCCGAGGTCTGCTTTACGATTAGCCGTTGGCTATCCCATACATAGCGGTATCCGAGCGAGCATCAGGGTGACCGTCTGTCAAGTCGCGACCGATCTCGGAACGCTACCTTGAAAATCAGACCGTCGCATTGTATTTCATGATAGTCCGTGTGAACTCCGAGCGCAACAGTCGATGAAAGCACGTTAGGACAATCGCGTACGGTTACTTTGGAGGGAGTCCAAATCAACACGTAACGTAGAGGTCTTCAGACGGCTCACCATGTCAAAGTGTTCATCAACGTCATCTATACTCTTCATGGGTAACTTGTGGTTGGCAGGTATTACGGCTGGGGATGGTGACAGGGGGATCGGGCGGTGACCGCCGCACTTTCCACTTTAATATTGCCACATGCCCTGTAAGGAAGATGAAGGTTACTGATGCCAGGCAAGTGACAGGTCAGACGACCCCTGGGTGTCGAAGTTGGGAAGCAAGGATTTGTCGAAAGCCAAGGGTAGACTTCCCATGGATATGCATTTCTTGTTGAAAGTTGACCGTGCAGCACTGAGCATGGTCCGTGTTGGCCGCGTTGTTCCACATTCCATCATCTCACGTGGCACATGCCTCACTTCGCACATCAGGTCCATGCACGGACGTCGTTGGCGGCCCCTCCCTTGGGCGGAGCTGGTGTTGATGGATGATTGCCAGACATTAGCAGGCTCCATCTAGGTTGAACAATGAAGCTTGACCTCGGGACCAAGAGATCTGTGCCTCATGCATAGCACGCCTAGGCTCGAACCGGGTCACTGCACACAGAGCCTGGAACTATGCCCTCGACAGTGCAGAGTCAGTTCGCTCGTGTGGGTCAAGGTGGACAGAGACCGATTCGCGGGTCGGGCTCGTTGTCCAGTATGCGCGCGGAAGGAGACGGCCAGACATTTGCCGTCACAAAACGGCATGCTCGGGAGTCTGATCAAACGATCGAGGGAACAGACCGGCGCCCTTCGAGGTGGGCTCGTGGAATGCTGGGCTTGGTATGTAGCAAGACAGTACGCTGTTACCCAATTCGAACTATGGTTGCTGTGACTATTCACTCATCGTGCGCCCCGGAGAGTGCAGGCGATAAACGTAAATTGAGAACGACGGACCCGAATTGCGTGCACATGAAGACGGCAAGTGGCTAATCGAGGACAAATGAAGGCCGAATAGTGCTGGCAGCAGTGCCCCAAGTCACTCTGAGGTACTGTACAAGTAAAGATTCAGTGACGCTCAAGTGAGCGATAAGTGAAATGGACTTAGGTGAAGGTGGAGAGAGGCGGTTCACAATGCCCATGACGTACCATAAATTGAGGTTAGGAGCTCGAACAGCGTCTTGACAGTGGCGAAGGGTTGAGGGAAGCATCCCATACTGATCGCTGATACAGTAGGACCTTGAATGGGGCTCACCCTGGGTTGATGCCTGTAGTTATATGTTGTGGTGACACGCAGGTGAGAGAAGGTGCGAGACGGACGAAGCAACAACCCGAGTAATTTGCCAAATTGATCCATTGGATAAACACAATTTTTGATGCACTGATGGCATGTTGATCTCTTACAACCCGTGTGGACAATTCCACCCAACCGAGACATACCGTCGGTGCTCAAGCCAGCAAGGCCGAACGGCTGCCTGTCCGCCGACCACGATCCCCTGTCCAGATTACCTCCACAGGTCACACTGACCGATCCCTCAATGGGCGAACCTCAATGGGTAGATAAACCACAACGCCGGGGAATCTCGCCAGATGCAGGTGTTGTACAAAAACGGCATATGGCCTGCTATGATGAGAATGAAAAGAGTTTGCTCCAGCTCTTGAAATGATGATGTCGTCGGTGGCGGCTTGTGGCCTGTCGATGTATAGCCAAATCTATCCTTTCTGCGTCTTGAAGGTCATGGGTATCATGGTGAATGATCGGCAAAAGAGTAACTCCTGATCCCCCGGCCATTTGCTTCTCCTGCGTGTACTGAGAATGGCAAACGGCCTGTCGCCGTCCTTAGCCTGTTGATGGGAAGACCAGCCATGGTTGGCCAGTCAAAAACAGATGCGAATGCAGGAGTCGTAACGGTCATGATCATCGTCTGCCCTTCATCTTGCCGCTGGTACTGGCGCTTCGACCAAGGTTGTCTCTGGACATGGTCCTTGTCAAGCCGCCAATGTAATCCTGTAGGAAGCGGTTTTCGGTTTCGAGCTTGTCGTGGTCGGTCTTGACCTCGTCAATCTTCTCCGCCAGCGCGGCCAGTGATGACTGGAGGTTTCGAGCTTGTCTAGCCCTTCGGTTAGTACCATGACGAGTTTGCCCTTGAGGGTGACCTTACTCCTTGAGTGTTTCGCGGAGACCACGCTCGAGTCTCTCGATGTCTTCGCTGTTCCGTCGTGGACTCATTGCTCTTGCGTCGTCAGGTGGGTACTGTGGTCTTTCGGTTTGTACAACGTCTCGACCCTTGGGCACGATTATCGTGTTCGATCTCTGTCTGTCTCCTAGTCGAGGTCTTTCCATCCGCGTCCGTCGCGAGCTCGATCGAGGTGATGTGTGTTGGGGAAGGTCTGAATCAGAGGAGGAGGAGGAACCACCACTTGATATTGAGGTGGATATCGATGGTCGAGGAACGATGTCTCTGGGTTCCGACTCAGTCATAGAGACCGGTTCAGGTAAAGGTGCCGTAGCCGTGGACGGTGATGTCGTGCTTCGCATTTGGTGTTGCCGAGTCCCAAGGTGTCTCTTGTCGGCTCTCTATTTGGCCGGATTGCTTTTCCAACTCTGGTCGACCAATGTTCTGGATTTGCCGAATAGCGCATTGGCCGTCCACCACAAATCAAGACAAGCGCACTGACCTAAGTCCAGCGCCGGTCCTAGGGTATATTCTGCATCCAAAGAGGAGCACCTGGCTCTCAGCTGCAGTGAGCCCGAGAGGCAGTGGTGTCGACAGCGTGGCGGGAGCGTGAGGCTGGATAGATGGCGACGGAGCAGGAAGTCCCTGAGGCTGCACTTGGCGGGTGTGGGAGGTATTTGGGACGGCCACGCCTTTCTGTGGCCGGGGGACTACGAGTACAAGAGGGTCACTGGGTCGCAAACAGGGTACGTGCAATATCGGCGGCGGAAGATGACTGGTAGGAGCCTGATTCCTTGTTGGTTCGGCAGTGGATAAGACGATCGTCAGAGGGTAAAGCTACTGTTACTCTCCGTGCTAGAGAAGAAAACGGGTTCCCTGCTCACCAAGAGCGGAAGTTGACCACCTTAGGCCTGGGGACGTCTCCTGGGTACTGTCCAGTATGTGTTTAGTGCTGCTGCGGGCCAGAGACTTCGGCGCTGAGCAGGCGGCTGAATGGTGTATTGCCGCTTTGCGGTGGATCTGGAGTGTACCTGGTAAGTCAGTCCCACGGCTCGGTGGTCGAGTTACGTCGTTGACTCGACCTGTCAGTGGACCACAGCGGATTGATCGACAGCAATGAACAACGGGGTTGCCTCCGAAACGTCAGGAAATGAGTGGTCAGTCGGTCGCTTCGGGCTGGATGAGACGCCGGTGCAAGCTGCTGTGTGGATGTTACAGAGACGGAGGAGTCAGATGTGCGTGTGTTTCAGTGGTTCTTCGTCAAGGCCAGAGATTCTCTCTGTATGACGCTTTAACGCGCCATGGGAGGTCACCAGTGCTCCTCCTGTTTGCAATCAAAACGCGGCGCACCCACGAGGTGGCGTTGGAGGGTAAGGCGATGGGACGGGGATGGCGCGAGGCTGCTTGCTCACAGCGACCGAAGTGAGACTGATCTCAACGTGGTGCGGGAGGCGGTGCGAGGGCAAGTCACAAGATTGACCCTCGGACTCGGGAATCACATGCAGGAAACCGGGCCTTGGGGCAAGAAGATTGACGAATGGATCGCTGGGCAGCAAGCGAAGGTGGGAGCGCACCAAGAGGAATGGGCCGGAACAGAGCCTAGAGAGCCCTAAACCGCCTAGAGGACCACTTGTGCAGGGGGCAATCTCGCAGAGCCGTGGTTAAGGAGGCCCCGCTATGCCGCCTAGAGGCAGCTTTTACCTCTTGGCGCGGAAATCGGCAAGCAAGGAGCGCCAGACGACTGGCAAGTTGACGTAGTTGATCAGGCAAACCTTCATCATGCTTCCACCTCGGATCGACATCATCATCGCCAGGTGCAGTTAAGATATTACTCGTACCACCGGTCAAGAGTCAGACCGACATTCAATCGGGAGATGGCTCTTGGTGGGCACGAGCGTGGCAGAAAGAACTTCAGTACAAGCGCCGCAAGCCTCGATCAACACATCGATGCTCTGCACCTCATTGAAGACCGCGTAGACGGGTCCAGCCGACTGTCGTCTTGCGAGAACTTCGTATCCTGATTATGTACACGCGTGTCATCCAAACTTTAACCAGTTCAGATGACTTGGAAGGTTACTCGCAGGCGTCCGCACAGTTACCGGGTGGAGGCGAAGTATCCACGGGCGGTATCAACACTCGAGACAGATCTTCAGTTCCCTCCTCGTCCGGTTGCAAGATCTGAGGCAGGCTGACTGGCCGCCACCACTACAGCATCACCTTGGTCAGGTAGCCATCCGCGAGTGGGACTAATATTGCTCCAGTACCCAGTACCCAGTACTGTGCCCTGTGCGCTGTCACGAAAATTCCTTCCCACGCGCCGATCTGATCTTTCTGGGCCGGAGAATTGACAGCATGACACAGCACGATTACCCATGGTTTTACTGGGTACTCGTACGAGGTAGGGCGCCGATACGGGTAGCGTCTTGAGACGGTTGCTCTGGGCACAGATGGCTCAGCGAACACGCGGTTTCTGTTATCAGCCTAACAATCGTCGTCCACCACGTTGTACTCGTTCTTGTAGTGCTTTGCCGCCATCACCATGACGCTGCACTGTTAAAGAGACACGCGAACTGTGGACGGGACGTCGATGGTTTACCCCGTCCTGTCAATACGAGCTCCATGCGCTCTTCCCATGCAGGGTCCGGTGTCTATTCGGAGCAAAAGGACCCTGGAGATATGTAAAAGGATCTAGGTCGACTCCGCTCACACAACGTCGAAACACAGCTTCTTGAAGCTGCGTTACAGGACGCCTTTGCCGCCAGCCTCGCGGGCGACCTCGACAAACACATCTGCTGGAGGATGAAGACCAAGTAGCATCGCTGTACGAGGGTTTCTTTTGCGGGGCAAGGCAGCAGCGGCAATGACGGCGAAGACGTCATCTGTCGCCCGGAGGATTTCCATTCCAGTCAAGAGATCACCACCTAACAATCCGCGGTGTTTCACCAGGTGACCGAACCATTTCTCTGGTTGATCCTCAGCATTGCGGATGGAAAGATCTTCGGGGCCAGGAATTAAGGCAACAGAGCCTTCGAGGTTCCCCGTTCTCAACATCCCTGTGCAACATCGAGTGTCACCAATACGAACACCAGAATAATGTCCGAGACGCTCCGCTTTGTGGAATTCTGGATGGATAGAAGAATCCCCTGCTTCAAAACTGGTTTAGAATTCGCCGGCTTCTCCCAGAGTGAGCGACAGCATGGATCATCCATTTCCTCATTTGCAGTTTGAAATGTACCCGGGCGGGACACCCCATTGCAGGCGTACGTATTCGGTTTTTCTCTGTCGAAATGGCAGATTTCCTCGTCTTGGTCTGCGAGTGTTTCTCGGGGCCCTGTCGAGCCTGTGTCCAACTGTTTTCACAGGTTCACTACCACATCAAGACGAGTACTCGATGACAACAATGCCAGGGCCGCCAAGATCGTCTTGGGCACGGACAAGCCAACGGCAGGCTTGGGCCTCCTGCCGGAACGGAAAGAAACCGTCTTGACGTGCAGGCGTCGATGATTGCCTACCACTTCACGGTCAAGCTTCAGGGGATTTTCGTTGCGTAGCTCGTCCACAGGGGCATTGAAAGTCGAGTCTACAGAAACTTCAATCCCGGTAACCAAGGGCCAGCGCCTGCACAAAGTCATCCCTGCATGCCAGAGGCGAATTTGGGCGTTACGTGAGTATCCCCTCCGTTCCCGATGCGACAATCGCCCAGTGCAAAGTCTGAAAGCGGGCTGCCCGTTTTAAGAATGTTCTGCTATGAAGATTGATTGTCAAGGTGGCCGCCAGATAGATATCCTTTCTTTTCACTTCTACTTTCTCAGGCCGTTTTCGGAGTGATGCCCAAACGAAGCAGCCATGTAAGAGATGAAATTTTGGCATAAAGCTTGGAAGGGAGTAAAGACCAGCACGGTACCGAGGGAATCGGGTGCCCATCACTTGTCCGGAAAGTCTTTCAGAAGCTGCTCTTCCTGATTCTCCTTTCCAGTTGCTTTAAACCTACATCTCTATGGAACCGGCCACGGTGTGAGCTTTGATCTAGTCAATCCGTTCTGATACACGCCTATTGCCCCAGGAAGCACTTGCGGCCAAACAGTCCTAAAATGATGCAGATGGACAGAGTTTGACGTTCTCGATATGGCATAACATCCTATTGGGACCAACATAGGTGGTGAGTAGTGTTCAAAGGCAGCTCTACATAAAACAACAGTGAGTTATGAGGCAAAGATCCCCCGACGTCTAGCCAAGCTACGAAGCTCAAGGTTCAGGATAGGCCTTCAGTGACTTCAATAATGATCCAGTCCGATAAGACGGTGTTGAAGCCCGGATGGATGTTCTGCCAGTGAGGCAGCAGACTGTTTGGCATGGATTCACAGCACGACGACCTCGTCTAACATCCACTCATAGCAGAGTGCGTTGGGCAGCTTATTCATGTGATTCACCTAGCGCTCGTTCGGACCTCTCCATGTTGGCCAGAATTGCTCCTGGATGCGCTGCCTTTGCGCCCAATGAATCGACTTCCGCGGTCTCGCCAAATAAACACACGTGAGGACTTGCCCTTCCAAAGAACCTCTGTGGAAAGCGTACGCACCATGGGCATTCGGCCCCATCGATGGCGAAAGCGAGCCGATCCATGGCGAAAGCGAATTGTCAGACAACATATCAACCGTCATTCCGACCGCCAAAGTCCGTGAGAGACACGAGAATGACACAGACGGCGCAACCTTCTCGTCAGCGAAGACCGGGAATAAGCCCGGCGTGACCCCTCCTCCGCATTCCCGCTTCGCTCTCTCTACTCTCTACATGGTGGGCAGTGGCATTCGAAACCAGCTCTGAGCCATCGATTGCCGACGACAAGAGTCAGCAGGCACCGACAGGCGACTGAGCGATATAAGAATTCTACACCACATCTCAACAATCTCACGTAGCCTTTCGTGTGTTCTTCTTCTATCCACACTTCTTTCACCCTCTCTGCTTCATATCAAAAACCCCGCGCACTGCATCACTCCAGCTAACACCAACGTCCACCAACGCGAACGCGAACGCAAACGCCAGCGACACTGGCACTGGCACTGACAATGGGATCCCTCGACACCTCCTCGCCCAGCCTGATCACCGGCATCGCGCACATCAACCTCACAGTCCCCCAAGACACCCTCCACCTGGCGACCGAATTCTACGGCACAACCATTGGTCTGTCCCAACGCGCCGTGCCGCACCTCCAGAAGGGCCAGCTCGCGTGGTTCGACATCGCCGACTCGGGCCAGCAGGTGCACATTGCCTTCGGCGAGCCCAGCGACTTTGAAAAGCCGAGCAGGCGACACCCGTGCTTCAAGCTGGGTAGCCCCGCGGCGCTGCTCGAGTTGCAAAGGAGGATCTGGGCGCATCTCGAGAGGGGTGGGGATGCCGCGCCCCGGGAGGCGGATAGGCCTGGGGGTGTGAACTCTGGTGAGTACCCTACGTTTTGGTGGTTTGCCCTTGCGCTTGCCCTTTCCTATACCTATGCCGACGTCCCTTGTGTCTTCGTTCCCTTCCTTGTGCGGCGCATTGCGGTGTGGAGTGGTGCGCGGTTGGCGGAAGAAGGGAGACGATTTAATTTTGATTTTGAACACTCGATCCATCAAGTCTCATGCTGGGCCGAGGATAGGGCTAACTGTTTCGTTTCATCTCTCCCTCCAGGCGCACAGGGCGTGGAATACCCGGAGCGGTTCTTCGCGCGGGACTACGCGGGCAACAGGCTCGAGTTTAGCCTTTGAGCGCATGATACTTGTTCTATCGAAACATGATACATGATACGTGTTCAACATGTCCAATATGCCCAACATGTTCAGCGTGTCTAACGGTTCCGACGTGTTCATTGCTAGTCCGGTTTTCGGTGTTCAGTGTAGTTGCTGTCTGTATGTACTCGTGGCCGCAAGTCTCACGGAGGGTTGGGGCCCGGCACCAAGCAGCGGAGTAATGGAAGTCTCTGCACATCCACGTTCAGGTTCAGGTTCTGATCCTTGTCCTGACTCCTGGCTACGCAATGCACTCCGCTGAACGCATAAGCATGGACGAGTACGATTTTTGAAGAGTGAATAAAGCTGGGGCTTCGCAGATTCAGCAATGTCCACGATTTGTTGATGCAACCGACAGTCATATGAAAAGCGACGACACTGGTACTCTTTCGTCGTGGTAAGCCACCTGATCCCACAGCTGATCTCCATACTCACTTAGAGACGATCCCCCGGAGAGCGGTGGTGCTCGAGAGACAAGGCTCGCTGCGTTTTGGCAATCAGGCAAACAACGCTCCATGCTGACGCCGGCTCACGCCGGAGCAGCGGCTCGTCTCAGCATTCACAGTCGTGAGGACTTCGCAGGGTCTCGGTTCTGCTTCAGCAACCACTCTACACCGTCCACCAGATCCTTGACCCACTTCTTGTTGATGGACAACTGTGGATACATTGCCCACCAAAGATGTGGCACTCCAGGGTAAATGTCGATTTTCGCCTGGTCACCTGCCTGTCGGATCTTGTCGCAGTAGAAGACGGCACTGTCTCTCCAGATGTCCATTTCGGCGGCCTGGTAATAGACGGGGCCTAGTCCGGAGAAGTCAGTCAGCTTCAATGGTGAAGGATGACTTGCTTTGAAGCCTGCGATATCTGCGGCGGGACTGTTAGTGCTGCATACACTCATCGCGCGCAAGCCCAGATCGACTCACATCCGTAGAGAACGTTCATTTCACGCGTAGCTACTGGCCCGCTCTTGTACTTTTCCCAGGAGCCATGGGCCAGCTGCTCCGGGAACAGGTTGAGGATATCTCCTGTGCTGTCGATGTAGGAGTGCGGCATGCCAGTGCATAGGAAAAGATGTCCCGTCAGGCGAGGCTGGAGATGCTCGTCTCTCGCTTGGATGGCAGCCATGCTTGTCACGTTGCCACCCGCGGAGGCGCCGCCGGTCAGGAAGCCCTTAGAGAGGTCTCCTCCCAAAGCTTCGGCGTTGACCGAGACCTGTCACGGCTTAGTACGAAGGACAGCGAGCTGAACGCGAACGTACCCATTTCAGGACATCGTAGAGGTCGAGGATGGGTGTGGGGAATCGCCATTCAGGAGCCAGCCGGTATCCGACATTGACGACGATGATGCCTAGCTTGATACAGAGGAGCTGACAGATGAACTCTTCAGTGTCGAGTCCACCCATGCACCATCCTCCGCTATGTGCAAACACCATGACTGGTCGCGCGCCTGGGAGGGTCGAAGGCCGATATATTCGGACGGTAATCAAGTTGCCATCGCGGACCATAACTGGCCTGTCTTCTTCCGTCCACAGTCGATGCTCTCCCAAAGTCTCTTTGACGAAGGCGCTCTGCATGAATCGAACGTTTCCTCGAGCGTGGAGCCGCCGGGTCTCCGATATCTGTTCTGGCCGCGGGACGAAGAATTTGGGCATCCCATGTTTCTTCCATATCTAGAGAGCGTTAGCCAGTGTCGAGTCACACGGCCTGTTAGGCGCACAGCAGCGAGCTCAGAGTCTGTCTCCGGGGGAATTGCCTTGTGGTTGTCAGTCATTGTGCAGATATCGCCTCGTGTACTTGAGGTTGTTGTCGTATTGTGGTTCCCCTCCTAATGAAGCCAGCCATGGAGTATGTCCCTGCGGACTTCGCCCTCAAGTTATATGCAAGCGAAGCTGTGGAGTATATCCGCATCATTCTCTGGCATAAGCTGACTGACTGGTGGGATCATGTTTAAACCCTTCTTGAGGAAATGCGACCATAATACGATAAGCGGTGGGACTCTTTCGAATGGCAAGTCAAGGCATACGCGAGACATATTACTCCCCACAGTAGACATTTAGATATCGCACCGTGTCATCCGCACTGAATCGTGCAGAATGTCCGGAGGTGTTGCGTGGGCCGCGTCGTGAGGCAACGGCGCCCGCTGGAGGCTTGAGATCCAACGGGTAGGAGCAGTCTACATATAATTGGGTATGAGAACCACCCAGAGGACATTGCCTTCTCTTTGATAAGGTCATCGCTACACAGTAAACACCACCAGTGCTGCGTAAGGCCAGCTATTCCTGAAACGCAGATTTGAGAGACGGTGAGATTGCGTCGAGAATCCTCGGAGCATCTTTTTCCCGAGCTCAGGCCAAGGCGACGCGCTGCTCCAAGACGCCCGTCAACGAGTTACCCAGTAACGACCAGTAAGGTAAGTTGGAGCCGCCGGCCACCCGCATCAAGTCGCCCTTGCATCGACCTTTTCAACCTCGGCTGTTGAGCGCCGCGGCGTCAATGCCAGTGCGTCACGTTCCATCGTCCACCGGAACATTGACACCGTCTAATCATGAATTGTCAACAACAACGCACCGTCAATTGTTCGGCAATAGGTTGGTTATAACTGTCGACGTATATATCCAGAGCCAATTCGAGTAAGTCCTTACACAGGATTTCCTCTGCATAACAGCCCCCGCCGCCAGACAACGTGGGACAAAATGGGCAGCGCACAGCTCGATGTCGAGCTCAAGGACTTCGGCAGCATTTTCAGCCTCGAAGGCAAGGTCGCTGTCGTGACGGGCGGCTCGAGGGGCCTCGGTCTGAATGCCGCTTCTGGGTAAGCTCGACAACCTTCTCTCTTCTGAGATGTGGTCTCTGATCCGAGATGCTAGGCTCATGCAAGCCGGCTGCTCAAAAGTGTACATCACCTCGCGCAAAGCCAAGGCATGCGAGGAAGCTGTGGCAGCCCTCAATGCCCTTCCCAACAAGCGACCCGGCGCCGTTGCCATTTCCGTGCCCGCCGATTCCTCCAAGGTCTCAGAGATCGAGCGTCTGGCTGCGGAAGTCGCAAAGACCACCGATCACGTCGACATTCTGTTCGCCAACGCTGGCGCCACGTGGGGAGCTCCGTTCGAGACACACCCCGAGAGTGCCTTCAGCAAGGTCATGGACTTGAACGTCAAGAGTGTGTTCTATACCGTCCAGAAGTTTGCCCCGCTGCTGCAAAAGCGAGCGACCATCGACAGCCCGAGCAGGATCATTATAACTGCGAGTGTTGCCGGTCTAGGCGTAGGCACGCTGGGCGAGAACGCTACGTACGCATACAGTGCCTCGAAGGCAGCGGCCGTGCATCTTGCGAAGAACCTGGCTGTCGAACTCGGTCCCAGGGGGATTCTCACCAACGCCATTGCGCCTGGCTTTTATCTGACCAAGATGGCTTCGGGATTGATAGACTTGCAGGGTGGCGCCGCCGCGCTGGCTGCTGAAGTCCCCAACAAGAGACTGGGGCACCCTGAAGATATTGCTGGCTTGGTGGTCTTTTTGAGCAGCCGAGCGGCTTCGCACATCAACGGCGCCGTCATCACAACTGATGGTGGGTCACTGCTGTCAAGGGGGAAGCTATAGACACGCCAACAATGTATAATGGATATTGACGCCACGCCTAAATCAATCATCTCTTGACCGGCGTCAGCTTGATGTTGAGCGGCTGAAGCTCCCAAAGAACCTGTTTCGAGTGTCAGTAGATGTCATGGCGCATTCGAAATAACCACCCACATAGAACCGAGCGTCTTCCACCCACGTTGAATGATCTCCATCGAGCTCCATGTCGAAATGCCACAGCAATTTTGCAATGACTAGCCTTGCCTCGGTGAGTGCCAGCCTAAAAACATCTCGTCAGCAACAAGCACATCGCGTGTGAGCAGGTCGAACTTGCTGTTTGCCAATGCAGTTCCTAGGACCAAGGCTGAATGGCTTCAGTATCTCATCAGGTCGCAGGTTTGCCGGTCCTTTTATGTCCAGTTCATCAAGCCACCTCTCCGGTCTGAACTCTTTGGGATTGTCAAACAGCCGACCTGATCGTCCCATGTGCCACTGTCCTGGTTCGGCATTAGCATTCAAGCCCCAGCTTTTGAATGGCTTCTGAGGGTCACTCACCCATGGACACGTAGGTCTGGATATGAACCAATGGTCAGCATTCTCCTCGAATATGGGGAGTCGAGGATTTTGCGAGACTTACGCCACCCGGAATGTGATCTCCCGCGATCATATGCCCTCCTTTCGGTGTCGTTCGAGGGGTGATGTAGCTAGCGATTGGGAAGATTCGGAGCGACTCATCCACAGTCGCCTTCAGGTAAGGCAGATTCGACGTCGCTCTGATAGTGATCTCCTCGGCACTTGCGAAGCTCGATCGAATCTCCTGCTGGAGCTTCTTCAGGACCCTCGGCGTCTTGAGCAGATGGTAGAAGGTTCCGCTCAAACATGAACTCGTCGTCTCGGCTCCTCCGCCAACGATGAGGATCGAATTGGCAGTGACTTCCTTTTCGGTCAGGCGATTGCCATCCTTCATCTCGCGCAACATGAGGCCTACGATATCCGGGTTTTTCTTGTCCTGCCTTTCCTCGTCGTCTGTCTTTTCCAATTTTTCACGGGCAAGTCGTTGGTTCACCGCGCTGACGGCCTCGTTAAAGAAGTTGTCCCGCTCTTCGAGTTGCTTTTTTGACAGCAGTGGTATTAGCATTCTCTCGGTGATGCCGAATCGGCGGAACTGGTTGAAGATGGCAACGTTCTTGAGACCGCGGAGCAGGAACTTGGGCCACGGGTGCATCCGCCGCAGCTTCAGGCATTCGAATTCTTGATCGAGCGCGAGTTTGCCGACCACGTCGTTGAGCGTCCAGAGGAACCATTGCACCATGTTCTGTGATCCTGCATGGCAGGCCTCGTGGAGCTGACCGCACAGCACATCGACGTAGTGCTGCATCACGGGCTCGACTTCCAGGATCCCGGCAGTGAGGAAGGCCGGGTTGGCCAGACGCCTCAGCCGCGCGTGTTCGGTGTCGCTGGCCATGATGAGGCTCTCGGGCAGCTTGCGCTCGTCGGCTCGTCCGAAGTGGAACTCGGTCTTCTGCAGCTGGGGCCGAGTGTTGTAGATCTGCGGCCACGCTTCCGGACTGGCGAAGGACAGCTCGTCCGGAGCAATCCGGACGGTCGGGCCATACTGGCTGTGGATGGCGTCGATGCACTTGTACAGGTCGCCGTGCGCTTGATGCCACGAGGCGGCCAGGCGAGTTGCCCGCCAGAGGAGCGGCCCGGGATACTTGGCCAGGGGATGAAAGGGGGAGACATTGTAGATGAGCCTCAGGATGGAGAACCCGACGATCTACACACAAAGTCAGCACGCACGCTTTCCTGGGCGATTAGCGGCGAAACGTTTCAACGTGTATAACTTACCGCAGCGACGGCGTAGACCCAGTACCAAAATGCAAGCGAGGCGTAGTGCCAGATTGCCGCGACATCAGTTGCAACTGCCATTTGTGTTGCCAGCGCAACGTCTTTTGACTTGGGTGAATTGCTAGAAGCTACAGTGTCAGTAATTCGACGAAGCTCGTTTCTTCTACGGAAGGATCGCCTGAGGCATCCAACATAAGCCGTTCTATCTCTGCTGGTTATTCAACACGTCCCCCCTTTGGGTATGAAAGGAGTTCCTGGACCACTTACTCCGTACATATGGATGACATACTACTTACCTAGTGCTTACACAGTACACACGGAGTGCCGTCCATTCTGCCCTGCGTGGACGAAGAGCCGCGGCTTCCACGGGTCACACAGAAGGAGTACTCGGTTCGTAAGTACATGGACGGTGCGGGGGCCGAGGGTTGTCTAGCTGGCATCTGCAGCTACAGCTACAGCTACAGTACGGAGTATGTAAGCTGGGGTTTGAAAGGGGCGGGGTGGGAGTGGGCGATGGTCTGCATGCACGGGATAGCGAGCAGTGGGCTCGGCACTGCGTAAAGGGGGAGATCAGTAACCGTATAGCCGGGGGGTGATTCTACCGGGTCTCGCATACGCCTTTGCCTCCATATTCGTACTCGTACATAGAGGTCAATATTAACCCGTAGGCATAATGAATAAGGAATCGAGCGTTGGATCAGATACACTGCAGGTCAAAGGATGATAGCAACAAGAGCGAGTGCTACTGTAAGTCCTCATTCTCATTCGGTGCAGTGGCGGCAATATCTATCATGCATTGTTGCGGCTGAACTCCCTTTTCTTTTACCTGTATACCCTCAGGAACTCTACTAGAGCCATCATGGCCATCGCCTGTCCGTAAGGCATACTAGTCCGTTCAATGTCAATGTAATGTTTGAGGTCTCTCCCCATGCCCGTGCCAAAACTGACATCCAGCAATTCGCCATCGGTGGTGATCCGCTGAATGACGGCCTTGACTGCCTTCATTGCGACGTCGGTATATTGATTCGAGATGTACCGTTTCCGTATCGACTTCAACAGCCCGTACGCGAACCCCGCCGTTGCCGATGCCTCGCGGTAACTGCCTTCCTCCTCGGAGACGTCAAGGAGAGTTCGCCACGTCCCGTCAGCGGCCTGCAAGCGGCGGAGAGCCTGACATTGCGCTTCGAGAACGCTGACGAGGTACAGTCGCAGCCCATTTTCAGGCGGCAAGTCCAAAAGCTCGATGAAATCAGGTATGGCAATGGTGAGCCAGCTGTTACCACGCGCCCATCGTGCTCGCGCAAAGTTGTGGCCCACTCCGCCCGCTGCACTCTCGTCAAATTGCCAGCCGTGGAAGAAAAGTCCGGTCTGCGGATCGTACAGATACTGAATGTGCAGCAGGAATTGGCGCTTAGCTTCTTCGACGTAATGCGGCCGATTCAGGAGTTTGCCGATCTTTGCCAGTGGCATGACGGTCATCATGAGAGTATCATCCCAGAGTTGATTGTGGTTGACCTCGAGGTAGGTGATGTGCTGCATGCCCCCAAAGGTTGTTCGTGGCAGGTTGTGCATGGCCCACTCGGCCCAGCTATCAAGCCAGGGCAGAAAACTCCGTTCCCCTGTCTCTTCGTACAGATACGCGAGGGTGAGGAATACGGCCATGGTGTTGATGTTCTTGGTTGTCCCCTCGGCCAGTCGTGCGCTGAACCAGTCGTTCATCACCTTGAGCGCCAAAAGCGACGACGTCAGCGCATGATACTGGTACAGGCCATAGAGCCCGATGCCGTGCGTCCACTCCCAGTCATTCCATCCCTTCGTGTCGATGACTCTTCCATCGGGCAATTTGAGGAGAAAGTGCCCGGTTTGATCCTTGATGTTAATGAGGTTGTGGATCAACAGTTCTATTTTCTCACACACTTCTTGGCCGCTCAGCCCTTCGACGATCAAAGGTGACGGCATGATTCTGTTCGACGTTCTTCGTGCCTATCCAGCACGTTTTACAGCACCCCTTTATTACCTGCCTTTCTCTCGTTAAACTTTGTAGAGTCGGCGTTAGATGCACCGAGATGAACTCGGATCGCGATGGAGTCCAGCTGCAGCCAAGAAGCGGTTTAACAACTGGGACGCAATATTCTCCCGGCCTCGTATCCTCCATAGGGTAGGTGATCGGCCAGGACAGACTATGGGGAATGGGGAATGGGGCACGGGGAGGTTGCCGGGGCCCCCACACACAAACAGATTGAGAGATTCTCCGGAGTAGTTGAGTCGACATGTTCTTCGAGCCCAATACCTCTGGAACGTCAAGGTGCATTCGGTTGATCCTAGTCCGAAGCTGTCGCTTGATTATCCTCCGAGCAGGATGGAGAGCAATCCATATAAGGATGAGATCCACAACAAGGTGTTGTCGTGCTTGGGAGGAGGTGCTGCATCTGCTGAGAGGGACTCTTTCAGACTCATCACCACTTGCTGACAACCACCATGGCGGGCTCCGATCATATTGTCACTGATACTGCCCCTGAGTCCCGGACCGAGAAGGCTGTCGTCGAGAAGAAGGACATCTCTCAGATCGAGAGGGTTGTGTCCGGTGACAGTGAGCTCGAAAAGGATTTCGTCGATTATGATCGTATCGACAAAGACGTTGCCAAGTATGCAAATGCCACTCAAGTCGTGATTTCGGCGGAAGAGAATAAGCGATTGAAACGGATGATTGACCGGCGCGTTCTTGCGATCCTGGTACCTACGTATTTCCTCCAGGCACTCGACAAAGGCACCATGTCATTGTAGGTCTCTCTACTGGGACTCCCCGTGTCTCTGATTTCCCGGTTGCCGTCTTCGAAGCTGACGAGAAGATAGCGCAAGCATCATGGGCATTAGAGAAGATCTCAATCTGCATGCGCAACAAGTGGGTGGTGGTGCCTTTCCGACTTCATGAGGTGACGACTGACCATTGTAACAGTATTCGTGGCTCACGACCTGCATCTATGTGAGTCCGTTCCCGACGATTTTCTGTCATGGTGCTCTCGGAGCATCTCTTGTCCCAGATTTGCCTCACATAACGGTGCTAATCTGCCGCCAACAACAGATCGCTGTCTTGATCGTCGAGTATCCAACGAATTGGACTTTGCAGCGCGTGCCAATCGCCAAATATCTCTCCCTGAACATTTGTCTCTGGGGAACGATACTTGCTCTTCACTCTGTCGCGAAGAACTTTGCCGGACTCGTGGCCCTCAGGACATTGCTCGGCATTTTCGAGGCAGTCTGCCAGCCCAGCTTTCTCCTTCTTAGTTCAATGTGGTACAAGAGAGAAGAACAGGCCGAGATCGTCACATTTTGGTACGTTGGTAATGGCACCCAACAGATCGTGGGTGGTCTTCTTGCGTACTGTTTTACCAAGATCGAGTCTGGACCGTTGAAGTCGTGGCAGGCGATTTTCATAGCCTACGGCTGCTTCTCTGTTCTGTGGGGCGTATTCGTCGGCTGGTGGATGCCAGATTCGCCAATGAAGGCGAAGTGCTTTTCAGAGGAGGACAAGAAATTGATGGTCGAGCGGGTGAGAAGCAACCAGACCGGGTTGCAGAACAAGAAGTTCAGGCCAGAGCAAGTCAAGGACGCATTCCTCGATCCGCAAACATACTGTTACTGCTTGATCCAGATCTGCACGACTCTTCCCACGTCCGGCCTGGGTGCCTTTGCCAATATCATCATAACAGGTTAGTGGAACAGACGTCTTGATGGCGAAAACTGACCTCGACTAGGATTCGATTTCACGGTGCTTCAGACACAGCTACTCGCCATGGTCCTCGGCGCCGTCATCATCATCATCCTGCTCAGCTCAACTTGGCTCGTCAAGAAGTACCATCAGAACTGTTTGACCATGGGCGCGTTCGTCATCCCGTAAGCCTAGACTCCAACCTTCCCGTCGTCGGAGCTAATGGCGGATTAGATCCTTCGTGGGTACAATCGTGTTGATGACTGTGCAAAACAAGGACACCGCAACGAAAGCGGGACTCCTTATCAGCTACTACATCGTCCTCTCGTTCTGGGCTGCGCAGACATTGGCGATGAGCATGCTCTCCCGCAATGTTGGTGGGCAGACGAAGAAATCAGTCGTGGTCACGATGAATTTCGTGTCCTGGTAAGTCATCCGATGAGCTCTCCATCTTCGGACGGCGAGTTGGGCCTAACGCTTTCGCAGGTGTGCTGGGAATGCCATAGGGCCCCAGGTGTTCCTCTCGTGGAACGCGCCGCGATATTTTATAGCGTTCTCAACACACGTGAGTGCTTCCCTCAAACCTCTACTGCTGGGTCACTTCAGCAACCCTCAGTATTCGGCTTGTTTTGGCATAGAACTTGGATGCTGACAAGAACCGCAGATGGGCTGTTACGTGCTCCTCGTGATCGTCATCATTTTCCTCCGCTTCCACCTCACGCTAGAAAACCGGAGGAAGGATGAACTGGCATCTGCCGGTATCCGGGAAGCAAGAGATGAGAGCTATGTGCACGCATTTGACGACTTGACCGACCGCGAGAACCCCAACTTCAGGTATATTTATTGAATGGCAGGTGGGAGGCACCTAGAAGGGCGCTGGTGGGAGGGAGGTTGGCACGTGACCATGACTTGTCGTCCTGTCAACAGCCGAAGTTCTTCCGTGACTGTCATGTACACATGAGGCATTGATTGTCCTAAACGCAGAGGCCACAGCTCTATGCAGCGTAATTCATGACGATGGCGAGCTCTCCATTGCAACCCGTGTCTCTTGTGCAGCTTGACCTTGACATCGAAGCAAGTGCATTCCAACATTCCTCTCCGCTTTCTCTACGGCAAGAGCCACACTCGTCGTCCTCCCCACATCCTACCGACGACGTCCTAGCTCACGACTATAACTTCTCTGGCGCTATTTACGAGGAAAACACATCAGGCACCGAGACAGAAGGCCTACTGGAAGATCAAGGTCGGCAGGAAGAGGATGTTCTCATCACAAATGGACGCGTCTTTTCAGGTTGCTCATCGATCTCGTCTTTTCCCGCGTCCATATCACAACATCTACCTCTCGAAGATGAACAATATGACGGCCCACGAACACCCTCCAAACGCGACTCACTCGCAACGTCTACGCTAGGAAGCGCTGGGGATCGCAATCACCCAACAACATCGCCCCGAGCCTTTCGAGAATACCCCTCGCCGTTCCGCCATCCTAGCAGCGTTCGAGCTTTACAGATGAAGGACGAGATCATGAGTGAGACACAAAGTGTGTTGCGGCACTATCGACGGACCGGCTCACAAATGTCCTCTTACAGCCAGCGCAGCTCATATTCTACCCATACGTCTCCTACGAAGCGACTGAGCCGTTCCCACCGCAGTTCGCCTTCAAAGGGTGGGAGCAATCTCAAGAAGGAATTTCCGCTCGTACTCCTACACTGCACGCTGTTGCCGCCAAACATACGTGTCCAGCCAGGATCGGTTGAGGATTCGTTGATCCTTGACTCACTGCCAGAAGACTATAAGTCGCGCTGGGTAGCTCTGCGGAATAAACTGGCAGACCCCGAGATCAGCAGTCGAGGTGTTTTAATACCTCACCCTCGCGAGGACCTGGCCCTCCTCGAAGAACGGCTTTTGGAGAGTTTGGAACTGGAGGCACCCCGCATCAGACACAATCATTACTTCCAGTCCGACGGCAGCGTTGCCGATAGTGGTTTCGAAAGCGCTAGCACCGAAGATGAGTCTGAGCTGGACCCGTCATGCGAGGCATGTCCTGATTGTGGGCGCCGGCTTCGTCCCGACGAAGTCAACCGCAAATGGGAAGTCAAGGTGTTTGCCGCAAATGGCCTGATGCGCGCCGGGGCCTGGGCCGCCGCGTGGCAAGAGATGGAAAAAGTCGATGTGGAAATCAAGGTCTGGCTGCCAGACGAGATCCGGCAGGAGCTGGAAGCAAAGCTCGTGCTTCTGGCCGCTCCACAGTTCGAAACGACCGAGCTCACCTCCCAAGAGGGCCCTGCGGAGCCTGAGATCAACAGCCTAAGCGAAGAAGATACGAAAGGCCAGTCTAGAAGATCGGAAGCTCAGGGAAATGCGCGCGCAATGGAAGAAGGACCTATTAATGGGACAGAGCCATTAACCTCAAGCCTTTCGCCAGTCACAAACGAACGGAATGTGTGGACGCAACTGGGTAGTCATGCCAGAGAGTTGACAAGGGATTGGAGAAACGTTCTAGTTGGTGTTCTGAGCTTCTTAGTGTTGTTCTTCGCACTGGCACGCCCAGAACAACCCCGTCAAGGAAGTTCGGGCCCGACACTGGTATTCGAGACCGCTGATACACCCAAAGTCCTTACAACCACAATCACGGCAACCAGCGTCGCTGTGACCACCGCACTTGTCACAGTCTCTGATCTCAGCGCAACTCCTGCCGCTTGTTCGCAGCCAGAGCCTTCGGAGACAATGGAGTTGTTATCCGCCGAAGATATTTTCGAGCAACCCTTGGAAACCAAGATTGGTACTCTCCCACAACCCATCCTAGAAGACTCGACTAGCTCAACAGCGCCTCAGTCCGAAATAGTGGCCGCTGAATGATCAAACAGCTAAGAGCAGAGATGATCGGCAGTTGGCAGATGTTGTGGCACGTATTCAACACATTTGAAACGATTCTAGTAAGCTGAACGAATGGTGACGAGTACACTTCTAAAGGCACAATCACGCGAAGTTCTCATCCGATCTTGACAACGGTGTGCCCATGCATCCCGCCTGCGACATATGATTGCGAGCGAGATAAGGAAAGCGATTGAACGCTGCCTTGCGGCTGAGGCCGTGTTGGTTGACGTGATCTAGCCTTCGGGCCAACCGGGCAATATGTAGAACTGGAGTCTGGAAAACACGTGGATGATTTGTAGCGGCTGACACCCTGGTCTCGTCCTCAGCTCCAAGCCCCTAACGCCACGCCTGCGAACGTGCTGCATTCTTCGGCTTCCAGCCGAACCCCCGATATCGCCGTGACATGTCAAATTTGCACTTCGGATAATAGACGGCTATATTTTACCGACTAACAGGGGCCACCACATGCAGCATCGGATACCTTTCCAGCTGGAAATGGCAAGGGCTTTCCATGTCTCCAGTACCGTGGTATGCTAGCATGCCAGATCTCACTGACCTTACTGGTGCTGAGGTGGAGTTTGACGGCTGCCGTTCCATGAGAATTTTCGGTAATACGAGGCTGAAAGCACGAATGGCGCGTTATAATGTACGAGTAATCCCTCCTTTCCAGGTTATCTAGCGCCACCAGCCGCTTCGGGGTGGCATGTATGTGACAATGGACCACCCCTGAATAGCAGCGACCGGAATGTGTCATTATCAGCGCGTCTTACTTCATGTCCCAAGATCCGTGTGCGTCCCTCATTCAGATCACCCTGCCTTCCAGCGCCCACTGTAGCCCTTCGACCTTGAAGAGCGATCACCCAAGCTGTGGTGGTGCGGTCCGCCATCATAATCCCGGCCTCGTCAAACGGTGTATGAGCGCTTCCTGTCATCAGCCCGTCGATGGCTCCAACATTCTTCGACCTTCCGCTGGAGATCCGCCTAGACATTTACAGCCTCGTTTTCGGCTCCGGGATGGCTCTCCTTGAAGCCAAGGTTGAGGACGACAGCTGCTGCATGGTACCTCGCCGCGGAACAATCCTGAACCCTTCTCCAAGGTCGTCTCAGCTCCTGAGGGTCAGCAGGACGATCCTCCTGGAAGCACGGCCTATCTTTTATGCGAACACCGTTTTTCACATCCGCAGCCTGGTCTTTGCAGGAGCGTTGCCGACGCGCCTCACTGACGGGCACCCTTGCGCACCGCATATCAAACACCTCGTCTGGCAGCTGGATTGCGATATGCTGAAACACTTTTACGACGAAGAGCTTCAAATCGGCGTGCCGGAAATCTCCGGCTGGAGTAGTTTCGAAATAAGATGTTGCGCCGACACTTGGCGGGATTCTTTTCTCGGCGAATGGTGCGATCGCGAGGCCTTTCTCAGAGGCCGGGCTCAGGTTGTTGACTATGCTCGGATGTTCCACGACGCGATGAGCGGTGGTGGTGGAGGCAGCCTCACTTTGGTCGAGGATCGAAGTCAATTGGGAAGTGGGCGCATCATTTTGAGAATCGACAGCGCCCGGTCCAGGCTGAAGCAGCAGCGATCTTCGAGAGCCGGAGCAGTGGTCATCGGCAGTTCATGATCCGACCGAGCATTTCTTAACCTGAAGACTTCACAGCAGGAACATTGTTGGCCTGTTGCCCTAGTGCGAGGCGGATGAAACGATCCATCAGAGATAATCACAATCTTGCAGAAGGGATGGACCACAGGAACCACAAAGGCAGTTTCACTAAATACCAGTACTGCTACCCTTCTCTAATGGATCTTCCGGCTCCCAAGGTGCAGCCCTGTCGGAGTTGCGGACCCCCACGACCCTTGATCGACGCTAAGTCAACTCAGCGAGGCTAGGGTCCCGGTCAACTCGAACGAACACCGTGTGCACATTCGGGCCAGCGACGGTTGCGGCGAGGAAAGTACCGATCTTTCAGATCTTGGCGACAGCCGCACGCACGAATACTAAAACCGAGGGTCGATCCAGGCGCTCTGTTGTAAGATTGGACGCGGACCATAGTCCTCCCCAAGAGTCAAGATGAATCCAAGCGATGATCCCCTTCGCTAAGGTCAGATTTGCAGCCCCCGGGGACGATCGTTCGGAAGATGGCGCGCACTCCGAAGAGACGGTACCTCGCACATATCTACCTCTCGAGATGCGTACAGCTGGTGGCCTCAGATCAGGGGAAGAAGCGAGTGTTGGTCTCACGAGTCTCGCCCATATCGCCAAACTCGGTAGCCACCGGCTGGAGCTTCTTGTAACATGGCAGCACCGGTCGCAAGTTAGTGTCCATAGAGACAAAGGCTGCGGGGCCTGACACTGTGCTGCGGACCCGCCTCCACGTTTCTCTCGGATATTCCGCTTTCCGGGAATGCAAGGTCTCGAGAGCTTCACAGACACCGACACCTCTTGGACTAGCACCCGCCGAGAAGCTTTTCTGGGAGCTGCCCGATTAGTACTGGGTACGAGTAGTAGGCCTAGGGAACCGTTGAACAGGTTAGCGTGATGGATGCTTGATCCGGCTGGCGGCATTGGCCACTTCTCGCCCGTCGTCATCGGCGCCATTGCCGTCATTTTGTAACCTGTCAAAAACCATCCAAAGTCAACCATGCACGCCGTGAGTTGCAGCCTCCTCGGCATCTAGCTTTGTACCCCTTTACTTCCTTCTCAGCAGCGCCTCCCTTGGTCCGTGGTAATGTGTACTAGCATCGCCAGAGGGAAAAGATCAACGCAATATCAGCTTAACCTGCGCACCATGAGACACGTACGGCAGTAGTAGTTCTATTTTCAGCCCTGATTGTTCTGCACAAGGAATGTACTCCGTACATAGTGCTCCTTGTTCTTGGCCCTAACCAATCAACGCTCAACTGTGTGGGAGCTTCAAGCTTCCCCTCCTCTACGCCTGCATTCCCTCCATCCACAACACATTGCTAGGAGGAGTGACATGACATGCACCAGCCAGCGTTGGGTTTTGTGTTCGTCTGGTCACCGGAACCACCCTCTCGTACGCTTCTGCCGCCTGGTTTCATCGTAACGCGCCATGCACAGCTTGCAGAGGTACTAAACCTGCAAAAAGATCAACCCACTATGCTACTTTGGGTTAGTCTGTGTAACCTACCGGCCAATCCCTGCGCGCAGGTCGCTGCTACATTGGCCACTTCGGTCACTTTCTCCTTCATCTACCCCGCAACAACGGCGTTTCCCTCGTCATCTTGTTTTTTTCTCCTTTGCCAGCTTCCCAGCTACTTCGTGACCAAGACTTTCAAAGTACCTCGATCCAGACAACCCCTCCTTGTCGCGCCTATCGTCATTCGCGCCGGTACCTAGGCAATCGCGCCACTGGGGGTATCTACCGATCGCTGGCTCGCGCTGCCCCGTACTTTCCGTCTGCTCGCAGAGAACCACATGCGATCTGGAGTAGCTACCTTCGCATGCTACAAACCTGTCCATCATCTGACCCTGGTGCAGTCGCCTCGACCGCTGAACAGCCAACCAGCCAGCCTCGTTATCACCATCCCCAAGTAATAATTTGTCGACATGACTTGCGAGCTGATCTGGTTGCAGTCTCATCCCCGTAACCCCGTGTCGCCGTCTGGCCCCTCGGGCTCCTGGCTGGCGTCTCCCCCCTCCATCCGATGTTCACGCTGCTGATTGATCCTCCACATACTCGTCTGCAAGTCTCGCAGCTCCACCTCCGCCTCAACCCCGGTCATGCACACCCTGCCACTACCGTAATAGCATGTGTCTTCACAGTCTCTCATTTGGTGCTTGCGAACGCCTCACGAGACCATTGACAACATCGAGAAGTGCCAGCACGCATTTGGATTCCGAACAGCTCGCGGCAACGTCAAGGTTACGTGGTTACCTATCTACATCCCCAGTCCCCCTTGGTGCTTCTTCTCTCGCCCTTCTCATTGCGTACTCTGTGCCAAGAAAGCTGTACAGCTCACTCTAGTATCTCGCGAATTGACTCAAATGAATGTCAATCCTCCGTCTTTCAAATCATCACCCTCGTCATTCGCTGTCTGCAGCTCCCGCAATAGTCGTGGACATCGCTGGCAATTTTGGCCAGGGCCCTGCCAATCCCCAGTCATTGCCGGCTAGAGTCTAGACACCGCATCTACCGGTGGTCTTGTGGCGGAGGAACCAAGGCTGGTACATCTGATCGGCGACCCTGATAGCCTTCCTTCTCATTGATCCTTGCCCGAGCACAAGTCGGCAGAATCCGAGCAGAACCAAAAAAATCAACTTAAAGTGAGCTTCCTCTCAAAACCTGCCCCATCGTCGCACCGCCTCTTTACTATTGTCCCGCTCTTTCGTCCTGCGCATGCCTCGTCTGGACCTGATTGGCCTTAGTCACCTCTCTGCACTTCCTCCCTGGTCGATGGTCACACCTCGTCCCCGTTCGCTCATTCCATTCCTGGTCCCGGTCCTGGCTCCGCTGGAGCCTGCTGGACTCGCCGACTACCACGGGACACACCGCGCGACATAGACTCCCGCGAGCCAACGGCTCCCGTCGCTGTGCGACACGCGCCGTCTCTGATCCAAATAACACCGGCTACCTCTCCAGCTGACTGGCACTCCGGTGGCTGGCCTCGACACAGTCAAGGGATACTCCTGGCCCAGAGCATGCTCGACCATGCCGACAGCAACCTCAACTCAGGTCAACCTCTACTAAGCAGATACACCTCCGTCACCATGTCGTAAGTTCTATTTCGCCGGTGGTACATTCAGAACTGCACCGCACCGGGAGAAACGCCTCGTTGTCCGTCTTATTTTTCCAAACTACCTCTCGAGCCGATATCTACCTTAGCCTGATCCGCCTCACCTAACGCGTATGCATCTCAGATCCCTTCCTCCAGCAAAGAAGCAAAAGCAGTCCAACTCCACCACGTCTCCCTCGACAAACAAAGAGGTGCCAGCGCCTCAGGCGCCGCTGGCACCGAAGCCCAATGCCGACCAACTTCAGCCTCCACTATCCCCGCCAAATCCTCGCAAGCGACGGGCATCCCATAGTCCCAAGCTGAATACCCTGCCTCCAGGGGCCGCCTTGCCGACAGAATCGACATCGAATAACGTTTCGATACCGGCTCTGCTCACGGAAGAAACAAGCAAGAAACGTGGCCGGACCAATACCCCGTGGACGGCCCAGGAGGAACAGCGACTGAAGCAGATGCGCGATGCAAGCCACAGCTGGAGCGAGATTGCCAAGGTAGCTTCCCCAGACGCAGATGCCTGCAATCTAGAGAATGTGTCCTCAACAGTAACAGGCTTTCCCCGCCCGCACCGAAGGCAGTGTGAAGAAGCATTGGTACAAGGTAATAGCGGTGTCCAGTTTGTATCTACCGTCACTGATGACTCGGCTTAGGACATGCACTACGCAGAATTCGCGGAGGATGAGGTATGTGTGAGCCCGGCGTTGCAGAAGTTTCGGTCTGACCATTGCCTCTCTAGTCGGCAGCGCTACGCGAAGCCATCAAAGAATACGAAGCCAACAAATGGAAGGCGATCGGGCAGAAGCTGGGAAAGCCGGCAAAGGTTCGTTTCTAGCTCCTCACCGTCATCAACCCACTAAACCGTCCCAGGCGTGTGAGCAGTATGCTAAGGAGCATTTCAAAAATGGATGACGCATTGACTACTGTGTACTGGGAACACCACAGCACGGCGTTGGGAGGCCTCGAATCATCTAATCACATCGAATTGCGGGCTGAGTGGGTTTCGTTGAGCTGATGCGCGGACAGGAGGAGGTTGTGCTGCCGGGAAACACAGACAGAATTGTATCGCCCAGTAACAGCATACTCGTGGCAGACGGATTGAGTTGTGTTGACATGACAGGATAGCACTCCAGGGCGAGGCGACGTTGAGTCAATGTTGACGATTTGTTTGCGAGTAGTGGCACCACTGAGACACCTGCTCATTGTGTTCCTATGTGCTTGTTGATAGTGGCTAGACTCGAGATCCGACGGCGGATCCCAGTTTCGGGTGCCGCAAGCGTCTCGGAAATCTGTCAACCATGCGGAGTGCCAATCACGAGGTGAGTGTTGCACGCCTTTGGATTCATCCTCGCAACACCCCGAGTGACCTGGCGGTAGCCATGCTGTGTTGTTGTCACCGCTCATGACCGGCCTCCAGCGGTGACAGTGGTCGGCAGCTACCACCATGCGCATTGTTTCCGAGACATGGATCCTGCAGTGAGTGGTCGCTCTCGCTGAACAAGAAGCGACCGAAATGACCGCAGGTGAAGTGTGACATTGTGATCGGCCGGAATAACCTTGATCCGGTGCCATATTCTGGTCACAACCTCACTCTCACTTCATTGCCGCTTCACTTGCAGACTGCTCTGTGGTTTCTTCTTTGATTTGTTCTTCGCGTCTCTGGATCTTCACCATATCATCGAGGGCCACTTGCATACCCAACGGCCGAAGTTCTCCCTCCTGCAGCTGGGCGGTGTCCCGCAGTGTTTCGTCCCGCGACCTTGCACAGCATGACAGCTGCGTTTCGACGAGGACTGAAATCACGAGCTCCACCGCCTGTCACTCACACAAGACCATTTCTTCCTGAGGACACTGGCGAGCAAATTTCATTTGAGACCGTCCTCCACGTGTAGCCACCAATCAAGCGCAGCATGAACCCTGACCGACTCGTGCCGAAGAGCGTCCGCTTGTCGCATGAACACCTGTTCGTCCGCTTGGTCCTTTTCGCCCCCGCAAATGAAGATATGGGCCGCTTGCTTCCTCATCTGTACTCGGCGTGATTGAATCACCAATCAGTCCGTCTTGGCTTCGGCCTTGACCTATGAGACTCGGATTCATGCATCACGGAGTGTGTCAACCGCAAGCAGTGCCGTACTTGCGCTCTGCGTCGGCCTACCTCCATGGTGCCCCTTCGAGCCTCTGCCTCGTCCTCCCTTAAAGCACAGCAACGGCCACACAGTCCGTCGGCTGCCTAACGACCCAGACGTCGCAAACTTGACCGAGCACCCTCTGTCTTCCTATGGTTTCTGCTGTTGCTTCACCGCTCACGCCTCTGCGCTCTGGCATGCCTTTGACCGCGTCTATGGAGATCAAAGATGCTGAAAGTACAGCATGAGTCGTGAAGTACAGTAATTGGACAATGACGGTGTGGATGCTCGATGGTCTGAATCCAGGCCTGCTACGGATTGCCTCGCCCTTCCGGTCGAGTTCCCTTGCTGGTCACTTACACAAATGTTTCCACAACGGGGTTCTCCATGCTGGCTTTGAATAGCTGTATCCGCCGATAACCGAGAGGGGTGAACATCTACCGCCTCACAGTCTGGGTGATAGCGTTCCGACGCTCACTGTCCCTCTGAGATCCAGAGACATCAATCTCTAGTTGGTGCCTTCTGGCTGTCACGATAGCTTGGCTCCATATGCGTCGTTCCCAGAGTTCAGATACCGGTCAAATTGCAATACTCGGCCTCAGTCTCAAGCAGATGGCGCTTTCGCCATTCTCCTCCCAAGCGGCCGCTTCCCACCACCCGTTCTTGGACCTTCACGCATTCCCTTCCACGCGCATTTCGGGTTTCTGCGATGTCCAGTTCTTCGTAGTGCAACCGGTACGCCTGACGAAGATTCTACGCATGGCCTTCAGGGAAACAGCACATTGCTTGTGCTGTCAGACAACCACGTCCAACTTGTTGACATCAACCGGCTTCTGTGGGTTTCCCTTTGTCACCTCTGTGTTATTCTCCTCTCAGGGTTCGCTCTAAAAGATTGTTTGCGATGGTACATCATTTGTGCTATAGGGGTAGATGGTTACCGTCCTCGTCCACGGCATAGAGGTGAGCCTTGATATCGCAAATTTAGGAAATGAGCAGTGGTGGCGCCCTCGACCGGACCTTTACAGGTCGACGGAAACTGCAACTTCAAGGTTCTTCGATCCGATTCACCGCGCGCACATGAACCTTTACCGGTGTCCGTCGTCAAGACACAATCTCATGTTGAGCACATCGACAATTCCTCACATGGGCAAGTAGGTGTGGTTGCAGTTTGTCTCTCCATCTCAGTGCTTCCAGGAAAGATTTAGCACGCATGAGCCACACCGCATCCTGATCGCGCCTGTTTTTGTCGTGATCCACTCTGCCGTTCCAAGTGCGCACAATCTACCATTCCTACCGTCGACAATACAGCCAAGAAAGAGTCTGAAAGACAGCCTCTGATTTAAATCTGATCTTGTGAGATTCGGACCGTACAAGCTATGCCGCTGTACAAGTCACATCTACTGGCTGAAAACGCAAAACATTCCGTGCTCACTGTATCTTACGAGTCATCCAGGTCACCCAGCCTCGCAGAGAAGATGACCGACCAGGACATGGCAAAGGTGCTGCAACTCTTTCTCGAACGAGATCAGAGAGGACGCGGAGACGCTGGCACCACATTTTTGCACAGGATCCTGGTTCCTGCTGTCGCGCTACGTCTACCAGAGGCGTCCATCTCCGACCATTTGGCCACGTTGCCATCAACAAACAGTCATATCATAACGCAGACGAAATATAAACAAGGGACGCTCATAAGACGTACCGAAACTGAAACCGAAGTCCCTGGGGCCCACAGATCTGAAAGAGCTCATTGCGGAGTGATTGGGTCTTCGGAAGAATGGCATCCGCTCCCACCACACCTGGAATCTTTCTTGAGCTCTCCGATACAGTAGGTTGCTCCTTGAGCAATGCCGTTTCAGCCCCCCCAAAGGCTCGTAGAACGCCATTCTCATCTCCGCTAGTGTTCGATCTCTGGCACAAAACATTCCGTGATCGGCCGGCGACCACAGTCTACCATCGACCTGATTCGATTCCAAATCCGCAGGGTCTGTGGTGTCAAAGAGATTTTCCGAGGTTCTTATCATATCGCAGTGCGTGCCTTGGGGCGAGCACCGGGCTATCGGAAGGAAAGACATTATTGACATGGCCTTGGGGACGCGCCATAAAGCGAGTTCGACTGTGCCTGGCTGAGGATTCATTCTTGGCTCCCCCTTAATCAAGCGCTCAATATTGATGACAAGCTCCCCATGATCAAGCACTCAATATGGATGACTATTATGCCGGGGACCTCAGAGGCAACCCGCACGAAACCCATTTGCCACATATCCACAATCGTGTCTTTCAAATGTCTCGGGCCCGCTCAGTCTTCGAGGCGTCGAAAAACGGCACCCTTTGTGCCACAGCAGCAGCAACAACAACTGAGCGAGCAGGTGATTAACCATTTTCTTGACGTTGGTCTCTTTCACGGCTGTGCTTCTGATCACCAGGTTGATGAGCGTCGGCTTCGAGCGTGGCTTCGACGTCCCATCCGAAGTGAAAAGATTTGGCCATAGCTGAAGCGACGTGGACGGACGATAATTAATCGAATTTGACTTTCCTTGACACCCGCCCACCAAATGAGTCGTTTCAACGGGGCCAATGTCGAGAAATAATAGTGAAAATCGAGCTGGTGGCCCTGCATATTTTGCTTGGGAGGGCCCCTTTGATGACCTCGGAACGTTGGGTTCTGCATCGCAAGCCACGCCGGACTTTTGTACTATTGATCTAACGGCTCGAAAAGGACACGAAATGCGAACCAGGCCGACTGCGCCAACACGAAATCCGAACCAGGCCGGCTGCACAAGTGAGAAGGACGAGGTACTGAGGCGGTATCGACACGCTTTGATGCGTCCAGAGACCTTGGAGAAACGGTCTATGCAAGGCAACGCACTCGCCAACTCGAGGTCGACCCAACCGTTTGCATTTGCACTGTCTTCTGGGTAACGGATAGCTGTGTGCTCCAGACCTAACGCGACATTATGACCACTGGGCTCGCATGACTCTCATCTATGCTCAAGAGATCCACTCGCGTCTATCATGTCACCGCTGGAATGTTGATCTCCGAAATACGTCAGCACGTCCGGTGGCAAGTATTCTAACCAGGGTATCATGTCGCCGCCTGGGAAAGCAAAATCAAACTGCTGTGCTCCGCTCATGTCGATTTCTTGTGCTCGAATCAGCATGTTATCCACATCTTGGCTTTGGACATCGACAAATTGTTGTTGAAGGTCCATAGCTGGCTCGTAGCCGGGTGTCAGCTGAGGTTGATAATTGGAGGTATTCGTATTCGGCGGCATGACGGTGGAAGTCCCGGTCGCTGGTACAGCCGAACTAGGAGTGCAAGGTGAATGAAGACCTAAGAGAAGGTCCGCGTCTTCTGTTGAGACGGGATCGTATGGCAGCGACGAAACCGTCTTGACTTGGCCCGCCCCGGTAAGTTGGGCCTCGACAGCTGAGGGTGGGTTGCTGTCTTGCATCGTTGTTCGATTCGCTGTGCGATGCCCTGTAGACGACTGTTCTTGTCCTGTCTGGTGCTGTTGTGCGAACGATGTCCCCTTCCCACTATCATTCATTGAGTAAAGGAAGCTCAGGTTTGGAGCAGGCGAGTTCGCGGTACCGGTCAGGGACCAACCAATGGCATGACTCAATTCCATCGAAGGAGAAGAACTCGTCCCTCTGTCCGGTCGCCCCTTGAGACCACGAAACCTCGCATCCACGCCAAGGGAAGCAGCCAACGAGGTGCTCCTCCGCCAGCCGGGTGTAGTGAATGATGGCTGCGTTGACGGCATCTGCCCATCTACGTCTTCCGCGGTGAACAGGAGAGGGTCCATGAGACCTTTTGATTTCTGGTCGAGTGCTGTGAGGATGTACCGGCAGCCAGCCCAGTACGAGTCCAGAGTCTGCAGCGCTTTGTAGCAGCGCTGATAGTTTTGGTTCGCCGCGGTTGCGAGTAGGGTGTGACGGGCCGACGCTGCTTTCTGGGCCTTTTCATCGCTCGTGGCATGTCTTGTAAGCAGTGAGTACCCGTTTGGCCGTGGCGATGTCGCCCGAGACGAGGGTTGCGACGTATGGGCGGCAGCTTCTGCCAAAAAGGCACATGCAGCCACATACATAGGCTGGCTCGTGAATGGATTGCCGATAAAACTCTTGACGTCAATCAATTCGGCAAACGCCAAGATGTCTGCAATGGTCTTTGCGGACGACATGGACAATTCCCTGCTGTCAGGGAAAAGCTGCTGGATTCGGCCTTCAAAGGAATGAAGCAGTGTAGGCTGATGGACCAGAACGATCAAGGTGTGGAACCAGAAATGGAGCAAGATGAAATTGGTGCCATGACCTGCCTTCACATACTGTTGGAAGTTGGTGGCGTTGAAATGTAACTTGGGAGACAAACGCTGGTAGAATCCTGCATTGATCAGCATCTGAAAGTGTTCGATGCATGGAAATTTTTACCTGTCAAGTCTCTCTCCATGCTCGCCAACCGTTTCAACACTTCAGGGATGACCTGGCTCACGTCTTTGATGTTGTTTAGAACATCCGCAACTCGTCCATACATGTGGACGATCTGAATCATGGCAGGGAAGGGATCCGGATAGCCCCCGGTTATCATCTTGTCAGCACGGTAAGGGAACGATATCTCAATGTCTTTGTCGCGTAGAGTGACGGGCCGGCCGACACCCGACGAGACAGCTCTATCGAGGAAGAAGATGGCCCAGAAGGTATCGACCCGTTCCTGTTCGCTCGCTCTTCGGTCATCAAGCTCCGCGTTGAGAACCTCTGGCAGATTCTGTGACAGATTCTGTTGCTGTTCGAACCGCTTTTGCTCTTGCACCTTGCCAGCCTGGCCGTGCTTGACAGTTTTTGGGGTAGGTCCAATTCTGCCTTCAAGCTGCAATCCTTCCAACTTCTGCATTCCCAAGTCTTGAGCCATGCGGATGGCAGTCCCCAGATACATCCAGAGCCCGCTGTCGTGGTCGGTGCCAAATTCTTCGTATGCCAGCAGCAAGCATGCTTGAGCGACAGCGATGGTGGGACAGGAGAAAGTGTCAATCACAGCCGACATGGCGCGTTGCGCGAATGGTTGTCCGCGAAACGCTCGTAAAACATTACCCTCGTCGTCCACGGGGACGGAAAGGTCTTTCGAGGTGCACAGCAAAGAATGCGAAGAAAAGCGAGCTGCGACTGCACAAACGGCATCGACCAGAATTGCATCGACCTTCTTTTCTTCCAAGTCTTTCAAAAACCTTTCTCGCTGGAGGAATGGATAGTTGCACCCCAGGCGTATAAAGAACGTGTCGCACAGATGGACGATCAAGGGAGCGACCGGGTCCGGATCAGTGGCGTCGTAAAATGGCACCACAACGGGCGCTCTGTCGTGACCAGCATGAACGGGTGCGTTCGACGGCTGTCCTGAGGCTGGAGATCCTTCACCAGCAGAAGGCAGACTCGACTGGTGATCCTTGATTTGCACAACCATCTGCTTGAAACCTGGCACGATGGCGGTTGGCCCGAAGTAGCGAAAATAGGGCACACGGTTCCTGGAGGACGTGAAGCTGCTGCCCGTGTGATTGCTCGCGGGGCTGATGATGTCGTCCACGGCAGTCCGGCGCTCTCTCTCTGACTGCTCTACCGCGTCAGACACACGTGCCGTGGCGTCGACATCGTTCGAGAGTGTCTGAGATGTTCGCACACCGGGGTCGACCTCCTCTTCATCGTTCTCTCCGACTCGGCCATCCTCGCGGCTCGGCCGATCCGCATAGCCCGAACACTCATGGCCGTAGTCGGTGCATGTCTTGCATTCAGGTCGTTCTCCGGAGCAACGCGTCTTCCGTTTGCGACACGTCAGGCACGCTGCGTTTATCCTCCTCCTCTTTGTATGTGGTTGGCCGTCTGTTGAGACGAAGCGAATCTGGCGTAGTGGGGGAATTGACCCCCTGGGCGCATGTTGCACGGTCGGTTGGCCATGTCGGGCGCTACTAAGGCTCATGTTCAGATGAAAGGCTCGAATTCATCGCCCAGAGGAAGGACATTGTCGACAATTGGGCGAAGGATGAAGAAGCTTTCCCCGGGTTAGGGCGTGGCAAGTGTGCAGATGCTCGAAATCAAGCGCAGCATCTGTGGACATCCGAGCGCGGGCTGCAACTCTCTGTGCGTGGCGGGAGAAGAAGGGAGAATCTGAGAAGACGTCAAAGGTATGGCCATGCCGCGTCTTTGCGCAGTCGCAGCTGCTTGGCCCCGATCAACCGCTGCCGTCCGTATACGAACAGCATCCGTAGGCATCTCATCGATGGTGCACACAGCCTGTGGCAAAGCCTACTGTTACCTAACTGCGGGGTCAGAGGACTTAATTGGCCCCCAGACAAATTGCCTTTAGGCTAGCAGGGCCACCGCTTACGAATATGCCCGACACCGCGAACGCCTAAAGAATGCCGAGCCAAGAACCCACCGAAGCCCCAAACCTGGGGAGCGAGGCGGATCGAGGTGCTTAAAGTGATCGCCGCACCGGACAGCTGCTTGGGCGAACCGACCTTAGGTTGCTTGCTATTAAATCAATACTTGTACTCCGTACTGCTGACCCATAATGCATGTACGAGTATGCCCTCGTTGCGTCGTTGCATTCATATCACGCTCTCATTCTCCTTCACCGTGCTTTCCACGTCCCCTCCATCCAAGGCAGCAAACACCATTTTGTTCGCACCAGTTCCTGACTTCCAGCAGGGTCACTTCCCCATCTTCGCCAATGGCTTTGAAACCCTCTGTGTTGAGCCAGGCAGTGAACTCCTCGAGGACGATGGGATCGTACATGAGAATCTTCTCCCGCCAGGTGGGTGATCTTTGATGATCGTGCGAGTCTGGGCCTTGGGGTCGAGTAGCTGGGTGATGATGAATAGCAGCATGTATTTGTACCATAACATCTGTCGGTTGTGTTTGCTTGGGTGTGAGGACAGAGGGCGGCATCTCAGCGACGTCCATATTTACATCTTCGAGTTCGATGGTTGTGACTGAAGAATCGGGTTTCGGTAACGTAGGAGGTGGTGTGGCAAGGCTAGTCAAGACATGCCCGACGTTAACTCTGCTCTCCTCCGGTTCGTTTAATACTGCTGGTAGATCCTCGTTCTCCGCTGCTGCTCGCTCGACATTGGTCTCGTCGATGTCGTCCACATCCATAATCTTCTCTTCAGAAAGCGCTTTGTTTTTCTTTCCGCGCTTTCGAGGGGCGTCTTCTTTCTTCGAAGACTCCTCTGTCTTGGACGCTGCCTTTTTCCGCTTCTTGGGCTCTTTCGGGGTCGCCGGGTCACCACTGTCTGAATTTCGTTTGGCCCGGGGTTTCTTGACCTTTGGAGTTGGCCTCGCAGAGACATCATGGACTTTACTGAGAAAATCACCATGACTCAATGTATCGGCCGCATGGTCTGGCCCGTCGCTATCCTGCACAATACCATGCTTGCTCTTCCAGCATCGTTCAAGAAGTTCAATCATCTTCTCCCGTTTTCTGATGGACTTGAACCCATACGTAGCTATCTGTTTCTTAAGCTCATGATCGGACCATCCTCCGTAAGATGGCATGACCGCCTTTGGTCTCGGAGAGGCGTCCGTTGGTTTGGATTGTGCTCCGCCGGGCTGATGCTCGGCGCAACTGTCGTCGTGTCGTCCCTCCACTGTCCGTAAAGTATGCATCCCTCTAACGGGAGGATTCGTCGTATGTACAACGGGACCACGAAGACCAGGTGTCTCGATATCATAGATGTCAATCACCGGCCTTACGCTCCCATTATACGGAGTCCGAGTGCCGGGTGAGCGGGTGTTCCCTTCGTCCACGAGCCGTGTATGATGGTGAAGGCCGTCAGACTGCATAAGAGCATCCTTGCCAGCAAGAGCCTGACGGACGGCGGGAGAGTCGGTCATGTCCACCGTCTCAACCTGCAACAGAGCATTGTCTGCGTCTCGGCCAGCTGCACTCCACAGATTTCTTCGCCTGACCAGTCGATTCGTCCCGTGCACAACTCTAGGCGATGTTGATTCAATCGAAAATGGCTGGGTCCGTTGCGGAGAGAACGGATCAGATGAGATCTCTTCGGATTGCTTGAGCGCATCCATGGTGTCACGCATCAGTGTAGGCGATTCGTCTCGTGCCAGTTGACTTGCTGGACCAAATAAAACCGGTTGCTCAAGGGTCGTCTTCATCGCAGATGCAGGAGAGACCAATCGACTCTTCACCGGCGCTTTGTTTGATGGACCCGCTCTCTTAGCCGCAGTCTTAGGCTTGGAGAATTTCTTGAGGCTCACATCAACAACTGACTCGCTATCGTTGCCGACAGCAGCTTGGGTTGATGTCAGATATTCCACCATGGGCTGTAGCTTGCCCCCCTTATCCTGGCCGTTACAATAAGCAGAAGTAGCCAAAGCAGTGATCGTAAGAGCCTTCTTGGGAGGTGCTTTCCCTTTGCCCCGACTACCAACTTTTGCGTCTTTGGCCGTGCGCGACTGCGAGACAGACGATGCTGGTGTCGTTGCAGTAGCCATAACAAGGTCAATCCGTTTTCTCTTGGACTGATCCCCGTTTCCATTGACTTTCTTTGCTGCCGTCTGAGGTCCACTGGCAGACGCAGGATAGGCGTAAGCATCCAGAAGAGCATTTGCAAATCGGCTTCCCTGCGGTCCTGACACCGGAGTCTCCGAAGAGTGCTCATTTGATTTGACAGGAGTCCAGTCCAATCTTCGTGGCACGGCCTTCTCCGTTGGCGGTAGGCTTGAGTACCTAACTTTGGGGGGTTTCTCTTTGCTTCCAGGCGATAGTAGAGCCTCACAGCCATCTTCAAAGCCAAGTTGGTCTTCCTGCTGCGCGACTTTGACACGTATACCGGTCAGTGGAGCACATGACTTGGAGGGTTTGAAATGGTTCGAGAGCTGCTCGGTTCGAGATTCTGTTCTCTTTCTTGCATAGTGCGTCGTCGTAGTTGGACTTCCAGAATCGTCCCGGACATGATTTGATGCTTGGGGCCTGAATTTTGATCTGCAGGGAGACTGCAAGAGAATATTTTCTGCCCCTGGTCGAGCCAAAAGGGCATGTGCACTGCTAAAGCAAGGCGAGAACCCATGTCTTGATTGGCCCGACCTCTTGAATCGTTTGGCACCGTCTCTGACAGGCGTACTGGGTGATTTCGAGCGTGAAGGGGATTCAGCAGGTGTGGGAGATGGGGCGAACGCTGGGGGAGGGGAGGAAGAAATAATGACCACCGCAGCGGACGACATACTGCGTGGGCTGTTGACCGCCCATCGGCGCAGATTAGAGACAGCCAATGTGTTGGCCAAGGCGTCTCCTGTATATCATGTCTCAAAGGCCAAGCGAAAATGGTGGATGATGAAGGGAGGCGGTCAAAAATGTCAACAAAGACAAACTGAGGATGCGCAGGTGGATGGCGGGCACGCGCGCCACACCCGCGACATCACGTGACACTCATGGTCAAGCGAGGAAGCGATCAAGAGGCAATTCCCGCATCAGCTTCAATTCGAGCCGTACTGTTAAAGTATGAGTACAGGCAATGATGAGGAATCAGAAAAATGCCCCAGCTTCTTTCCAGAGAACTTTTGGTCCATCCTCAGCACCGAAACCCAACGCCAGAACCCGCATGCCCAAGGTATACCTTTTCCCATACGCCGCCTATTTCATGCAATCCAACTCAGAGCCCATCGTGATTGCCCCCATCCAGACCTCCTCCTATGTATTGGAAATCCTGTTGATCTGAATCAACATTTGGCGTTGGTGTACGGTAGGGAGACAGCATGGTCGGTGTGCCACCCGACAAGTTGATTGTCGAGCTCGAACTTGAGGGGCGTGAAGTAGAAGTGTCGCGTTCGCTACCCGGCAGCAGTGGCGTCTGCTCGGGTGCGTGACCAGTGAAGACTAAGATATTAGTGGTGGCCTTGGATACCCTCCAGTAGTACGGAGTACCGAGGCTGTATACTCACACACCAGCATAGTGTCCAGGACGTAACTACACAGTGTGTAGGCTGTATATATCACCTTCCGCACTATGGTGACAGCATAGCCCCAGATTGTGTTGAAGATCGAGCCAATAGCTCCCACCACGTGCACAAGAAAATTATACAATGACAGTTGCATTGATGAGGATCGGCACTATAGATCAGAATAGGTTGTGGTGCTCATGCAGTGGCGAGATCAACAATATATGAAGAAAAGGAATACCGAGCTTGCAAGTATAGCATCCATCATTAGCATCCAAATCACCCCGAAAATCACTCACGATATCTCAAAGATGCGTTCAATGAGCTGTCTTGGGAGCCCTCAGAAGTTCCATTCAGACACGTCTGCACTTGAGGATTTGGGACGCCAGAAGAATCTTGAAGACCCCGGTCAAGTCGGTCAAGTACACTAATGCGGCATCATGATCGGAGGTCGGTGGAAGTAGGCACGGGTTGCTTGTAGATAGAAAAGAGTGCTAGGCAAAAGCTGCCTTGTTAGCCGACTCATTGAACAGTGGTTGGATGATGAGGGACGGTCAGGGCAAGATGAAGGCAAGATGAAGGCAAGATGCAAGAGGAAACGGGCGCGTATTTAGGCCTTGAAAAGAAGCCGAAGCCGTAAAAGTAAAAGCGCAGAAATAGGGGGAAGCATCCAAGTCCTGGACGCACTTCAATCGATCACAATCTCAAGCCACACTTCCTACTCGGCGCCTCAACAGCCCTGCGTGCCCAAAGGGTTTTGGTTGGCCAGGTGTGATTCGGCGCCCCCAGGCCTGGATCGCGCCCGGAACTCGAACCTCCCCAAAGAACCCGTCCCCAATCATTCAGCCGCAGGGCGCCCGACGGGGGCCAAAACAACCCCCAGGCGGCGACACGGCGCTCAGCGTAGCAGCCCCACCACGAGACAAGCCGTGGTTAGAGTAATGGTTAGCGCTCTCTGTCCATGTCAATCACAACGCATTCGCATGTTGTGCAATCGAATTTGTGTCTCGCTCGCAACGGTAGCAACCCAAGCTTCCGTCGTCTGAAGTTCACCGACGTAAACAAGGTCGTCCCGGGAGAAAAACCTTGTGGACTGGGAGACGCGCAATCAGGCTGGGAGGGTCGATCCAGTTCCACACCACAAGGACGGTCTCGGTTATCGCTCCGACCATGGCTTCAGACGACGACTCACAAGCTCTAGACACCCATCATGACGACAAGGACTGGGAGGAGCAGAAGGAGAACTTCCGGATATGTTACATCGACCGCAACATGACTCGCAAAGAAGCAGCCGAGTACATGAAACAGCACCACGACTTCAACGCCACGCCTCGTCAATGGGAGCGCAAGATCAAGCAGTGGGGTTTTTCGAAGTACACGGGCCGAGATGAGAGACTGGCCCAAATTGCGCAATCTGGCAAGACCGTACTCGACGTCAGTCGTCCTGGTCGGCGGCCGCGCTCTCTCGTGGACGAACGAGGGAATCTCCAGCCGCACGAGGATCGCAACCTTCGCCGCTTCGCTCGACGAGAGGTCAGTCGCTCCAGATCAAGGTCCAGATCGGCCTCCTTCGCCGACCGACCACGCCCACAGTTCAAGCAAGAGTTCTCGGATCCCTCGGCAGCATCCTCCTTGGATCCGGCCTTCAGCTTCAACGACCTGAGCTCAGAGATGCGAAGGACACCCAGCAGAGAAGGGCTTATCACGAGCAGAATGCAAGGTTCACGGGAGATGTCAGAACCACTGCAGCCCAACTTTCTTCAAAATCAGCAAGCAGTTGCATACGAGGCCCCCGACGACCGAAGTATTGCTGTTGGTATGCCCAGCCAGTACCAACAAGGTCACCCCCATAGCTCACCGCCATTCAACACCGTACCAGCACAGACTCAATTTAGTACTTTCGTGCACGGGCCGATCCCGTTGCATGCATCGCACGGCATGGGCCTTGCAAACTCGAATCAGACATTCTCGGGGAATTCCACCGATTCATCCTTCGGATATCCCATGCAGGAACCGATCATGCAGCCCATACCAACAGGCTTCAATCAATATGGGATGCACCCGAGCATGCTACCAGAGGGTATTATGACTGAGCAAGCGATTTTTGACAGTGGATTGACGTTGCAGCAAGGGCCTGATGCGCTGGATCAAGCAGGTTTCGAAAATCATCCTATGATCACATTTGACATAGTGGACACGGACACTCCGGCGATGATGCCTGTTTCTGAACCTGCCCCTGTGCAAAGCCAGCCCCCAATGTCGGCCTCGTTTCCAGAGACACCTCTTAGCGACAGTGGTTCACTCGGTAGAGACGTCTTGCCGCTGGTGGAGCAGTACATACGGGCTGTTCAAAACGTCGCTCTCAATGCTCTGCCTCGATCAACACATGCCGAAGAATTTTCGGAAAGACTAGCCGCAGATCTTGTACAACCAAGTAAGTGGACTCATCCTTCGTCGGCTCCTGGATTTAACCGCCGCGTCTTTAGGCAGCGCCTTCATGGCCAGCATGGCGATCTTCCTTGACAATTTTGACAAGACGAAGCAAAGGTCTCTTCAGAGTATGAAGGACACCTGCAGCAAGCTCCGACAGAAGAATGCGATGTTGGAGCAGGTTCTGAACGGCCGTAAGTTCTCCATTGTTCCGCCTTGACGCTTTTGAACGGGGTCTGACCCCTACAGACTCCGAGATGCAGCCAGTTCCCTCGATTGAGACCCAGCATCACCGCTCGTCCGTCCCGCCACAGGGCTCAATGTATGGCGGCATGTACGGACCGAGCTACTGAGGATCTGGCCCCGGGCAGTGACAAGTGACTCTCCTGGCGACATCACGTGCAGGTTCGGCAGTCGCCGTTTATCCGAAAATCAGCAGCCGAACCGCACAATCGGGCAGTGAAATCTTATCGTCAATCTCACTTTATTCTGACAATACCGACGGCACTTGTCGCGGTGACAAGACTCCTCTGGGGCTGTAATTCGCACGTTTTAGATCTGCCATTCCTGCCATGCTTCCGAGAGCCGCGCACATAGCGAACTTCGTCGAAGATGTTGGTGATCCTGTGGGACCCTGACACTCTCCTCCATCAGACCGTCGAACTCCTGGGCTCGAAGCTCATTCCCGCGCTCGAGTCGCCGGCACGACTTGAAGCGATCCTGAAAGCTTTGCGCACTTCCAAACACGAGCTTCGCACGATTGAGTCTGCGCGCCTTCAGGACGACCGTCGAATAACTCGGCTGCTGGAACTCACCTCAGCGAGCCATTCCCTGGCCTATTTGCGACACCTGCGCGATATTTTCCAGGTATGGGTAGCCGCTGGCCTGATCAAAGAAGACGGCCACGTCCTGCCAGAGTGCTTCGTCTACCCCACCACGACCGGGAAGCCCCTGCGACCACCGAAAGACCCCTTCGCGCGTGCAGGGTACTATGCCTTCGACATGAGCAGCGGCATCATGTCAGATAGCTACAAGGCCATCGTCGCATCTGCGAATCTAGCCAGTGAAGGGACAGACATGCTGACTGGTTTTGCCAACATTCCCAACGACATTGACACGGTGGTAGCACTGTGCAGACCTCCAGGACATCACTGCGATGGCCAGCGGGCGGGTGGCTATTGCTACATCAACAACGCCGCTGTGGCTGTCAGCACGTGGCGTTCAGAGCACCCGGAAGCACGAGTCGGCATTCTCGACATCGACTTCCATCACGGCAATGGGACACAGGAGATCTTTTACGCCGACCCCAAGGTCCTATACGTGAGCATTCATGGAGAAGATGAGTTTGTAGGTTCATCCTAGTCCCCGTGGGTCGACGTGGTTTTTCTTGGTTCAAACTTCCCCACACCATCATCCACGAACACTTCGCTACGCTAAGACAATTACTAATATCCCAGCAGCCATACTACACAGGCGCGGCCGACGAAACAGGCAGCGGTGATGCTAAAGGCACAAACATCAACCTCCCACTTAAAGTTGGCAGCTCAATCGAAGTATACATGGAGAAACTCGACTACGGATTGAAGAAACTGGTGGATTCCAAGCCCGAATTTCTCATCGTCAGCCTAGGGTTCGACACGTTCCATTCCGATCCGTTGGGACATTTCCAGATCCACACGGAAGACTACGAGACGATCTCGAGGACAACGAGACATGCGCTCAAGGGTATACCTGCCCTCGTCTTACTTGAAGGCGGATATGTCATCGAGCATCTTGGTGCAAACATGTTGTCATTCCTGAAGGGATGGAGTTCTGATTGATGTCCCTTGCGCGCTCTACCGAGCCAATTCCCACTCTTGAGCCTAGTGCGACACCTCTCCTGCGCTTACAAAATGACGTTCATCAGCACCTGAACCCGTGGTATACCTTTGGGATGCCTTTGATGTTTACACCGATGCAGTAGTACGAGTATTGGCGCCGTGGATCATCAGACTTGGTCGGATGCGTCGACGTTGTGATGGCGCACCTCAACCCCGAGTTCTACACTTTCGGTCAACGAGGACGCTTATTCACGACCGCACGAGCAATGTACCTTGACGGATTCGACTAGTTTGATGGGTTTGCCCAAGAGCATAGATGCCAACCATGAACATGACGATGCCGAAGAGGATGTTGCTGAGGAGCTCTGGGGAGATGGGGACGCTTCGGGTGGACATTTTGCTAGTAAGAAAGGGTTGCACGGCACTCGAGGTCGCCTGGAGTGACCTCGAAATGAAGTGCTGATAATTTACCTAGCTTTATATACATGGTCTCGTATCGTCCTCTAGGCCGTATAAGAGGGAAGGAATTGAGATGAAAACCTTCCTTGGGCGGTGGCTCTACTCAGTAGAAGGAACCCAGCTATAAGTGCCTGACCCTAGTACTTAGACTCAGTTCGAGCTCTCTGCGTTTCGATATTCTTAGCGCCCACTTTCACGTTTATTGGCGTATGGTGTTGGCTCAACTCCGTACGGGGCCTTCAAACACGAGGTCCCTCTACGCTGGATCGACGCCCGCATTGATTTTGAACGGTTCATGCATGGTCCAATCGCACAAGACCTGTGTTGCAGAGGTGCGGCTGCGCGTGCGAGTGCACCACACCACTCCAAATGAGAGATGGCCCTTTCCCCAACGCTGGAGCATAGAAAAGTGACAGGTGGATAGAAAGGTGACAATGAATAGAAAGCGACATGGGGAAAAGTGACGAGGACACGATAAAGGTCACACACACACACAGACGGCGTGAGGTGCAGGAAACTTTTCTACTGGGTAGTTAAGCTTCCGACCCGAGGTTCTAACCTAGCCCCTTAGCTGATGGGATTCCCTACCCAGTAGGCACCCCAGTAGTTAGGCGAGATGCCCTGCTGCCCTCCTGCCTACCCACGCCAGTGCACGCCGACAAGGGTACTTGCGCGGGTCGCGGCTCCCCCGGGTGACATGTGCGGGGTTTAGGCTCTGAGTTTGTTCCAAGATCCGCGATAATTATATTCCTCTTCCCTCTTCCACCTCTGCATTCTCCTTTGTTCCACTAACATGGTACCTCGGAATCTGCGAGACACTGACGCTGCTACGTGTGATCAGCCTATACCGCCTAAGCCACGATGGCAGCCACATCCGCGTGAGTACTGTCGTCGACACTGAGCACTCAAGATCCCACCCTCAACAAAGATGACTTAGAGTTTACACTGTACACGTGGGTTGGTCGATCATGAGGGGAAACGAACGTCAAGCACATGGCGCCTGTTGAGTAGAGTTAAGTTTCCTCCAGTATAGCTAATGCAGTTGCACTGGTCTTGTCCTCTCTCCTTCCTATCGTCATCCATCTCATGGCTATGCGGCCATGTCAGACCACGTATCGTCTTCGGCCAGCCATGCCTTGTCATTTGGTGGGAGAGGTGAAGGCCATGTCCCCGACGTCGGGTTGTTCCTGCTCGAGTCCGGGCACCTCACTTTCAAGGTGCCGACAATGTGGTCGACTTGCTGCCGGCAATGGTCATGCACTTTGGTTGACCACAACATCCGCAGGCTGCTCTGCTTGGTCCTCAACCTCAATTACTCGACCCTGAGTTGCATGGGGAGGAAGGTCTGACAACCGGGTCAGCATGAGCATGAGCATCAACAACGACAATGACAAAGCACAATCAAGGCATACCGAGCAGGTGCCGGCGCGGCATCTCTATCTGCGGATGCGGATGCGGATGAGATGTCCACCACATTGGGAGAGGGTGGTTCCAGTTGTGATAGTGTATGACGATAGGTCGAGTCGGATGGTCATGGATTGGCAGCCTCGGCGAGCGATGTGCCGCTCTTCTTCTGCGGTCGAGCCAATATCCGAGCAATGCCATGACCAGCATAGTGACCCCGAATGGCAGGCCGCTAAGGAACTCGGGGGAGAGGAGTACCGCCATTGTCGCTTCGATTTGTTGTTCTGATCGGCGACGGGACGGCGCAAGGCTGAGGAGCGAGCTGGGGGTGACTGGAGAGGTGCGGCAACAAAGATGTTTGTGCCTTCACCAACAAAGGTACGTACTGTAACCTCTTGCTATGCACCGAATTTAGACGACAGGAATGTACATTGTCTGTTGCAGGTGAATGTTTGCCCACGGTCAGTTGGATCCGAAATACAAATTGCATGTCCTTGCGACGTTGCTCGCCTTTTGTCCTCGTAGCCCTTGCAGGCGACCCAGCGATCCGACCACCGAGCCAGTTGGTAAGCACTGCTCACTTGCATACATTCGCTGAAACTGATCCACTGGCGAATCAGAGCGGCCCAGTGCCTGCCGAGCTTTCAAAGAATCCAATCGCTGATCTTCGGGAAATGCACAGCCCCAGTACGAGTAAACCTGACCTCCAGACTCAGCCCAGATTCAGCCAGGTCAAGGACGCAGTTTTCCTGATTCGGCGCCACTGCTACCCCTCCCTGAATGATATGGTGCGCGTCGCCCTACCCTTCCATATGTTTTATATCGTGCGGCCCGTCTGAGCTTTGCGGGCGTCATCCGGGGGTATCCAGATTCAAACTACTACTGGTACGTCGTAGTGTGGTATGATCGACGTCATGCCCTTCGACCTTCGGCCTTTCCACCAGCTCCAGGAGGCGGACTAATCATCGGTCGACATATAGGCGGGTTGACTTCCGTGAACAAGGGGTGGGGATGAGGTATCAACGGACATCAGGGATCAACACAGCAACGCAATGTGCCGCAAGTTCGGTGACTTTACTGGACTGGAGTGGCCTCATAACGAGCATGAAGATGGACTAAATGCATATGCATGCACTTCGTGGACCCCTACGCGTTCTTCGCCCCTGCTCTGTTGGGTACACGGTACGATGTGTTCTACAGTAGGTATTCAGCTTTATCGTAGTACTCGAGCCTGCTTGGGAGTGCTGTAGATATGTACGGGGTAAGAATGTAGTCGAGTGGAAGAGGCCTCAAGGCTAAGGTGGAGAGGACTTAAGTTGAAGTTGGAGAGGACCCAAGTGGTTGACTGGACGACGACTTATGGCTAAGCGATCGGAGGAGGTACGAGGTACGTAGTTTTTTAGCATGTTCAACTGGTCGAGTCCTTGGAGCAGAGCTCGGTTACGGTTCCAGCACGGCGATGGACAGCTATACGGGATAATGTGTGTGCACCGCGCAGTCCAAGGGGGAAATGCATATCAAGAACGTGTAGTAGGAAAGAAACATCGCGTTCCGGGAAGTTGCATGATGAATACTTTGTACTCGGGGCGCGACCATAGATCTGATTCTCGACACGGGTCGCATTAAAACAATCTCTGGGGACATACCACGTACGACAGGAAACTCTACGCACGCTGGCAGCCTTGAACCACACCGGGCCTGTCTAGACGCGTGAGGTCTTGCCGCGAAACGTTCTGAAGCAGTATTCAGTTGTTGAATCAATGCGATAAACCATGACTCCTGGGACGACATTCGCTGTCCTCGAATTTCAGGAACATTGGCTCTTGTTATAGGCACACTCTATCAGACGCTCACCCGGTCAAGGAGCGGAGTGGAAATATATCTTCATTTCTCCTGAAATGTTTCAGCTTCTTGCTGTGTTCTGGCTGATTTCCTCTGAGCCCCTACTCAGCAACATGCCCCCATGTCCGTTCTGGAACATAAGGATTCCTCACTTCCCAGAGACGTGTGAACCGGGTCCTGCCAGTGCTTCTCGGCCACTCGGGTTCTTCAGCTCTTGGCATTACCCGTCTTTGAAAGCACTCTCGCCTGATTCTTATCTCCTGTTGTTCTGCCTCATCGACAAAATCTGGACCATCCGGATGAAGATGTTCAAAAAGTCCAGTTCCAATGAAATACTTTCGTTGACAACATCTTTCCTCACCAACCCTCTCTCGCTCATCCTAGCATGGTGAAGAATCTTCTGGACATCGTACAAGGTGAACCCGCCAAATACAGCGAGACCACCATACAGCCAGATATTCTCAGTCCAGGCCAACGTCCTCACAGCAGTCGCCGGGAGGACCAAAGGGGCAAAGCCGGAGATGGCGACGATGGCAACGCCAGCGAGCAGAGGGCCGCCCAGGTATAGGTACTTTTCTTGCTTGGCGGTGGCGCCGATAAAGGCAATAGAACCCATCATGCCGACCGTGTAGAGACCTGCACGCGCCAGAATTGCTGGTGACATGAACATCAAGGGAGTGAGGATGGCGGCTTGGGTGACGTTGAAGGCGGTCCAGAGAGCGTACTTTTGGATGTAGCTACAAATCTGTCAGCATCGATTCTGGAAATAGCGACGATGCCCGACTTACTTGTCTGGATGCGTATAAAACGTGCCGTACATGGTGCCAAAACTAGCCGCGAGACCCAATCCCACGACCAACCAGGGGTTTGTCGCCATCAGCCTGTAACTCCATCCGCTCTGATGCAGCGTCCGGGCAGCAAGCGCAATGATGCCGACTCCCAGACCCGTGTGCATGAATGTCTGGTTCAAGTAATCTCGCTCGAAGGGAGGCATGCCGCCATCTTCTCTTGTCTCGCGGTTGAAGATCAGATTGGTGGCGAGAATGGTGCCGCCGACCAGCGCAGCACCCATTACAAGCCGCTGCGTCAGGTTGCCGCTTGCCGCGGGGTTCGCAGGTTGATATGAAGGGGTCTGATAGGCGCGCTTGAAGCCATTGCGCAGGGCTTGTGATTTGAGAAGAGACTGTGCGTTTGAGGTGGATGTGAGAGGTCGAGGATTGAAGAAGTTGGATGATTTCGGACTTGATGAGTGAAACGCTCGGATGACACTGGATGGCTTGCTGAATTGTTTGAAGGCGTTTGAGGAGACCGCAAAGGGTCTCCTGAGTACGAAGGACATGTTGGCGATACCCTTTCGACTGTGTGCGAGGTGAATAACTTGTTGTGAGTTGACGATGAGGCAGAGATGAAAGATGTCGGCGCAGGCATTAAAGAGCTTCGCGGCGACCTCGGCGCGCCACTTCTTCCATGACGCACGATTTAAACGCTACGCTCTGATTGGCGACGAAGAAGTCCGACGCGTCACATGCGTGCGGATAAGAATATCCGAAGCTTTGCTTGGCTTTCTGGACGCTTCTAGCAAAGCCACCCGCCACAGGTTCAACAACGACAGATACACAGTATGCATTTGAGACGGTAAAGATTGCTGCTGTCGCCTGCTACTGCCACGGACAGCCATTCTCAGCAGCGACTTCACTACATTCTCCCGCCAAACTTGCCTCCTGTGCTGCTCAAGGGATGTACCTGAAGTCCGGATGCTTGTGGCCAAGGTCTCGCTTCTCCGCGTCGTTCAACCCATCCAGCCGGTGATTTCTCTTACCCTGATCTCTGACCTTGTTCTCACGCATGTTATATACGATGCCAAAGGTAGCGACGCAAAGCACAATGACCTGAGCTCCAAGGTTGATGCTGTGACCGATAGGGTACCGCGGGGCGTCGCGAATGAGGTATGTCCATCTACTTATGGTCAGCGATTTCGGCGCCCGAGACAAATTTCCTGGATCACTCACGTAGCAAGTACTCCGCCTAGCGTTCCAATCGACACAATCCACGCAGTGGCAACGGCTCGTACCGCCGGGCCAGCAGAATCTGCTCGGCGTTAGCAACAGCTGCCATATAGTTTTCACGGCATTGACTCACTGTTTATCCCCCATGACAGGAATCCAGGCCCGCCAGGGAAGGCACCCGTTGTGATGAAATAGACAGCCATATAGCGGATATTGGAGTTCGTGCTCCATCTGAGGATCGAAAAGCCGGCGATGGGCAGGAAAGTGGCCAAGGCGAGGTAGATGCCACGCCGACGAGTCTTGTCGCTGATATAAGCGATCAAAATTGCGATCAGGCAAGCGGCCACGTAGGGTGGCACCGAGTACAGTTGGGCCTTTGTTGCGGTCCAGCCGAGATCTGCCAAGATGGTTGGCATGAAGATGGACAGGCCTTGTACGGTAATGTTGATCAGGAAGAATCCGAAAGCTGCAAGGTTGTTGTTGATGTTGAAAATAGCGGCCTTGATGTGATGCCACTGGACTTTCTCCATCGGGTCCTATCACTCTCGTTAGCACTTCTCGGGCGTCCACGTGGCGGACTTACAGCTCGGTGCTCCCGGATCAAGCGCTCATGGGCGATATGACGCTCTCGTTCGGTGAGGAACTTGCATGTTAGTGGGTTTGACGGCATCAGTGCGGGAGCTCCAGCGGCAAGGAGGCATGTCAACAATCCTTCGAAGAAGAAGATATTCCTCCAGCTACATCACATGATTAGCCGTCTGAAGGTTTGGCCCGGGCGCAAACTTGGACTCACGTATGGATAGGTGTAGACTCGGTCCCCCAGCGCGGAATGCGGCTGCACGGTCGTCAGTGGCTTATCTTCAAATCAGACTCAGACTCCACCTACGCTAAGGCTGTCGCAAACAGACCTCCAAAAGCTCCAGCGATCGATGCAGCTGAGATGAAAATGCCGATGCGGAAGTACAGTTCTCGTCGCTTGTAGAACGTGCTGAGGAAGAAGGAAATTCCGGGCATGGTGCCTCCTTCAAAAACACCCAGGAATGCTCTTGCCACGCACAGCTCGTTGAAGTTTTTCACGAATGCCGTGCAGATAGATACGAATCCGAATCCGAATACCAATCCGGGAATGTAATACCGGGGACCGACATGTTTCAGGAGAATGTTACTGGGCACCTCAACAAGTAGGTAGATGATGTAGAAGACGCTAAGAGCCCAGTTGAAGCGATAGCCGACGAGGTTGAGGTCGGTGGCCATGCCCTGAATTCTGGCATTTCCGATATTCTGCAAACCCCTGATCAGTCCGTTGCCTTCTCGAGAGAGCAATAATACAGAGCCCCGTCAAGGACGGAAACTCATTCGGAGTGGGGAGAACTCACGGCGCGGTCGAGGAAACAAAAGAGGTATAGCACGGTGACGAGAGGGACAATGCGTCGATCAATCTTCCTTCTTATGGCGGTTTCCTCTGCCTCTGTCCAATCGACCTCGTCTCCGGAGGATTCACTCTTGGTAGGATCGAGGTCAAGGTGATCGAACGCCGCAGGTTTCAACGTCGCGGTTGTAATGCCAGCCATTTTTAGGAGCTAATGGGAAGAAAGGGAGAGCTCAAACTTCGAGGGAAGACAGAGAAGTGGTTTGGATATGTAGAGGCCAGACGTCACAACGGCCGCGTGGTTCCTTTATGATGGAAGAGGCAGGACGTTCCATGACAGCGAAACTAGCTTGCACCTGCCCCACACCCCGGGGATACACGTTGTAGACTCGCCCACAGGTCCTATATCCCGTGCGGTGGCTCTCTGCATGGTCTCTGATCCGGTGTGCATCGGCTGGCGCGACCGGGACATCATGATGCCTCTCCTAGCGAACGAGATCTCTGAAGAGGCGGAGGTGGCCAGGGAAAGTTGAATTTCCCCAGACGTCATGATAGGCTTCTGGAAGACTGTGAAAGGCAAGCCAAGCACAAAGTCTGTCTTGGAATCTGGGGCGGCGGTGGAAAGGCTAGGGTGCTGGGCGAATGGGAGCGGGGGAGAAAGCCTTGACCGGGCGCAACCTCTTGGCTGTCCGGGGTCGACCGTCAGGTGGCGCGTCGGTACTGGCAACGATTGCGACCTGTTCCTTGGTAAAAGTCTCAGCGAATGGCAAAGGGGGATCCTGGCCTTTCGACCACGTGTGATGTGAAGCGTGCGCCAGCTTCAAGGCGCGCAAATAAATAGTTGATTGTCGCGTAACATCGGTACCTGATAGCCTGTGGAAGGAGACGCCGTTACCACAAGAAGCTATCCGCTTCGAGTTCGGAGCGGGAGATCAACTGGCCAACTCGAAAGCGTAAGGACAATTGGATAGCATCATGCAGCCAAGGTAGGAAAAAGACGGGGATTGTTGCCTCAACAAGCCTCAAGCAAGCCCCTCTTGCAGCATCGGTACGTCTCTTGGTGTGGAATATCCACCTTGCAGTGTCTTGGCGCAGGCGCCGAGGCTTCGGCAGTTGTGCTCATCGCCATCTCGACCTCTGCAATGCTTCAAGTCCAATCTGGGGTCTGAGCAGCCTTGCAGTGGTAGATCGCGGTCGGTCGAGCTGCACATTGTCAAAGCACCCTCCGCCGGAGTCATGGAAGGGACAGGAGCCAAAAATTTTGCGAGAGCTTTACCGAGATGTCATGAAGCCATCAGAGTAGCTGGCACTCCCGCACAGTGGCTCGCCTTGTTGTACGTCAGCTTGAATGACTGTTCAGAAGTGTCGTCCACCTTACGATGTCTTAAGTTCCGGTCTTTGAAGGACGCCACTACTCATCGAAAAAGTGCGCAATCCTCCGCTCTTCCTCGCCGGTCTTGCCAACAACATCGCCGCCGTAAGTGAAATACCCTTTCAAGCTTCCGTTGACTGGCAGTATATGCGATTTGATCTCATCTGGCGTTCCAAATACCCATACGGTCGACTGGCCCATGATGACATGCTGCAAGATATGGCAATGCATCATCCAGACCCCAACATTCTTCTCCGTAACGCGGACACGCCAGACCCGCCATCCGTTGGTCAACCCCGGTTGACCTTGTAGCGCATACTTGTAGAGCAGGGTTGTGTCGCGGCGGGAGCCAGGGTAAGGCATCCCGTTGAAGGAGTGGTTTCGCAATAGTTCTGCGTGCGTTTCGGCTGACCATGACCCCGATCCAGATCCCATATCCCAGTAGGGCCCACCATGAGCGTGCAGGGGGTGGGGTCCCCAGATCCCGCCAGGAACCGATGCATCATTCTGCCATACAATCTCGAGGACTTCGCCAATCCAGGCAGGATAAGTCAAGGAATACGGATCTATGCCGCCACTCGCATCTATGGTTCGGAGGTCTGGGACATGGCCATTGAGAGTGCCATTTTGGAGCATTTCGACAAGATATGGTGTTTCATTCGATGGCCCGAGAGGAGAGCTGTCGAACCAAGACAAGCGACCCATTGTCATTACCGTAGTCCCCAAATCATTGTCAAACTCCTGCGCAGTGTTGATAATTATCCGTCGGGTCACTTCTGTGTCGTTCGGCGGCTTGTCGTACCCAGGCAGGGCTGGATTCCTGAAAGTGTACTCAAGCCAATCGGTCACATTTGTGGGTAAATCTAAGACTGGGGTTGAAGGAGGACTACCCGGGCACCACATAGAAGCTCCAGTCGGATAATCACAAGCACCATCCGCGTCCACTCCCTGCGTCAGATCGATGTCGGAGTACTTGAGAATCGCGTATGCGTAGACCGAACTTGCGCCTTCGCGAGTCGCAAACTGAATCCAGAACTTTGAGTGGCCTTCCAATCGCTGTAACTCGTTCTGCTCCTTAGTATCCAACAGAAAACTGAATCTTTGCCCGGTATCTACTTGCATATATGACGTCTGGACGGGATTGACATAGGAATTGTCGGTCTCAATTATGGTCAGATTGTCGTGATCAATGATGCCGAACAGTACCAGGGATAGGGCAGTGCCCCCAATGACGCGGACTCGATATCTCTTGCCGGTCAAGACATTCATTGTCCATGGTTCACACGAGGAGTCAACCCCGTTGGTAGCTGATGCGTACAGCCCTCGTCCGCTGTGGCCATTGATCATCAGCGCGGTCGGGTCTCCCGGCCAGACGTTGGGAGAGCCCGTCAGCCATGATTCCATGGTGTGGTCGTCCTCGAGGTAAAAGTCTTCGATCTGGAGAATGATTTCTTCGTCGTATTCAAAAGGTGGGGCGTGATAGTCCATCACAATCAAAGGCCCCGATGCAGTAATAGCCTGAAATCCAACATGGGAATGATAAAAGGACGTCCCAGCCTCGCTGGCATTAGGGTGAAGTTCGTAATCAAAGAAGTGCCCGGGCGGGATAGGCCATTGCGAAGCTTGTGGCGTTCCATCAGCATATGGCGCAGCGGACAATGATAGCCCATGCCAGTGCTACCACCGTCGCCCGTCAGCAGGAATCTTGCAACAAGCGACCTGCAATGACCAACAAACGTACCATCGTTGTGTTCACATCTGCATCATTGTAGACTCGAATCCACGTCGTCTGTTCAGGTTTGAGGTATATCGGCGGTGCAGGATATTGGCCGTTGATCAGTGTCGAGAGGCGAGGCTGACAATCCAGCTTGATAGTATCAATGGTGACTCGGAGGACAATACCTGGGACGAAACTGGCATCATGTTTGACTAATTTCTTTGCCTCCGAGCATGAGAAGACCCAGTATAGCAAGTAAATACACCCACATATCCAGCGCGAGATCAGACGATGCATCTTGCAAGTCATTGCAGCACCGGATGGGAATGTTTGGACGAGCGAGCAGGTCACCTAGAGATCGAGGTCTCGGGACTTACCACAGACCATTAAATGTCGAGCAGCCGCTGCGGCTCCCATGGACGAAAACTTGTCTTGAAAGTGCCTCCCGCCGAGACGAGTTCCTGATGAGGCCGCGCGGCATCGCAACGCCAGATTTGGGCAAACGGTTGACTTGCTCGCTGTTGTGATTGACATGCGCTGTCGCTATCCTGTCCGCATAGAGAGAACCAACACCTTTCGTGGCCCAGCTTTGAGACTTCCCACACTTTGAGTGACACTGTCAATGACATCTCGGAAGTCCGCCGCCGAGTAGTGCACTCGGACCCCTTCACGGAGGTGCCGGTGTCACCAGAATGGCATAATTGTGTGGCGTTGACACGCGAGATGGGAGGTGGAGGAAAGAGTGAAGGGAGACTGGCGGGAGACTGAAGCTCGATTCGCCAAGACAGGCTCGTCTGACGGATGATAGCCGGTCATTTCGGTATCAACTTTACGCATGACTTTTGGTCAGACGATCGACGTAAACCCTTTCAGCTCTCGCCAATCAACCTGGTCGCTTACCGCTTCTGCTCAAAATAATATCAATCACCTCATTGTTCCCTACGCACCTTGGTAACTTGGGCTTAACCACGTGCTCTCGAGGGCCGTCTTGTTGAATTCCACAGCAACTCCCCCGACTTGAAGTCTTGGGAAGCCGATGCCCACTAAAACAGTGCCACGCCCGCCATCGTAAACGCCGCGTGCTGTACATAGGACGACCACAACATTGTTCATTTCGTCTATAAGCACAGCAGTCTTGTGTGATGGACATGAGCAACGCCATCTTGCCTCCCCGCTCTGCGCTCTATCGTTCTACATCTATCCTCGTATCTCCGCGCCGCGCTCTACAACTTTGGGAACCTCACTCTCAAAAACTGACTGGGCCAGGCAACATCAACCCCCAGTTTCCACCCAACCTTCAGTACCCACTCGGGCTCCCTCATGAATTGTCGCGCCACCAGAATAACATCCGCCATCGGCTCCTTGCCGCCCTTAGCATCCGTCATCTCCTTTGCCGCGTTGGCCTCCTCCCCAATACTCTTGTCCGAGCCTCGATCGTCGACAATATCCCTCGCCTGTTCAGCCTCCGTAATGAGCCCAACCGCTCCAATGAACAAAGTCAACCCGTTGGCCTTCATCGTTTGCCGGATCTGGTGTGCAATTTTGGTTTGATAGTCCTTCGAGGCAAACATGTTGATGCGCTGCTGAGGATGATTCCCGCCGCTACTAACATCCAACAGGTCCACACCCAACCCAGGCAGCATTCGAGCCAACCTTATCGTACTCTCCACATCCCAACTGCCAAACTGCTTGGCCAAGTCCGTCTCCTCCATCCATTCCGTCGAGCTCACCCGCAGAAATAGAGGCATATCTTGGGGGATTTGTTTCCGGACCGCCCAGACGACTTCGACGAGGAGGCGGGTACGGTTTTCAAAGCTCCCGCCGTATTGATCAGTGCGTCGGTTCGTGATGGGACTGAGGAACTGATGGATCAGATAGCCATGGGCGGCATGGATCTCGATCACGTCGATACCGGCTTCCACCGACCGCCTGGCAGCCTGTGCAAACGCATCGACAGTTTCTTTGATCTCCTCCACGGTCAGCTGTCTCGGAGGCCAGAAACCCCCGTCCGCAGCCAATCCTTTGCCATCCCAGCTGTTCTCCGGGCCATCACTCGGACCGACCACGTCCTCCGGCCAGCCGCCGACGTCTTTTTCTGCACGCAGGGACGTTCTTTTGAACGATGCTGCCACCCACGGCGGCATGGTACTCGACTTTCGCCCAGCGTGAGCGAGCTGCATACCGGAAAGTGCGCCCTGAGACTTGATGAAGTCTGACACCCTCTTGACGCTCTCGGTCTGCGCATCACTCCACAGGCCAGGGCAGTTTGGGGTGATCCGGCCATTCGGCTGGACGCCAGTGGCTTCGATGAAGACGAGTCCCGCTCCCTTCAGCGCATAGTGCCCTAACGTCGCGATGTGGTAGTCGGTCAGTTTCCCGGCGTCTGGGCCGGAAGGAGCCGTCGAGTACTGGCACATTGGAGCCACTATGATGCGATTCCTCAATGTCTTTGAGCGGATCTTCAACGGCGCGAACAGCGTCGGTGTACCGGAGGATGGCGTGAATGGGACACCAGGATCAGCGGCGTGAGCGGGCGTGAAGTACGGTAAGTTCGGGACGCCATTGTTCGCCGCCTTGGTTGAGCTCGACGTTGCCATAGCTGGATGCAAAAGCTGGGCGTGCAATGTCTCAGAGTACGGTGGCAGTAAATCCCTGCTCACAATATCCCCCAAATATCTGGCAAGTGAACGAGGTGTCGACCCTTTTACCTAGCGAACGAAAAGATGCTTGTGTTGAGCGCACAGCTCTGGAAGCCAGACACGGCAGAGGATAGCTGATTCTACGGACGTCTAAAACAATATAAAGACACTTTCTAAATCCACCGGAAAGTGATAAAGTCGAACTAGACCAAGAGGTTCTGATTTCTAAGACGAATGTACAGGGGTAATATTTGGAGGACGGTGGCGCGGCCGCTAAAGCCGAGGTACTCCGAGACGCCGTATCGACCGGCGATTGAGCATTGCCCCACGGTCTTCGTCTCCTTACGGAGTACATGGGAGGGCAGAAGGAGAAGCATACTTAGGTTGCCGGACCAATCGCGGAGTAGTGTCCACACGGGAAAGCACTTAAAAGTAGACCACGCAATGTTCAGACTTGCCTTGAAAACGGTCAGACATCAAGCACGGTCACGGCCAATAGATGAGCGGAAGGGATATACTGAATAGATCTAGATGGTGGTGGCTAACGACGCACGCCTAGCTCCTTTGGCTAACTAGGTACGGAGTACTCACGATGGGAAGGCATTAATCTGTGTGATGATGGGCCCTATGGTCTCCCAGTATCGAGGGTAACAGTGTGTGTGACAGCCCGGCAGTGACCAAGTGTCCTCCAGGGCTTCGACAGCATGTATGTATGTATTTGCTCTCATCGCCAATGTCTCTCACCACGGCAGCTCGTAGCCCTCACGATGCCAGAACTTGCCCGTGTCTTCGATGGTTTTCTTACTGACAATGTTCTCCCACAGCTTTCTGGCCGCTTCGTCTGGCATCACAGTCTCGGGAGGCATCTTCGCCGTGGGCAGCAGATTCGTCTTCACAAAGCCAGGGTGCAAGAGCATGACCGTGACGCCTTTGTCCTTCAACTCGACCGCCAGACTCTTTCCGATGGAATTCACGGCCGCTTTGGAGCTCCGGTATGCATAATGCGTGCCGGTAGAGTTGTCGCCTATAGAGCCTACACGGCTCGAGACGATTCCGATCTTGGGGTTTGAAGACTTCACGACGTTTGGCAGAAGAGCCTGTGTCAGGAGGAAAACCCCAAAAGTGTTGACTGCAAATGTCCGCTGGAAGACTTGCAGATTACTCGTTGTTAGGCTGTCATCTTCGCTCGCAGCCGCGACACCTGTTTCACAGCTCGGTTACTGATTGGGCCCTTCTTCAAGAGCATGACAGAAGTTGAAGGTGCCACACCTGCTATGTTGAGTAGGAGGTCGACAGTAGTGTCACCCAGTGAGTCCTTGAACTTTTGTATGGACTCGGGGGAAGTCACGTCGACTTCGGCGGTATGGGCCTTCTTCGCCTGCAGCGCCCGAAGGCCTTCACCCGTGTCTCGATCGACGGCATACACCGTATATCCCTGCTCCGAGCGTCATTTCGGGCTCTTGCAATGGCTCACCTTCTCCGGCGAAGATCTGGCTAACCTCGTCGACTAAGATGTCGGCGAAAGCATGGGCGATGCCAGAGTTGGCTCCTGTGACAACCGCAGTCGGCATGATGCTGATAACGAGGTTTTCCAGCGGATCTTGGTCAAGAAGCTTGGGTCATTGATGACAAGAAATGGGAGTATTGTAGTCCGTATGCTTCCACCCAGCTGTCTTTGTCTCCTACACATTTGTCATCAACCTGGCGTCATCACCAGCCATGGCTCAAGAGGACGAGCAGATGATGAGGGGGCTTGCGAGCCGGATATTAAGCGAGAATGCTTCTAGAAAGAGGGACCATAGAAGCTCACACCCCCTGTAATTGGACCGTCCCAAGCCTTTTAGCAGGTCTTGGTATTGCTCCTGTTGGGCGTGTCAAACACTTGTCGCCGCGGCCTTCTCTGCGCCTGCGTCTCGCTAGTCAAGGTAGACGCAGTAGACGCAAATGGAGGCCAAAAGTCTATCACGGTAGATTCGCGCTCGCTGTCCCTCGCTTCTCCATGTTGTCGTCGCCGGCGGACTCAGTACAGATGCAGATGCTCGACCCCGACGGCCGCTGACAAGACCGCATTTGTGCTGCTCCCCACTGCACGGACCCGAGGTTGTGACTGGTGAAACCCGCGCCGACGTCTCACAGACGTTGGCGTCTTTGTGGCATGATCGAGCTCGTGCCCAAGTCCCTTACCGACAAGCTCAGTTCTTCGGCCTGGATCACAACTCATAGACACAACTGGAGCAGCGACTCCTCTGGCAGCGGTTTGCTGAGCCCTGGTGGGTCACCACCGCTGCGGGAGGGTCACAGACGACACCCGAGCCATTCGAGGTTCAAGCCCAGGAGAGCATTATGGACGGCAGGGGCAATCGCATTCCTGACGGTCATCGCGCTGTGCTGGTCGCTCTTCCCCGCGCGGATCGATCAACGCCTTGAGATTCCTGAGCCTGATGTTGACCACGGAGACGGAGCGGACGCGATAGACTCAGAAGCACCGATTCCGCCAGGGAAGTCGGTGGAGCGAAATGGCAGAGAAGTGTTCTGGTGGGAGCAATTCCCCAGGTGAGACCATCCCAGCGCACTCTGCGGCCACCGCCGTATTGAGCTAACCTGGATGACAAGACTCCACGGTCTCTTTCGTGGGCGCAAGAACATAGTCCCTTTCTCCGCGTACGTGCCTGAGCAGAAGACCAGCTCGTTCGACCCTTTTGACCCTGGCGATCATGATGAACCCCGGCTTCTCGAGCTCCTGTCGCCCTTGCCGCCGAATTTCGAACGATGCTATTTGGACGAGGAGAGAAAGATTCTCCCACCCACAGTATCCGCGTATGAAGGCCTCCCGCAGGGTATGTCCTCACCCTTGTTCGGATCTCAAAAAGAGCTGGGCTTGAATGAAGAAGTCTGTTATGACCGAGTCAATCGACTGGCACCGTACGGTCTGGGTGTCGCTGAAGAACTCGGTGGGCTGGGCACTGAATTGAAAGGCGATAATAGCGGTCTGGAAGAGGTGGCCGTGACTGACTGGAGAGGTGTGCGATGGCACGATGCGCAAACCAGATGCTTTCAAAGGAACTCTGGCCAGATCACATCTCGGAGCGCCCTCGTCTTCCGCACCTGGAGCACATTCAAATACACGAAATATCATATCGCCATGATCCGGGCCATCATCAGCGAACTTGCGTTGGCCACGGGAGGACAATATACGGTCCATTTCCTGATTCACGTCCAGGATGACACGATTCCGATATGGGCCTCGTCGGAACTGTACAACAAGGCCCTGAGAGACAGTCTGCCGGAAGAGTTCCAGGGAATGGGCATGCTTTGGTCCGTGGCACAGATGAAGCTGATCTATCCACCGCCGTTTCCTGACAGCCTTGTCAATTTCTCGGGCGGCGACATCTACGAAGCATATCGATCCTTGCACTTTCCACTTCAGTACTTTGCAGAGAGACATCCCGAGTACGACTATTTCTGGCAATGGGAGATGGACATGAGAGTTACTGGACACCATCACGAGTTGCTATCTCAAATCTCGTCTTGGGCGGAACAGCAACCCCGAGATCATGCGTGGGAACGGTCGTCGAGATTCTATATCCCGTCGTTATATGACGATTCTTACGAGCGCTACGCACAAGCTGTCGTCAAGGAGACGAGAGCTGCAAATGGAACGCCAATCGCTGGCCCCCAAATACCTCCTGAGCGACTTCTCGACATTCCACAACAGGCCATCCCCGACCAGACGGATGAAATCACAGACCTTATCACTTTCAATCCTCTTTTCAACCCGGAGAACAGCCGCTGGGCTTTCCATAACGACATAACAGGCTACAATGTGACGCGCGACGGCCGGCCTCCGACACGTGCTGCTTTGATCACGGCGTCCCGCTTGTCCCGTCGGCTTTTGCTGCTCATGCACGAAGAGACGTACGCCAACAAACATACTATGTTCCCCGAGATGTTCCCCGCGTCGATCGCACTGCATTACGGGCTCAAAGCAGTCTACGCACCAATCCCAGTCTACTTTGACCGGAACTGGCCCAGTGCCCACGCGGACGAGGTCTTCAACAATGCTCCGGTCAGTCTGGAGGATGAGAAAGCCGGCATGGACCACGGAAACGGACATTTCCATGGTGAAGGCGGTAGTGTGTTTGGCCCTGGCGAGCACGTCTTCAGAGGCGCCACGTACTATTCCAACGCTGGTTTCGCGGGCTACCTTTGGAGAAGGTGGCTTGGGCGGGAGAATGGCAATGATGAGATCAATTGGGAGTTGGAGGATGGGCTGGGCGGGGGCAGGATGTGTCTCCCGAACGTGATCTTGCACCCGGTCAAGTTTGATTGATGACGAATGTGGATGAAATGTTGTTCTGGATTCGGACTTGCATATATGTCGTGGGCAGGGGGGGCAGGGGTTTGTACATACCATGTGGCACCCGGCGCTTGAAGGCTTTGGGTAAATGGACTCTTGGAATGAGGCAGGACCATGTTTAGTTTACATGACCATCTGCACATAGACGCCTATTTCGACAACTTGGGGATGGTATACATGCTGTATGCCCGAGAGGAAGGTAATGAAAATGATTCATATGGTTCAGATTCTGCCGCCTCCCAAGCCTCCTAGCCCTAAAGGGGCAAGTTTCCATCGGCGAGCCATTGGTGTACCTGACGATCAGAGAGTCGCTGGCCTCGTCGTCGCACACCTCGCACATTCTCTGGGTCACACGTACGCCAGATATCAGGTCTGCACGCTTTGTCAGCCACTTCCTGACGCGTCCATTTCCTCGACGTGAGACGAATAATCCAGCCAAAGGCGCGATCCGGGATGGACAACCCTCTAGCAGGTGAGTAAGTATGTAACACTGTGAGGTAGAAAGCCGTGGAGTGCCGATTGTCAAAGATAAATATCGCGTCCCCTCGCCCTCGCCCTCGGACCTCATGCTGTGACATGCTGGGACAAGTAGCAGTCGCGGACAGTCGTGCCTCGTGCGTCAGAGAAAGCAAGGTTGCAGTAATTAATCCTTGTCCGACCTTTCAAGCTTCGTTCGATCCTTCATTCCGTCAGTCACTCAGTCCGTCGGTAGTCAAGTTGATCAGTCCAGGCAATCCCATCAAGCCCAGCCAACCGATATGCCTCTGCCTCATCGCGCCATCATCGCCGTCACGTCGGCCACGGCGCCCTTGCATGACGGGAAGCCCACGGGCATGTTCATCAGCGAGGCACTCCACCCGTATCAAGTCTTCAAGGCGCACGGATTCGAAGTTGACCTCGTGTCCGAGAAGGGCACCTACGTGCCTGACTGGTTGAGTTTGCAGGAGAGTTTCCTGAGCGGCGAGGACAGGAAGGAATGGGAGGACACGAGCTCGGAGTTCCGCAAGAAGCTGGATAATATGCCGAACGTCCATGATGTCGACGGGAAGAAGGTGCGTATACTGACTTTCTAATTAGTCCTTGCCGAATCCCCCCGCCAGACAGTGGAGCTGTGCATTCTGTGCATTCTGTGCATATGTGAATCTGTGAAGCTGACGAGAGACGGGCTGCATTGCCCTACACGGATGTAGTACGGGATCTTCTTCGCCAGCGCTGGCCATGCCGCCTTGATTGACTATCCTCATGCGAAAGGGCTGCACAAGATTGCGACGGATGTTTGGACACAGGGGGGTGTGGTTTCTGCTGTGTACGTCCTTCTCTTGCTCGTTCTCTGTCTCATTTTCAGGTTCAACGTCAAGCTCAAGCTCAATCTCGCCGTCCGGTTCTACTTCCCTCCTGCTTGCTCTTCCAGCGCCTCCGGCATCGTTGCCAAGGTTGAAACTGCCTGCAGGCTGACGCATCTCTTCCAAGGTGTCACGGAGAGGCTATATACGCCGGCGTGATCGATCCCACGACAGGAGACTCCATCATCAAGGGCAAGACCATCACGGGCTTCACCACGCAAGGCGAATACGACATGCACGTTATGGAGCCGATCAGGAGCTGGGGCGAGCCCCTGATTGACGAGTGGGCGGCCAAGTTGGGTGCGAAATGTGAGTTCTTATGCCCCCTGTACAACGCAGTCGAGGTTGAGGCCTGGCTAGCTGTGTTGGTCATTGCTGGACACGCTTGCTAACCACTCTCGCCCCGTAGATGTTCGGGCGGACGGTGTGTGGGACGATTTCCATGTCACGGATGGCCGAGTCGTGACGGGTATGAATCCTCAGAGCGCAAAGTCCACTGCAGAGGCTACGATGGCGGTGTTTGAAAAGTTGTAATCCACGGATACTGTGTAGTTGAGCAGAGGCATCCGCGGGAGATTGTGTTGAGATCGAACGGCCTGGCTCCCCGAACACGCCTGGTGTGTGAGCCTCCAGGTCCTTGAGTGCGCTCGAGAGCTGGGATAATTCCAGAGAGTTTCGGTTTACGTGAATGCCTGAATCACCAACGCTTCTGCTCAGGAAATCTCGATACGTCGTGCGAAGATCTGCCATCCGCGTTGCTGAAGCTTTCAAAGGTTCTTGTCTTCAACCTCGTCGTGTAGGTAAGACGCGTGAAACTGCCGTTTTCGAGGTATCTCAAGGGCAGTAGCCAGCTCCAGAGGAAAGTCTTTGGTACTATTTTCATGAATATCTTCCAGGATGCAGGCTTTTCGAGGCAAGCATAGCGTCCGCCACTGCAGTCAGCCACTATGGCCCATCAGCTGGAACACTCGCAGATTCTGGCTCAGCATTCCCACAGTGTCATCTCGAAACTTCGTTCCAGAGTTCTCACTCTTCTGACATACTATTCTGGCCGACCTCCGACTTCTGACGATTTCGCACTTAGGCCGCTGAATCTACTCCTTGCCAGACACCGTCCGCTGAAGTGGCCTGGGTGGATTGCTGTGCTCAAGTGTAGGTTGAATTGTCGCTCGTCAGTTGATTTATCCCAATATCCGTCATTTGTACGGAGTACATCGACTGGCCAAGCTCGTGCGTAGCTCAGATGAAAGACAACTGATGTGTGTTCGTCACCGGAAATTCATTCTTCCGGCGTCTTTCATCAATTTGACCTCGAGTTCAGGCGTTAATCAATGTAAACCTTTTCCTCATCGCTTCGCTTCGAGGATTTTATGCCAGTCGTCTCCACAAGCCGACTTCTTCGAGCCAGACATCTATCATCATGGTCGCAAAGATCAATTTGGCCCATATGCCGCCGGAACTGGCGCTCTACGTGGCCGTGTACACGGATCTGGAAAATGCATCCTTTCTGAAGGAGCAATTACTGGCTGGCAATGCCGATTTCGAGTACGCCTTTATTGAGGCAAGCATGGTAAGCGAAGACCGTTCCGTCTCGTTAGTCGGTGACTTGAATTCATGCCCACATGTTCACGCAGGTCGTTTCTACGAAACACGTCCTCGCCGCAGCTTTCCGTGCCATGAATGACTATCTCAACGATCGGCTGAAGTCGCGGAACGTCCATTCCGAGACGGTCTTCTCGCTGAGTCCTAATAACAACGTGAGTCGGATCCCTGCTCATAGATACAGTGTTGCTTGATTGACGCTTGCAGATCGGCGAGGCTTTCCGCAGATTCGGCGTCAGCGAAACAACAAAGAACTTGCTCGTACTCAAGGTCGCTACGAGCCCTGATATTACGCTAGAAAGTGTCAGCCAACACCTCTCGGCGAATATCAGAGGACGAGAATGTGCCTTTGATGACGCGATATTTGGAAAAGTGGCAGACGTGGAGCGGATCAGGAAGGTCTACAAACTGGGGGTTGCCACTTCTACAGGTCGATCAACTGCCACTGTGAATGGAGACTCTGGCTCCAAGGGGGATGCGCCTGCCGACGGATCGAAAGCCCTCGAGGTCCAAATCCTGGGACTGATGGCTCTGCGAGGAGCAACCTGAGAGATCAAATGCTCTCTGTGATGACCTACTGCGGGGGTTGTGTACTGCCCAGATTCCTGGTCCCTTTGCGACCGGCGTCGATACAGGTGAAGCCAGACTAGCACGTTCTGATGTTTTCGACACCGCACAAAAAACGACACTGCACAAAGACAGACCTTTCCCAACGATCCGGTACGCTTTCATCGGCGGGTGATGCCCCCAGCCGTCAACATACTCACCAACACACAACCACGTGCACTATAGTCGGCGTACCTTGACGGTCACTATTCGTGGTATTCGCCCCTACACTCCGACAGTTTGAGGTGATATGCAATGCGTAGTGCCGGCATCCCGCTCAAATATGCGACACTGTGATCCTGCTGTACCCTGGCTCACTCAGTAGAGGATATGCCCGAATAGGGCGAGACCCACGAATTCCAACACCGTCACGACCATGGACGCCTACCAAGTATATTTCCAGCGAGGGACATAATCAGTACAGGATGCTCTCCCCCCAGTCAGGACGACCTTGATATTATTCGTGCAAGGACCACGCGACTCAACCATTTCGACGCCGATTGTTTCGAAGGAGACATGTTGCCATTATCCAGCGACTTATGGCTGTGCGACCAGGACCACCATTCCCAATTTTTTTCCCCACGACTGTCTTGCCATTTAAAGTACGCAGCAGCCGCAACCCCGGCGGCGATGCCAAACAACGAAGTGCACAACACAGCCCAGCCGTGCAGACGAGTTTCGCAAAATTTACGCACCCGGGAAGAAAGCAACCAAGGTCAGCGCTGGGTGACAAATCTGGCAACGCACCCGACCTGTGCTTGCTGCGTGTGTGCGTTAAGCGAAGTTCGTTGTAGGTATAGCCACGGCATACGGGGTGGGTGAATATGTACTGGATTTGAGTACAGTAAAGGATAAGGACGAGGAGGAGGAGGAGGAGCGGGAGAAGGAATGCACAAAGAGTGTGAAGATCATCGCTCTTGAGGAATCCACACACGGGGATCTAGGAGTGATGAAGGGGCTCGAGACACTCACACTTCCTCCCACCCTGAAAGGGAGCGCAGGACGTTCCACAGTTTCCACCCTCTCTAAGTACCAGGTCTCAGACTAGCCGCCTTGTAGCCCCAGTCACACCAGCGGACTGTTGAAATACAGCTTCGTCTCCTCAAAGCGTGCCTCCTCCCCACCCAACCTCCAGATCCTCTGACTCAGACTCTCGCTCCCGTCGCCCTCTGTCACGGGGATGGGCTTCTCGCCAAAGATGGCCGTCCGTTTGCCCTCGCGCGTGCTCGGATCATACCCGCCGGGGATGGCACGATGGACGACGACGCGGTTATCCCAGAAGGCCACGGCGCCGGGCGTCCATTTCCAGCGGACCGTGAGGTCGTCGGCCGCGTGGAGGTGTTCGCGCAGGAAGTTCAGCATGTGGATTGATTCTTGGCCCTTGAGTTCCGAGACGTGCACGACGAAGGTGGGGTTGTAGTAGAGCGATTTGACCTTGGTGACCGGGTGGACGCGGACCTGTGTAACGGACGAGGTTTGAGCCACGCCGGATAGGTAAGGTAATTACAGTGCGTACGGGGTAATGATGAGGTTTGCCTCACACAAGGACGGGAAAAGGAAAGAACTTACCAACGGATGCTCACGACGGACGGGGCCTCGGAAGGGCTGGTACCCGTTGTTGATCGAGTTGATGAAGCTGGCCTGTGTGCATGCCCACATCCACCGTCAGCCCTGGTGTTCGGCCACAGCAAAGACACAAGCAGCAGCAGTAGCAGTAGCAGCCATCTCTCACCTCGGAGCTGTGAACGGCGTGCAGGCCATCAAATGTCTTCTGGAAGACCGGGCTCAGTTTGTCGTAGAGGGCCGTCTGGCTCGTGAAGATGGTGTCACCGCCCGCTTCTGGTGTTCGGATCATCCGCAGCATCGTATACGCAGGCGGGTTAGCCTCGAACGAGTGATCGCAGTGGTATTCGCCGCCGTAGTCCCCGAACTTGCGGATGTCGCTGTTGCGTCCGAGGATGGTGACGTGCTTGGGATCTTGTTGGTTGGGATCGCGGTCTTGCTATACAAGTCGAACGAATGCAGTCAGCATGCAGTCATCACCCGTGGGCTGGACGACGCCCTGGCCTGACGCGGTTCTTACGATGCCATAGTGCGTGTTGAGCTCATATTGTTGATCGAGCGTCAGATCCTGGTCTCTGAAGAAGACCACGCCTCGCTGCAAGACACATCAGCAGTGGCCCTCGTGCACACTTGAAGTCAAAGTCCTCCCCCCATACTTCAGCCACCAACAAGGCCAACTCATCCTTCTGCTTGTCCGTGAGTTGACTCAATTGGATCCCCACAAGCTCAGTGCCAATGTAGGGAGTCAACTTGCGGACTTCTCGGGCTGCCGACAGAAGCGACTTCTTGTCCGGGTCGGCGAAGAAGGCTCGGTCTGTGGGTGGTTCAAATTCCTCGACTGGGGGATCAGGGGCTTGATAAGAGAGCACTTGTTCCGTGATGCCGGTGTGAGTAGCAGCCATGGCGGGCAACCAAGACAGTGTCTTTCACGACTGAAGGAACCTCGAAGATGGGCTTGAAGCGCAACGTTGCCGCGCGTATTATCGAAAGCAGGCTGTTATATATGACGAGGCGTGATAATCAGTAATCCTCTCACGCCCTCGACGCCCTTGGACCTTTCGTATACAGTCGCGGGGTTCAAGCAGCCCCCGAGGCTCCCCTCATGTTTGCGTGATCATGCTGCGCCTTGCCACATCAGGGTCAGATTTACGCGGCGCCAGAGGGGTTGCGTGGGCAGGCATGGGCCATAGATGCCGGGATCGACGTGCTGCAGATGCGATATACGCGCGCAAAGCTGTGACTGGAAGCCGTGGTTGACGCCACATCGTCCGACAACCTCGCAAGTCTAACACACCCTCAAGCGGCATGTATCAGTTGCCAATTCAAAGCACGACACGGAGACGTCCTGACAAGGTTCCCTTGCCAGCTATTGACTGAACATCCTGTAATCACGTTCCATTGCTTATCCCTCAAGTGCATTCTCGCGAGGCTGTTTCGCCCGCTTGCCTCCGTAGAAGAACGTTCTATCTTTATGTGTTGAGTACAGTTGCACTTGCAAACTCGCTTTTCTGGCCTCCCTACCCGACTTCGGTAGTGCACCGTCGCATATTGCCCATTCCCTTTGCCAGCTAGAGTCCCTCACCACCGAGGCACTGAATCCCCCAATCGCAATAATCAATGCTGTGTCATGCTGCCACTCCGGCCAATTGATAATCATCACCAGGCCCCCGCCACCCCTATGCAAATTCATCTTCCGAAAGACGCATCATTCTGCTCTTCACTCGTCAAGTGAAATGTCTCTATCCTCCCCGTATTGCAAGCAAAGTAATATTTTCGAATCTGGTCGAAAAAGAAGCACACGTGATAAACCGTCCAACGCCGTCGCTAATGCGCAAGTGTTTGTTTTTGGTGTAGAAAACATTGGTGGCTGAGAACAGGCGGCGGAGCACTCCAACAAGGAGACTCCTCTTTCCGCAAGTAGCAATTTAGTGGCCATGAAAAGCATCGCGAGAAAAACACGTAGCCGCCTCATCAAAATCCAAAGCCGACGATAGAAGGTCAAGTTAATGGATCCGTCGTTCGTCTCGGTTCTGACTTGTGCGTTTTGAATTGACATTATTGTCATGTGGTGATACAAAGAGGCATCAATCCTCCTTTGGAGAAGTTGGCGAATACTGTGGACTATTGGGAGAGTATTGAGGGCTAGTAGGAGACTGGTTCCTAGCTTGAGGACTTCTGGGAGAAGCATTGTAAACCGGGCTCGTCGGCGAGTATGATGGACTCGTTGGCGAAGACGGGCTGGTAGGGCTGTAAGTCGGCGAGGTGGGGGAGTAGCTCGGCGACGTAGGAGACTGCTTATTGCCACCACCACCATACATTGGGCTCGTCGGACTGTACATCGGTGACGTCGGACTGTAGACAGGCGACGTAGGCGATGTGGGAGATGTAGGGCTGAACGCCGGCGAGGTTGGCGAATAGCTGGGTGAAGTTGGCGAACCGTAAGCCGGAGATGTCGGCGAGTAGTTTGGCGAGGTAGGGGAGTAACTGGGCGAAGTCGGTGACTGATACCCAGGGGAAGTGGGCGAGTACGCAGGCGATGTCGGAGTGAAGGCAGGACTTGCTGGTGAGAACGACGGTGATGTCGGACCGAAGCCAGGGCTAGTCGCGCCAAACATCGGAGACGTTGGTGAGTAACCAGCAGTAGGCGAGAAGCCAGGCGAAGTTGGACTGGTCGTGCCGAACGGACTGGCAGGTGAGTAACCACCAGGGCTTCGCGACCCATAAGGACTGAAACCTCCGGCGCCACCGAACCCAGGTTGATAGTCGGTGAACCCGCCTGGAGTCTCTGAGCCAGGAGCTGCAATGGGCGAGAATGAGGCGCCGTAGTCGGGAGAACCCAAGTAGCCGTTGTCCTGCATAGGCGAGCCGGAATCGTAAGGAGTAGCAGCACCTTCGAGGAGCTGTTGGCTGGTCTTGATACCAATCGGTCCGCCTAGTCCGTACCCGCTGTTGGCTGGTAGGGTGGCTAGCATGGCCTGATCCAACAGTATCTCCATGGTTCCAGTACCGACAGGCGCATGTTGACCGAGGATGATATTCTCCGAAACACCCTTGCAGTCGTCCAATTCACCAGCGGCCGCAGCCTCAAGCAAGATCTCAACAGTCTGTTCAAAGGAACTTCTCATCAGTGCGCCAGTGTCAGATTTGTTGATGCCGTGACGAGTGACGGCCATGACATATCCACGCGAAGTCATGACATCGCAAAGAATGCCCAAGTGACGGGCATTGACATAAGAACCGTCAAACGACAGCACTTGAGTCAACTCGCGTAAAATGGCGGCCCGAGTAGCTTCGATGCCGAGCACCTCAAAGACCTCAGTGAAGCGATTGGTATAAGTGCGAGTGGCATCAACTCCTTCCACCGCAAGCACCTTGGCGAAGGCACTGCCCGTCGTCTCAAGCACATACTCATTGCACTCAGGGTCACTCTTGGCCATGAAAACAGAGCCATCTGGCTTGATAATGGAACGGCTCTTCTGGTCAATGAAGGCTCTCTCCACACCAGGAACACCGTGGAAAGTCAGGTGATCAAGCATTTCGTTCAAGAAGCGTCGCAGAATCTCATCGTCTTCTTTGCGGTCGTCCTCCTCATCTTTGCCATAGTTCTGGACGAGACGAATGCGGACAACTTGCTCATCGGCATTTCGATCGCTGTATATGACGGCGAGATCTTTGCCATAGGTAGACTTGATCTTGCCGGCAACCTGAGTGATATCGAGACCTTTGTCGAGAAGTTTTGCACGACTGAGAATGACGCGCAGCATCCACTTGGAGTGAAGAGAGAGATCGGCTTCGCCGTCTTCGGGGAGGATGAAATATGCGTCGACCATATCGACATCCTCAGGAATGATGGTGTTCTGAATATCGGGATCATACCACAATTCACATGTCTCTGCCACAGATCGGAGGTTGGTGTGCTGAATCTGACTTCGGAGGAGCTTGGCAGCATCCTTGTCACCGGTGTTTTCTGGTAGTTGGTAGACAGACATCGACGGAGTTCGGATGTTCTGCGACACGTTCAAGATTTCTTTAAGACGCGGCACACCCAGAGTGACGTTCTTGGCCGACACACCAGTGAAGTGGAAGGTGTTGAGAGTCATTTGTGTGGCAGGTTCCCCAATGGATTGAGCGGCTAGCACGCCGACCATCTCGCCCGGGGCAGCATTTGCTGCAGTGAAGCGACTCTCAACTGCACCAATGATGTTGTCAAACGCCAACCGGTTGACACCATGTTCAAGAACAAGTCGCTTGTACGCCAGTCGTGAGCGGAGTTGGGCCTTCAGGAGAAGTGTCGCATTGTCCTGAGCCTCTTTGGAGATAGGGTCATCGCCGCGGACAATGACAAGACGATCCAATAGTTGATTGACTGCGGTCAGCGCATAACGGGGATCAAGGTCGGTCTTGTCACCACGACGGATCTTGAAGTTTTTCTGCGCTTGATCAATGATGCGGCCGATGTTGAGAGGCAGTTGCATTGAGTCTTCGGTCCCTTTGCCCATATTCCGCAGTAGCTGTTGAGATGCCTTCAAATTGGCAAATTCGAGGTCGAACATCTCCTGCAGCTCAACATCACCCTGAATCTCCCTGGCTTGTAGTAGTCTACCCTTCCACATGGAGACGTCGCCACTCATGATGTCCACAAGGTAACGGTCGTTGAAAGCTTTAGTCGACATAGTAATGATGTCGACTTTCTGATTTTCAATGTGTGCACCATCCAGACCGTCCTCGCCGTAGATGAATTGAACAATGTTGCCGCGAGAGTCGCGGACCGTCGAATCATATTTGACAGTGACTTCTTCGAGAGCCTTGACGAGTCGACGTTGAATGTACCCAGTCTCGGCAGTCTTGACAGCTGTGTCAATGAGACCTTCACGACCAGCCATGGCGTGGAAGAAGAACTCCGTGGGGGTCAGACCACGAAGGTAGGAGTTCTCAACGAAACCTCTCGAGGGGGCAGAATAATCATCCTTCGTAAAGTGAGGAAGACTGCGATACTTGAAGCCGAAGGGAATACGTTTGCCTTCCACAGCCTGTTGACCAACGATAGCCGTCATCTGAGCGATGTTGATAGTCGAGCCCTTCGAACCAGCACGCGCCATGGTGATGGCGTTATTGAGATCCTTCAGACTGTCTTCGGTTGCGGCACCAGCTTGGTCACGAGCCTGGTTGAGGGCATTCATGGCTTTGCTCTCGAAGGTTTGACGGACATTCATGCCCGGGGATGGCTCGAGATCCTCGGCCTCTGCCTTCTTCTGAAGATCCTCAACCTCAGCCTTCTTGGTATCAACGGCATTTTGAATCTTTTGCACGGTGTCAGGATCGGGGACAGTATCGCCAATGCCAATGCTGAAACCATTGTGCAACAGCCAGTAGTTGACGACGGTTTGTGCACCGTTGAAAAAGGACAGAGCAGTTTCCCACCCGAACTCGTTGTAGATGGTGTGAATGATACCGCCAGCGCCAGTACCGACGAACTTCTTGCTGAGAACGCCAAACATGAGATTACCCTCGAGGACAATGAGACCAGTGTCATTAGTTGGCACATATGGGTCTTCACCCTTGGCATCAAGCCTCTCGAGATTGAGGGCAGGTGGGAGTACCATGCTGATCATCTGCTTCCCCGTCCAGCGAGGTGTTGGCTTGATGATCGCAGGCTGAGGAATCACCCCATCCCAGTCAGGAACCCAGAGCATGATGTTCATGACTTGCTCGCGTGTCAGGAAGATGTCGCGCCGGCAGATCTTGTAAATACCACAAAGCGTATCCTGGATGATACCCATCAGAGGAGCATTGCGCTGGGGAGACACAATGTTGAGTGGAACCATGCACAGGTTTGCAAGCTCGGCTCGAGACTCCTGGCTCTGAGGGACATGCAAGTTCATCTCGTCACCATCGAAATCGGCGTTGTAGGGCGCAGTGACCGAAAGGTTGAGTCGGAAGGTCGAATATGGCATGACACGCACGCGATGACCCATCATGGACTCCTTGTGGAGAGATGGCTGACGATTGAAGAGGATGACATCTCCATCTTGAATATGGCGCTCGACGATCCAGCCATGCTGAAGATTCATTTCCGAAGCGTTCTTGTGGTGTCGCAGATCGATACGCTCACCAGAATCTCGAATGACGTATCTCGCGCCAGGATGCTCATTTGGACCGTTGGCGACGAGTCTCTTGAGTTTGTCGATGTTCTTCTGAGTAACTCTCTCGGGGAAAGTCAAGGTTCGAGCAATGCTTCGAGGCACACCGACTTCATCAAGGGAGAGATTCGGGTCGCCAGTGATGACGGTACGCGCAGAGAAGTCCACACGCTTTCCCATCAGATTCTGTCGCAGACGACCTTCCTTGCCCTTGAGTCGAGCACGTATCGACTTGATGGGGCGACCACTCTTGTGTTGTGCTTTGTCCAAGCCAGCAATCTCATTGTCCATGTACGTGGCAATGTGGTACTGTAGAAGATCGCAAAGATCAACCTTGATGTGATCAGGCGTACCGTCGACTTCTGTCCGTAACACGGCTTGATTCGCTCGAATGATATCACCCAGCTTGAAGGTCAAGTCATCTTCGCCACGTTGTCCCTGCCCACTACCGTCCACACTGATGCTGGGCCGGACTGGTGGAGGAGGCACAGGAAGTGCTGTCAAGATCATCCACTCAGGACGGGCATAGTCGAGATTGATCCCCATCATCTGTAGCGTCTCGTCGGTCAAGGTGCGGAAGGTATTGAGGACATCTTGTGGGAAGATCCGCTTCTTGTCGGGTGTGGTATCTTCGTCATCATCGCCTTTTCGTGGCTTCCATGTGGCGTACAGATGAAGGCCAGTTCTACGAATATCAGGCTGGGCATTGCCACAGCCGCCATGTTTGGGTGGAGCTGGTCCTTTCGAGAGTTGATCGGCGTCTTCGGGGGGGTCTGCTTCGCAGATGTTCCTAGGCTTGCTCAGTCGCCATACGGCTTCGAACCGTCGCTTGGGGTCTCGAGTAGCGATCGCCTGCTGGAAGTCTGCATTCTATAGTTGAGAGAATTAGCAATGAGAGCATGTTGCATCGGTGGAGAGACTAACATCAAGCGCCTTGATCTTGCCACAGTTGTGGCAGACCGTCTCCAAGATCTTCTTGACTTTGTTCATGAAGCCATAGTGGAAGACGGGAGTAGCAAGCTTGATGACGCCGAAGTGACCGGGGCACTCATTCATGTTCTCTTCACAAGTACTGCACTTGAAGTTGCGATCGATTGTTCCGAGATGAGGATCGTTCGGACCTTTCTCTCGAGGTCTGAGGCGCTGCTCATCCCTGCAGCAAACACGGTTAGAAACTCATGATCCAGGAGACACGTCTTTCTTCTTATTCTCTACATACATCGTCTCAGGATATTCGATATCAATGACCGCGAGTCGCTCGGTCTCTTTCGCGGAGAAGAGGCCGAACTGAATTTCCTCGACGGTGCGCAGAGGCGCGGTGGAATGAGGGAAATTGAGGCTCGTCGTCATGATGGCGGCTCGTGTTTTTATCCCAGGAAATCACTCGAGTATCCTTGTGAGACGATTCTCCTACCGTGCACTCGATCTGAGACGATCGCAGTACTTGCGCTGGTGGCTGCGCGTTGATGGTCAGGGATGACCTTCGCCCCGTTGGGCCGCCCAAAACAACCGCCTCCCTTATTCAGCTGCGCGCTTCACCAATTCTCTTGAATGTGATCCAAAACTCCCTGGAAAATAATCGGCTCGCCGTCTAGAGCGCGTAGAGGCAGGCGCGCGATCGTTTCGAGATGGTCGAGGGTGGGTGGTGGTTGAGGATGAGGATGAAGACGAGGCAGAGATGATGGCGAAGATTTTGCCAGTGATCAAGGGCGAGCGCAGGCAGACAGCCGCCATGCCATTTACGGCGAGTCCGATGGACCAATCGGCGTCCTCGCTAGCGCTGTGCACGACAAACAGGACAAAATGATTCACCGTATGGATCTTGGCGCATGCCAAGGCGCAGATAGGAGGCTGCCTTTTGTGAATCACCATCTCAATGACTCTTCCCTTCACAATGGTGACAGGCAATGAACAATGCATTGATCAAATGAGTCACTTCCATTTCTGAAGATGTGGTTTTCAAAGTCACAAGTTTATGGATCAAACATGAAGATGTCACCGCAGGATCTGTGTAGAGACAGCATGAGCCTTCTGACATTCTGGCAGGAACAGCCAGCGTCTTCAAGCTACCTTCTGTCTACCAGCAACCAGTGACATTTGACAATTTCCGAGCATGCGTCTGATCGAAGTAGCATAAGCTGGAATAGTGTCCTCTCGTGATTTCAAGATACAGGTGTGATGTTACTTCGATTGAAATACACGTGAACCTTTTCACTCGTCTGGATAGCACTGCCTGGTGCAAGTAAAGTATGTACTGGACCAGATGTCCATTTCAAAGTCCACAGAGGGATCTCGTTTAGGACATCTTCTTGCCTTTGCTACTTCTCGTCGTCTGCCACTATCGCTCGTCCTCGTACTCCTTAAAGTTTGTAGCAACTATCCCTTGCGCGTCATGGTGAGATACTCAGCAGTAGTACGGGGAAGCACATGGACCGAGTCTGACATCAAGACATGGCGACTTTCAAGGAATGGAATTGGTTGGTCTCTCTTCCATCACGCAACAACAAGATGAATTTGGCATTGATTGATCCGTTTCAACTAGCCCAAGACTCTCCGGATGCACTTACAAACGATCTCAGTACGTACAGTCGGCCCTAGGGGTGGAGACACAGACTGACTCGCGACAGGATCCGGCCATGCGACAACCCTCAGATTCAGTCGCAAGGGCGATTATCTCGCCTCAGGCAGGGTCGATGGGAAAATTGTCATCTGGTGAGTCTATTCGTGCTGGGATATAGGATTTCCATCACGCCTATCGAGGACAAAGTGTCTGATTCACGGCCCCTGAAACTAACACACTGCTTGTTCGAAGGGACATGGAGACCTACGGCATTGGCATGAAACTGAATGGTCACTGGAAACAGATCCAAAGTCTGAGGTAGGTGTAGAGGCCCTCAACTTATTGACCCCGTCTGACATGTCGCCCTCAGCTGGTCTCGAGATGGCCGGTATGTCCTCTCGGCCAGTCAAGACTGTCGGGCCTGCTTGTGGGACCTACAAACCCAGGAACGCATCCGCACAGTCAAATTCGAAGCGCCCATCTACACGGCTGAACTGCATCCGTACAACCACAACCTCTTCGTCGCATCACTGTTCGAAGACCGGCCTTATCTGGTCGACATCACGGAACCCATCGCGGTCAAGCGCGTCCTGCCAACCACGCCGCTCAGTGACGATGGCCTACCTCGAGCAGAAAACAAGCAAGCCACCACCTCCGCCATCTTCTCGGTGCTCGGAAACCACATCATCACGGGCACGTCGAAGGGGTATATCAACATTCTGGAGACGGAGTCCCGCAAAATCATCCACTCCACCAAGATCAGCAGCGGGCTCATCTCGCTTCTCAGACTGACGACGAATGGCCGTCAACTCTTGGCCAACAGCACCGACCGCATCATCCGCACGGTCAACCTGCCCGATCTTAGCATCATCCGCGCGTCCTCGTCCCCACACACGGATGACACCGACCACCCCGACCCAGCCACGCTGGCAGAGAACATCCACCTGACAATCGAGCATAAGTTCCAAGATCTGGTCAACCGACTGCGCTGGAACCACTGCGCGTTCAGCCACTCCTCCTCGACAGGCATCGCCGACTACGTGACCGCCTCGACATACATGAAGAAGGACATCTACATCTGGGAACTACGGACCAACTCGCTCCTCCGCATCCTGGAAAACCGCGAAGAACCGGCCATCATCGAGTGGCACCCTTCTCGGCCTCTCCTGGCCTGCACATCGATCGAGACCGGAAGCATCCAGATCTGGGGCATCGAGCCCCAGCAGAAATGGTCCGCCTTGGCACCCGATTTCACCGAAGTGACCGAAAACGTCGAGTACATCGAACGCGAGGACGAGTTTGACGAGTACCCCCAGGAGGAGCATCAGAAGAGACGGTTAGACCGAGAGGACGAGGACGTGGATATTTTGACGTGAGTTTGGCTTTTTTCCCTTCCTTGTCCTGTCTTCTCTGCGCCATCGCTGATCGTTGTCCTGTAGCATCGAAGCCAAACCCGAAGATGCCTCGTTTGTGCTGCCTGTCTTGTACGACATTGAGGACTCCGAGGGTGACGACCAAGAACTCGTCCGTCACGGCGTGGGCACCATGCGGAAGAAGGACGTCAATGAAGGCAAAGAGTACGAGAACGACGGCGACGAGGTGCCCAAGACCGTGCGGAAGCGGAAGTATTGATTCCTGCATTCCCCACTCCCACCCACACTCGACAAGGTAGGACAAGATAAAATTGGTATTGGGGCAGCAGGTGACGCTTTAGAATCGGCGTTGGCGTCGGCCTCAGCATTGGCGTTTTGGAATGGGATTCCGACTAGGCACCGGTCTATGGTGACGATGATATTGGCTGGCCGGCGGTTTGATTCTAGGGGAACCCGTCGATTGGCGCCATATGGATGAACAGACGCTTGCGCTTCAAGGGCTTCGTTGTAATCCAACGGGTGCGCCACACGCTTCTAGCACGAAGCACAGCGCACACACCTGCAACGACTGAATTTGTCTACGTACTTACTATATGCGACGGTCAAACTTGCCTGCGTGCCCAACTCTACGATGGTGCTTCCATACCTGGTACATAGTCATTCACACCGCCCGTCCAGACATCACTGATTCACTGAAACAGAAATAGAATGTCCAAACGACGTGTGCCAGCCACGCAGATCAGCGTCAGAACCCGGCTCGCATGCAAGCTCCTTCTCAATTAGGCATGCTGTATCCTACTGTGTGGTGCCGCCATGCCGTCGTGCGTCCCTCCCTTGAGCCCCTGATGGTGCCTATCCATCCGTCCGATGCTGGAAGCCTGGCGTCAACTGCCGAGGCCGCTCTGGAATCCTCGGTCTCCTGTAAGCGATGCGAGGCGCTTCAACACATTCGACGACGATTCATGGTACAGTCCGGTTATCATCCAACTTGCTGACATGGTCTTCCAAGCGAAGTTTCCCGCCCGGCAGCTAATATACGACAGTCGCACCAAGGAACGCAAGCTTTGTGGCAGCTGAAAGCTGAAAGCTTGGTCGCACGCCTCACCGAGCCAGGGCACGCACCCACTGTTAGCCTCGTAACTCGTCGATTGCGATGCGAGCACCGGTTGGCTTGAGACTTTCGATTTACTGGCCGCCGACGTCACGCGTGTCGACCTTCTAGATCTTACAAAACGAGCATCCCGTCTTAGCGAGTATCGCTGTGGTGTTGATAAGAAGACCACGAACCGCAACATATTGCTCTTTACACATCCTTCATCTCATCTGTGCGACGGTTCGAACGGTCCAGGTGGAAAGGCTACCTGCCGCTATTTGCAAGGCGTAGGAAACATTCTCAAGACATTCGACAGACTCAACAAGGCTTCGAACACTCTTGTCTAAATAGTATTCCCAAGCGAAATACGGTTCGACCAGACACCACAGGGCTCCTGGCCATCGGTATCCAGATCGTGGAACCTCCACATATCTCGAATCTGAAGAATGTCTCTCTCAATCCTCCTTTCGCCAGCCGATGGGATATACCGCCCTGGATCGGCTGTGCGCGGCACAGTCTTTCTGACCTCCTTGACGTCCATCGCCATCGGCTCGATCGACGTCACATTGACCGGCTTCTCTCGAGTCACCTTGACGCAGAACTATGGCGACCTCAACGTTTCCAATTCGGACTACCACTCTCGAGCTGTTCTTTTCCATCGCGACGCAGTACTGTACACCGGTGGCAAGTGGACGCACCAGGCCGGGCAGTACAGTTGGGAGTTTGATGTCCAAGTCCCCTCGACTGCGGAGCGCAGAAACGGATATGCATCGCAGTGTCCATTTCTGGCCGGCGGAAATGCGCCACCGGACCACATTGATCAAGACGCACGACGTCTGCCGCCAAGTATGCTGTACACTTGTCGCAGGTTCGGCTGTCAGGTGGAATACGTGTTGGAAGCGACCTTGACCTCGCCGGCCGGGAGTGCAGTGAGGCCGAAGAAACTCGCCGCGAAGACGAGCATCCTCCTTCAGCCTGACCAATGTTCGAGTGCCAGCCCAGACAGCCCTGAGAGACAGTCGTATGTTCGGCACGAGCAGATCGTGCAAAGCGCAAAGCTAAAGTCGAATCCGTTGGAGCAGACGCCACTCTCACGCCTTCTCAAGCTGTCCAAATCGAATCAGCTTAGCACCCCCAAGACCATCGCTTCAGGCATAGTTCCCTCTCTCAACATCTCTGTCCATTTGCCCACGAAGATCGAGGTCATGGAAGACTATTCGACAGTCAGCATCTTGCTGTCAGCCAGGTTGGGCAACAGCGGCCGTCAAGATGGAATGGGCAACGGGCAAAGCCCGACTCGTTGTGCCGCGCCGACACTCACGATGAAAGCCATGAAAATCGCAGTCACCCAATTTACTCATGTCCGAGCCGGACACCACACGTCAACCTCGACTCGAAAAACCTATACGAGAAAGACGAACTGTTCGTTTCCAGTCCGCGTGTCCCCAAACGCAGATGAGCGGGGCACAGAGAACGCCAGAGATCAGGGCGCCATCAATCTTGGTCAAGTCACCGAGCTGCGTATAGCCAAGGAATTCCTTGTGGTTGATTTCGCGACCAGTAACATCTCCATCGAACATGCCCTGGATATAGAACTTGGCTTTGAGTATGAAGGCAAGAGTTTCAAGTTCGTCCGCAGGGACGTCCCCATCAAAGTGCTACCGATGTCGACGCAGGGCGCAAGGCAGCGGCCGGAAACCGTCGGCAGTGGAGGCCTCGCCACGCGACCGTTCAACCGCGCCACTCTGTCCCAGACCGCAGTGGCTCAGCTTGATCGTCCCGAGGATACCTGGCTTGTGCCACCGCCAGAACCTGAAGGAAGCGGTGTCCTCGAACGCGAGACCGACGCATGGTATTCAATTCCTCCGCCAAGGTATATGCTCAGGGTTGCGTGAAGAAAAGTTTCCGCACAGAACCGATCACGTACCATGCCAAGGGATTGCGTATGGGTTGCCTCGTCATTTCTGTATATGGTCATGATGCTGGAAGTTCCTGGCGTGGGGACGGTCTTTCTCGGGAAGCGGCTTCAGCACGTCGCACGGACGCAATGGAGGCATCGGCCTCGACGGCATGTTGCCTACTGTAGGGCGACTGATATGCCCAGTCGTCCTGGGTGGGCTGATACCGATCACCTGGAGCTTTCTGAGAATTTGCAACAAGAGGATAGCCATAGCTGTCGGCATTGGACAAGCCAGCCTTCGTTGCACGGTGGTGCCGTTTCTCCCGGAAAAGGAGAAAAGATAGAACGCCAACAATTGCCAGCAACGGAAGTCCAACCCCCAACCCGGCGCCGAGTCCTGTCGTCAAGACTGCAGAATCGTCGGCGACCTCCCGCACCGGTAGGGTAGTAGGATTAATCGCAGTCGTTGCAGTAATGGTCAGGGGCGAACCAGAGATATCTGTCGTAAAGGTCAATGTCTGGGTTGGTATCGCTGTCGGAGTGGCTCCGTCGGTGATGATGCTCGCAAGAGGTGCAATGCTGCTTCCGGGTTAACACTCGAGACTTGTACGCGGACGGACGGAAGGCCGTGCAGTTTCTGCGTAACAAGCGATCTGGGTAGGTTTTGGGATGTGCTCACCTGTAACCCTTTATAAACGCTGACCCATTCTGAACTGCTGCAAGTTCGAGGATAGGGAACAGATTTATTCCCTCATCTTGGCAACACGAGGTCGAATTGGCTACACCGGCTGCACAACACCACTTGTTGTTGCTGCACCGATATACGGTACTTGGACCGGCGCGCCGAACAGGGTCGAGACATCGAGGAAAGCAGGACTGGTCCTGCCACGTGCCATCGGTGCATAACCCTGAGTTGAGGGACGTACTGTTCTGCTGCCATGTTAGTGGTTGTGAGGTTGACGGGGTCAGCATGCGAACCTCGACAAGGCATAATCCGTTCTTCAAGCAGGTTTCGCCCGTACGACAGCAATGTGTCACGTTGGCAGCGGGGAGGCATGGTTGAAATGCTGAATTCGAAGTCTGCGTTCCGTCCTGTACTTGATGTTCAGCGCGTACTCGCGCAAGACTCTCTTGCGCAATCCAGTCCTTCGCGCACAGGCTCCTTGCTGATGGTACACACTTACCGGATTGAAGCAAACGTCAGTCGCAGCCTTGACGAAGGCACCGAGGTTGACAAGTAGAAGAGCAGCAGCGACAGAGTAGAGCATTTTGGTCTAGCAGTGAGTGCTGGAATCTTTAGTGAATGTGATCGCGGAAGACAAGTTAGGAGATGAGATTGTGCCCTGGACATCATTGATATTGAAGTCGATGTTTTGCCTCGAAGTTGCCGCGTACTATGCCGCAGCTAGGGCCACCTGGACGGTTCGAAATGCCAGGATCTTCGCCGACTGTGCCATGTCTAAGGCTTGTGCGAGGGAGGCCTTACAGCCTCGCCACAGACGGCGTCGATAACCGAAGCTTATTCGACGGTGATTCGGTTGCCCATCTTCCAGCTCCTGCAGGAGTTGGCCAATCATGGTTGAGAAGAGAAAGACTCGTCAATCACTTGCATTAAATGGCAAGCGTTCACCCATTGAAACAAAAGGGCCGTCTTCGAGCCGACTGGGACCAGGGTGAGTTTGTGATCAGGCACCGAATCTGATGTCCAGGGGATTGCCCAGCTGAGCATGAGGTTCTGGAAGCAGGAGATTGGCTCTCGTGAAATGGCCGTTCAAGTGCCTCGCTGGATACAGAAATGTGGCTCGAGGCAGATCAACGTGTGGCATTGTCAAGGGTTTGCAAATCGGCCTGCGGCCCCAGTCATCAGGACCCACCTGCCGCCACTGTACGACGGACACTCTTGAGAGCACAGCGTCTTCTCGGGAGTAGCACGAAATGGTGGCGATCAGTCAATTGCGGCTCGAAACAAAGAAAATAAACGAGGGACGAAGGGAAGTTGGTCACGTGAAATGTGGAGCGGCATCTGCGCGATGTGCTCGGCTCGGCTAACTTTCCCTTGGGAAATAATTTTTGCGGAGGCAGTCGGAGGGTTTCGTCTGTTCATTTCTTCATTACTTCATTTCTCGCTCCATGTCTCGGGGTTTCTGTCACGCCCTGCTGTGTCCAGTATCCTCTTTAGTCGTGAAGATGAAGTGTTGAGAAGGACGGCGGTGCCATTATGGCTTCAATCGATGACCTCTTCCGCAAGCCCAATGTCCTTCCCAAGCGAAAACTGGAGGATCCAACCAAGTCCTTCTCCAATGCCCTCTCCAATAAATCTGCGAAATTGGCCGAAGGCTCCTCCCCACGAAGTTCAACCAACGGCTCTCACGACGCGACCACCTCCGACGCCTCGAATGGCCGGGCTGCCTCAGTACAAGACGAGCCACTAGATGACCAGGACGCCGTCGAGGCTGGTCCCGCGCTTCCCTCGGCGGATGTCGAGGACGATGCCGGAGACGATGAGGAAGGCCGCTTTTTCGGCGGCGGTGTCACGAAGCAAGAACGTGAAGTCATAGACTACATTGACAAGAACGAGAGCGGAGAGGTCGAAGAAAAGATCGACTCTGCTTGGCTGCGTCGGACAGCCATAAATTTTGAGCGAAAGATCAACAAAAATGCCGAGCTACGCGCCAAATACGAAGGTGACCCTATGAAGTTTGTGGGTAGCGAGGCAGACCTCGACGCTGAGATTAAAGGCCTGAGTTTACTCAGCGAGCATGGTGAATTATACGCCGAATTTGTGAAGATTGGTACCGCGGGTAGTCTGGTGGGCATTCTTGCGCATGAAAACACCGACATCGCCATTAGTGCCTGCGAGTTGCTCGCAGAACTTACAGACGAAGACTCATCCACAACAGAGGAGCAATGGAACACTTTGGTCAATGCCTTAATCAAAGCTGACGTTGTTGACCTCTTATCTAGCAACCTCGGTCGACTTGACGAGTCCACCGAGGCCGATCGCGCAGGTGTTTATCACATCCTCAATGTCCTCGAGAACATCCTGTCCGATACGGAGAATTCGGAGATCGTTGGAGCAAACAAGGCCATGTTGGAGTGGCTTCTGTCGAGGATAAAGAAGCCAGACCCAGATGCCAGAGCGAAGGTGGGGCAGAATCGTCAATACGCAGCCGAAATACTTGCTATACTGCTGCAAAGCAACAAGAGGAACCGAGATCGGCTAGCACAGAAAGAAGGAGTCGATGCCTTGCTCGAGCTCGTCAGTGCGTACCGTAAACGAGACCCGGAGAAGGACTCGGACGAGGAAGAGTTTGCAGAGAACCTCTTCGACTGTTTGGCTTGTGTGGTCGAGGAAAGGTTCGCCGGCGAAAAGTTTGTGGAGGGCGAAGGCGTGGAGTTGTGTCTCATTATGCTCCGAGAAGGGCGATTATCCAAGGCACGGGCTCTGCGAGTACTCGATCATGCTCTGAGCGGAGGTAATGCAACTGCGGTATCCATCAGGCTGGTGGATGCAGCAGGATTGAAAACAGTCTTTGGTATGCTCATGAAAGGGCACAAAATGGAACGCAGCCTGGTCGAACACATCATCGGGATTCTGGCAAGCCTGTTGAGATACCTACCAGGAGGATCTGCAGAGCGCATCCGCACATTAGCCAAGTTCGTGGAAAATGACTACGAGAAAATCACCAAGTTGGTGGAGCTACGGCGCGAGTACAAGGCTCGGCTTAGCAAGGTCGATGCGGACATCCGGAGAGACCGAGAAGGCCTCAGTAAAGCGGAGGCGGAGGCGAGGGCGGATGAGTGGCTCTCTCGGCGACTTGACGCTGGCCTGTTCACTCTACAGGCGATCGAGTTGATCCTCAGCTGGATGGTGGCGGAGGACAATGGCGCGAGACAGACCATTACAATCCTTCTGGGCGAAGATGGGCTTAAGGTTCTTGAAAGAAGCCTCAAAGATCAGCTGGAAGGCATGGATCCGGGAGGCGGCGATGAAGCCAAGGCAACGGAGGAGATGCTCGAGGCTTTAATCCTGTGCGTGGAGTCATGAAGCCTGGTGTTTTGTGAATGAGAGATCTAATGAGACACTAGGGAGGACGCCGTTGCTGCTAGCTGACACGCGCGTAATGAGATACCCTTTTCTTCTTCGATCTCTCACTATCTTCTCGATCGTCTTTCACTCGTAGTCAGTCTCGTCGTCTTATGTCGGAATGTGGCTAGTGGCTCTGTAGCTCGCCGTACTACGGTGAAACACGGGTGAGATTCACGCAGTCTCGCTCGATTTGTTCTTTCGCGACGCAGCCCAAAAGTTACCAGAACCATCCCTCGAACCACGAACACTTGACAAGCGTCCGTTGCGGACTCCTTTCACCTGCGGCCGGGGATCACTGACAGTCTCTCACTCTGTGAGTGATCTTGGAGAGGAATCTGAAGTCTTCACTGACATCTCAGTGCCTTCGTGTCAGCGCATTCCAACACGCCTGAGTTGCGCCTCGCGGGCGATCAACTTTGCCTCTCCCACCGTCGTTCCTCTACATCCCATCGATTCCGTTGTCGGCCGCCCTCCGTCTCCGAGCGATCCGCCCGAACCCCAGCCGCCCGTCATGGCGGACTACGATGAAAAGTATGAGCTGAACGGCTATGGTGAAAATGGCGCCTACGATGAAGTTGACGTCGGTCAAGATGATATCACATCTGAAGATTGCTGGAAGGTCATCAGTTCGTTCTTTGAAATCAAGAAACTCGCGTCTATGCAGATAGACTCGTTCAATCACTTTATGAGGGCTGGATTACAAGACCTCATCAACGAGAAGGGCGGCGTCACACTTGACCATGCCCAAAATGTCGACGACGACGACCCAAATCCTGTTGTCATTAAGCGACACGAAGTCAAATTTGGCAAGGTTTCTCTCAGCAAGCCCAACGTGACCGAAGTCGAGGGTACCACAGCAGATTGCATGCCTCATGAAGCCCGGATGCGAAGTCTGACCTACGCGAGTCCCGTCTTCGTGAGGATGAGCAGAAGAACATGGTACGCGAAGGAAAAGCCGTGGCAGGAAGACTCAAGATACGAGGTTGTTCAGAGTCAGAGAGACGATGGCTCTCAGCTGTATTGGAGACAGAGCGACGACCCCGATGATAACGAAGCTGAAAAGGACGTTTTCCTCGGCAAAGTCCCTATTATGGTCAGAAGTATGACCTGCCACTTGGTGAGCGAACAGTTTCAAGGCGAGAGAGACTTGTTCGCGTGGGGAGAGTGCCCCTACGATCAGGGTGGCTACTTCATCATAAACGGCAGCGAAAAGGTCCTCATTGCGCAGGAACGGAGTGCCGGCAATATCGTGCAGGTGTTCCAGAAGGCAGCGCCGTCTCCATTCACCCACCTTGCCGAAATCAGATCCGTCATTGACAAAGGTGCCCGCATGATGTCGCAATGCACAGTCAAACTCTTTCGAAGAGTCGACGGTCCCGATGGTACCAAGATTGACAATCCTATCCGGGTCCAGCTTCCCTACGTCAAACAGGACATTCCCCTTGTCATCGTCTTTCGCGCCTTGGACATCGTCTCCGATGCAGATATCCTAGAGAAGATCGTGTTCGACCAAAGTGACAAAGAGATGATGGATATGCTGATGGGCTCGCTACAAGAAGGTCAGGCTATTCAGGGCGCGGACCTGGCTCGTGACTTCATCGCACGCCGAGGAACTGTTCCCACGCTCAAGAGCCACGAACGACAAAAACACGCCATCGATATTCTGACGAAGGAGTTTTTGCCTCACATCGGCCAGACCGCGGATGCCACTGCCCGCAAAGCGTTCTTCTTGGGCTACATGATCAATCGGTTACTAAAGTGCGCTCTAGGGCGAGCCGAACCCGATGATCGAGATCACTTGGGAAAGAAGCGGCTTGACCTTGCCGGTCCTTTGATGACAAACTTGTTCCGCTTGCAACTCGACAAGGCGACCAAAGACTTCTATCGATACATGACGAAGCGCGTAGAGGCTGGCCAACAGATCAACATGACAGCCGGGTTCAAAAACCAGATGATCACAACCGGGCTGAAGTATTCATTGGCCACTGGCAATTGGGGCGATCAGAAGAAACTGGACAAGGCGAAGGCTGGCGTGTCTCAGGTGCTCAGTCGTTACACTTTTGCCTCTACCTTGTCTCACCTTCGTCGAACCAACGCACCCATCGGCCGAGAAGGCAAGATTGCAAAGCCTCGCCAGCTCCACAATACCCATTGGGGTTACGTTTGCCCTGCTGAAACGCCTGAGGGTCAAGCTTGCGGTTTGGTCAAAAATCTGTCACTGATGTCGATGGTCACAAACGCGTATGAGACCAAGCCATTGACGGACTATATCATGTCTCTGAATGTTGAGGCGCTAGAAGATTGGGAACCTCGATTAAATCCTCAAGCCACCAAAGTCTTCGTGGACGGTGTGTGGTTTGCTGTTGTTCTGCGAGATCCCAAGCGATTGGTAGATGACCTTCGCAAGCTACGACGAAAGGGCACGTTCGATCAGCAAGTCAGTCTGGTCTGGGACATCCGAGAAAAAGAGTTCAGGGTCAGTGGTGACTCGGGCAGGATTATTCGTCCGCTTTTTATCGTCGAAACAGATCGAGGCTCACCTAATCGGGGGAATCTTGTCCTCAACAAGGAACACATCCAGAGGCTGGACAACACTGCCATCCTGAAAGAGGACGGCTACGATTGGTCAGAAGTCAAACCGTATGGCTGGAACGAGCTCTTAGAGGATGGTGTTGTCGAATACCTCGACGCCGAAGAGGAAGAGACAGCCCTGATCATCATGAGCCCCGAAGCCTTGTCAGATGCCAACGCGAAGAAGGCGGGCCTTGACATTGAGCCAGAAGACGACCCATTGCGAAGAAACGATCCTCCACTGGTCCGCGGTGGCGAAGGCTTCACGCACTGCGAGATTCACCCCAGTATGATCTTGGGTGTCTGTGCCAGTATCATTCCTTTCCCCGATCACAACCAGTCGCCCCGTAATACCTACCAGTCCGCTATGGGTAAACAAGCTATGGGCGTCTTCCTCACGAACTTCGACCAGCGTATGGAGACGATGGCGAACATTCTCTATTACCCTCAGAAGCCGCTTGCCCGGACCATGGCAATGGACTACCTAAAGTTCCGAGAACTTCCTGCGGGACAGAACGCGATTGTCGCGATCGCATGTTATTCCGGCTACAACCAAGAAGATTCCGTCGTCATGAACCAGAGTTCTATCGATCGAGGCCTTTTCCGGTCGCTGTTCTACCGAACATACCAGGATCAGGAGAAGATTGTTGGCCATGCAGTGCTCGAGCAATTTGAAAAGCCCACGAGAAGTGACACACTTCGTCTCAAGCACGGCACCTACGACAAAATCGATGAAGATGGTATTGTCGCGCCCGGCGTGCGCGTCAGTGGTGAAGATATCATCATGGGCAAGACTGCACCCATGGCACCAGATGCAGAAGAACTGGGGCAAAGACAGAAACAACACATCAAGAGAGATGTATCGACACCTCTACGGTCTACCGAGTCGGGCATCGTCGATCAAGTCATGCTGTCGACGAACTCTGAGGGTAATCGATTCGCAAAGGTCAGGGTCAGAACGACAAAGGTACCCCAAATCGGCGACAAGTTCGCATCGCGCCACGGTCAGAAGGGTACCATTGGTATAACCTACCGACACGAGGATATGCCCTTTACACGGGAAGGCATTGTTCCAGATCTGATCATCAACCCGCACGCCATTCCCTCACGCATGACGATTGCGCATTTGATCGAGTGTCAACTCTCCAAAGTCGCCACGCTCAGAGGAGACGAAGGCGATGCCACACCATTCACAAAAGTCACCGTGACTCAGATCTCGGAACTGCTCCGACGGATGGGGTACCATTCCCGCGGCTTCGAGGTCATGTACAACGGGCACACAGGGCGCAAGCTCGTCGCTCAGGTTTTCCTGGGTCCCACATACTACCAGCGTCTAAGGCACATGGTCGACGATAAGATCCACTCTCGTGCCCGCGGCCCTACGCAGATCCTGACGCGCCAACCTGTCGAGGGTCGCGCCCGGGACGGTGGTTTACGGTTCGGAGAGATGGAGCGCGACTGCATGATTGCGCACGGTGCATCTTCGTTCCTCAAGGAACGCCTCTTTGACGTGTCGGATCCGTTCCGTGTCCACGTATGTGACATCTGCGGCCTGATGACCGTCATCGCCAAACTCAAGAAGAGCACGTACGAGTGCAAGAACTGCAACAACAAGAACAAGATCAGTCAGATCCATATTCCGTATGCGGCAAAGTTGCTGTTCCAGGAACTGTGGAGCATGAATATCGCGGCACGGTTGTACACCAAGAGAGCAAAAGATGACAAGGCCGGGCTGTAAAAGGGATGGGGCACGAAGACCAATGATCAAAGGATAATGTAGTCTTGAGATTAGAGACTGGCAACTAGTGAATGGATCGCTTGGCGTTCGTTAGCATCCGGTTCAGGTGGGAAGGATAGTATCTTGAACGAGCGTTTCTCCGGTTTCCTAGACAGAATGCTCGACAGGGGACCGAAGACGGGCAGTGTTACTTGTATCACAAACGAAAGAACCCCCCCATGCGGGCCATTTATTCACGACTCTTCAGCTTCCATCCTGGCTGGCTGGCGTTTCCACGCGGCTGGAGGCAGTGCAGGCTACAGTACTCCGTACCAGGCGTGCCAGATCTGGTACTGTATGTATCATTAATTACATGACCGCGTCCATCGGAAGGAGTGGCACGGGAGGCACGGGGGGCACAGTGGTTGCGTCTTCTGTAGGCTGTTTTACAGTAGACGAAGCAGTGCTCTCTCTGCCTCGTTGGTGTCCAACCAATTGATCCCTGTATCTCCAATGTCCTAAGGTATGTAGGGTATGTGGGTGAACATGCGTGGTAAATTATTTGGTCTCGTACGAGTGAGTAGCTTTGGTGGGCTGATGCGCGATGCGCGATGCTGTCTCTTTGCTTTTCTCCCGCTCCTTCAGGTTGGACCCTGCTACACAGTATTTACTGTGTGAGATGGATGACGGTGGCCTACCTACCTACGTACGGGGCTGACTTCCGGCCTGCATTGCCCGTGAGGAAGCCTGAATCGAATGTAGGTACTCGTAGACCTGATCTGCCAGAGACGGGGGACCCGATCGCTTCGGTTCCGTGGTACACAAGCCGCCCTGCTGCCGCATTGTAGTTGTCATACTGTATGTGTGTTCGGAAATCAGGTACTTAATGTGCAGGTCATCACCGGACCTCGTGGCTTTGTGTACGGTTTGAATCGCACAGACAGCGCACAAGGAGAAAGAATAACTAATATTGTTACTCCATAAATTGTTAAAGTAAATCATTACTGAAGGGTATAGAGAAGGCGACGTACGTCAATCAATCCGAGAGATCGTTCCGAACGAGATACTCTGCATTCTACTGCAACAGACCGAGTTGATGGCTCAACGATGAAATCCCTCATCCAGAGTGAATACACCTTTCGAACTCTGTCCTCACTTCTGTCACCTCTGTGGCATGACTCCAGTAGACCATGATGAAATTCATCCCCATATCGTTGAGATTTGCTCTTTTCAGACAGCGGTTTAGAGGCACCTATTACTTGATGTACCAGACCTGGTTTCTCCTTCGGTTTAAAGATGACTTGCCCATGAGTCAGCCGCTATGGTCGAGACATTCACATTGTGGGGAAATGCTCGATCTGCATGAAGGTCGTGGGTAGGTTCGCAGAAAGGCAGTTCTTGCATACTCTTCGTGGTTCGTGCATCGACAGCGCCGGTGTTATGCTCAGTATTGCGGGGGAGGATCAAAGTCACGAGAGGCAGGTGGATGAGCACTGGCCGTGGTTCCAGGGACGCCGGCAGCGCTGGCTGGATCGTCTTTCTTGAATGGGTTGTAAGACGGCTTCTGCGCACCACCGCTTTGTGCTTCGTAGGAATTGGCAGGAAGCTCGTGGGACGTGGCAACAGCGGTTCCAGCAACGGTAGCACCTGTTCCGGCTCCTACGCCAGTTGCGGCAATGTGGTGGTCGCCATGCTCTGATTCGGGCTCGTGCTCGTGGTCTTCATCATCTTCATACTCTTCTTCCTCACCGGTCTCCTTGTTCTTGCGCCTGCGGAATATTCGCTTCAAGAGCCCGGGTTTCTTCTCCGCAGGGGGGTCTTTGTGAAGCTTCGTATGCCCCGAATCGTCCGTAGCGGTAGTCGGAGGTGGGTGTTTATCCTTGTCGTGGACTTCGTACGCAGCTGCGCCGCCACCCACAGCAGCAGCCGCAGCGGCTTCTTTCTCATGTCGTTCGCGTTCTTCGCGAGCCCGCTGCTGCTGCTTCTCCTGCTCGGCAATGGCTGCCTTGTCATGTGCCATCTCTTCTTTCTCAAGCTCTTTTCGGTGTTCCTTGTCCTCCTTCTCAAGTTCTTTCTGATGCTTTTTCTCTTCCTTCTCCACTTCCTTCTGGTGTTTCTTCTCCTCCTTGGCTGCTGCCTTTTCCTCTTTTGCCTGCTTCTTCTCCTCCTTCTTTGCTTCTTTCGTGGCAGCTTTCTGGTCTTTCTCGAATTGTCTACGGCGAGCTTCCTCCTGCTCAGCTAGGTCTTTCTGTCGACGAGCCTCATCTTCCTCATGTTGTTGTTTGCCGTATTCATGGAGGCCTGTGGCACCAGCGCCAACGCCAGCCGCACCTGCGAGTGCTGCCTCTTTCTCTCTTCGCCTTCGCCGTTGAGCATCATCATCGGCTTTAGCCTGTTCTTCGCTGCGGTCTGGCGCAGTTGACGCCACGGTCCCAGTCCCCGCAGTGCCCGCACGCGCTGCCTCTTGTCTTGCTGTGTCCTTTTGCGACGGCTCTTCATATCGACTTTGGCGGTCACTGTACTGCGGCGCGGCTGATCTCTCTGAGATGGTCTGATTTGTCTTCTTTGCTGGTGGAGCGTTATAAGCGGTGTAATCCTGTTGACGAGTTTGGAGAGCAGGGTGCTTCTCCATGGCCCCTTGCGAAGTAAGTCCAGCGTTGGCGGCTGGGGCTGTAGTAGGATCATCGCGGAGAGGCCAGTCAGATCGTTCTGTTTCGCGATCATCGTGCTGCAAGCCATACAATCCGGCGGCGCCTACTCCAGCGCCCACACCCGCTGCCGCTGCCGCTTTGCCGTATCCGTGCGAGTCTCTTTCCGGTTCTGTTGTCGTTGTGACGGGTGTCTCCCTGGTGTCTCGTCCCAGATGAGAGCTATCTTGCTTGAATTCTGGTGGGACGGCAGCAGGAGCTGCTGTGTTAGCAGTCCCGTATGCCGGTGTGTCTATTGCATCTTGGCGAAGTTCCTTGTCCCGGCCATATTCATATGCTCCGACAGCTGCCGCGCCGACACCGGCTGCCCCTGCTGTTTTGCCGTATCCGTGCGCATCTCTTTCCGGTTGGGCCATTGTTGTTGCTGGAGTCTCCCTGGTCTCTCGTCCCAGGCGAGAACTATCCTGCTTAAATTCTTGTGGGATGGCAGCAGGAGCTGCTGTGTTAGCAGTTCCTTGCGCCGGTGTGTCCATTACATCTTGACGAAGTTCCTTGTCCCGGCCATATTCATGTGCTCCGACCCCGGCTGCTGCGAAAGCGGCATTGCGACCTGTGTGATCCTTGTACTCCGGCTCTCGCGAAGCGCTTGTGCCTCCAATTGGAGCATTTATAGGTGCAGGAGATTCTAGACCTGCCGGATAGGCTGTGGTTGGAATGCTTTCTTTACGCTGGTGTCGGTGCGCGGGCTCCGAGAGTTCAGGATCCGACGATACCGGAACTGACCGCGTTGGGGCGGTGTAAGAGTCAACCCCCGTAGTGGTTGTGGGTTGGGAAACGTCGTCTCTTGCCCTCGAAGAAGCGACTCCTGCGCCAGCAGCAGCGGTTCCAAGGCCGACAGCACCGAGTATCTTCCCGACGGTGCTGGTGTGTCTTGGCTCGTCCGAGCCAGGTTCCCTGGTTACTGACGCAGCGCTGGTGGCTGATTGAGCTGCAGCATTCGCATCAGGCACCTTAGTGTCCTCGGTTTGACCGTAAGTAGCAGATCGGCTAGGTGGATTGGCCGTCGACGTAGATGATGAAGGGGGAATGGTGACCGAATCGTATGCCGGTTCTTTGGGAAATGCTCCCGGAAGATTCGAGGCTATATACCTTAGCGCCACAGAATCTCAACAAAGTCCGGTCTGCAACTTACTGCTATAGTCCCTGTCCTTGTGAAACGCCGCTGCGGCTGCTGCCAACGGCCCTCCTTCGGGGATTCCCCTACTGGAGGTGTAGGAGTGTTCTGGCATTTGATAGGTGGTAGGGTCGACTGAGGTCGGGTCAACAACACCTCCGACAGTATCGCCTGGGGGAAGAGTACGTGAGCTGTAGGTCGAGGTCTCGCCAACCGCAGCACTGCCAGAACCCAGGCCTGACAATCCACTCGCTGGGGCAATTCGTTTGTCTGATTCTGCGTCTGTAGCTCCTGATAAGTGAGCATGAGGAGAGGGATATAATACTAGGACGTCGATGATGTTATGGTGAACATACCTGGAGCGAATCCAGTGGCGCCCGCACCCTGCAAACCTGTCGCGCCTGCCGCAAGCTGTTCCTCTCTCTTAGGAAAATGGGAGCCTTGTCCTGTCAATCGACCGGTTGGACCAGAGGTATCTTCAGCAGGGTCAGGGTTATCCTTGCTGTGTCATGAGATATTAGCAGCCTGGTGGGGCTTGAAAGGAAAAGTGACGCTTACACCATATTTTTGAACTTGTCCATAGTACATGTACTTGGCCTTTCGATTGCGTCAGATGCAGGGAACGAGGGTCAGGAAGCTTACGAGTAGGGGGCTTTGCACGGGCACTCCTGGGTGTACGAGTACGAGTAAAAGTCACAAGCAGATGAGGAAGCTGAAATCACGGTGAGCTTCTTGGTGGCTTCACTGCCATCTTGGTTGCGTCATAAAGAGGAGACGAGGCACGAGGAGCACCCGATTTCGGTTGATGGCGGTTGGACTGGAAGCCTTGTGAGGCTACGTTCACGCCACATACAGAACAGCTTATGCCTCGATTGGACTTTGGCCAACCTTGATTCGTGATGGAGAGCCAAAACGATGATGATGGAGAGGAGGCGGGGTGAACCCGGCCGCGCAAGAAGCAGGAAAGTTGGCTGCTTCGAGCACAAATGAAGTCATTCAAGGTGTAAAACGGTCATTTTGAGCGACGTGATCTGAGGATCCGCCAATAGTGGTTCGCTAATCAGATTTGAGATGCAACCAATGCCGCCAAAGTACGGAGTACGGAGTATCGACATGCACATCATCCTCGGGGACCATTTGATGTGCTGTGAGATCCGGATCAAAGACGCGCTGGAACATCGTTGTTCCCGGCGTGTGTTGCGCGGCTCCAGATCGGGAAAGGTGAGTCGGGTGGGACATTCAGTGGCAAGCGCAGTGGCGCCTCGCCGAGATTCTTCCGTCGTGCTGATAATCTCGTGACTCTCTCTTGCCATCACGTGTTTTAAGGTGGGAGTCGACCTAGGCCTGTACGATACCACTGTACGGAATTCTGGTAGAGAGGGTCAACAAGACCTGAGAAGCTCAAGTGCCAAGGGACTCGGCCACACGCAGATCTCTGGTACCGTGGAGTGACAAGACTCGTTTAGGCCGTGGTGCAGGCAAGCTGAAAAGTTGCAGAAGCAATAGACAAGGACTTCAGCGGCCTTATCAGCAGGAAGAAACCCATGCATTTGCTATCTCGTGCATCTCGGGCGTTCACGGCGGATTTCGTCAGTGCGAGCACGCCTCGCAAGCAAGCGATGCGACAGGTGTGAGCACGTTTTCGGGGCGGCCACCGCGTGCTGATAGGCATGGACTTAGCCTGATAAGCCGTCGTATTCCAGGCGTCCCCATGCAAGGCACAGGCGATTGCCACCCAACCAAAAGTCTGGAAAGCCGCTGGGGCCAGTGCACAACTCCCGGAAAAAGCGTTGTTCTAGAAGGTGACATTTCCTTCTTCGATCGGCACCGCCAACACGAGCCAAACCTGCAGCTTACGAGGCTCGACAAATTCTCTACGTGCGAAAAAAAGTCACGGTCAGCACAGAACAGCTTCCTTGTTACAGGCCATGGTTTACTGCAAACGAGCACATCGTCCGTCCGGGGTATCAGGCACGTTGCATTGCATTTGAGCGGCAACGGGCTGTCTCCACGGGGTCAGAAAGCAGGGAGAAAGGTTGCCTTGCCTCCGGAAAGCGGGCAGGTTAGTGAGGTAGGATTGAGGCCGCTCAGACCGACCGCGATTCGCGCAGCGTTAGCACTTGAATCCTCCACACTTCCTCCGCCCGTGTCAGTGGCTAACCAGTAGACGAGACCCGTTCGGAGCCCACAGAAGGAAACCTATCGGTGCGACACACGGCGGAATAGTCGGATTGCTCGCGCTTGGCCGCCTTGAGTCCCCTTCGAGCCCTCCCTCGCCTTCCAACCCTCGCCTCCCTCCGTCCCGGGTTTCGCGTTATGCTACGTACCGAGCTGCCCATGCCCAGAACTGCGATAGAAGACACGGATGATGGCGCACTTGTGGACACTACACCTGGTTTCGGGATCAAGTGGGCAGGTAGGCAGACCTTGTCGTCTTATCCTGGGCCCTCTCATCGGGTTTGTCTCCAACTCCTCCGGACACTCCACTACCTTGTACCAGACTTCAGCATAACTCCTTGGGCCCACTGTACACGAGTAGCATTACCATAACCTTCTGCCTCGTGCCCGTGCCCGTGCTCATGCTCATACTCATTGACTGACCCTGATCTGCTGTCTTGCCAGCGGCAACCTCAGTTGATGCCATTCTTATGAAACTGAACATCCTAGACCTTATCCGTCCCTCCGATCTCACTTTCCGGAGCATACCCATCCCCTACTTCGACTGGATTTGTACCTGCTAAGGCACGCTATCTGTACCAACTACGAAAAGTGTCCTTCGAACCGCGAGCCATCCGGACACGAAATCAGGTCTACCTTGTCGACAACCACCCTTGTACACACCTACCGTGTCACACATAAACATAAACAAGATGGGCCTCCGTGTCAGGTTACGGAAAACGTTCTCCTCCAACACGAAAAAGAATAGCACTTCGTCCCAGACAGGCCCCAACGGCGAAACCCTGTACATGCACCGTACCGATATAGAATACTACAAACCCAACGAGATCCCCAAGTCGAAGTACCGCGGCAGGGTGGACCCGGAACACCAAGCCTCCTTACAAGCATTCAGTCTTGCAGACGCATTTTCATCCGCGCAGCGGCGGACTTCGTTGGCCCTCAGTGGTACATTCTCGCCTGGGGGGACGAAGAGCCAGAGCGCCGCAGCGAGCAGGGCGCACAGTCGGGCGGCGAGTCGCCGGCCAAGTGTACACGAACACTCGGGCTTGAGGCAGCACAGCGAATTGGATGATGAGGCGAGCAGTACAAGCAGCACGAGCAGGGAGAAGAGCGTCGCTGCCAGTACGATCCTCGATGCCGGCACGGCCAGCAGTACGACTTCCCCATCCCCTTCCTGTCTCACAACATGATACTGTGGTTTGCATTGCTGACACTCATGCTTGTAGCGTCGCTATCAGGCCAACCAACCGCTGTCCCTTCCGCGCCCGCCGAACCAGATAAACTCGTCCAGCATGATAGTGGCATCGACATGGCGGGTCTGTCGAAGCAAGCCACCGCACACGACACTCCATTTACCCCGGAAGAGCTGGAGCAAGCCATGACGCGGGCAACCCTGAAGAACAGGTTCTCCGGCGAGAGGCGTATCGGAATGGCCTTATGATATCGCCGGACCTGGTGAAATGTGAAATGGAATTACGAATTACGTACACGGACATCGGGTTCACACGGACTGCACAGGCAAACTCAACATCGACGACTGTCTTGTCACGTGAGATCTCTACTACGGCTGGAATGACTATTCTAAAAGACAAATTATGTCACGTTATGTCATGGTACCTTATAGACGCATTTGGTGGCGTTAGGGCAAGTGCCTCGAAGGACTCGTGGGCTGGTGGGCTGGAGGACTGGTCTGCTGGGCAGTCGAGTTCGTAGCAGTGTCTGCTACTGACAGAGTACTACAATCCAGCAAGCATGGATACCAACTACGATTGAGTATCGTCCGAGTGGAGGCGAGCGCCTCGCCTCGCCTCGCCTCACGTTCTCTACCCGCCAGCATCGGCAACTCTCGTTCGCGTGCCAAAACTCTAAACACCTCTTCTCACATATCCCTCATATAGTCCATTTACCTCCCCGCCGCGTCCTAGGCGGAACCCTGTGTAGTCATTCTCTGCACAGGACGTTGTGTGACAGATCATGAGATACCGCTGTATTCGCACACGAGCTCAAATACCCTGTAATGTGGCGAAGTCGCGGCTTAGCTCTCGATGCACCGGCATCCTGCCGGCGCAATTCTTGTCGGCGGCGCCATTTGTTATGGCATGAAGATTCTTCGCCTTAAAGTGCCATAGAGCTTCATGCAGCTGGCTTGGAGGCTAAATCAGCTTCATGGGGAATATCTGAGGGTCCCTTTCCTCGACTTCAAGATCAAAGGCGGGTGGCGTCTTGCCTGAAGCGGTCGCCCTTCCGGCCTGCAAGGACGGCACTTTGACACCAAGATTGGCAACATTACGGCCGCATTGCTTGGATCACCCAGAATGGAGGAAACAGCAGATCAAGGTCGATTCCTGCACCTTTCCTCGCCCGGCGCCCTCAGTCGTCCGTGTGGGTGACAGCCATATCAAGTACCTCGAGCCTTCCGCGGCCTTTCATTTCAGCCGCAATGAACTCGCCTAGGGACTTGAACGCGCCGGGCTCGACGAAACCAATGACCTCCCAGTCTTCGCCTTGCACTTCCTGACTCTCGACTTGCTCCACAAAAGATAGGATGCGGTCCTTGATCGTGCCCTTGGCTGCTCCGGCGTCGGCGTCTTCACCCTCTGTGCTGGGGGCCTTCGATTTCGCAGCCTGCTTCGCGATATTTGTCGGACAAGTGATTCGTAATCTCATACGTGCTCGCATGACGGGGATGGGCTGCCATGCAATCAACGCGCGGATGGCTTCAAGGGCCTGTTGCTTGACTGATTTGGTGGTCACGACACCAGTCCACGTCGGCATGTCGCTCTTTTTGCCCTTGGGTGTGCCAGTCTCGGACTCGTTGTCCTCGTCTGTCATCGGCGTTGCTTGCCCACTTGCCTCGCTCGATCCCTTTGGACCCGCAGCACTTTTTCTCGTACCCTCGCCAAGATTTAATTTGCCGAGTTTATGACCGAGGGAATCTTGCGCAGGAGCATGGCCACCTTGCTTTGAGAGAACGTCCAAGCCCTTCTTGATCATTCCTGTGGTGTAGACCCTCTTCGTCTGGGGATCGACCAGCCGTTGGGCGACTTCTTCCACGATTTCTTTCTCCATTCTGTCGAGTAGTTCCTTCCGTTCGTTGGCATTGACTTGGATCTCGCCCTTCTTGAGGATCTCCTCGATGATGGCATCCTTCCAGGACTTCTCGTCGTCACCTTCGTCATTCGCAGCCCTCCCTTTGCTCTTCTTTCCTCCCTTGTTGCCCTTGGCTCCGTGGGACGACTCTTTGTCTTCCTTTTGTGATGTTATGGGCCACGCCTTGATGAGCTCGGCATTAGGGGCTGTCTCGCCCTTGGAAGCGTTCAGGAAGATGGTGGGCACTTGCAGGACATTGTCGAGGTCGGTCTCGGTCCCTGAGCGGTATTCGAGCAGCTTGTTCTTGTAGCACGCGAGTTCAAACCGCTTCTTGCCCTTCTTGTACCGCACCAGGGAGACGTTGGTCAACTTGATCTGGTTCGCAGGTTGTTGGATCGGCATGGTGATCGTGGCTGCGTCTGAGTATGTGTACGGAAGAGAAGTCGAACAGTAGGCAGACGAGAATATTTGGACCGCCGCATGTTGAGTCACAGGCTCTGGGTCGGTGTCGGTGGCTGTTCACCATTGGTTCCTGCAAACGCGGAGAAGGTGACGGTGACAATAAATTTTGTTGGAGAAACGCAGCGTCGTTTGCCTCAGATCGATCCATGATCAGTTGATCACGGATTGTCGTGCTTCTCGACTCTCACTCTCGCCTTGTTCCTCGTCCTTGTCACGCTCAGTAGGATGCTAGCTTCTCGAAGCCGTGCCAGCACCCTCTCAAGAACGCGGCTGCCCTACGTCTGCCCGGAATGTCAGTCGACTGCCCTCCTAGCAGCATTCCTCCTTTCAAGTCGACCTGAGAGAGCGTCTTATCCCCAGAGACGGTCATTTACCACTGTCGATCGCCGCTCTGCCTCGGTCGTAACCTCCCAGCTACCGCATGACCGAGCCAATTCGGCCATCCGTAACCATCTGAGGGCTTGGGCGGTGGAAAATCAGAAGAAAAAGAAGCAGGAAGCAGAGAATGCCGGGGACGATTCCAACAAGCTGAAAAGATTGGCCGCGTTGCCCAACTCGCTGTTCCTCGAAGATGCAAGCTCCACTGACGATACCTTGGTCGATGATGAAGCGGCCGGAAGAGACGACCTGGAAGAAACCTGGGAAGATGGTGTGCAGGCTGGATGGCACGAAACGTATTCACCTGGCGACGTGATCTGGTGGCGACCAGGGAGGCATACCACCTTTGCAAAGGCCCAGCTGGCCCTCTACTTGGGCGCTTTAGGGTGGCAGCGTCAATACATGCTGGCCGATGGCCGCTGGGTTGTTGAAAAGGCCCGCAGTCAGCCAAGTCCAGCCTTCAAGGGATTTGCCTCGAAAAAAGAGGTCGATCAGATCCGGAAGCACCTCCCAGTCAAACCTCTAGAGACGAGCAAGCATAACTACGACATGCCCTTGGGCTACAGCTTTGCCGGCGACCTCCCTGCTACCGCCGCTGAGCCTTTGATGGAGCGCTTCGCCCAACTCGTCGAAGCCATGTCAACGTGGCGCCGTGAGAATCTTGCTCTCCTTGACTCCCTCTACGATCGCATCGCGGATGAGGAGAGGTACATTTCCCTCCAGTTCCCAGACGTCGTCACCAAGTTCTTGGGGGTTGATTATGACAAAGTTCCTCCTGCGGCCCTCCTCACCATCTTCCGCACCTTGCAGCGGAAGCTTGTGACTGTTGTTGCCGTACGCAAGCAGACCTATTATCCCTCAGCCACGGTTTCATTTACTCCCAAAAGACTGGCACGAAGCTTTGACCAAGTCTGTGAATGGGCTCGAGAGTACCAAGAATCAGCTGCCGACGCCGCCATGGGCAAAGACGTCGCTGCTGCCTTGGACTCCAATCCTCTCTCGGCGTTTGTGGCCAAAGCACGGCGCATTATTCTTAAAAGCCGCGCTCTTCGCTCTCCGACCACCATTGGCAGTCTGGGTCCGAGTTCTATCCAGGGTGGCATCACGGATGGCAAGGTTGCTCGCCAAGACAACGAAGAGACCTTCACCGAGAATGACAGGATGTTCATCGCGTTCCTCTGGGATTGTTATGTTCGGTATCCTTTTCCAGACAACAATCGAAACATGGCTATTGCCTCCTTGCTGCTGCGTGCTGTTGGCGCCTACCCGAAACTGCGTCTGGATGCCAACATGGGCCGCTTGTTGCTGCAAGAGTTGGGTATCTTACCTCCCTGGTTCCTGCAGTCTGATCACAACATCACCCTAGAGCTACCACACGGCAGGGCTGGTCCAGAGCTCACACGGGTGTACAACGAAGCTTCCAAGTTCTGCGAGGAGTCAGGATTAGCGAGTACACTGGACCTCCAGATCCTCGGCGACTCCATGTCATCTCTGCGTCAAGACCTGGGCGACCTGCCAGTCTACTGCATCGATCCAAGCGAGGCGGTCGTCAGAGAGGACGGGTTTTCTATTGAACCCAACCCAGAAGTCCCCGGCACTTACTGGCTTCACGGCCATACTGCTCATCCGTCAGCTTTTATAGGTCCAGACCACATCATGGCGCAGCGCGCCCGGCTGCTCACTCAAGGCATCTTCCACCATGGCCGTGTTGCACGTATGCTCCCGGACAAATTTTGCTACGCCTTGTCCCTTCGCAGTGGCGCTCCCGCACTCACTGTCAGCACTCTACTCACAGAGGAAGGTAATGTGTTGGATATCAGGATCCGACCGACCACTCTGAGAAATGTCATTTTCCTATCTGATCCCGCCGTGGAACACGTGCTGGAAAAGCCGAAATACGAGACGGCCACTATTTCCTTGGGCGTCAAGGGCGGGGTAAATTTCGAGTCCCTACAACAAGCCAGTCCCGCAGATATAGAAACGGTCAAGAAATACCTCCCTGACATCCGCTTGTTGCAGAAGCTTCTCCTTGCTCGCGAGGAGCGCCGCAAAAAGGAAGTGGCCGTGGCCCCGGATTGGGAGGTCCAGGGCAGTCTTTCCAACATGAGTTATGCCTACGTCTTTGGTAGCCAGTATGATGAGGATGACCTATTTCGCAGCCGCCAGTATCAGGGTGATCCTGCGATGAGGATTAAAGTGAGTCGGTACATGCGGATCAACCGGGTGTCAGAAATGGGCAAGTATGTCACCGTCACAGCTCTGCTGGGGGATCTTATGTCGGAATCCGCGGGCAAATGGTTCGGCGATCGTAACCTCCCTGGCGTTTTCTTCGGTTCCTCTTACGCACCGGACTACCCTCCCGAAAGACTCAACCAACTGAAGCGTGGCGAGAACGCAGAATATCCTATGGGCAAGTTCTCAACCACGCCAATCGAGCATGTCCACAAGAACCACAAGTCGCATCTGTGGGTCAGCAACCCTCTTCGACGCTACCCGGATCTCATGGCACTTTGGAATATCGACAGCTACCTCCGGGCCGAAGCCGCGGGTGTGGTCAGCCCCGGTCAATCTGCTGACAAGCTGGACCTGCCAATTACGACGAAGATGTGTGCAAATTTCATCGCCAATGACGGACCTAAAATGTATCAATGGGCTGTTCAGCTGTCACGAACTGAGAGACTGCATTGGGTTATCCAAGCGCTCTTCCGAGCCTTTCATTTCAAGGAGCTAGAACTGCCCGAGGTCTGGGATCTGCATGTCAGTTCGGTGGTGCCTAACAAAGTCCGGCCTGACGACTCGGGGCTCAGAGGCGTTCTCCTCCCTTTCCAGGTTTTCGCCATCGTCCTGGCGTCGAAAGAGGGTTGGGAAAAGGGGGCCAAGAAGCGTTCATTCCTGCCCGTCAAGCTGGAACTTGTCGATATGGACAAACAGATGGTTGTAGTCCGCGTGGTTGGTCCACCCAGCGACGACTATACACAACGCGGACCGATCGACCTTGCTCCCAACAATGCTGAGAGTGAAGAAGATGGCGCCCTTGCAGACCAGCTGGTGGGACCTTCTGCGCGCGACAAGCCCGTCCACAAAGAAATCAGTTATGTGACGAACTCCGCGTCCCCAGCCGCATTCTAATTTGTTGGCGGCGGCTAGGTGAACTAGGACAGTAACGAGGGAGCTTCGCCCAGTACCAGTACAGCGGAGGACACCAGGATGGTTTCTCGTCAGCTCCCCTCGGTGTCTGCATATGCGAGCTTCGCCAGTGTCAATCAGGAACTTCCAGGTCATGCTGGAGCCTTGTGTGATATTATGTATGAATACAGAGGAATACAGAGGTCACGACCTTTCGCACTGTGTCTTCTTGAGGAACATTCCACTCATGGCCTAGGCACTCCATTACCTTTGCTATCGTCGAGCTCGCCATGAAAGAATGATACACATAGGTTTGCTGCGGAGGATCGTGAAACAGTCACGACATTGTTCCGTGGCTGTGTCTGATTTCTGTGTCCTCTTCTTCACGCCCTCACTTGACTGCTCTTAACCCTGGAGATTGCGAGAAATGGTACTAAGATTTGACACATCTCAGCCCTTCCAGTCGTACTATGGCCCACCCAGCATCATTGTCACAGTGGGGTGGCTCGAGTTGGACCACCTCCAGGGCTTTCGCAGGTGGCAGGGGTCAAGATCTAACCGTGGAGAGAATACGTCGTTCTTTTCAACTGTCACTTTACTCCGTACTGGCTCATTAACATACAGATCGAGACGTATCCATTAAAGGGCCTGTAATGGGCAGAAGACCACTTTCCCAGAATCTTGGCTACCATCATTAGACCGCACAAGGGGTGGGGGGGGATATCTAGACTGTGCTTCCCTTTCTGTACGCCATGCTCGTTTCCTCGGACGGCGTTGCAATTCGAAGCTGAGCATGCTCTCCCACGCCTCACATGCAGAATGCTTCACCAAGCCAATCGAACATCAAGGAGAGGGTTGGCGAGCGTTCAGCTGAGCGAAATGGCCAGAGAGAGTCTTTTACTGAGAGACATTATGAACCTCTGACACACTGTCACATCTTCGACGGTGAGCATGGAATCGAAATCTCTCCGCACGGCGCATGCAAAGCATATCTTACACCACCGGGTCTTAAAGACATTGAACAAAACCAGCAAAACACATTATGGCGCGCTTCCTAGGGCTCCCTTCCTCCCAGACGATTCCGGCAAAGCCGTATGAATATCGCATCTGCATCATTGGAGCCGGAGCCGCAAGACCCAGAATGCCCTAAACACAGTGCCCCGATCCCCTAGTAGGTGTTTCCGCGAATAGCCATTAAATGCAATCCAACTGACGCTGTCGCGAACAGTTGGAGCTACCAAGACACAGCGACTGCCGAGATCTATGATACGTGAGAACCTCCCTCTCATCTTGCTCACCATCGACAGCTCCACCGGGTTATTCGACCAACCCATCACCGAGACGCTCATAGATTATGCCGACTTCCAGGCCGCAAAGGACAGTAAATGGTGGCGGTGTCGATGGCGGTACAGTATGCAGAGGGTGGGCCGAAGCCATGCAGAGCCACTTGCTGTCGACCGACTGGCCCGAGCATGGCTCAGCGGCAATCAAGGTGACGACCCAGTCTCCCGTGACGGCTTTGTCCCATGACAGGCAGACAGACAAAGAAGATGAGCGTCACTTGTCGCCGGGAGCCAGCCCCCGTCGCATACGGCATGGACGTCAACACCACGGGCCATGGGACCCTTGCCAACCGATGGACCTTCACGGTCTCGGGCTCTCCTGACAAAAATCCTGACGGGGGCATCCGGTCCCTCGAGCTACGACCGAGCCGCCAAAGTGGTCATCCGGCTTCTCGAAAAAAAACCCATGGTGGCACGACGGCGGCGTATCTCAGACCGACCTCCCCATCAGAGCAACGTCGTCTACCCTTCGTGGAACGACGGGCCCCGACAATCCCGCCCCGTGCTGATGGTTTCGTACGCGTGGGCGCGCAGGACGCCACGCGCATGCCGTCCTTGGTGCCCCCCACGGTCGAATCAAAGGACATCGCCAAGCTACTGTATACCGTTCCGAGTGGTTCGGCGCCAGCAAGGACGCACACTCGGAAGACATGGACGAGGTTCTTGACGAGGCACATTGTCGGGCTGGAATCAGGTGCTCGGCAGGCAGGACGATGGTGAGAGCACCGCTGCAGACCAAGCTGCTGGCCGAGGGGAACAGCAAATGCCGACGAGGGACCAAGCCAAGTGATTGATCCATGTCCAGCCTCGTGATTGTACTCGATATTACTCCGTGGGAAGGCAGCACCGCATCGAGAGGTCGGCGTGATGAACCAGGTGACGAATTCCTTCTCCTCTCCTTCTCCTGTAGGTTAGAAGTCTTATGCGGAACTGGCCAGGCAACCACCAGGTCTGTTACATACAAGCTTGGCAGGACGAGCGCGGACGAGCAAAAATGCGAAGAGCGAAGCGCGCAAGGGATCTTCTGCTGTGTCTTCTGCTGTGTCTTCTCAACTAACAGGCTGGGCTGAGATGAGCTGAGCTGAGCTGAGCCGAGCTACATACTGCAAGTAGGCTAATTCTTCCGCTTGGGAATGACAATGGTTTGAGCATACGCGGGTACACATACCATGCGTACTCCGTACGGCCTCAATCCTGTAGGCTGGCGTACGGAGTACTTTCGCTAAACTATACCGACTCCCCTCTAGCTTTGCCCCTTTTACTTGTCCGCGAGCTTGGGTGTGAGACGCGATTCATAACAACTACCTAAGCTGCCTCCACAGATGGGCACACAGATATCACCGGCACACGGATACCCCTAGCACACAGAGACCCCTCGCACACAGATATCACAAGCACTGTTGATCGCTACCATATCTTCTTCGGATCTACCTCGACCTTCCTCTGCCTCGTGCCATCGAGCTCCTCCACCTCAGGCAGATTCTCTACATCGAGGTGTTCGTACACGGTGCCACTCTCCGCCAGCGAGTCCGTCACGACCTTCATATACGCCAACACCTTCTCCTCCGTCAACCGTCTTCCCACGACTTGGACCGCGATCGGGAGCCCCGCCATTTCTTGGGCATTGTAGTATTTATACGCGCCCTTCTCGATGCCGTTGGCGGGCTTGAACCCCTTGGGCAAAGCATCCTTCTGGGCATCGACTTTCGAGACCGGTAATATCCCCGCCGAGTAGTCCAACAAATTCCACAGGAACGTATACCCACAACTGCTCACCGCCTCCTTCATGCAGCCGTGAGGCAGCGCCGGGGTGGCATTTCCGGGACACAAAATGAAGTCAAAGCTCTGCTCCGGCGCGTTCAGCCAACTAAACCACGTCTCCCTGAACTTCTCCCGCTTGGCGACCCATTTCCAGTTTTCGAACGCCGAGAGCGGGTGAAAGTACCGCAATATTTGGGCCCAAACAGGGTCCCGCTTGACGTATTTCGTGAAGAGATACCACAGGTACTTGACCGGACGGGGCAGCGCCATGTAGAAGTTGATCTGTGCCGCTCCCGGATCGTTGTTCTCTCCACTGCGGAAGAAGGATTTGAATGTTTTGCCGCCGTCGGCGCAGAGGAGGGTCGCTGCGATTTGAAGGCCTAGGGCAGGTGTGGCGTTCGTGGGGAACGAGGACACTGGGATCGAGACCACTTCGTGGCCGGCGGAGCGGAGAGCGGAGGCTGTGATGTCGAGTCCGCGCGCGATCGCGGGTGATGGAGCGCATACGCCGTCTGTGGCCATCAAGCCAATGCGGAGGGGTTTCTGCTCCAGGGCGGCGTCGTAGACCTCTTGTCTCCAGGGAATTGGGTGGACGGTGTAATCCACTTCCCACGGTTTCATGCCGATGAATGCGCGGGTGAAGTAAATCAGGTCGTCCAACGTCCTGGCCATGGGAGAGAAGACGCTGGGGATTCCTTCCTGTCCGGGCATGGACGTGTTCATGCCCACCTTCGGCCATCGTCCCGTACTGCATCGCAGGGAATTGATGCCGCTCCACGCAGCAGGGGCACGAACTGACCCGGCCACATCACTCCCAATGCCAATCCGGCTCCCATTCAAGGCCAGCAGAGCTCCTTCTCCGCCCGTGCTCCCGCCGGGGGAATACCTCGGATTGTGCGGGTTGCGACACACGCCCCACAAATCATTGGTACTCTCGAAGCTCAGCAAGGTGATGGGCAGTGCAGTCTTGACGTGTGGTATTGCGCCAGCCCTTTTCAGGAGCTTCACCATGACTCCATCTTCGGCGTATGGTTTGAACACGTTCCGCGAATATCCCACGCTGACATCGAACCCCCCCACGGCAATGCTATCCTTCAACGAAACAGGAATGCCGGCGAGCGGACCCTTGAGATTCACGTCTTTTTCATCTCTCGCCCAGGACTCGGCCTCGGGGAGAAGCAGCTCGGTCACGCAATTGGTGCGCGTGTGTGCAATGGACGTGGTCTTGCCGTACGTTCTGAGGATATCGATGGGCGACAAATGGCCAGACTGGACATCGCTGACCAGCTGGGAAATGGGCGCTGAGAGGATCGATCGTTGTGAGGTTGTGAGGGGCCCCCGGTACGGGTCGGGGAGAGAGGCGAAGCGGGCGTCGCGCTGGCGCTGTTTGATCACGCTGTGGGAGGGTCAGTTGAGATCCTGCACAGAGCGGAGAGTGTTTCTTACCAGGCCCGGCGATGCTCGAAGTAATCAAATGGCGGATACATCTTGGCGGTCTACATGGTAGAACTCGCCAGAGGCCGGGGAATGGTCAGTCAATATGTGCTGAGGGGTGGATGTTGCGGTTGCTAATCGTGAGGAGAAGAGCGACGCTGGTGCAGACGAAGACAATCCGGCGCCGCCTCGGCTGCGCCTTCTGCTTGCGGTAATCAATTGAACCGCCTGAGGTGAATGTGAAATGAGGACGAGGTGAATATGAGTGGTAGGACATGGACCTGAGGGGAATAAGATGAATTCAAGATGAAGTCAAGATGAATTCAAGATGAGTTTAAGACGTAAAATATAGAGTATTCTCTCTCCACCTTCATCATGGTCGCTAATAGTACAACTCGTGTCATCAACTCAACCCATCACCTTATGCCCAGCCCCAATGTTGGCCGTGACCGTCGCCCGTATACGGCCCCGTGGTGACCAAGTTGGCCGACTGTATATGAGTCTGATGGTACTCGATGAGGCCCTCGTTCGTCATAGTCCCCTCGTAGTAATGGCCTTGACTGGACGGTGTCTCTGCAGCATTGTGTGCCGCTTTCGCCGCCATCGTCTCTATCTCCACCTGTGACGGCCTTCTCGATGGGGGCAGACTTCTGTTCTGCTGATGTTGGTCGCTGGCAGGGGAAAGAATCCTGAGCTGAGGCATTGACTGGCGCCTTGCTAGGCCCTCGGCCTGCTGGTCACGTCCGAAAACTTGTCCGTTATAATTTGAAGGGTTCTCCAGCGTCCATGTACTCGGTGGCAATGCCAACGGCGGATGGATGTTGTAAGACATTGGCTGCAGATTGCCATCAAGGGCAGCATTCCCTCCTGACTGGAACTGATACTGCCACCAGTCGTCGTACAACGGCGGCGCATACACCATGGGCGGATGAACCCAATGGTGGCCTGGATGGTACTCTTCCATGTTGTCGGGGTGACTCGGCAGTAATTCTGCGTCGAAGTACCCCGCCTGCTCAGTGAAGGAGGACGCGGCACTCGGCGGGAACGGCTGTGCTTCAAAGCCCTGAGATGCCGAAGGCTCCTGAGGAGGCGTAGACGTCGCGCCGTCGAAAGACACGGCCGGAGGATAGGAATGATCTTGCCCGACAGCCCAAGTTGGGGTCTGTTGAGGTAAGTCAAAAGCTACAGGCCCAGCGCCGGTTCTTGCTCTTTTCCGGCGTCGAGGAACTTCTGCCAAGCTGGACTTCTTGGACCGTTTGAGTGAAGGAGCGCCACTTCTCTCTCCTCGGGCCGGCGGTGACAGGCGAGGAGCTGATGGCGGCGAGAGATTGGCAATGTCGGTGTCCGCACCCCCGACCGGCGCTGATGGAGCAGAGGCGGCTCCGGTGGCGCCACTGGGTTTCTGGGCAAGCTGCTCAATTCCTTGCAGGACCCCAGAGAGCAATTCTGCGGCAGACTGGGCGAGGCCGGAGATTCCTGCAGTGCCGGCGAGGTCTCTGAAGATCTTCAACCCGGTTTCGATGCGCTCCTTGTCTGTGTCCACATCCCCGTCTTGTCGGAGTTTAGCAATGCCCAGCATCAACACCGCGCAGAAGAGTCCAAAGCATCGTGGCCACGAAGACGCGGTCCCCGTAGCGTCCAACTTGTACGCATAGTCGAAAATGTCAATCGTCGATCGCAGACTCCCTAACAAATCTCTGTAGTAGGTCTGCGCAGCCGACTTGCGCAAAATCTGGAGCCGTCTTGATATCGTCGTCTTGCGGGATATCGTCCGCAGGATTTGGCAGTAGAGAATCATCAACACCAGTTGGACGTCGACGTGATGTTGCGCCACAGCAGACAGCGTCGCGGCTGGTAGCCCACTGCGAGGTAGGGGCGGCAGCTCTGACCAGTGTTGCCGGAGGCGAGCCAAATCAGACTCCAACAGCGGTTTTCTGTCCTCCCAAAATGTGTCTCCGTCATCTGCGACCTGGTGGACGTGGTTCAAGAGTTCCATCATAAAAGCCGTGAAGTTGAGCACATGCTGCTTGGGGCCATCTCCTTCTCGCTCCGGCTCCGAGAGTTTGGGCATGGGGACACGGTGTGACGCGTCAATGCTCGGGCGGCGACCAAGCAGAAAGCTGAGCTGAGTGTCGAGCTCTACAAGGAGCCACCAAAGATGGCGGCTGGGTTCTGGGCCAGCCGTGTGGTGCCTTGTCGACGCTGACTTTGCATGTTCTCTCACTGCATTTGATTAGCTGGGACTGCCAGTCGGGGCAGGCATCGTCATGCTTACAGCCAAAGAGCTCTGCATCTCGGACCAGGCTCGCAAACGCCGACCAAGCCTGGGTAGCGTGACCACTGGTGAGAAGGTCTCGCACAGAGCAGTATTTCGCATAGAGGGCTTGCAGATGAGGTGCAAGTTGCGAGCTCAGGTCATGTCCTGTTTGCTCGGCTGTCACCGGATGCGATGCAGGTACAGTGTCAGGCTGTGGACGGTCCAAGTCGAATATTTGGACGCACTCAATAGAGTCTATAGAGCGCCTGGACTGTCCTACAGCAGGAAATAGTTCTTTGAACTGGAGGAGGTTAGTAAACCAGGAAGACGGCACGATGGACGAATCGTATCCCTACCTCATTCACGCTCCGGGCCAGCGAGAACATGCCATAGAAGTCATCGTGCGGGCCGATAACGCCATGTGCCCGGTCGTCTGTGCTTTCTTCGGTGGGCCCGGCCGTCTGCTGTCGGCCGCTCGAAGTGGAGGATGCTCCGTGCTTCGAGGTTAGAGGTGAGCCTTTTACGCGCTGCCATCGGCATCAGCAGTGTCCCTGGGAACAATATCAGACTTGCTGGACACTGACCAAATCGCTCTCACGGTCACGTGGAGGCGTATTTACGTAGTAACAACGAGGTTTCTGTCGTTTCTTCAGGCAGGTTGTACAGGGCATGCCTCCGTAACACTATACCGCGAGTCAGTGGTACCGCTGCGTGCTTCCGAGACTCAACAACAGACCTTCGACTTGCTGTCGCGGCAAGGTTTGCAGGAGTTGGCACGCCGCCTGGCGCGGAGATGAGAAGGTGGTGATGAAGTGAGAGGTGAGTATCGAGGTCGCGGGCGAGACACATGATGATGAGATGAAGGGCCAGGTGAATGTCGTAGGAAAGTCGCGGCTGACATTTCCACGCGTGACGGTCAACCTCCTGGTTTGCGCCACCAAGTCTCTGCCATTGACCCAAGCATCCAACGGCGGTGTATGGGCCTTCACGTATCCGAGACCTCCAGCAAGTTGTGAGAACACGACAGGTCAAAGCGTTGCCGCAGGTGCCGCAGAGATTAATATCAGCAGGTACCGGTCGATGGCGCAAGAGCCGCCTCGCCGCCACCAATGACCAGACGAACCCGCGCACGAGAGAACTGTGCTGACAGCCAACGGAACGCCTCCCACAGGAAAATTCGACGTCGATGTACCAGAGAGTCGGTTCAAGGAGAAGGTGGAATTCGCTCTGATGCAAAGGAATTCCAGCAGCGGCGATGTAATCACGAGGACCCGACCAAGGGATATAATAACATGGATCCCGGACATTCCAGAGCGCAGCCGGAGAAGCTGCTCAGAACTATTTGCAATAGAGCAGCGAGCAATATGTCGAAGAAGGTGCGAAGGTGGAGTGATGTGACTGGGCCAATGGCTACGAGATCTCGGAGCTCTCCAGGATGTTTGCTTCAGCCCGCGTGCCAATCAGTGTCAATACCTGGCTGGACGAGCTCTCAGGATCACAGCAAGCAATCAATCGAGAGGAGCCAAGCACGGCGTGAATGGAGGTTTCGAGTGAGTGTTGAGGGAAATGGACCCGGTCGATTTCACCCCACAGCGCCACATCGTCGCCCACTTCGTCCACTTCGCCCACGCTAGGTCGGATTCGAGATGGAGCTACTGCCCAGGGCGCTGGGAATGCCCGGGGTGACCTCGAAAAGCGCAAACGCGCCTGTCCAACGAGGGACTAGAAGGCTGGCGGGCTCGGTGCTCGCCAGCGCTGGCAGGCAGCTAGCCGGGTGACATCTACGTGGTCTGCATTGGTCGGAACTCTGATGGGCCTCAAGGGGGTTGCAAGGCCGAGGGGAGGTGATCAAACAAGCGAAAAAAGGTGTCTGAATCCCTGTATCTCGTGGGATGCTCGGCTACCCGGCCGACAGAGTCTTTTCTCAGGCCACGAGTCTGCGAAGTTGCTCGACAGAGGACCACGAGCACTGTTCGGTTTGCGGTCAGAGAACAAGCCGTTTGGCGTCTCCCACAACACCCCGGACCAGAGGACCCTGCCGCTGCCAGCGGGCTGAGAAAGACGGCCGCTTCCAAATAGTAGCCTGGAGGGTAGGGCTGGCCTCGGAGCGTCCCGATGGGCTGGCAATGGTCTCCTGAATACGGCGACGGTGGCCAGGACTGGAGTTACAGGCTGAGAACAGGCAGGCTCTGACACCTAGAGGGGTAACAGCAAGCGACCAGGGGAGGGGGAGATAGACGAGAGATCAAACCCAGATCTTGCTTGTTACGATCCAGAGCAGCGGGCTCGGGATCGATCCTTTGGGGTTGGTCGACGAGGACTTTCATGCCCGTGATCGCCGAAAGACGTGAGATCTCGACGGGGATTGGCCGCAGCACGGCAATTCAGCTCCCCTGCACCATCAATCAGCTTCGCTAGGGCTTTACAGGTCTCAAAATGCAGGCCGCTATTGCGCGGGAGCCGGGCCTAAGCAGCCGCGGCGACCTCGACGAGCCCCTAGCCCGCCACTAGGTAGTCGGATTCTGCATGAGCATGGGCTTGCACTGGAGACTGTCCCAGGCTAACCACAGGGGAAGAAGCAGGCGCGTCCCTAGTCTCAACTCTGCCTACGTAAGGACTGTGACTTGAAGCGGCTGTCGCGGATATGCTCCGGGATATCATGCCGAGCATGAACTGATCAGTCGCTTGGGCCCGGGCCCCCGTAGAAGCCCGATAAGGGTGGTGAATTTGTCACGCAAAGAGCCTCAAGGTTCGTGCCAACACGCGACGGTTTACGTACTCGTACACTTGGGCGCGCATGTTATTACCTTCTCCGACGGGCCTTGGGGTGGAGCAACAGGGGCTTCACATGGCTCCTTGGCCTCATGTTTCGCACGGTGGTAAAGGAGCCGTCAGTGCCTCACTGGCCTGAGAAACGGATCTCTTGCGCTGGACGTCGATGAGCGGTCGATCACTCCCACGGGGGCAGACGCCGAGGGGATCGCGCGTGGGACGAGGAGCATCATTGTATTCGTATACAGTAATCGCTCTTGGGATGCGCCTCACTTCCAGGTAGCCGAGGTTCGTGGGTGAGATCATCGCGGTGATCGCTGGGCCTGAGGCATCACTCCATGCCCCCCATGACAGCGACAGCGTGCCGCTGGCACCGCATTTTCGGGATTATGCACGATGAGGCGAAAGTCAAATGCTTCATGCTGTACTCTGTAATTGCTGCGCAGCTCGCAAGCCGTCAGAGCTGAATCATGCGGCTCGAGTCGATGGCCGAGATTCACCACGTTCCTGACCTGGTGACGAGGCGGGCATGGGTCGAAACTTCCGCCCATCACCAGAAAGGAAGGTCTTGGAGGAGGCCGAGCGATCTCGTATCTGAGACCTCCAGACCTCCTGGGCAGGGCCGTGGTGTTGCGATCTGTCAACTCTGAATTTGAGTTACATCTGAACGAGAAATTGGCATTTTGGGATTTCGTGCGTCCAGGCTCTCTTTTTTACGAGATCAAGCTGGATCTCATGCGGAGGATAAGGTACACAATCGTGGATGCTGAACCGGCACGCTGGGACTCCCGTTTATGCAATGTACCTTGTCCCTGGAGCCACGAGGTGGTGGCGTGCACCGCCCATCACTTGGGATCATGGGATCATGGGATCATCGACTGCCTCTATTCGCCTTGATCGTTGCTTTTGACGCTGATCAGCCTTGCTCTCTGCTGCTTGACGACACCAGCGGCCGATCCTGCCGGGTTTCTCAGCGCCGCCGAAAATGTGAACGAACACCACTTCGTTCCCTGCTGGACCTGCGCGTGTCTCATGCGACAATCGCCGCGTTGCAAGCGGCCGTCCATGCCATTTCAGCTGTCAAGTGCACCGATGCCAGGCGGAACCGATGTGCCTGTCAGTCGGCTGGACTGCGAGTCGGAAGGTCGCCCAGAGTCTTTCAGCTATGGGCCGTCGCGTCACGCTGCCTCCTTGGTCCGTCTCGCAGGAGACAACGTTGCAGCCGTGGTTGAGGTTATGCAAACGGCTCGTCGCGGTGAAGGCCCATCCTAAAAAGTAAGTGACGCGGTCGAAACTCTCTGTACACTCACTCACTGTTCGATGTCTCAAGGCGGTGAACAGGCTCACGTTCGAATTAATGAGATCTTTTTGGCTCGCTCTGTGCAGCTCCGCACAGCCCAACACAGATGAACTTGGCTGTGCTATTCATTACATTCCATAATGGAATCTGATATACTATGTGATCCTTCAAACGGTTCCCTTCCAACATTCATAAATGCCCGGACGCCGCGCTAAACACTTGTCAAGAACGAAAAGATCTGCTCACATTTTCAATCTGTTCGCAGCCTCTGTGCCAGGTGGGATCTCTGCCAAATCGTCTCGGTGGCCGCCAGTATTCCATCAATAATAAGCCCTGGGATCCTCCGCGATTACATATCATTGGAAAATATATCGTTGACTTCGTTATCCCTACGAGCGCCCGCTGTCTTCGCTCAATATTGCGGCCGCCCATGGATCTCTGCTGCGCTCCCCTTGAATTCGGGGGAATCTGGGCTGTAGTGGATGTTGTCGCTTGCTCTGTGTTGGGGGACGAATCCCATATTCGACGGTCTATCGTCGCGTAGATCAGCCCCATGAGCTCCCAAAGCAGACGAAGCTGCATGCCGCAGCTGACTAGTGTAAGATGGTTGTTGAATCGGGATGTTTTCATCACCATCTCGTAATACGCTCGATGTAGCCGATTCCGCGCCAGTTGAATAACGGTTTTTTCGTGATGGCGTTGGTTGCGTGTTCGCAAACGGAATGCGGCTGGCATTTAGAGACTGAGTAGGGCCATGGTACTGCTTCGGTGCCCCTCGAGGAGACAATGCGGACGTGACGATCCCTCTATCCTGGGAGCCTCCACCCGATTGTCTTCTCGAACTCTTTCTAGGAATGGCCGGAACCGCGGGGATGTCTCTGTCTTGAACCTTTGCTTGCTTTCCGCGAGATTTTCTTGACGCCTCAGAGCCAATGCGGCTGGGCAACTCGATTCCACCCACGGATTCTATCAGTGGCAATGATGGCGGCTTTCCTGACACAGGGTCAACGGGACTGACTGGTTCCTCGCTGTCGCTGTCTGCAAGAGAAATGTCGTCATACACACTTTGATTCCGACTTTGTCTTTGCGCCGGGCGCTGAGGCGGTGGCGACGTGATTCTAGTGCTGTTTCGGTCCTCCCGGTCTTCGCCCGTTACTTGCACATCGTCGTGGTAGGGCTCTAGAGGCTGACTTTCTGGGATTGGAGTGGGTGGAGGGAAGAGTCCTGGTGGCGGAGCCCGAGCACTTCGAACCACTTCGAAGCCTTTGTGCTTTTCTTTTGTCTTGCCACCAATAAGATTTTTGAACCACCCAGTCGCGGTAGAAACTGGTCCAGTGGGATCGGCCGGGCCAGTCTTGAGTTTACGAGTTCCGCTCGACAGGGCGCCGCCCCGAACGCCGTAGTAGAAATCGACTTCCCGGACGGCATAGTCCGTTTTCGTTCTCGTCAAATCGCCGGGTGTTTCCTCCAGATCGTCGTTTTCCAGTGGCATAGGTGTGGACGGTCCTTCGCCTGCGTCATCTTCAATGGCTGCTTCGGTTGTGACAGCACCCTTCGACGGGGTTTGAGCCAAGACTAGGTCTGGTCGATTGAGAGCGTCCATCGTGTTCCTTCGCGGTGGTCGATAATACGGGTCTTTCTGTTCCGCCTGTTTCTGCAGCCCGACAATTCCACTCAACGACCCAGCACCGCTCAGCCGTACCGTGAGTCGTCTCGAGCCTCGCGCGGACCGGTCTGGACTAGCGACCCCAAGGGCACGACCGTCAAGATTCTGGCTGATCCTGTTGGACATTGTAGGGCTGTCGAGCAAGACGCCTGAAGCAGCCGAGACACTGCGTGATCGGGTTTTGGCCATTTGCAACTTTTGGTGATCATTTTCCATGGCGCTGAGCATAGCTGCGTTCGAAGACATGCTATGGCGCTCCTGCGTTGCACGGCGGGGCACTCGCCGCGATAGTTGTCGCATGCCGAATACCTTGTTCAATCCGCCCCTCGTAGCCGCGCCGGTCTCCTCGTCCCGTCCACCTGCACCAGCGAGACGGGCCACGACCTCGACCAGTGTCTGCACGGCATTCAGGAAGAACCCGAAAACCATGGTGCATGCGTGGATGATGAGGATAGCATATCCGATCCAGCCTCTGGACGCGTCTCCGACCCCCAAGGAAGGCACGAAAGCTATTGACAGGAGAATGGTGATAAGTCGGATGACCGAAAAGCAGGTATGATAGATGTTCATAGAAGTCGCCGAGGGAAAGGGTCGGAAGGCGTTGATGGTGAGAATCAGGACAATTTCGCTTATTGCGAGAAGCACAAGCTGAGCAATCCCAGAGGGCTGAACGGCACCAATGGCGATGCCGCGGACAAAATTGACAAGAAGAGGGGTCAGTGCAAAGGTAGCAGCGTCATCGCAATAGGTGTTGTACAGAGGTCCGTAGGTAAGAACCATCAAAAGGTCGTCAAAGAGGAATGAGCGGGGTCTGGTTCTGATGAACAATCGTAGCAGCCAGACTGTGAAAGCGACGACGACGACCAGTGACGCTGCTGCGAGTGCCACCGAGTAGGCCGGGCCCTTTCCGGCAATTAACAGCTGGTAGAAGGATAGAGATGTTAAAGGCAGCAAGAAGAAATTCATAACCAGGCGGACAACATTTCCGGCAGTGAAGGGTCCGTTCTTGGAACGGAGATCTTCAGGCGGTTCTTTCTGAAGCTTCCGATAAACCCAGCGGATTGCGAAGCCGAGCTGGGTCAAAAGTGACACTGCGGCCACGATGGCTACCAGCCAGATGATCATGTCGACCCATATGTCCTTGTCGGAGGTCATGCCTACGAGTTGACTCATTCGATCCAAGCCGTACGTGGTGCCGTTTCGATACTCGTATATCCCGTCTACCACGCTCTGTGTACCATCTCCACCCGTTGCGAAGCTCTCGTTGAACATGAGCGAAGACCATGCGACACGGCTGACGGCTGGCTGATAAAACCCAGGATAACTCAGCGAAAGACTGCCGGTCAAAACAACAAACTGGATATACTGCAGACAGTCTCCAAAGCCCGGAGTGATTAGACGGAGCAGGTCTTCATCGCGGCCAAAATTGCTGCTCCAGTGGAAGAGGTCGGTCGATCCCCAGGGGCTCACAATGGCAGCCGCAATCGTCGCCACGCCCACCACAATCAAGACCACAAGCGGCAGGTATCTTAGGATAGCTTTAATAGAGCCCCCGAGATCAGGGGTAATCGTGGCCGTGACACAGCTGTAATATTGGCCTTGAGCATCGCCCGACTGTACCCGTATAGTTGCTTGAAGTGATGCGAAAGCGTAGCTGGAGAACAGGTCGTGGGCGACGGAAAAGGCTGGCAAAGAGCCAAGATCGGTCTTGTTAACATAGAAGGCGGGAGCCAGCGGGCAGGCGTCCTGGACGACAGAATCGCAGAATCGGGTAGGATCGGCGTTCCATGGAGTGTAGCCCAGGAAGTTGACGCGGGCAAAGAGGGTCGTGTACTTGTTGTTCTCTTCACTCAGGTCGGGGATTTTGCCAAAGGTGTCGTTCGGGTTAGACCACGACGGATCATCAGGAGCAGGGTACGGCAGCTCGGTGGCCTTTCCGGTGACATTGCCATATACGGTGATATTCAGGTGATGTCGGTTCGAGCCGGATGAGCTGTTGAAGGTGGCCGAGACGTTGAACGGGTCAAACTGGAGGATGCGCGGACTCGAATTGACTATGCTCCCATCCAGGCAGTTGCGGAAGTCGATGTGAGCGGCATCAACCAACGCTCTGCAGCTGAGGGACAGAATGAGAGCGAGGACAAGGGACCATTGCCCTCTCAGTCTCTGACCGCGCCCAGTTGTTGCCATGTCTGGGCTGTTGATCTGCCTGTGCTTGTCTTCCAGTATGATCACTCTCTTTTAGTTTGCCATATTTCTCAATGCGCGCGGCAAGACCACAGCAACAGCGCAACGTCCCAGTCGCAGATGAAGTGGGTACACTCTTCCAGTTATATCTGTTCAAGGCAACTTGAACCGTAGACTCAACGGCAACGGAGCGAAGAAGCAGAACGTGGAAGGTTAAGGTTCTCGACGTTGACTGCAGACAGGGAGGCGACGAAATGATTGGAGGAGTGTCGCGGGTCTGTGAGAGGTTTCGAGACGACGCGGCACAGCAGAAACGACAAACAGGGCGACTTGAAAGCGCTGGCAGAAGCGAAAACGAAAGCGGAAGAAGCGAAAGTAAGGACGTACGGAAGAAAACAGAGTACGCAGCAAGTTGTTGAGATGCGATGAGCAGAGTGAAAACCTCGCATCGGCAGCAAATGCAATGCTTGAGAGGCTGTGTAGGCCCAACCACCAATCAGCCGTGTGCCTGTTCCGGGCGTGTCGCTAATGTTTGGGCAGGTCTCAGTCCTCGCTGTCCTATTTTTGAGGCCCGCCATCTACATCATTGTTGGTCAAAGAGGCTAGCCTGTGGTCGACCCTCTGCTCCCACTGCCATCAAGTCTCTCCCAAGGCTGCCGCGGTACTCCGTGGCAGCGACGAAACACCCTGTAGGATCAGGCACGCCCGAGCCCTCGATGCTGGATAATGTACTGGTCGATCGTCTCTGCTCCTGTCTGGTTTCTGATCCGTCCAGCCCTCTCATCCCCTCTCGTGGTTCTCCAATCGCGAGCCGCGCTATCGCCGTGATATGTGTATCCGCCACCAGACTGACACGTGCCTCAGTCTCGACCTCACCTCTGCTTGACTTCCAGGTCAACTTGATTCTGTTGCCATCACCGTTCCCTTGTTCAACAACGGACAGGACATGTCTTCTCCAGAATCCACCAGCTCCTCAACCAGTTATGATTCGGACCGAGTGACCCGTCAGGGCCAGCGACGCCATGACTCTCCACAGACGTCCAGACGATCGGAGACGAGTAGGGACTCGGCAGCTCAGCGGCCACTCCCTGAACTTCCTCTGCCTAGACCGCCCGGTGCACAACCGGGTCACAGTAGCCAGATGTTGGCTACCATTCTACGAGACCGCCCTCTTCCCCTCCCCTTGCCCCCAGCCGAACAGACTGCAGAAGAACGCAGGCGAAGTATCATCGCCTTGGATCGCAAAAGGAGGCTGACAAACCCAGCACTGTATGAGGAAGGCAGAAGAAGAACCAACAGTGGAGGGTGGAATGATCGTCGGACGAACTTTGATGTTTATCGCACAGACAGTCCATCATCACCTCACCGTAATGCGTCTTCCGACCCAAACATGAGTCAACCGCTTGCTGAGGTTATAGACCTGACAAGTTCCTCTCCTCCCACTTCCGTGCCAGAAACACCTCGACCCGGGAGACCAAGCGGGGATTCTTCAGACAGTCCCAGACGATACGTTGTTCCCCAGTGGCAGCCAGATTCGGAGGCCACTGAATGTCCCATTTGCAAGCGACCCTTTACCTGGATGTTCAGACGCCATCATTGCAGGAAATGTGGTAGAGTGGTGTGTAACGACTGCTCACCACATCGCATCACAATCCCTCGCCAATTCATTGTTCATCCGCCTGATCCTAATATGTTTACATCGCCAAGTGATCCTGTCAATCGCCAATCGCTTTCGATCGGCTCCGATGAGGACGAATTGTACGACAATACCTCCAGCTCGCATCATCTCGCGTCTCCAGTGCAGCTGGCAGGAGGAGAGAAGGTGCGCCTGTGTAACCCTTGCGTACCGGATCCTCAACCTGATCCATCACCGAATTACCCTCCTTTTCTTCCGGACCATCCCAGCCGTGGAGCCTCGTGGGATGCAGGAGCTCGCCACGGCTCCGGTCCGAATCATCCAGTGCCGTCTGAGCCAAGACCGAGAGGGTTTTCTGCTGGAGTGGAATATCCAGTGCGCAACCTGGGCGCCGGAAGCAACCCATATCTGCATCAATATCATCGCTCAATGGGAGCAACTCAACCCATCTATCCCAACACCGACCCTAGGGGTGATGGTCCCAATTTGTTTGACTCCTATCGCGGACAGTCGTCTCCTTCCAGGTATCGTATGCTTGCACCGCCTTCCGCTCTCAATCTGCCACCATTCTCTGGCCCTTCTCTGAGGGTAAGTATTTGCTACATTAATTTTTACAAGCTTGTACTAAACAGCGGTAGGACCAACCACCCCATGATTCAAGGCTGTCCTATACTCGTCCACGTCCTTCGTATCCCGAGAGCCGTCAGCCTCGAGACGAGCCATTTGGCATCTCTTTGCCATCTCAGCGGCCTCACCCTCGGCCCCTGCATGAACTCACGTATAGTCCCGCCGTCCACCGACCACGTATTAATGAAAACGACATATGCCCGGTGTGCCGTCGCGCATTACCGCCCCGTGGACCTGACGGTGATGAGACCGCCCGTGAAGCACATATAATGGACTGCATCCATGCGCGCGATCCCTCTTATCACGGCGACTCGAGCAATACGGCGGCAGCATTTCGACTGGCCGGCAATGCATCCGAGGGAGCTTCGTCGTCTCAACATCCATATCATCAACGGCTCAATATGCTTACCTTCACAGCGACCGAGAAGGATTGCGTGGCGCAGGAAGATGGTCAAATTCAAGAATGTTCAATCTGCATGGTCGAGTATGATGTTGGCGATGAGCTAGTCAGGCTCGAATGCCTGTGCAAGTTTCACAGAACCTGTATCATGGAGTGGGTTGAACGGAAAGCCGAATGTCCAGTGCATAAGCTTTTGGGGTGAGGCGATTGTATTTGAATCGACCAGGAACCACCGCAGCTTGGTGTCTCGGATAGACGATGCTCGAGACGCCGTGATGATCTGATTTCTTGATGAAGGATGCCCCCTACGAAACGAGATTACGACTCTTTACATGGGTTTATTCTTTGGGGTTTCCACAATTCTTATTTATACCAATTCAACGAATCCAAGCTCTTATAGCAGCTCAGTCCACGTAACAAGGCTCATTCATCAATGGTCTCTCAGCTCCATGTGGATTTCAAGTGGGAGATAGGCACATGCAGCCAAACATCTTCTGTCTCCCATCAGTTCTTTTGGTAATCGGCGAGATGATGAGTATTGGAAGTGCCTTTTCGAGATCTGCTCGCGCACCCGCCATGAATGCTTCTGAAAACTTCTCCGTCTGTGACACTTACCTCGAGGTCGAGTCAGGCAAGCGGGGCTGCCCCGTTCACGGAAATCGCAGTCCGGCCCCAATAACAATGGACATTAAGGCATGGCCAACCTTTTGAGTTTAGTAACAGTGACAGTCTTCATCAACACTTTGCGGCGTCGTACGACATGACGACCTGAGAGTCTGCCTCAACACCCCTTTCTTCCAGGTGTATATCTCTCCCACCATCTGGGCATTGAACATGACCACTCTCATCTTTTCTTGGCATTGCTCTTTGATCGCTGTCTGTGTGGCCGCCCGCCCGCCCGTGAAAAGCAAAGTAGCACGTCAACCCATTCGTTTATCCTGCCAGGCTCCGTGTTTTCACCCATCCATGTAGTCTTTTTCAATAGCATCAACTTCCCACTGTCCCTTTGCAAATCAGCGCACGCACACCCGGAAGTTAGTGCCATATCTCCTGCTGGTGTTCACCTGTACCTGACAAACACCGTCACCGGAGAAAGAGAGACAAGTTCAAGGCGAAACCTTGAATTTGGCCCGCCTGTGCCTGTCTCACAGGTGAATAGTCAGAGTCGAGCGCCAAGGGTCTGCGTTCCTCCAGCAAGTTTTATTGTCTCTTGCAATAGCTCCCGGTGCCTCTGCGTCACCCGCCATTCCATTTCCACCATCACAACCGGCCACCATTTCAGCGTCTTCCATTGAGAAGCGTATCCACCGTGCAAGAAAGAAGGCCCGCCTCCGTGGCTATTTCCGCAGCTCGAAGGCGGAAGTGTACAACGAGATCCTCGAACTCTGCGGGATTTTGGGCAGAGGTTCCTGTGTCACTTAACGGACAACAATGCTGATTTGACCTAGCTCTCGTCGGCGGGCTTTTCCTGGTTGTCAGCGTGGTTGGTATTCTACTCCTTCTATATTGCAACTGGACAAGGCGCCTTCCTCACTGCCGCCTTCTGTGTCGTGAAGTCTGTTGCTGGTGACGCAAGCTTCCCGCAGCAGCTGCATATAAGACTTCAATCCTTCAGGCTCTATCGCATAGTTCTGGCTGATACTGGGCGTTGTCGGTCTGGATCAAGAACGCAACGCTTTCCCTCTGGTAGATCGACCTTTTGTCATAGATTTATGGACCCTCCAGGCCTGCCTCGCCCTCCAGCACGAATCTGTTGAGTGCTTCTGCGTGCCAGTAAGTCCCTTCCACCCATTCAAAGCCCATTCGGCGTTGTTGCTAGGCAATTCACCCTGTGGCGCTTAAAGTCACGGCGCATCGCACCGATAATCTTCTCACGCAGCGTCCGTAGTGATTCATGAATAGGGGCCCGTCTCTGGAGGTACCTGTCCCCCTGCGGTAGCTGAGCTCCTGCTCCGACACAAAGATTAACATACCAATTGGCTTTGCACACGACGCACTCACGAGCCAAGTTCAGCCCTCCGTAAGACCGCAGCGGATCAACTCAGCCGACAACGAGTGACAACATCAGTGGAACTTTTTACCTTCATTTGAATCACGCACCAAGTGGCAGTAAATGGTGTTAGGAGGAGCAACCCTCACTCCAACACCGGCTCTAATACCAGCACCAATGCTGAAGCCCCACGTACGCACTCGATAGAGCACTTTAGCAAAGAAGGATGACACTGCTCAGAAGCTTCTGCCATTGGTCAAGGGAGATGATATCGAGGAGACGATTCAAACACAGCGGTCATGCGGGCCGTACGAGAAAGAGTGGTCATTGACGTGCTTGAAAATACGAGGCACAACTGCAACTAAAAGCTGAGAAAGATCGAGGAAGATGATTCTCGAGGCCTTGCTCAGCAAACAAGACAGAAAGTGGTCATTCTCTCCGCGCACTCCAAGCCGCTTGTGACATTCAGCAATGGAAAGCGGAGGTTGCTAAACTCGTCGCTCGAGACATAAATATCACCCATGCTCCGCTTGGCAATCGAGGGCCGGTTAGCGAGGATCGGGAACGGGGAGGAGCATCTGGTGGAGCGTTCAGGGTAGAACAGGTGAGAAGTCAGCATCTGCGGCCCTAAGCGGCGGAATCGCGTCGATACATATCTCGGGGGTTATCGTATTCGTGCACTGGCGTGAAACAGAAGTTGACAGGGCCACAGAGCTTTGTTTATTTCTAGAACGCTGTCCGGCGGGCGTCCTATTCGATGTGGTTCATGTTCATGAACGCCACCAAGTCAAGAGCGAGAGGTGCCACCAGAGCGAAGAGAATGGCTGAGAGGTAAGAGTGAGAGCCGGAGGCTTGAGGCCTAGAACCAATAGTAAGCACCCAAGCCGCCAGTGCTGCTCGTCCGAAAGGAGCCCCCAGCGCCAGCGCCCAGGTCCAGTGCGCCCCCATGCTCCAGTCGTCATTTGCCGAGCAGGTGCACCAGAGGCAGCCATCCGAGTCACTCACAACTCACATTCGTCTCACGCGGAACTCACATTACACAGTCTCAGAATTTCTCGCCTCGCAGTTGCTCGCGCCTTCGGCAAAACCGAGCCATTCATTTCTCGACGCGACACAGGATGCTTGCCCCGCCGAAAGCAGAGAGTTGCTGAAGTCGTCGGCTTCGGCCAACGGATGCCCTTAACGGCGAGTCGCCATCAATCAACGCCGATCCTACGTCTACGGGAGCAGTATCGACATGGCCTCGCTCATCGATCCTCAACTGCGAGGCTCTTCGCTAAGCAGCCCTCCAAAACCTCGCGATATACCGCCACAGTATCAGAATGGTCCGCCCGGTGCCTACTCGCCTCTGCAACCATCACTCCAGCCGTCCCCCAATAACTCGTACCAGTCGATCCAGACTCCCAACTATTACCCAAGCACTGCACATACCCACGACAGCCCCGACGATCAAAGCCCCCCAGCGAACCCGCACGATCCCAATGATATCAAGAGGCCGCGCGCCTGTGAGGCATGTCGACAACTGAAGGTCAAATGCGAGCTCGACGACAACCACCCCACCGGGTCCTGCAAGAGATGCGCAAAGGCGAACAGACAATGTATTGTCACAGCCCCGAGCCGGAAGCGGCAGAAGAAGACCGATAGTCGCGTCGCCGAGTTGGAAAAGAAGATCGATGCCCTCACGGCGACGTTGGCCGCAAGAGGCGGCGCGGAGTCCGATCTCGCGGTCGACCCGGCCATGGCGGTCACACATGCTCCTCCTCAAGATCCTCGTGTACAGAGCTTTGGCAGTCAGTGGCATCATCATCATCCTCCGCCGCCGCCGCCGCCGCCGCCTCCACCACCAGGCGTTCATTCTCCGCAACAGGGGGTGAAGAGGAAGATAACCGACTTTGACTACTTCGGCGGCGAGCTGCACAAACCTTCGCCTCATCAGTACAAGGCGGCGGCACTTCCAAACACATATCAACCAGTATTGGAGCATACCACAAAGACCGATGAGCCGGCTACCGTTGATCCTGTTGAGCGTGGCCTGGTCGACATCGTCAGTGCCAGAAAATGCTTTGATCGATACATGGCCGAAATGTGTGAGCATCTGCCCATGGTGGTCTTTCCGCCCGGGACTCAAGCGGATGAGGTTCGCAAGAACAAGCCTATCTTGTTTCTGGCCGTCCTGGCGGTCGCTTCCGGCACGATCCGGCCTGATCTTCAGCCAAGATTGATCGTGGAGATCACCAGAGCCCTGGCCGACCGAGTGATATTCCGAGGTGAGAAGTCACTCGAACTGGTGCAGACAATCCAGGTCACGACATGCTTCTACCAGCCTCCGGAGAAGTACGAAGAGTTGAACTTCAACCAGCTCATCCATGTTGCCGCTGTTATGGCTCTAGACCTAGGCATGGGGAAACGATCAAAACGAGGCGTTGGGGGGATCTGGCGGCCCTATCATGAAAACAAGAGACCCTTGTCGGACCCCAGCAGCGCAGAGGTGCGCCGATGTTGGCTGGGCTGCTACTACATGTGCTCCAAGTGAGTGTTTGACCTGGACATTATTCTACCATTCTAACTCCTTTCAACAGCTCCTCCATGTCTCTTCGACGGCCTCTCCTCATCCGGTGGAGCCCGTACGCCGATGAATGCATCGACATCTTGAGCTCTTCTCCAGATGCGCTTCCCTCGGACAAGTACCTGTGTCATCTCGTCCGGGGCCAGCACATTACTGAGGAGATCGGACTTGAATTTTCCATGGATGACCCAGCTTCTCAGGTGTCATTGACAGACCCCAAGACCCAGTCTCACATGAAGGCTTTCGAGCGTGAGCTTGCAGCATGGCACGATTCAGCCACCAAGGACATGCTTAAGAAGCCAATTGTGCAGCACACCAAGGGCATTATTAATCTCTACATGCACGAAATCGCCATGCACCATAACCATAATATCGACGACTTCCGACCTCCATACATCGCTACTCCTATTGATGGGCCTCCAGACCCGGACACGCCAGCCCATGTCGAAGCTCTCACGACTTGTATCAACTCCGCCCACTCCGCATTTGAAGCCTTCCTCAGTATGGACGTCGCAGCTCTGCGCGCATTACCCACTCTTTTCTTTGTTAGGAACTCCTATGCCGCAGTCGCATTAATCAAGATGTACTCGGCTGTCTCTGCGAAAGGCTCGAAATTCAATGCCATCTTCAAGACCAGAGATCTGAAGGTCGAGTACTATCTTGACAGAATGATTGAAGCGCTCAGCAAGGCTTGTGAGGACGACATGTCCCGCGTCGCCCACAAATTCACTTTGATCTTCAATATGCTCAAGAGCTGGCACATGAAGAGAATCGACTCGGTCAACAACGGAAGCGGCCCAGTCTCGAGACAGCGGACACCGGCAAACGGGTCCGTCAACTCGAGATCAAACAGCGTGCCGCATACACAATCAAGCGCCTACAAGGCTGTCCCTCCACAACAGGATCCCTCAAGCCTAGGCTGGAATTCGCAACATCGCGCATCGATTGACGGCGGTCCTCCGCCTCCACAAACTCAAGCCCAACCCCGGAGCGGCCTTCAAATGCTCTCCGACGCAGCCATGGGCCCCGGTCCAGGTCCTGGGCCCGGCACGTTGATGCCACAACCACAACCAACCCCTCAACAACAATGGTCCCACACGATAATGAACCAGCCCACACAGCCAAACATGCTCCCTGGAATTAATCACATGCCTGCTTCAGGACCGCCTGGCTATGACCAAACTGGTATGATGCCCTACATGATGCCCGGCCCCGGCGGAGACATGATCCCGATGGATTTTACGAATGATGAGCTCATGGCATTTGGGTTTGGGGACGAGTTCCTTGCCATGAATTTCGGGTTTGAGACCAGTGGGTGGCCGCTATAGAGAGCCTCGAAGGATCAAACCCCGGTTCAGCTACCATGGGACCAGCCCCCAGTCGAACCTGCAAACCATGTAGACTTCGTGTCTACGTTATAATCTGCGCCAGGGGTGGCAACCCTTGCTTGACAGTGTGACTGTGGGAGCGATTCAGCTTTCTGGGGCGAGGAAATTGCGGCTGGCTCTTTGCTGGAAGGATCCACCATTTCGTTGACATGGCGGTCTGACCACGACAGAAAATACTACGGCGGATGAACCTCTCTCCCTCACCCTCTTTCACCCTTTCTGGTCTCTCTTATGCTCCGATGCTTCACTACGGGTTATGGCTGTCTCACAATTAGGGAGGCTCGACACGTTGTCTTTTCCTGGACCTTATCCTGTACAAAAAATGCCTTTTTTACGTACTGCTTCCTCAGTGGCATCTTTTTGCTTTCGACGTTCCGGGCTGTAAAAGAGCGGGCGTGGCGGACTGCCCCTTTTTGCAATGTCTGGAAACGTCCTCCGTTCCCTTGGGAATATCTTTATCACGCAGTATGTAGCAATGTCAGCAATGTCAGCAATGCCCCCAGCAAAATGGAATGATCTTTGACGAACATCTCGGGATTAACTCTTTACGCGCTACACCGTAGGACGTAGTAATCCGCGCACCCGAGTTCCTACAAGTACAGTACAGTACTTCAAGAACATACATATCGCTGTATGACAGTGTCCCGCACGATGCAGTGAGTTTCCACCATCAGGTTTTGTTCATCAAACTAGGTACGTACTCCGTACTTGTCGGTGAAAGCCTCGACGCCCTTGCTGTAGCTGTACCGGTGGCAGCAGCCTATCTCCTTATGGTACCTCGCTACAGGGCCCCAAAAACAAGATTCGCCATCGTGTCGCGTCGTGCTCGCTCCCCTCCCTGTCTCGCGACCGCCATCTGTGCCTTTCCCGGCCGACCGTTGAAGTCTTCAAGCGGTCGAAGCATCACCCTCCTCCTCCTCCTCCTCCAGCTCCGCCCAGGCCAACTCCTCGGCCAAACTCATCCTTAGGACCGTCAGGATGTCCCGTCCAGTCACGGTCGCCGCGTCACCGCCACCAGGCCCATGCTCACTGTGTTGGACGAACTTCTCTCTCCAATCCCATCCCCTGGCTGGGGCGTCTTCCATGCCCCGTGCCTGAGTCATGGCTTTGCCACCGCCACTCTGGCCTTTGACCATGACGGCGCTCCCGCTGGCGTCGGTGGTCATGCTTCGCGCCAACATCTCGGACCCGAGGACAGAGTACGAAAAGCCACTGCCGCTACCGCTCCCGCTGCTCATGGATTTCTTGAGCACCGCGCGCGGACTCGGTGGTCTGCTGCCCGCGTATTCGCGCAGACTCGCGGCGAGACATTCCTCCGTGGCGGCGAAGACGCGAGCCGAGACCGTGCTGAGGTCCTCGATCGCCGAGAGGAGGTCGTAGATCTGCGGGATGGTGAAGATCCTGCTCCTCGCACGAGCGTGACCGCGATTATCACCATGACTTGCATCCCCCGAGTGACTACTGGCGGTAAGCAGGGCCGTCGCCTCGCCTAGCAGACTCAGCAGCCCGTCGACCTGGATCGCGCTCGTCCGGTCTGGATCGTAAAGTCCGCCGTAGATGGAGTCGGCCGCGGAATTTATCGCTGCGATGAGCGCCTTTGCGGCCGCGCGTTTCCTCGCTAGCGGTCTGGAGTTGAGACTTGGCTGCGCGGGCCCGCTGCCTCCAAGGTCTTGGTCCCGGAGTGTGTAGAAGCGGCGAATGCACGCGTACCCGACGAGATAGAACTGCAACATCTCGGCGGCTTCGGGGTCCACCTCGGCTATGTCGACGAGAGCGGTTTTGGGATTGCTCACAAGAGAGCGCAGGGCATCGTCGAGCTCGTTCGCTGGCGGGTACGCGCGTGACTGGACCAGCGAGTAACTGACCAGGACGTCAACGAGCTGGTGGATTTTCTCCCGGGCGTGGCTTCGTGCGTAGCACAACAAGGCGGTACCATACTCCTCGGTGTTGTTGACTAGGTAATCGCCGAATCTATCGGAAACCTTTCTAGCCTCGTCTTGAAGGCCGAGGTCTGAACAGAGGTTGGTCAGTTTCTCAGCCCGATCTTGCGTTGTGACTTCGAGGTGGTCGAGGAAGTTCGAGACTGTCGTCCGCATAACTTCTCGGTCGTCCAGGCGCGTGACGAGGGAGATGGAAACTTCCCATCCCTCGACGCCGGATCCGTCAGACAGGTGCAGGGTATCTTTCTCGAACAGCTTTTCGGCGTAGGAAACGAGGAGATCGTCCTTTGAGACGCCCGCCTTGGATGCGCCGTAGCTGAGGACCATGAGGTCTTCTTCGTTGAGACCTGCGGGATGAGATGTGGTGTCGTCTTCTAACCAGCCTGCTTTGGAGCCAATCTCAGCCACCGAAGCAGCTATGCATTGTGATAGCGTTCTCAACACTGTCAACGCGCCTGGGCTACTCCCTTGCAGGATGCAGCCTAGCCCAACCTCGACAGGCGACATCCCGTTAATCTGAAACGAATTCTTATCATCCGGCGCGGTCACACAGAGAAACGAATCTCTCAGTCTCCCAAGGTAGGGGTTGAAGTCTTCGTCTTGAACAGCCGGATTATTAGCCCGGCTGACATCGAAACTCCATTGCGCGACTGCAGTCGAGTCGGCAGTTCCGTCCCACCATATCGTCAAAGATGTCGTTGCTTCAAGCCAATCTTGCGATTGAGCTGATATTTCTTCGGCCGACCCTAGCAGAATGTTGTAGAGAATCTTGAGGTTCTGGAAGATCGTCCAGGGGAGAGTGTTTGACGACTTCTGACCCAGTCTACCGAGCAGGCGAGTCTCGGGTTTGCGGAGGCCAAAATTCTCTGCTTCAAAACTGTCTTCATCATCTTGCGCGGTGGCTTCGTCAGTGAGATTTTCGAGCGCGGCTTCGACGGAGGCGCGGAAGACGTCCCAGTCAGGACCTGCCACGTTCCAGTCGCCGAACTGGATTGCAGGGCATGAGTTTAGCAGTTGCCGAGCCCGATAGATGACGCCCTGGACCGTCTGCAGTTGAGCACCTTTGTACCCGTCACTATCGTGTCCATCGTCGGCGGCAGAAGCAGCATATTTGAAATCCGCGTCGGCGAAAAGCTGCATCACCTGTTGGAGCTTTCCCCGGAGTGTCAGACTGAGGACGGCGTCCCAGAAGAGCTCGTGAGAAGTGCAGTTAGGCCGCGCGGAGGCGACCGCTTTGTACATTTGGTCGTACGAGACGTGATATTGGTCGAGCCAGTCGAGCAAGACCTGAGGAGTGGGAGCAACCGTATCATCCATCGAGGGAGGAGGATGGCGCAGAACGAGCATTAAAGACGCAAGATAGTTTGCCTTTGCAAACGCAGGTGCTGTAGGCTGTGGACCAATGTCATTACTGTCCAGGGAAGGTCGGTCGGGCTGGACGAAGCGTTGCCATTCCTTGATCAGATCGTAAGCGTACTCTGAGACGATGTCCAGCGCCTTCGTGCTGTCCTTGAGATATTGCGACTGCTCATCGAGCGAACGCAGGATCTGTTCCGTCTCAAGGATCAGCTCGTCTGGCTCGGTGAGAGATGCTTGTTGTGCCCTAGCTCCCATATCTCTGGCCAGGTTTGATACCACCGTCTCGTCCCCCTTGTGCGGGAGAGCGGAGAGCCTTGTAGAGCTGCGAAATGATTTGCGCGGTGCGGACACTCGTGCGTCCCGGGTGCTGGCGGTGCTGAAGTTCATCAGAGACGCATTATTCCGTTGATTGATCGAATGAAAGCCGCGACGAGGTGAGTATGGATTGGACCCTGCGTCATGCGCATCTTCTTCCATGGCTTGATCGCCATCCTCCTCATTTTCAACTGCCTTCCCGGTAACATAGCCTTGCCTCACCCGCGCGATATTGGGCGTGCCATTCTTAGTTCTAGGTGGGAGGCGGGATCCGGGAATCGACCGTGGAGAAGTTTCGGTAGGCTTGGTGAACTGCAGCTTGCTGACACCTGTCCCGAATGCTGAGCTGCCGAATATTTGAGATGGAGGAGGAGCGACAGGTGTTGTGCTGGCCAATTGAGGCGGGTTCGACGACAGGAATCCTCTCGACGGATGTTGTTTGCCGGGCGTCGAATTGACGCTGGACGAATAGTCCGCCGTAAACCTATTCATTGCGACGACTGCAGAGCAAGTTCAGGGCCATTTGTTTGAGATATTGGAGCAGCCGCAGCGACGATAGTGTTGTTCACAAAGCGACGATGTTGAATCCCAAAATTGTTTGGAGCGAGCGCGTCGCGCGCGCAAGGCTGGGCCCGCAAGGCTGTGTATGCTTAGTCATCCACGTCTGTCTCCTGCTGCTCCTGTCACCACCTGCTTCTCGATCGCCATACCCCCATTCTTCACGTTGCTGGATCTACTCTAGGTTCAATGCTTTATCTACTATGTCTACCCCGGAAGTCCCTTGGCTGCCGGCGTGGGGTCGATGACCGACCCAACCCTCCTTACAGAATATGGGGAAGAGCTCTGAGTGTTTCGCTCGCAAGCGGAAATACCCCCTGGTACCAATACAGGTCGCAGGCTAGTGAAGATAGGTCTTATAAGCTCCGATGACAGACCTCCAACCTTCCAGCTGAGTCGTGGTATACAACCCGTTAACGAACTTGGCTTGATCACTATCCGATCTATACATTCGGGACCCAAGAAATTTTACCTCGGTTGAGGCGCGGACACACGCCGCTACAAGGATCAAAGCCGTCGATCATATCGATACAGGCCAAAGCTTCTGTTCTGTATTCCCCTTCTTTGACTGTAGCCAACCCATCCCTTCAAGCTCTCCCTCTGTTCGCCCGCCGTGTCAATCTATTCCGATCTTCATCGTCACCGAGGCGTCACAAAACACTACCAAGATGGGGTCCAATTACACCTTCCAGGGCTGGATGGGCTTAGACAAAAACTCGGCCCAGGGCAACATGGTCTGGCAAAGCTACACTCCCAAACCTTTCGAGGAAAGCGACGTTGACATTAAAATCACTCACTGCGGCATCTGTGGCTCCGATCTGCACACGCTGCGTTCTGGCTGGGGCGCATCCCTCTACCCCGTCTGCGTGGGGCATGAGATCGTGGGTACTGCCGTCCGCGTAGGCAGCAAAGTCGAAAACGGGATCAAAGTCGGCGACCGCGTCGGAGTCGGTGCTCAGAGCGGCTCGTGTCTGCGACCGGATTGCGAGGAATGCTCCCACGACCAAGAGAACTATTGCCAAGTGAAGCAGACCGGGACGTATAACTCAAAGTGGCCAGACGGGAGTAAATCATACGGCGGGTATGCCGATTACTGGCGCGGACACAGCCACTTCGTCTTCAAGATCCCAGACGCGATCCCGAGCGACGTCGCTGCTCCCATGCTTTGTGGAGGCATCACTGCCTTCTCACCCTTGACACAGTACGGTGCCGGCCCAGGGAAGCGCGTCGGCATTATTGGCTTAGGCGGGCTTGGGCATTTCGGGGTAATGGCTGCGAAAGCTCTCAACGTGGACAAACTGGTCGTCATCAGCCGGAGGAGCTCCAAGAAGGCCGACGCATTGAAGATGGGCGCCGACGACTTCATCGCCACGGACGAGGATAAGGATTGGCATCGCAAGCACCGCCAGAGTCTCGATCTGATCGTGTCCACTGTTTCCTCTCCCAAAATGCCGCTGGCCCGATACCTACAACTCCTCCGTGTGGGTGGCACATTTGTCCAGATCGGTGCGCCCGAGGACAACATTCCCGCCTTCAACGCCTTCTCACTGCTCTCCAAGAAGATCAAGATCACCGGTAGCGGTATTGGGAGCCCCAAGGAAATCCGCGAGATGCTGGATCTGTTCGCGAAGAAGAAGGTCTGGACGTGGAACAATAACTATCCTATGAAGGAGGCGAATCGAGCCATCGTCGACATGGAAGAGGGGAAGGCACGGTATCGGATTGTGCTGGTAAACGAGAAGAATTTGAATGAAAGCCGGCTGTAGAGCCTTCCCTCTTGGCTTCTTTCCCCCTTGGATCGAAGGACATCACGGACGTTTTCATTTGCAGTGTTTTCCAAGATGGGGTCTCCAGAAGAGCTTGAATCTGGCTGGATGGGCGGACCTGAGCATAAGACATAAGACAAAGAGGCTGGAACCGAGGTCAAGGAAAGTAGGTGTTAACGAAAGGATGGCCATGTGGACTTGATCAGCTCATTGCACCGGCGACCTAAGCGAGATCCAACCTCGCGCTGTCCAATGTCGCGGGGGATGTAGAAATGGTACAAGCCTATTCAATACCCATCAGCTCAGCCAATTCCTCAGGGCTGAGTGTGCTCCGTCTTCTTGATGCTTTCCTTGTTTTCACGCCGTTGGCATTTGCGTGTTTTCTTTTCCGGCCAGGCTCCATGTGAGCGGATGATGGTTGCCTCTGGGCTTGCAGGGCTTCGGCCTCGACCGCTGCGAGCTTCTCAGATACGGACAGTGGGGGTTCTCGTTGCTTCATCTATTTCTGCATTAGTCTGGTTGTGATACCATCTGTGAGCGTCTCTACTGACCTTCCTCGGAATCCGGGGCTTGGTCAAATTCTCGTCAAGCCATACATCGTCGTCGTCGTCATCCTCATCTGGCCGGTCTCCGTCCATTTCTATAGCGCTGTCCGAGCTTCCCAGACCCGGCTGCGTGCCTTGCTTTGATGACGAATTTGTGCTTGTCAAGGCCACGCCGTGGCCGGGCGACCTGTTGAGACCGCTCAGGCCAACAGGCTGCAGCGGTCGTACGGGCTTCCCTAGGTTAAGTCCTGCTTTTCGAGCCAGAGATGCGCGGCGTTTGGGTGAGCGACCTTCCGCGGGAGGGATGTCTGGATCCCGATGATGAGACTGTATGCCTGTTTTATCGTTATCCGGCAGTCTGGGGTATTGCACACCTCCTCGATCGTCCGCCGGGAGTTGTTGGTCCAGGTCTTCTTCGTCTGATCCTTCTTCCAGTCTGCTGATTTCGTAAAATATTGACGACGGTTCCTCATCTTGGCCAAAAACAGGCTGTCCGTTAGGCAGCAAAGAAATACTTTTGCCAAACTCCAACCTCGAAAGATCCTCCTTCGAGAACTCTTGTCCATTCTCGTCCACGCGCTTGCGCCAGTTGTCCATCATAGTGACGGCCTCCTTCCACCTGCTTGCCATCTTCTCCCACCCCACACGTAGCTTGCTGATTTCTTCGTCACGAATCTGGACTTCTTCGATGGGAACGAATGAGGGGTCCTTGAGGATAGACCGGCAGTGCTCCAGAATACCTGCCATTTGCTGTTCCAGCTCGTTGCAGGATGTGAGGTCCTGGGCTTCGGCTTCGGCTTGAGCTTGTTGTTGTGCTCGAGCAGCCTTCTGCCTGGCTTTGCGGTATTGACCCGGTATGCCTATGCCATCCTCCTCCGTATCCTGTTCTGGCTCTTCAGCACCGGGCTGTTGCCCCTCCAGCCCTGTCAACTCGCGCAGCACCTCCGCAGTATCTGTGATGATTCGTCTCAGCGAAACGTTTTCCGTGCTCATCTCATTGACGAGGGCGGCAAGGAAGTCGTTGCTCTCCTGCTCCAAGCTCCATTCCGATCTGTCCACGGCCTGCCCGTTGCGTCTTTCGCGACCGCCGGTTGCTGGCTCCCAGTTTATCGTGTTGATCTTCATGCCACTCGACTCTTTCTTACCGCGCTGCATGCCCGCCAGATGGGCCTTCAGTTTGTCCAGTTCGGCGTCTCGTTTGCGCACGTCACTTAGGCATTTCGCTCGGACTTGGTCCAGAGTAGACTTCATCCTCAGCATCTGCTCCTTAAGCTCCTTGGCTTGAGCATCCGCCTGGCGCATGTGAGCTTTCAAGACCCGCTCTTGTGATTCAGCTGCGGCTGCAGCTCGAGCCAACTCGGTGTTCTTGTCCTGTAGCCTCTGGAGGTCAATGGCGCGCTGGGAATCGGCTGCGCGTGCTTGGCGGATGTGCGTGGTGAGGATTTCTCGTTGCTCGGCGTCCTGGTCGCGCCGTAGGACGAGGTCATGGACGAGGTTGATGACACGGGACATGGTCGCATCAGTGTTGGAACCATGGCGGTTGGGGCGGGCAAAGTCGATGGGTTTGCCATTGGTAAGGAGGCCCCGCGCGAGTAGAATGTTATTGAGATACTGTGATGCTCTCTCTAGACTGTGCGACTCCATGGTAAAATGTACAATGGACGGGGTATGTACGTGGTGTCAGTCCTTGCTTCGGCAGAGACAGATGAGGAAGTATGTTGTGATGCGCGTGTCCGAGATTTACCCGGCGGCGCGTCTGCCCAATCACCCACTCCTCGCCTTTCCATTCTTCCTTCCTCACCATAATGGGGGACACTGACTACATTCAACATGCGACATGAACATCGTGAAGGCTGCAGACAGGATCACATCCAGTGCTCGCGGTTGCAATCCAAGGATCACTTGCCGCTGACATGAGATGGCTCGAGAACCAGCCTGTCTCATACCTACCCAGTCGGGGGTCTATCAGAATTTGCTTGGATGTATGACCAAGGACGCTTGTTCGGAGTCCACGCCGCGAGATCTTTCGATGCGAACCCCCGAGCCCAGCTCGCCCCGCTTCTCAGTCACCAGGTGATCGGACGGCCTCTTCGCCATTGTTGGCTACTTTTCCCTTACCGGGCGCAATTGTACAGCGAAAGGTCTAGTGCTACTAGCGAAGACCCCGGTTGCGGAAGTCGTCTGGACTTTCTGGTACATCCCCTGATATGCCAGTTCATTGTCCGTCTCATCCATCTCATTAATCGGGTGGAAGACGCCAACTCGTCCCGTGCCCGTCCTATATTTCTCATCCCAACTGCTTCTCTGAGGCATCCTCGGTTCATTGCCGGACAGATTGCTTAACTTTCAAGAACACCCTTGAATGTAGCTGACCACAACGCCAGAGCGCCAAAAAATGGGTAAGCTACGTTGTGTCCACGCCAAGAAAGAACAGTACAGCGCCGTGCCATGATCTCGACTTTGTGACCTGCACGCCCACTCACACGACGGCGCAATGATGTCCATCCCGCATATCATAAAATATCCAGATCTTCGAACTCTGCCAACAACCCATGAGGCTCTTCCCAGCTACTCCTCGGTTCGAATTCCATAGGCCGACTGGCATAGCATCCGACCCACACACTCCCTTTCTGGTGTTCGAAGCCACCGGCGAAGAAGCCCATGATCTCGCGCATCTTTCTCCATCCAGTCGCGACATCTTCTGGATTTCGTTGCCGCATATAAGAGTTTGCATGGGGATACTGGGGCTCGAATGGTGTCGAGCTCTCCGGGATTTTGTACCATATCCACAGAGATTCCCCAACTCGCTCCAGTTTCACGCGAAGGGTCTGCGAGGCGAGTGAATACGGTCCAAACGGCGTAAGAGGCAAGGGTAAGCGGGCCGACGATGTCCAGTCTGCACCGCAAGGCGAAACGGCCACCACTGAGGCAGCATGTAGCTCTCCCTCGACCAGCTCGAGACCGGCTTTGGCCCATCTACCTGTAGCCCTAGCCTCACTTCCTCGTCTCGGGTGGCGCGAAATTCGACGAGTCGCGATCGGCAAGGGTGATAGCGTGGGATCCGGCAACGAGCCGGCGAAAATGACAATGCCGGCCTGGTCGAACTCCTCCGACAGTGCGGCGGACACGGTGACTTCTGCCAGAATGAAGGATTGTCGTAGGCGCTTCAAGATCATTGGCGCCGTGGTGTCATCGTATGCTGAAGGCTTTCGCCAGATGCTTGTATTGGGTGGCGCTTGCAGCGAGAAATACTCGTGGATGTTATCTGGCTGCTCAAACGTAGTTGGAACATTCACCGCCACAAAGTCGTCGTGCGCGAGCTCCATACCGTGTGGTAGCCGTGCACACGCGGATGACTTGGTTGCAGGGACGCTTAGATCTTCTGGTTGTGTGTGTTTAGAGGTCGTTTCAAGAAGAGACCTGTCATCTGAACAACCGGAAACTTCCTCCTGCGTTCACGCGAGGACGTATGGCGGACGTAGCTGTTGCACCGCAGAAGCTTGGACAACCTAAGTGACAGTGACACTTTCAAGTCAAACGCCGAGTGTAAGCATCTAAGGAGTAAATCTTGATTGTCATCAACAAAGGTGGCCGAGAAGGAGAGCTCGGACGAAAGAAGACAGGGATGAGGCAGTATTGCATCCAGGGCGACGCAGGAGGAAGCAGGACAACTTAAAAGCTTGCACAGCCAGGCAGGAAGGGTGGTATCGCTTGCCCGAACGGCTGTCTCTAGTATTCAAGAGCTGTCGCGAGGTCATCAGCCATGAAGGTGGGAACAGAGGTAGAGACGTCGGATCGAGGTGGCCAAAGAGCGACTGGCCGGCGTCAGAGGCTCCTGAGTACGGAGTAGGCGTTGGACAAATCATGGGCCTCGCACGGATTTCGCGGTCCATGGCGGACCTGCAGGAAAGGTTATGTCTCGAAGGAAGCTAGCCCCAGGCGCATACACGCGTGAGCCGAGAGCTGAATAAAAGACCTTGCTTGCGGGTTAGATGAAGGTTAGTTGTCGGCCGACGGTTGCCACGCAGCGGCGGAGCGACTGTGGCTGGCCAATCATGCTGCATATCACAGCATGCCAGTATCAGCAGTACCGGGGGAGTGGGCAGGCAAGGCCCAAGAATGCTTTCCGGAAGTTGGATCAGATGGACCGCCGGTACCACACACCGCTCGCAAGGGCAGGAACTAGCGCACGTCAATCACAGTAATAGAGCGGCGACATACGTACGAGCGTGGCTGGAACAGATGTCTTGGAGGGAAGGTGACTGCAGACGGAAGAGTGTCCTCATGACCGAGTGGGAAGCGTGTGGAAGGGCATCGCAGTCAGCATCACCAACATTGACGCCCCGTGGTTATCACCCATGCCTGATGCCATGCATGCCAGGCGTACGATGCCCGGGCGAGCGCATGCTTAGGGGGGCCTTGAGTCGGTGCAGGTTTGAGTAACCGCGAAGTCCTTGGTGGCTCGGAGATTCAGTTGTCCCTCAGACCACATACCTCGTACGGAGTAATTAGAATGCCTTTGATTGTGTGCAGAGAGGCGTAAGGGGGCATTGGGGGCATTGGAGGGCCGCCTAGAGTTGGGCTTAGCTGGGTGACACGGGAGCTGACGGCGTGGCCCGTCCTCCCCGTCGTGCCATGATTATGCCGGAGAACGCGTTAGGCGGGTGCATGCAAGCTAAGGTAGACAAGGGTCGAGCCGATTCAAGGCATCACGCTCGGAACCTGTGCACGAGGCTCGCCGGCGAGCCCCGAAGATGAGAGCGATGTCATCAAAGGAAGAAGAAAGCCAGAGATGTGGTTGACAGGCGGGAAAGCCAATTATGCAGTGGGCATTTCCTTTTAAGATTCTACTTTTTGGTTTCTCGCATGCTTGCTCCATTGCAGCGCCTTGATTTGCTCGTTCCTCCCGCCACCACCGCCGCACAGGCAGAGTAGCCGCCCAGCTTGTGCTTCGTCGATTGGGAGCTGTCACTTGATTGCCGAGGTTCTGTGAGGTCATTGTCACAAGCTTTGTCAGTGACCGCAGTCCTTCCTCACTTTCAAACTCATACTTTGACATGTGTCAGATTCCCGGGTTCATTGCGAGATGCGAGCTGAAATGATTGCCACTATCTCTCGGACTACGCAGCACGATATGGGTACACTCGAACTACGCTCTGGAAACCACCATGACAATACCTCGGACGAGATAATTTAGACTGATGTGGATTCTCGAATATCGTGGTGTGGCAGGACGAGACTCTCTTTAGGACCCTTGCTGAAGCCTAGATCCTCCAGAGAACACACACACCATGCATGGGCAGCCCTTGTGTCGCGGAACTCTGCACTGAGCCCTGTGCTTCACAAAGCACACTCTTGGCAAACGCGGCTGGCCCTGTTTCATTTCTTGCCCTTTCCCTTCTTCTTTTTGTTAGCACCACCTCCAGTCCCTGTAGCTACGGTGGCCGCAGCGGACTTCGCATCAACATTCAAGGACTCATCCACGACACCACCCTGGGTTCGGTCATCTCGTTTGCCCTTCTTCTTGCCCTTAGGCGGGCGGTAGTAACTTCTGTCTCTCATCGGAAGCCAACGTTCGGGGTCGGGCTTTTTGTTCTCGTCATAGTCCTTGGGTAACCTCGACTTCCGAATACGTTTGGGTTTCGGATCGCCACCCTCTGCTGTGGCCCGTTTTCGTGCCGGCCCTAATTTTGCTATTGTGAGGGCGTTTGAGGATTGCGGAATTCCTCTGTTCTCCAAGGCATCGATATCGATGTTTCGAATGAGCTCGGATGTGGAAGTCAGCTTATCGGCATCGGAGCCAGACAGAGCCTCGTCATCTTGGGCGTGTGACGCCACGTAACCGGCGATGGTAGCTTTGTCCTCTGGCTGCTGCTCCCGAAGTTTGCTGAAGATGGCCGAAGCGAGTTCGGCATCCTCCTGACTTTGGGACTCCAACAGTGAGACACCTGCTGCGGCGAGCAAGGTGGTGGGAGCATTAGGCTTACTTCGCCAGTACGCGGCGGCTTTGGCCAGTTCCTGCTTGACACCACCCTTCTGACCCCTGTGCGTGTATAAGCTGGTCATGAGACTCACAAGCATGGGATTGAAGCGAATATCATCCTCAGCGTCGGCCACTGAATCATCTAACCGCCTGAAGAACTGTTCCACCAACTCAACAGCTGAGGTTACGTCTCCATCAATGACGTACATTTGGACGAGTGTAAGGATCAGTCCAATGTCGTTGGGCCGTTTCTCCAGCTCTGGCAACACATTCCGGATAGCTGCTTTGCCAGTTTCATTCTTCGCATGGGCTGCTGCATTGAAGTGGGAAGCAAGAAGCACCTCTGGAGACAACGAGGGGACGGGATGTGCCTCGAGAGCCTTTGCAGTCGAAGACATGACGCCATCGTACTTGAATGTCTGTAGATCAATAGTGCTTTTGTTCGATTCCAGGGCTATACTTTGGTAGGTGAAGAGCTTGTCATTTTGTGGTACTTTAGGAGCCGAATGAAACGTCCTATGCGCAAGGAATGGGTTGATCATGGGGCCTGTCAGCATAACGTTGTTCAGGCCGATTTTGCGAGTCGACATGTCTGAGGCTTCCTGGACGTTGATATCGCGGCTGAGTGTCTCTGCTTCAAGCATCTTACCCTGCGACTGCAGCACGAACAGCTGTTGGACGGAGATGGGCAGTAGCTCTTCTGCCTTTTGCTGGTCTGTGAGGTCTTCTGAGTGCTTGCACAGTTCCCTGGCACGCTTGAGCAGCATTTCGGCCTGCGCATATTCTCCTCTGGCAATACACCCGCAGGCGGCATTGTAGGCGGTTTCGAAAGCCTCCAAGTCTTCTCTTCCAGGTCTCCGGATCAAACCCATGTCCAAATGACCAAGCCATTGCGCCTGCGCATCTATCGCACCCTGGTTCACTCGCAGGTCAAATTCCTCAGAATCTAATTTCTGGCTCCGTATACGTCTGTATAGTTCGGACGTTCTTGTCGATTCTTCCAGACGATACCTGGACTGCGCCTCAACATGGTGTGCTCCTCTACTCTTTAAGGACGCCGACAAATCAGCTGCCTCTTTTAATCGACCAGTCTTGTACAATGCGTAGGCATATTCCAGCTCGACCTTCTTGCGCAAGTCGGCCCCGACGTTGTTTTCGACAAATTTCGCAGCCTCCTCGTAGCGATCAAGCTTGAGAAGGGCAACCAGTTTAACGTGTTGCGTTTCGATGTCAGCGCCCTTGGGTGACTTGAGGACTCTGTCGCATTCTGAGAGAATTTGTTCATGATCGTCGAGGGAGGATTTCTTCAGAAGCGACAAGAGGCTCGAGGGAAGTACGGCGGCCATGGCGCTGAATTCAGGAGGGTGTAGGGGGTTCAGCTACCGAACCATTATCTTCGACGACAGCGGAAGAGCAACAGAGCCTCAGAGGTTCGTGAGAACATGTGTTTATGAAGCCGTCATTCGAGAATGCTCAGTGAAATGTGAATTGTCGCGGGGTTCGAGACGGAAGTGCCAGCAATTTTCCCCCACACAAACTTCGAAACCGATGTAAATGCTACGAGTGGCCACGCCGAGCACCATGAGCACGCGACTTCCTGTACATAGACAGCACGTTCTCAACTCATGTCGAACAAAGACTCCGAGCACTGTTGACTTTGATGTAGCCAAGGGTTGATCCTGGCATGAGAGGGCGGGTCACTGATGCCGCGTGAAGTCACTCGGTCTCTGTGTCAGTTTGTTGATGCTGCGTTTGATGATGCTCACATTTTGAGGCCAACCAGGAAGGCAAACTGAACTTCTTTGGCCTTTCATTTCTTCTCTGCTACCATTCCAGAAGGGAGTTGATACTGTACCTTCCGACTCCTCCGTACTTCCTCCCTACCTTGAATGACCTCTTCCCTCCGTCGCTTATTTGGTCTGCCGGGCAAACTTTTATGTCTTCCGTTCAGATCAGAGCGGCCTTCGCTCTCGCTGTCTGATCACAGATACCCATGCGCCATGGACGTCAACAGTGCCAGCTTTCCTTCCGAGCTCGTCAAAATCATCCAACATATTGCCAACAGCCGCTTCATTGCCTTTGATCTCGAGTTCTCGGGCGTAGCTGGGAGGAGGGCTGCTGGCGGCGCAAACCGACTCAGCCTACAGGAATACTACTCCGATTTAAGAGCCGCTGCCCAGATCTATCAAATTCTACAGGTTGGCCTGACTATCGTCACGGAGGATACTGAAAAAGGTATGTCTGGTGAAAGTGAACAAGAAATGACCGTATACACTCTATTGCAAGAAGGATCCATGAATCATCAGTTCGGGGGCTTCTCGTCATCGACCCTACCAATAATTTGCAGCTGCCCAGGAATACATTTGCCCAGGGACCAAATTGACCTCGACAGGTCGCTATGAGGCCCGACCTTACAATTTCTATCTCTGTCCGCTACCGACAACGAAGGAATCAGTTTTTGCGCGAGTATGGTCGTACAACAGTGGCGGCAAGTTTCTCGAATTTTCACTCCTTCTATCTCCTGCTAACTCTCACAGCCGTTTCATTTCTCATGCGGAATGGCTTTGGCATGGACAAACCCTTTACGCAAGGAGTTCACTATCTCTCGCGGCAGGAGGAAGACCAAGTCCGAAACAAGTTAATTGAAGAAGAGCAAGTCAGGTCTAAGATCCCGGACATGCAACTCAGAGACGACGACAATTTCCTCGTGGATCATATCAAGAAGTCAGTAAATGACTGGCAAGCCCTGCCGAAGGAGCAGCAAGAATCTTATCTGAACATCCCCGCCGAAGATGCTAAAGAGCCAATACCTTCGACGCTCAACCGGTACCAGGTTCGACTTACCCACCAGACTATCAGGAACGAGTACCCCAACCTCAAAACCCAGGGCATGGGTCATTTCGTCCAGATCACCAACCCCACTAGTGAGCAACAAGCCAACGAAAAGGAACTTCGCGAGCAGAGACGTGAGCTCGAAATTGCCAACGCTGTAGGCTTTCGATGGGTCTTAGAGGCGATTATGGGCGGCGATATCTCTAACCTGCCGCACCACTATGTTGTTGCAGCGCATTCTCCCGAGGACAAGCCGAAAGATGTACAGCGCTTTCTAAATGATCTTCAGAAGAAGTTAAAGGCCCAGACCAGAGCCGTGGTAGGCCACAACTGCTTGACGGACGTTATCAACCTATATCGCTGCTTCGTCGGGGATCTGCCGGAGAAAGTGGGAGATTTCAGTGCTCATCTGCACAAGCTGTTTCCTATTATCATGGATACCAAGTTTGTGGCTGGCCTTGGGAACAAACGATGGGCGGATACCTCCTTGAGATCTGTTGAAAGCGAGCTCAGTTCCGTTGAACTACCTCAGATTCACCTACCCCCGACATTCGATCGATACCTCTATGCGGCCAACTATCACGAGGCAGGCTTTGACAGCTTTGTCACAGCCAAAATCGGTCTGAAGATGCCTGGCAAACTGAAACGAGGCCCCCAAGACCTCAAATTATTGGTCGAAGGGTCTGTGCCAGCCCCAGAACGGAAGATAGAGGTTGAGCACGAGGAGGATGGGCCAGTCAGTCCTCTTCAGTCTCCTGTCGACGAGGTAGACCAAAAGCATAGCACCAAGAAAAACATCGTGGACATGATCAAACCCCCGGTCACCACAGTTAGGTCTATTCTGTCTGGAGCACCAAACGCAATCACCCAGGAGAAACCGAGCATAGCTTCTGTTAAAAAATCCACTCTGCTTATCCCCGCATCCGTCATCCCAACGACTGGGACAGTTATCGCGACGAAAGAGAAAGCTCAAGCAACACATAACACAAAGAATGAACTCCAGAAACTGAGAACGATATCGAAGAAGAGGAATATCTTTGACGTCCTCGATGACGAACCAGAGGATACGCCAGCAGAAGAGCCGGAGATCAGGGAGCAACAGAGGATGGCAGACTTGGTCAAAGAAGGGAGGCTGATGCCAAGATGGGAACAGGATGCTGAGTTCTGGGGGTTAATCGTGAACAAGTTGCAAGCGAACGCAACTCAAGAGGGTATCTTGCATTTGACAGAGCACTGACAGTCCAATCGATGAGGGCGGCGAGTACTGGCTTCACCTGCCACATGCGAGGGGACATCAAGATGCTCTTGCACGACCTTTGACGTCTGTGCTTTTTGGCTGTCGTTTGCAAGAGACCCGACCTTGACGATGTTCTTGCTGCGGACGATATCTGCGAGCATCCGCAAAGCTGACTGGCTGTGTTGCTGGCGAGGCTGTGGGTCGCCGGTAAGGTCGAAAGCCGAGGTTGAAGCGAGTTCAATTTGACATCGTGACGAAACTTTGCTCCTCACCCGTCTCCGACCTGCTGCTGCTCCCTCGATCGCCGCATCAGTGAACTGCAGTTGTTGCTCTGAAGAGTGCTTGTCGCCTGTCTCGGTTTCCGTTGCTGCGCTGGTAGCTTCGCCATCATGTCAATAGGCACAGACTCCCAGTCCAGCTCTCGCGACCTTTCCTCCTCCATCTCCTCACTGAATCAGTCGAGCAAACGGACGTCATCCGAGATCTCCAAGGTCTATAAGCATGCTTCGCAGTTGTTCCTTACGCGCCGACTACTAGAATCCTATGAAGCGCTGCAGCCCGTGATTACACCGCCAAGTCAGTCGAGGCCGGACGACAGTCCTGCGTTAGCACCTATAGCGACCGCAACCACCAGCCAGCGTATCAAGATCTGGAGCTTGTACGTCACGTTACTGAACTCGATTGTGGACCTGGGAGACGCCGAGGGCAGGGAGACTTTTGGTTCGAAAGAGTACAAAGAACTCAAGAGACGAGTTCAGAATGGTGATGTATGGGAGCAGGTCGTGAGGGATGGCTACCAGGGCCGAGAAGGCTCCGTCGACGCCGAGGTGGTGTACAATTTGTAACGATCCGTCTAATATGCCCTATACTTTGCTTATGCTGACTTCATTTGAGATCAAACCTCCTCCTGGGTCAGGCCCCGAACCAACAGCTCAATCAGTCCCGCCTAGAGACGTATTTCTCCTCCTCGTCGCACCCGACCCTCGAAGTCGGCCAACTCGATCTCTCGACGCACCTGGACCGCGCCCTCTCCAATGGCCAGCAATCATCAACCGGTTTAAACGGCACAAACACCCCCAAAGACCTTACCAGTCGGATAAAAGTACTGGAGATCTTCACGCTGCATGTCCTACCGAGGAACAGCGAATGGGACTACGCGCGAAGCTCCATTCAGAATAGCGACATCTTAGACGAAGAGAGGAGGGAGGCGTTCTTGCAGACGCTAGAAGAGTTGCAGGATGTGACCAGGCGTGAATCCATCGATGCGGGAGATGGGCAGGAGGAGGTCTTCGAAGATACAGAGGAACATCCTATAGACGACACACCAAATAGCCCGGAGCAGCAGTCTCAGTCACCGAAGGCGACATCGAAGCATCAACGGACGAGTAGTGAGGTCGACTACGGCATTGAACGAGCGCATCCCAACGGCGGCACCCACACAACTGCGCCCTCGAAGCCGGAGAAGCCATCAACAGAGCCTACCGCGACTTCCAAAATCCCTCAACCGACGTCGACGCCCAAATCGCCCCCACCTCCCTCCGCGACACCGACACGAAGCCACCTCTCGCCTCCTGCTCAGACCCCCCGCCGTCCAGCTCAACGGAAATCTCCCAAATCAGCCTCCTCCCAAAACACCCTGGCTGCACAAGCCCGTGCCCTCTTCCAGGCGCTCTCAAATCTCGCAAGAAGCATGGCCACTACGCTGCAGAAGAACCCGACTGCGATGCTGAGGTTCCTACTTTTTGTGCTCATGTTTGTGGTGGTGGCGGGTCAAAAGCATATAAGAGAGAAGGCCAAGAGGGTGCTGGGACGAGGATGGGAGAAACTCCGCGGTACGGTGGGTATGGGTGTCAAAGTGAGTTATATTTGAGAAGCAAGACAGTCGAGGCCGAGAAGAGGGACGAAAACACGGGAAGGGCGATATTACGAGATTTCGGATACACGTAAGAGCGACAATCGAGCGAAGAGAAAAGAGGTTCGAGCAACAGGAAGAAAAAGCAATTCTAGGTGTCCAGGGGAGATGGACAACCCAGGGCTACTCTCTGCATGCTGGGTACTTCTCCTGGGGGTTTCTTCTCTCAATCGGTACCGGGCGATTTGGATACCATGGCATAGGACCGGTCTAGTAACCTGACGCTTCCCGCGTCTGAAAGCGGTGCATATTTAGGCCCTCATAGCGTGTCAGACTGTTTTGCATGAAACCAAGCCTGAAGGCGACGTTGCAAACCTCAAGTGACATCTGTAGCTACACGACGTACCGGATGGCTAGAACTAGACACATGCCTCCCACGTCGCTTTCCACGAGATTTCATAACCATCCGCGACACACCTTTTGGGACGGATGGAGATTCACAGCAGCCCTGGTCAGAGCGCCGCCTGCTGCACACGAAGGCACCTACAGGTGGCTGTAACGGAGACATTTTCAGATTGGCATTGAAATGTTGACAAGGGAAGTCTACACGTACAGTACAGAGAAAACCTATGCAAAGAACAGAGAGTAACCGGACCCTTGAGAACCTCATCCTCATCCCTTGTCATCGACTCAACTCGGTTTCAGCAGCAGCGCACTGCCGATCACCGCCATACCGGTGCAGAGAGTAAACCATTCCTTCATTGCTTCTATCTCATCTGCAACGACTGTCTTACCGATTTCATTATTCCACCCCCTCGGGCCCTTCCTTCATTCCTGCCTTGCCCTGCCTCACTTGCTGCCCAAGTCGCCAATCTGCTGCACGTTGATCTTGACGCCAACATCGCCCAATCTGTCGAGGTAATCATCTCCCAAACAACTGGGGGTCAAGATCCCTGCACCGTGGTCCTTCTTGACCTTTTCTTCCTTTGTCAAAATTACCATCGCCGCCTCGGCCAGTAGCAATGCAGTGAGATGATAGATGCCGCCTTCCCATCGGAACGTGGCGAGCGCCTTGCGGGGTTGTTTGGCGAGCTGTTCGGCCACGGCCACGGCACGCAGCTCGAACACATCGCCTTTGGTCGACTCCTTGGATGGGCCGCTGCCGGGCGAGTATTTGGAGAAGGCTTTGATAAGTGCTCGCGTCGGCGGGAATGCCAAGAGGAAAGCGAACAATGAGATGGCGATGTGGATCAGGAATCCCACCACGGGCGAGCCAACAGCCATATACTCCTCGTAGCTGAAGTTGAAGCCATAAAAGTACGGGGTCAGACCTGCCGAGCGGTGGACGATGGCTTCGTTGGGCTTGGCGGTGATGGAAGTCGCGAGGCAGCCTAGCCGGGGGTACTTCCAGACACCGGTCAACTTCTGCATGCCAGTGCGGTGGTACGTGTTTGGCTCGGGGTTTGGTGGATAGATGGTGTTCTCAGTATACGGACGGATGCGAGTCGGCGAGAGCACGAAAGGATTGGTCAGGCATTCCTTCATCTGCTTGGCCGAGTAGTGGTCCGCCAAGCCCAGGCCTGTTGCCAGAGTGCCGCCGCTTGGGCCCGAGGATTTCAGCTCGTGGACTGAGGCAACGACGTCCATAACGCCGCAGTCCCAGACCTTGCGGATGAGGCGAGTAGCGATGTAGGCGACAAGGTCGGACGGCGCGGACTCGACGCCCACCTCCGGGATGATGATCGCTCCCGTCTTCTTGGCAGTTTCTTCATACTTGACAATAATGTCGCGGACCCAAGGCGTTTCGCCGGTGACGTCGAGATAGTGAGTCCCTTGTTGAGCGCATGCCTCGACGACCGGTGTAGAGTACAGGTGGTATGGGCCCACCGTGTTGAGGAAGACTTTGGTCTTCTTGACGACCGGGGTCAAGTCAGGGGTGGTGAGATTACCGACCGTGATGATGTCGGGCGGACTACGTGTGGAATTAAGAGACTTCAGCTCGTTGACCAGAGCGGACAGTTTCGATTGATTTCGCCCGGCGACAGCCCATTTGATGCTGGTTGGGAGGTTGGTGGTGATGTATTCGGCGGTCAGCTTTCCGGTGTAGCCTGTGGCTCCCAGGAGGATGATGTCGTACTGGCGGTTTGCGGCCATCGTGGGAGCTGCAGTGGGCTGACGGTTGATGAGGAAAGCACAACGAGACGGTCGGCGTCAAAAGAGCGTAGAGAAGAAAGGTACAAAAGGTACGGAAGGAGAATCAGATTAATTATTGAGGGCGTCAATCAACCGGTCAGCAGCAGTCAAGTTCGTGATACGGTGTGCAAAAGTGCAAGGTGTCGACTTTTCGGGTGTTGGGGGCTTGATTTCAGCAAACACGAGGCACGCTAGAAACGCGAAGAGATGGAGCTGGGCACCAGCCACACCAGCGCGCAAAAGGAAAGGACCCAGTACTCAGTACGCGGAGGACGTTGTTTAGACGTCGTCGGGCCCTGAAACTTGCATGTGTAAGCCATCACTCCATTGGTGCACCACCCGAGAACTAGCGGATTAACGTGCCCTGAGGGGCGGCTTTTTAAGGGGCAGGCCTAGGCGCGGACGCTTGATTACTGGAGGCGGAGAAGATGTCGTCCCTCCCTACGGTAGCCTTTTACCAGCGGGTATTTTTGGAACCAGGGCACCACGTATTAGGGGTGTCGCGTCAGGAAGTCAGAAAGTCCGGGGCCAATGCATGTCCATATGAGGCATCTGCTAGCCAGGCCAAGATTTCGAGAGACGCAAGTCGTTGGAACTCCCTTTGATTAAAGAGTGAGAAGGGTCCTTTCGGTAGGTAAGAAGGTGGAATGATAGGTCGTTTTCGGGTACCTTCCAGGTAAGCATCAGAACACGAGGCATGTGAGAGTGCACTCGGAGTGGCCCAGGTGCCCAGCGTGCCAGCATGCCCGGGCACGCGCACGCGACGCTCTCCGGGACTGCCGGGTGAACCATTGAGCCACACCCGCAATTACTGCCAAGCCACTAATCGCACTGCTCTGAATTTCTGCGAAGCCTGGACGACGTCTCTCAGCGCATACTGCATCAACCTTTCCTCTCCAACACTCCATTGTCCTCTCGTCGACTGCAAGGACGACGTATCTCAGCGCACACTCCGTCGACCTTTCCTTCTCAACACTCCATCGTCTTTCGTCGCAACACCCACCATGACGAAGCGCACTAAGAGTCAGTACTCGCTCTCTGATGCTAAGGGAACAGCACTGACACTCCCCAGAGGTTGGCGTCACCGGCAAATATGCGACGCGCTATGGCGCCTCGCTTCGAAAGCAAGTCAAGAAGATGGAAATCAGCCAACACGCCCGATACGTCTGTACCTTCTGCGGCAAGAATACGGTCAAGCGACAGGCAGTCGGAATCTGGAAATGCAAGGGCTGCAACAAGACGGTCGCCGGTGGCGCCTGGACGGTCTCGTAAGTTGCAAGGGAGAAGTACATCGGGGCGAGTTTTAAGACTCTAACAACTGCGTTCAGAACACCTGCTGCGGCTGCCACGAGATCAACGATTCGACGTCTGAGAGAAATTGCGGAGGTGTAGATGCGATCAAGCATGGACAGGAGTTTTAACATGAGGGACAACATGGGGGTCCTCCCAAATCTCTGCTAGCATGGCAAGATTCGCCTGATACCGGTCTCGAGTAAAGCAGAATCATCAGCTTTTGCATCGACAAGAGCAAGTACTGCCGCAGATGACCAAGACGAATCGATAGACCGAGACGACGCGATAGACCTCCAATCCCATGGTCGAAAGCAAAGACCCGTACGGTCACGCTACCATTGTCAAGTTTCCTTTACTACACCTTCTGCGCTTGGTTCATGACTATTTCCTTCGAGCACACGGCCATCGATCTTTTTGGAACGACGATGTCGGCTCTGCTCGAAGATTCCCGCCCGATCTATAAATGTGTTCGAATCCTTCCACATTGAAATGCGGCACACGTTTGAAATCAAGCCGTAATGGTCTAAAATGGACGTACAAGGGCAGCCCACTCCCGCCATTGGTCCCTTATCGCAAAACTTCGCCCGGCTTACTTGGTGTCCTGGCTGAGAATTCACCGCTATTTGGGAAGAAACACATTCACTAACCCCAGATCTGTAACCCCGCTCCTTCGTCGAAGATATGTTTCAGGATAGTAATGGGAAAATAAGGTTTGCATTCTCTCCCTGTTATTCACGGGTTCGTTGCTGTCCTCACTTTTCAGGCATGAAAACAGGCGTCACCTGCACTCTCAAGCGATTAGAGCCAGTCGGTCTCCACTGGACACAACCCTCATTCAACCGAGGAGGCCGCCGAGGACTGTGCCTGCTGAGCCAGACCAAACCGAAGCGAGTCACACTCACTTGAGTACCAGCCTTCCATTGGTTGAAAGTCCCCGGCCGAGTTGCCTCGTTGAGCTGGGCCCTGACATGTAAATCGGGTCTCCTCCTTCGCTTCTTTCCTCTCACGACCGCAATCGAATGCCACCACCAAACACCAATACTACACCCATGTTTCTCCCGCCACTCGACTCCCTTCCAATCCCCTGAATAATTACAATTCTGTATGTCAGACACTTGTATCGTCTGTTTAGGGGACTTGGGCACTGCTGGTGGCGAAGTTCCAGCTCCCCTCATCAGTCCAGCCAAGTCTCCACCGACTGACATCGACGCTGCGGCTCGCGTCACGAGCAGCGCCCATATCCCGGATGCAGCCAACTCCACGACATCGGCCACCAAAGACCCTGATGAGTTGATCGCACATTTACGGCCCTGCGGACATTATCTTCACAATGAATGCCTCACACCATGGGTGGAAAGGGCAAACAGCTGCCCCATTTGCCGCGCCAGTTTCCATCTCGTTGAGTTGATGCACAAAATCAATGGTAGGGCACAACACCCCGGGCATATCCCAACCGCAGAAGCGACTGACATCGACACAGGCGACGTTGTATCATCTTATCCCGTCGAAGACCGAACACAAGTGGCCGACCTAGACCCTTCCATGTTCCTGGAGATTCCCGAGGAGGAGGATGAAGACCAACCATGTCAAGCATGTGGCGAAGATGACAACGAAGACGTTCTCATGTATTGTGATGGTTGTCAGAAACTGTGGCACACATATTGTGTCGGTTTACAGGAGGTGCCTTATGGCCACTGGTTTTGTGACAACTGCAGGGTTCAGCGGGAACTGGACCCTCGCCAGGTTTCTCGATCGAGTCGCCAAACCCGCAGACGAACTAGAGGGCAGCAACGTCGACAGCGAGGCCACGAGTCAAGCTGGAATCAGGTTTGGCAGACCGTATGGTCACGCATCAACCTCGACCTCGACTTCCCATATGAAGACGACGAATCATCAGCCAGCTATTTGAGACGCCATCGCCAACGAAACCAAGCCAACCAACAGGCTCACGACGCTTGGCTACGCCGCATGCAGGTTGCAGAACTTCACGGAGCCGCCAACCGCTTCAGAGACACCGAGCCAACCCTTCCCAGCAGCCCACGAGGTGAAGTGACACCCAGAATTCGACGAGCAAGAGAATCGCCGCATCCAGTCGAAAGCGCCGATGAACTTATGGCATGGCGTGCTTTCGACCAAGCACGAGCTTCATCCAACGGACCCAGCACTACTCGCAAGCGGAAGCGAAAGTCCTCGACGTCTTCTCCAGCAGAACCTGAGAGTGAACCGTCTTCCGCGAACAAACGACGGCGACCTAGTGCATCCGCTCGTGCCGTGTCCGAGAGTCACGCACCAACCGCGATGAATTCTCGACGTGGGCAGCCGACACGTGTTACTAGTCCAATTCCGCGGAGGCAGCCTCTTATGGACCCGACAGGCCCCAGTTTCCTTCAATCGCTGTTACAAGAAGTCGAAGACTCGGGCTCTGGCAGTCATAGCTTGAACCTTTCTCGGCCTTCACCTCGCCCTGCAGCAAGTCCCTCAGCAGACCAAGGTTCACCGCGACCGTCTTCCCCAGCTTTGTCTCCTCTGCCCTCAAATCATTCTTCGCCCCGGGCTCTGTCTGCGACCCCACCACCTCTGCTGGGAACCCTTAGGCCATCTTCGCCAAGTGGCTTGTCGTCGAGCATCCAGCCCATCTATCCATCGATTGAATACCCACTCCCTCGACCGAATCCGCCTGAATCGAAAGAACGGAATTTGAGTGCTGGTCGTTCTAACGGAACGCGAGTTCCGCCCGCTCCACCTCCGCTTCCCTCAACATCTACAATAATAGCACAACCAAGACCCCGTAGTCGGATACCCCGAATCCTAGAGAATAGCCAGAGCACCGCCGCACAAACTCGCTCGACTCCAGCTTCTCCGACAAGGAGGGGCAGGGGCTATACTAACCGTCCACGCTCAATCGAGGGCTCTCCAACAACGGCCGCGATGTCCTTGACTGCGAAAGAGGACGTACAGAAGCTCGTGTCCTCTGCTCTCAAGCCACACTACCATGATCAAACTATTACGAAGGACGAATACACTTCGATCAACCGCGACATCTCGCGCATGCTCTACGATAAGATCGGTGACTTCGAAGCACTGGATGTGGACGACAGGTCGAAGTGGGAGAAGATTGCTGGCGATGAGGTGAATAAGGCTGTCAATTCTCTCAAGGCCCAGGGCTGAGGACCGATATGCTATGACTTCACTGCTGCATGATAACAAGGTTTTATTCTCATTTCGGCGACGATATCATGACGTTACGATCGGGGCTGAATGTGCGTTTGGAAAGCTGATAAATCACCATCATGATTTGTCTGACTTTATGGGATTTTGCTCTCTATTTGAGCTTGAGCGACGGCGCTGGAGGTTCCGTCAAGACGGAGGGTGATTAATGACACACTCGACGTACGAGGCAAGGGCTGAATGTACAAATAGACAATGCCAGAAGGAACGTGAATAGTGTGTCTCTGCATGCCATGAGATCTTGAAGGATGAGGGGCCAGAGTTCGGTACAAAGGTTGTACAACACGTCTTGCGTCCTGACGGATCCACGCGAATGAAGGTAGTTCTCACTGATCCATACGAGCGAATTCGATCGCAGTGAGTCGAAGGATGTCTTAGCATTCCTCTGCTTCCCAGCGTCTGTCTCGAGCTGTCCCCAAGCCACGTAGACTCGCTTCATATACTGTGGCCTAACCGACTGTTCAGACATATGTGCATCTTGTTCGCCATCAAAGACGACCAGGACAATGATGCTCGCCACGGAGAGATCAGGCATTAGAGGGCTGCTTCCGGCTTGTGGACTTCGTACCGGTCTTCAGATATTGCATTTCGTGCAATCCAGATCTGTTGTAGTCCAAGTCCACCTTGCTAGGTAATTTAGCATTTGGGTGAAGATATCATTGACAAGCATTCTTCTCTTTCTTGTACGTAGAAGTCAAACCCAAGACCGCAGGGGGGAAAATACAGATCCGACCAACGATAACGATATCTTGACGGGTCCCAAGATGGCTGTTCCTCACACGTTATGTGCCCGAATCCTGCCATCACTACTCCGTATACTACGAGACAATACTCCGTACACCTGCTGGGGGCCTTCTCACGGCTGGCGCCAAATCGGCAGAGGGCCCTCGCGAAGAATAAACAAACCTCTCTGACTACCCGAGCAATCACGGCTTGAAGTCATGCCACAAATCATACGGTAAAGAGCCGGGTTACCTGGAGTTGAGGGCCTGGATGAGGGCTGAGCAGAGGAGCAAGGCTGCCCTGCCCGACCAGTGACCAGTGACCAGTGACCAGTGACCACCCTGAATGAAAGCCTCGCCGTTCATCTTTTCATTTCCAGGCGGGGAAAGATGGGTCGCATCATCGTCATCATCCTGCTGCCTTTGTGGTCATGCCATTGAACATCCCACATCATCGTCCTGCTGTCTTCCTGGTCATGCCATTGAACATCTGCCACGAGAGAGGGCCTTGCCTAAGTCAAAATTCCCAAGGCCACAGAATTTGGGTCAAGTCGTCTGGCGGGCACTCTTTCCCACGTCCACCGAATAGCGCAGACGGAACTTTTGTATTGGACAGTTGGACGAGCAGGCGCCAGACAGCAGGCACCAGACAGCAGGCACCAGACAGCAGGCAGCAGCGGAAGCGGAAGCGGCCCTGATGGAAACCTGCTTGAAACACTGCTCTGGTTGTACTGTAATTAGCACCCACGTCTCGAGCAGGTCCAGGCTGGCTAATAATGGAAGTCGATGCGCGAATACATCGAGTCAGCAGCAGCGGCTTTCCGTGCTGAAGATCTGAAGTCCCGAAGGGAACGTGTTGTCACCCAGTTTGTCAGGCTCTGTCGAGGCCAGTACTGTAACTCAATGTGGCACCCACGTTGTGAGGCTCGGGTGGTCTTCTCAACCTGAAATCATCTGTTGCGTCCTGCGCGGGTGCGTGAGCATTCCCAGTGTCTTTCTGGATCCGGAGCGGTTGATTCCCCCCCTTCCAGCATGTTTGGATAGTGGTGGACAATGCCATGGACGTCATCTCCGGCTTCGCAGCTGCGGTGGGCACATTGACGTTGGTGAAGTCTGCAGCATCCATGGAAACTAAGTCCTACGATACGGTACGCAAGCGTTAGTCAAAGCCTCGAGTCGCGTGTCCTCCTGTGGTGTACTCGTTCAGATGAACACCACCATGGAAGGCGCAGACACAAGCTACACCGTCACAAATGATGATAATTATGTCTTTCTCAGGCAACTCAGGGATCGTTTAGTAAAAGCTCGGTGCTCGGTGATTCTAAGTCGGCTCTGTCTTCGCCGGCATTGACGAACTTCTGTTGCGGGTATGTCAAGCATCTCATGCCGTACATGTAGAGCCTGGCGAGCTCGTCCCTCGGTCACTCACGGCGTGTAGCACCACGATTCGACAGGCGAGTACTCCAGTGTATGCTTGACGCTAGGGCTTGCAAGGTCATAGATAGCTCACTCTGGGGTGGCTCCCTTTCACTGGAACCAGAGGGCGAGATGAGCTTCAGATGGATGCAACAGGATGGAAAACGCAAGCCCCTTGATTCGTTTGTCCATTCAGCTATTTTTCAATTCGTCAGAAACCGTACGCTCTAATTAGCACACAGACAAAAGGAAACCTAAAGTCAGCAATGGAGCGAGGCCCCGATCACTTGATGTACAGGATTCTGTCCGGAAACCGACACCTGAGAAAAGCCGCTTCAAAGTCCACCCGGAGTCCCTAGAAGTCCTCTATTGCCGCCCGCGTGAAGCATAATGTATAACAACGAGATATGAACCGTGGGCGATCCTCCAAAAAGTAGATTGCATTCTGACCGCATGGAGCCTCCGCCGGACACACGCCCTTTCGAGCTAATGCCAGAAATCAGGAGAACGATGTGTTACTCGAAAGGGACAGAATGGCCAGGGAATGTACATGGTCAGTACTGTGTATTCGGTGACCAAGAATTGACTTGGAGGCAGGGTAGGCTGGAAGTGGCGTATCTCCCGGAGTACTGTAGCTATGTGGAGACGGCCAGGCATCGGCACTATGCCTCGGACACCTGCGACGATCGCAACCCTTGGAATCGTATGGCTTGCTCAATGATCTCGCTGGTGCGGACGGACGGGCCTAGTTGAAGTAGAGGCGACGAACCAGGCACGGCTGTGTCGCTTGCGATGCTCTTCGGTTCAAAATACCGGGACAGAGTATTGGCTCGCATCGTTTGTTGGTCGGCAAGCGACCTCTTTGTCGCAAAGTCGGTCGCAGAACCGTCGTTGAACCAGTACGTCAGGAACGTGCGCTCCAGGCGTTCAAGATCCGCTTCGGGATGCAGCTGCTCTACGATGGAGATAAGCCTGTCCAAGGTTCGTGGGAGATGCAACAACCGCTTTAGCATCCAGGCGTTGATGAAAAGGGCAGTTCCCAGTGCGGCGTCGTCGGCGCTTTCAAGAATGAATTTGAAGTCGTTGTCGTGTGCCTCGAGCCTTTGGCGCACCACCAGCTGCTTGTCACTCTCTGTGGGGGCAGCTGGGAGTGATTCGGCCGTGAAGCTGTCCTCGAGAAGTCGCAGTCCGGCGGAGTCCTCGTCGACCTCGGACACAGGGGAGTCGTCGTTCGAGAGGGATTGGGCATCTGGGTCGTCTGTGAGTTGCTTCAGAGCCTCTAGAACTAGCCTCGCATACTCCAGTTGTTCCACTAATTCCCCTGCTTCGCGCTCAGAGGATTGGAGGAAGGCCAGAGAGTCGTCGTCCAACCTGACGCCCAGCTTGGCTTTCGACTTCTGCTCCTCTAGGAGCTGTGCGCGTTCCGTGTAGAGATCAGATAACTTTTCCTGAAGAGCATCGACATCGCCGAGTTGAGTCAAATATCGAAGGACGTCGGTAGACTGCTCCTGAAGGCCGTTCCCAACGATGGCTGGATCTTGCCGTAGATCCGGGGAGGTTTCATGGTTCAGATTGGGGCTGGCCGGGGTTGACCGCAGCAAGTTGTCCAAATACGTACCAGAACGGTGGAGGGATTGGATGATGTCGTCCTCGATTGCCTTATGCCGTGCTTCATCTGCCTGCAGAGACGCAAATTGGCCGTTTCGGAGAGTGTCGAGTTGCTGCTGGAGAACCTGGACCTTGGTCGCAAGATCATCACTCACATCTGGGGGCCCAGTGTGATCGGTGATGTGGCGCACAAACTCATCCAAGGCACGGAGGAGGCTTTCGATCTGTTTCAGCAGTGGGCCTCTTGTGGAATTCAGCTCAAAGACCTGGTCGAGCACGCGTTGGTTTGTGGCGCGGACGACCTCGAATGCCGAGACATAGGCGTCCCGCGAGGGATTCACTCTGTGCGACTCCGGGCGGCGAGTGACATTGTGTTGGCTCTGAACGTCGTCTCCGAAGCTGGCCTTTCTTGGAACGGACGTTTTCGTTTCAGACAGCGTGGCCTCCTCGAGCTCTGGGGGCTCATCTGCACCAGTGCGTGGAACAAGACTCCAGGCCGAGGACTCTGCTGCTTCAGGCGCCGGATCATGTTCTTTCGAGGCGTGACTTGCGGCACTTTCAACACTGCTCTCAGAGGTCGGTAGCTGAGTTTTGCCGTAGGGACCACTGCCATCCGGTTGTTCACTGCACGTCGGGTGTAAGCAAGGAAACCAGGACATGATGGACCTCAGCCCTTACTCATTGCGAAAGTACCGGTTCCACTGGAAAAGCCGCCGGTGCAGAGGCCACTTGGTGAGGAAATGCCATGTTGAACGCATTCATATGTGGATGCCATACGTGACACCCGAGCAATGCTAGTGAACAGGAAGATGGACCCAGGAGTCGAAATCGTGTTGCTGGGCTCGGACAGGAGGGTAGGAATTGGGCTTCTTGAGTAATGGGCAGATGGCGCGGTGCACGGGGCAGTTGAGAGACGACAAGTTGACAGTTGACGTGCCGCAATCCTCTTGGCTGAATGGTTCCGGCAAGGGTGTGTGGTGTGCTCAGCTGCGTCGGCTTTCTTGGGCTTGGGGGTTGCTCGTGCGCTTCTAGGGGAGCCCCTCCGAGCCCGGGGTGCCCTGCTGGCGTTCCATGGGCACGCCTGCAGCGGCGCTAATGGATGCCTTGCGCGGGATTGGCAGCTCCAGCAGCCCCAGCAATTCCCAGCAATGCATGCCCCGACCACCAGTTCGGCGTCGGCAATTCCCCAATGTGGCTGTCGCATAATTAACCTCTGGTCAGGCGCATCTCATCCTCCACCCAGCGCCCATGTCTGGTATGGTCAATACAAATCTCAGCGTCTCAGTCTAACTATCACGGTGCCTAGCCCGCAGGTCCAGCCCCTACAAGTCCGCAAGCCCTTTCTCGAGTTAGCCGCTTGTCTTCATAGCCATGCAGCAGCCCGTACATGCTCATTCGCCCATGGCAATCGTGTGCTTGCCGCTCTGGCCCGTGGGTGCATGAATCCTCGACACTGGATGCGGACTCGCCAACTGAAGCAACGGGGGCTTTGTGCATGGCATATTTGTCGAAGATGCATGCCCTCCCACGTTTCGGCAGCAGCCAAAGCAGCTGAGCTTGCCGAAGCAGACTCGCAGACAGAGCCCCGCCTGGGTCCTTGCGACTATATCTCCCGCGGCCGGCCCAAGGCGTTCAGAGAGACGACCAGTCACATTTTAAACTTTAGTCTGATCCTGTCCGTGATGTGAGTTCGACATGTCACAGCCCAGTGGTACCGACTCCCGTGGTAAGTACGAGGTACTCGTCGTCGGTCACAAGAAAGAGTCGACGTGTTAACATCCGGCAGCACGGGGGCGTGATGGGCGGGAGAGTGGCAGCGAACCCCAGCCCGTGGGGCAACCAAGGTGATTATGCTGAATATCCAGATATGTATGGCTATGGTGCTTTGTTGCTCACCGTCGCAGTAACATACCGCGGTACCGGCCGGAGCCACAGTTCGCCAGCCACGGCCAGCCTGTCTACAGTACTTCCCCGAACAGTGCAAGAAATCCAGTGTTTCCTCGCCCAGCGTGAGCAATTCTCTTTCGGACAAGGACACACTCCTGATTGATCGCAGTCCACCCTCCAATTATGTCCCTGTCCCCGGCGCGGTGAGGGTTCCAGTGCGCCAACAAGTTCAAAACCCACCAGTTCCCTCTGCCGGCCGGGGCAAGGAAACTTACGGCTCCGCCCAAAATCCAATTCAGCAGACAACTTCGCGTGTCCAGACTTCTGCTGTGTCCCGTGGCAATGACCCGTCGGTCACAGGTAGACCGACAACGACCACATCTGCTCACAACACGGGTCAAGCGTCGAGGGGTGATGCTGTGGAAAGCCTTGTCCCCGGCATCGCTGGCATTGATCTTCAAACCCCACAACGACCTGACCAGAACAACGTGCCGGGTTCTCACCAACAACCCCAGAGCATCATTTCGCGTGCCCCAGCAAACGGTCAAAACGAAACCACGCCGCGAAAGTACTCCGTGCCAGCCGAAGCAACCTTCTTCCAAGTTCAGACCAAGCTGGATGAGAGATACTTTGTGAGGCAGTCATCCTTTTACATCATCGGCAGGGTATTCGCCGTACTCTGGCACGAGGGCTACAACAGCATGACCTCTCAAAATACCTACGTCAGCGACAACAACGACAACAAAGTCCAAGTCAGTACCGGCCGGTATGGCGAGCCCATCTACAGCTCCATTCGCCGGATGGTCGTGGTCCGCCAGGATCGGGGCTATTGCGTGTGCCTCCAGATCAACACGTACGGGAACCGTGGCCTTTCCAAGTTTGGGAACTCGTCGGAGGATGTCGAGGCTCATTCGCGCATCTTCATGGTCGGCACGGAGCCCCGATGGCTCGACCGGGAAATCCTCACGTCGAGCAAACTGGACATCGCAGTCAAGAAGGCCAGTCCGGAACAGAGACTGTCGGTCGCGAGCCGTCTCTGTTACGGTCGGGTCCACACCGTCGAACATACAGTCAAATCGATGAACGTGGGCCTGGTGACGGACGCCACGCTGCCGTATTTGCTGGGGTATTTTCGAGACCGCCAGAACCGGAACGTCAGGTGATTAATTCCGGCGATGGAGATTGCCGGGACGACGTTCATCTACCGTGCAACGAGGTGATTGGCGGGACGGGACTCGATGTTAAAATACGTTTGATGTCACGATGACCTCGAGTCATTGTTAAGTTTACTCCTTCACGAAGACAGGCAGGTGGGAGAATGTAGGACGCAGGACACAGGACGCAGGACGCAGAACGCTCTGTGATCGGCCACGGCCCTTACGTCTAGGCGCGCGCGACCGTAGTCCTTTACGGGGTCTGGATCGTGGCAGAGACGCTCAGTTGAGCAGGTTGATGAATCATGATGTTTTGATCGATACCGCACAGCTCGGGGGATTTTCGTTTTCAGCCACGGGATCAGCATGTCATATTAGTCAGTGATATTGATTAATGGGTTAATGAATGATTGAATGGAAGCACGAAATAGCTACGACTATGCAATCCACTCTGTACAGCCGGCATTGATGAGACAAAGTACTTAGCTTGGACAATGTAATAGCACAAATGGCTAGCTGCCTGACTGGCACGGACATTGTCACAAGTCTTCGAGTCTACACACCGAGTCCACGCCACCGACATTATGCCGGCCTCATCCCCCGTCTTCAATGATATGATATATGCAGTGTACATAGAACGACCACACCGACATCCAGCAGCATCGAGGGCAGAGGAAGTGCGCGTCCGCCCCCGCATGAGCCCAGCGCGGCGTGCGCGGTCAATCTCCGTCGCTCCGTCCGGCTTTCTCGTCGGATGCGTCCGCAGAGCCTCATTGCGGGGTCGCTACTTGTAGCTTAGCTGAGCTGAGCAGGCAGAGCTGAGCCGAGTTGAGGTTTGAGCTGATGGGTGGGTGGCCGGCCGGCGATCTCGATTCTTCCCTCACGAGAGACTCCGCAGTGCATGTGCAAGCGGCACCACAAACACGGGGATCGTCACTAGTTAGCAAGAGTTTGGCTTTTACACGCGCTGCATTGTGTCCGGGCTTTACTCTGCTCTTGTATAGTAGGAGATGGAGGGTTCAATGTTCAACCGGTATTTGGGCGTACAATACCACACAAGTAAACAAGGCTCGTCTTCGTGAGAATGACTTCGTGCCTCGAGGTCGTTTGATTAATTATCCAAGTCCAAAAGGTTACGCAAGTGCAAGTACGAGTGGCGTACGAGTAGAGACGCCAAACACCCAGACCGGAAGCGAAAGGCTACAAGCACGGCCAAGTTAGCCCGTCCCTTCGCCTGCATGCCTGCCTGCATGTTTGCATGCTTGCATGCTTGCATGTCTCGCTGCCTGTCCTTTGTTCGCGCTGGTGTGATCTCCAGACGCGTCTTACAGCGCATGACTGCATGACTGCATGACTACATGGCTTCTGGGAGTATGGAGTACTGTATGTAGCCCATACACGATACTATACGATAGTTGGAATGCATGCATGCATGCATGCATACGCCAAGTATGGAGGAAAAGGAGTGCGACTCATTCAAGTAAATGAGCATTCTGCATACGCCTCACCATCGAGGCTACTGTAATTAATCCCAGATATGCAACACATAACGAAGACGTGCCTATTCGAGCGGCTTGCTTCGGCTGCGCGCGGGCTGGATCTATTGTCGAACAGCGCGCTCGCTGCTCAACTTACTCTCAAAAGCAAATCATCGGGTGGCACGATATATGCACACCCTCACACCGTCCGCTGCAGTGACGCTTATGCATGGCCCAGGCTGCGAAGGGAATGGTTTACACAACACCTAAGTGGTGCATTCTCTCCGTCACGGGGTGGAAGGCGGCAGACAGGAAATCTACTAAGGCTGTCTTCTTCTTCCCGTGGTACTGTACGTCAATGCCGTCCGAGCAATAGTGATGAATCATGATGATTGCGTGTTGCTGCCCGTGTGGACATGGAAAGCAAGAGTACCAGCACAAACACAAACACGATAGGTCGTCGTGGGATCGAACCGAGTGCGGGCTTGCATGATGCATTCTCTTTGTGACGTACTCAGGACCCCGTACTCCGTACTCCGTGCTGCGTACACGTTACTGGTCCTTTGCGGCACTGCCAACGATATCAACACCACGCTCTCGATTGGGCAAAGTGCCGCCAAATAACAGCAAGCGATCCAGGGATTGTATTTCCAATGGCCATCTCATCATTTTCGCCTCAAACCGGAGTTTGTATCGTCCAGACACGCATGCCCTTGTGCGACCGTGATTGCTGTCTGCTGATACTGTAGTATGACATTGCCGCTTTTCCTGCCTGCCGCCTGAGACGTGGCGCTCTGGTCGAGCCTTGGGCCTGTTTTCCCCTTGGGCTTGGGTCTCACGGGTGTGTCTCTCTGCCTTGAAGTTGGAACTTTGGGATCGATGCGCCGGCCACTGGGGCCTGAGGGTCGGGTCATCTTCGACAACGGGGCCTTACCGGCCATCACACTGCGATGGGTGTCTTTGCCAGAACTGCCAGCCCCTGTGCATGTCATTCAGTGCCGGACTGTCTACAGAGTAACTTCTTATGGGTCACTCATCCTTTCGGTACTCGTATGAGGACGATGTTTTCGTCAAGTGGAGTCTCTGCCATTCTTGCGGGGGTGCGTATCGAGTAGCCTGTGGATACTGGGGATGCCTTAGGTGCGCCTAAACACTTGGCTCGGCTGCAGATCACTCGATCCTACTGTAGGGACTCCGGACGTCCTAACTAAGTTCACGGTTCTCCAGTAGGGAACCACTCGTCCCGGCCCAGGGGCGACTGCCGGCAGGGCTGGAGGGATCCTTCGGTCGAAATTAGGCTCCCCCAGAACATTCTGCAAAGCTTACCTTCGATCCATCAGCCGGAAAATGTGCGTTCAAACTTGCCGCGATGCCTAGAGGGACAGGATCAGTTGCGATCAGACTATTCGGCGGCCGTGAGAGTAGGGATCAGATGCCACTGTTGCGACCGAAGCTGTCGCCTGCAATGTCGGCAGAGGCTATCGTTCAGGATGATTGGCTCCACGAAAGCTTCGTCATGACTTTGGAATTTTACTGCCTGTCAAGAAGTCATAGAGACGTCGGGGTTCGTTCAATGAATGGCGCCACCCGCGTGTTGCTCGTAGGTCGTTCGACAAGACGAGTTCGAACAAACTATGAGCCAATCCGAGGCGAATTGCCCAGTAGAGAAGAAACCTGGAATGCTCGTTTATAAAATTGTCCACTTTTACTATCCCGGGATTATTCAGCGCCTTCTCATTTCGATTGGCCAGCCTCACCATCTGCCGAGCATCTCGAGCAGGATTGAGGCTGTGCAAGCCAGTGGGCGAAGAGTAACGATTCACATGTGATAGAGCCAGGACCATCCCAAAAGGTCACGGTCACCGAGGGTTGAGCCGTAGAGGATGAGGCCAAGTCGTCAGGTTACTGTAAGCGATGCATCGTGTGACCGGTATGTCGGCAGTTCCCTGACCATGCAGTCGAGACAGGATCGAGACCATACTGTCTCAAAGTCCAATACAACTGTGATTGTCTAAAGTCGGCGCCGTTGCCGTCTGAGTACGCCGTGCAAAACTTGGCTCCAGGCGTATGATAGGTTCATGGTGCAATCCGGGGTGTGCGCGCTTGCAATTAGCGAGAAAATAATGGTCGCAGCAGGCCTTGCAGCGGGTGTCAAGGCTCAGGCAGCCTCATCGTGTGAATGTCAAGTAGGAAGCATACCTCGGGAGACCCAAGGCGCACAACAATCATCTGCAACAAATGTACACGTGCAACAACTGTAGAAGCATCCGAACAACAAGAGGTATCCTCCGCTGGGCTTGCACAAACATGTAATCAATGGAGGGAATTCGTGCCCTTGGCTTTCTGGCGTGCCAAAAGCCTGTGTTGTCGAAACTCTTCGCGAGGGTCGTGCTGAGCATGCTCCCGACGGTCAGCCGGCTCGCTATTCCCATGCGTCAGTGGTCCATACTCAGCCGTGCCCATGTCGGTCATGTTGGACCTTGGTTGACTGAAGATGTATTTCGTGAGCGAGATCTGGGACTTTTTTGACTTCTTGGTTCCCTTCTCGTCGTCGAACCAATACTCGAGTGGGATGTCGTTGATCGTGTCCGCACGGCCTGCTTGGTTTTCCGACTTCAGCTTCTCCTCCACAGTCTTCAAGAAAGCCTCGCGCTCTTCAGGAGATCGTCGCAACTGATATAAGAGATAGGCGTTGACTAGAGTCTCTGGTCTGACATGACTTTCGTCTGTCGCGTGTTCCAGGATCTGTGAAAGGCTCTCGGTCTGGTCGTCTTGTTGCCCGCCAGTACTCGCCCGCAAAGCTTGGCCGGACGTTTCGCCGCCTATTGCTGAATCACGGTCATGTTGGGATGAAGCGTCTTCATTCGTCGGAAGGGAGCGAAGCTGATCGTCGGGGATTTCCACCTTTCTGTCTGGCAAGTTGTTGTGAAGTGTTTCTAGGTCCGCTTCCGCTTGCTCCAGTTCGAGTACAAGCTGTTGTCTTCTTGATTCCAGCTGGTCCGCGGGCATCGCTACCTCGGGAAAAGTAGAAGCCAGGTCCTGCTCCCCATCGAGGGTCATCAGGGTTTCCCTCAAAAGGTCCACGTCGCCCTTTCTCGAGAGGTACTGCCGAGCCTCCGAGGTTCGGTCGAGTCGGATATCGTCTGCCGAGAGAACGGACGGGTCTGTGGCTGTGGCAGTGGGCGGCACAAAAATCCCCTGTGCATCAAGGATCTCAAGAGAAGTATCTGCTTCAACGCCAAATATCTTGGAGCCTTGGGCAACGATATCGTCCCCACGCGGAACGAGATCTTCATCCTGGTGCAGCAATTTCTGCTCAGAGCTTTGCAAATCGGACAGCACATCCCGTAAATGTAGCAAAGAGGGATCTTGCGTAGTCTCAAGGTGCTCTTGAATGGCTCGCAGAGCGACCCTTCTCTTTTCAATAGCTTCTCGTCGACGATCGCTCGCCAAGATCAAATCTCCAGTCATCGAATCCGCCGCATTCGCAAGTCGTGACCAGCGATTCCGCAAAGTATTGCCCGGGTCCTGAGTGTTGACGGGCTGACCTGGTAGACTCGGATGGTCCCCCGGAGCAGAGGTTTGGTTCTCGAAAGTAGCCTGTGGGTCCTGAGCTACATTCGACGCGCCTTCATCTGAGCCAGGCGACGGCTGTACTTCCTGGGCGGAGTGCCGAGAGGAGGGTGCTTCTCCCAGTGGTGTATCAGATTGTTGTTGCTCCATGCGCACGGCTTCGAGAATTGAGGATCCGTTGGCTGTCTGGTCAACATTGTCCGTGTGTGAAAGAACCTCGCTGGGAAGAACATTGTTGTCCTCCTCCTTTTTAGAGTCATCTCGGGTGGCATCTGGGACCTGTTGCGGCGAGAGCGACTCTTCAGGATTTGGATCTGAGCTGTGGACGTGTCAAGACGGTGCAAGGAAGGCAACAGGCTAGGTCTGGGCTTACTCTTTCTGTGGTGGGACGGCAGCTGGTTTGGTCCTGGTCCAGATTCTCGATAACATCATTCCGCCGAACGCTGAGTGACGTGTTCATGGTAGGACGAGGATGCCCCCCGTCTGGTGCAAGATGTGCCATTGATATAAATGAGAGCCACAGACGGTGAGGCAATCCAGCCAAAGTCGAGGGGAACGATAGCGACGGGCGTATTGCACCCGGGGTCGAACATGGGGGTTGTGGAGGATCACGGGTCTCAGGCAGGTAAACGCCCGGTCGGACCACCAATTTGTCTCGGGCACGCCCCTGTAATACCACCTGTATCATTACTATCATTACCGAACAGCCCCGCCTGGACCGCCTAGGGGCAGCACCTGCTCCCCGAACCACATCCCTCGCCTGGCGCCACTTTCTCCCAAACCATCCACCCCCCTCGCCATATCTTCCCATTACCCGTCAGCGACCTTCGTCTGGACAGGCTTCGTTCTCAGCCATGAGCCAGCTACGAGCATCGCTCAGCTTCATTTGCTGCTGCAACCCCGCTCCCCTCGATGATCGTTCCAATTGGCGTCTGTCGACTTGCATTCGCATGCACCCTGCTGCAGCAGAATGCCTCTGTGGGAGGGAGAGGGAGGAGAGGAAAAGAGCCGCGACCCTGCTATGAGGGTGGCCACCATATTGCCTATAAGATGCGCCAATCGTGCGTAGCCAGTCCCTTTATCTGTCTGTTTTCCGAGCCTCATCCGCCTTGTTTTGTGGCAGTGTGACACCCAGAGATTCCAGCGTCTGGGATGTACTCCAGATTCGACGCTGTCTGACCTGAGATCTGTTCGCGCGTCCTTCTCTGGTACTGTCAGCTTGGATCCCTCAGTATCGGACGCAAAAATTGTCCGTTCCTATTCAAGTGGAGTCATGTCTCAACCCGATTCAGGTTATGGCCAGTATGGCAGGGACGTGCCCGATAGGCCGAAGCATGGAAGATCCCAGGGTACCGGCGGTAAAGAGCTGACGACAGCAACGCCTTCTAGGCCGTGGAGGGGGAGAGACGAAGACCGTGAGAAAGAGCGTCGCCATCTGCAGCACGAGCCTAGAGGTATTCAGTCGTCCGACACAATTGAAAGGGGCAAATACAGAGCTGGAAGCGACGAAATGGCTTTCCATGATGACCTGGATGACGAAAGAGAGCGTCTGGCTGCACGTCCCAGGAGTGGCAGAGCTTTCTCTGGAACCAGCGCTCAGAGAGACCACTCCCCAGCCAGAGCAGCGTTTTGCCTGGGCGATGACCTCTACCATTTCATCCAGAATGTGGCACGAAACGACATCAACGGGATAGGGATCGTTACTGGGCGATCAGACCTTTTTGAGGTCGACGATTATCTCTTCCTCCTAGAAGCCATACAATGTGATGTGCCGGCGCGCGCGAGGTTCCGTCGGGCCTGCATCAGGCTATATTTACTGGTCAGAAAGTACAACAGCCTTCCTGACCACCACGAATGTCAACACTTCCTTGACACACTTGAACTAGAAGATAGGCGCAATCACGACGAGCAGAGGGTTCAGTCCTTGGAGGCACTTGTGCAGCAAATGAGCAGTGCCAGAGGCGTGCGAATGCCGGGCGGAGATAGCCTGTCTGTCTCCAGGCTCAGCGCGATGACGCCGGCGTTCGTACCACCCCAGGAGCGACGTAGAAGCGCTGGCGCGCCCTCCCAGAGGTCCGAAGACACAAGGCAGTCGAGCTTGCACGTCGACTTCATTCTTCGAAAAAGCACCTGGTTTACTATCGGCAGGGTGTTCATGGTGCTATGGCACGAAAATGACACCGGTGAAAACACGACCTTCACCACTAGGCAAGTTGGAGTCTCGTCTCAAGGGCTCTATGGAGAAAATGTTTGGACCAAGGTTCGCCGTTTCGCCGTTGTACGAGAAGGTGGTCACGGATTCAGTTGGGCCATTCCAATCGCCACGTATCGCGAGCAAGGTCTCACTAGACGAGGATTGAATGCACAAGACTGTGATGCGCACGCCATCATCCACATGGAAGGTACCCCAGCGGAGAGCCTCCCCAACGAGCCCTTCATGAACAAGCGCCCCATCGCCGTTACACCTGCAAGTTGGGACAAGAAGCTCCACAAAGCGAGCCGCATTCGATTCGACAAAGTCTTCACCATCGAGCACAATGTGAAGGTGAGGGAAGTCGGGACGGTATCAGGAGATTCGATGACTTGGTTCTGTCGGTACTGGCGAATGGAAGCCAGCGCAGCCGCTGACGCCGTCACTCCGAGATCAGGTCGCCATGGCTGAGCCACCGAACGAGATGTTGCAGCAATCCCAGGGGAGGGCTCACGCAACATGTTGTACGTTTTTGTCGCACAGTGCTCTGCACGGGCACCGGCTACAAAGTCCCACGGCTTTTGGTTGCAGTCTAACGGCTAATATTGGAAATGGCATTCCGATAGACGAGAATCCTCCCTTGGTCCCACACGCTATTTGTTGTTGACGCCCCCAGTGACTGACTGTATTCAGTCCCCGTCGCCCCTTTTCTGAAAGCCTTGTTCGTTCCATCGTTGCAATTGGTACACGATGTTTGGGTGGAACCGATTGTGGCTTGCCTTCTTCTTGAGGTATGGTGGTTGCCTTTCCTTAGCTGTGTTGGGCCTGGAGACTTGTAATATCGATACGGCGGCCACGTCAGATAATGAACAATTTATGAAAAGACCAGCTGCGAGTAAGCTTTCTGCTTCCAGCGCGAATAGTACCCACAATACTGAGTAGCGCTATGATGGTTCCGTGGGTCCAGCGGCGTCAATATCGACCTCCTCGCATGGGGGGTATGCACCCCACTTTCCCAGCCTCGCAGCCTCGTACCTCATGATCCTTCTCCTCCGGACATGACCTAGTACGGGGTACGTCGAACGGGGTACCTCGTATCAAAAGGTGCAGCGGGGCCAATGGCGTTGCAGGAGCCGCATCAAGCGACCTCGACAGCTTGTCACAGCTTTCTTCTGTGCATTTGTTCTTCCCATCCCACAGGTATCCCACCCCAGCCTCCACATCCGACACTCTGATAAGCAATACGTCCTGCAGAGTGCCCCTTACTGGCTTCGAATCGAAATCAGTTGACGTAACCATTGAAAATAGTCCTTTGTGGCTGAGCGCCGGAGCTGCAATCCTGCTCGCACGGATACGGACTAAGTACCCCATACGGAGAGCGCACGGAGTCCGGCCCCCTGCCCCATTGTGGGCGTCAAGCTATAAACTTGTACCGAGAGAGTCATTTCCCCGGCGGGTACGACAGGAAGAGACTCGTCCCTTCCACATCCGTTCGGAAATCCGGGAGTATGACACACTAATGCAAGGTCTTTACCTCCAGGAAGCTACGATTAGGCGGCTAATGCTATTCTGGCCGTCTTGAGTACGAAGAAACTGTCACAGTGTCGAACTGATCAGAGAGAGGCGGACATCCGGCGCCGAGTCAACAGGACCGAACACGCTTTACGGAGTACGCAGTAGGTTTCTTCAGGACATGCACGATTCAGCTCCCAATTCTTCATCGAGCGGCGGCGATAAGGCGGCCTGGGCTGCTCGATATCGGGCCTGCAGCGACTCTTAACCAGGCCGGTGCCAGTGCCGGTGCGAAAGCGTTCTGATGCCGACCTCAGGAGGCAAGCGGTCGCCACAGCTGTCACCCGCCGTCGCTGACCTCAAATGGCCACAGTGGACCTCTCGATGATCGATTTGACCGCCAGACACTTTTAGACAGAGCCTCAATCTGACGCGCGGCAAAGACCCTCCGACCAGCCAGTCGGTTGGAAGAAGGGGTCAATACCACACCCTCCAGTATCGAGAAATACTGCCTGAGCCGTCTCAACTGTACGAGCCCCAGACTCGCAATATCTCCGTCATTTCAACATCCGTCAAGGCATAATGTGCAGGACAGATTGATGCTTTTGGTATGTCACCCCGACCCAACTGTCGAAGTCCAACCGATGGCTGGTCATGCAGTTATTTGCTGCGCCGAGCAAGGCGACGGCCTGGTAGCATCGCATTTGCGAGGCGGGCTCCGAATGAGGATGGAAGACGACGACTGCAGCATCTGATAGGTTCGTTCAGTATCTGATTGAGCTTGGGGAGAGTCCAACATTCCCGCGTACCTGGCCAACGAGCAACGCCGTGGTCTGTCGTGTCTCACCGCTCCCGAACTCTACTGGCTTTTTCCTTCTCGAGCCTCATGCCTCGCCCCAGCGATAGGTCATGATGTTGCCAACACCGCCCGTTTCCAGCTCGCTTTGCTTGTGCGTCCCCTCTAAGGGGAGGTGAGGCCGACGACGATGGAAAGGGGACCATTCAGCCAGGTTTGCCATCTGGCATCCAATGCCTGGTCAAAAATGGTCAGCTCCAACAAGTTTACAACCGGCCTCTTTGGAATCCCAAGACGACCTAACACCAATGCAAGCTTGGCTTTCCGCGGAAGAAGGTGGCCTGTATCCGCCCTGTTGGATCTGATCATGACTGGTAGGACTTGCGGTCAAGCAAATCTTGCGGCCCAATGTGATGCGATTCCCTGCAGCTTGACATGCAGCTTGGACCAATGGGCTGACCGACTATCGGTGAAGCATTCAAGATCAAGGTAAAGTCAGGTGTCGACACCTCGCATGGCACTATAGCCTTGTGTATACCAACCTGGTGGTAAGCATACACTTTAGCAGCTACTGGAGCGACTCCTGCACCTCGACAGTACACGTACCATCCTCTCGGGGTAGTATGCCACGTGTCCAGACGACCTGTGTGCTGAAGCATGCCGTGCAAGCTGGCAATGGGGAAAGACGGCAGCTATGTACAACGTAGGACCATGGCTTGAAAGTTCGTCGACCCGTGGTGGGGACAATAATGATGATGATGGGGCTTCCCAAGTCATCCCTCATCGATATGAGGTAAGTATTTCCTGGACAAGTCGCTAACGCCTGCGCTGGATGCAGCGAGCCTCACTCTGCATATTTGGCCTCCTCCCTGTCGATCCACGGCAGGGGATTCCACGGTTGAACGAAGAGACAGTGCTACCCTGAAGGCGGCATCAGTGGGCAGGCCACGTTGGTCAGATTCAAAGCACCAGTGATGAGGAGTCCAGCATCCTACTCGTAGCCACCGAAAGACCAGAATCCGTGGCAACAAAGTCAATACCTGTCCAACACAGAGCGCCGATGATACGTGTGGGATAAGCCTCCTCACGATCGACCATCTCGCTCTGCTTCGGTGACCGGAGACGTCGTGGCAGGGCATATCGAAGGCGGCTCATAACTGAGCGATGCAGGAAGTCAACAATGACAAAGACGACATTCACGACCCGCATTGCCCGGCATATCGCAAGTTGTCTGCGTAATAGATGCCGGCCCTTGATCCCAGGGAATCCAGATGCCCCATCCCTGTATTAGCACTGCTTGTTGAGGTCAGGGTTTTGCGCGCACGCGCAGACGAATGGAACTTTTGCTCTGAGCTGTCATCCCGGGAGTTCCCTCCGCCTGGATACAGCCTCAGCATGGTACTCGTACTGCAGGCTGCTGTGCGGGACTTGGAGACTCACAACAAGGGCGAGTTCCCATAAGGCTGTAAGAAGTTGTGACCTACAGCCCTGTCCACGGACTATGAAGGCATCCTGCAGGCCTGGCGCTGAACCTCAACGAGGCAGCGACCGTGCTCCAGCCCCTTCCTGTCATGCATGGGGGTTCCGCTGGATCGGATTGTGGAGACTGAAACTGAAACTGCAACCGCAACGAGACGGAAGGGATAGACCTTGTTGCGGTGTGCCGTCCATCTTGTCGCTGGAGCCAAGAAAAAGACGTCGCGGTCACTGCGCGATGAACCCTGGAAGCGTTCGCGTCCCTATCACGTCAAGCATCGCGGTGTGGCTGCTCTGTATGGAGCACAATACTGGGTACGTGGTATGTCAAATGGAGCTTTGCCAATACAGAGTACTCCGTACGCCGTACGCCGTACAGTGTGCAATAACCCGTAAGGCTGGGTTGGACGATTTTCCCAGTCCATGGACCTGCACAGCCCGATTTCTCAGCTGCGTGATTTACGAAGGTCGTCACATGGGTTTCCTGTCGTAGAGCTGCTACGTAGACGTGCATCCAGAGTTGACAAATGAGCATTGCCCCGACTCGTGTAGCTCGTGTCACAGTGTTGAGTTGAGCTCACATTGGGGAGATCACCTGCTTGCTACCTGTCAATTGCGGTAGCCTAAGGCTCGGACGGCACATGGCCAGATCAAACATCAGCGGCTCTTTGGTCTGGTCAATTCCACCAGGCTCTCGAATCCATTGATGATACGAGTGGAAGCGGCCCTTGCTCTCCTTCGATGTGCCGGTATTGGCGTTGCGGTTTAGAGTCATTTGCAATGTAGTACAACCGAGATTGGTCCTTTTCCCTGATTCCGGAAACGGGCGGGAAGCCTCAAATGGGCAAATGGGGAACTAATGCACTTTACAAGGGTGTTGCTGCAAGAATGAACCTTCTGTCAGATGGGGAAGGTCAGATACCTAACTATCCCATATATAAGGGGCGGAGGGAAGTAATGCCGCCTGCATGCACGATTAGAAGGTTACAGTACACGTAGGACGACCATTAAGATGCTGCCTCGATACTCCGTCACTCGAGCAGAAGGCAGAAGCAGGAGATCAGTCATTTTGTGATCTGCTGAGACTCCACACCAATAAGCCCCCAGGATCCCTCGCCTCGCCCAAAGGGGTAAAATCCCCTTTTGGTGGAACGGAGTCCGCAAGGGACGACATGTCCTGAAACTCGAGACCAAGTAAGCCTGACGGGAGTGTGTCAAAGGCCCTGATATCCAACTGATGACTCATGATGTGTATCAGCCACGACTTCCATCACGGAGCCAACCAGACACTATCACTTGGTACTGGAGGGTCTCGCTCGACTCGGCCTGTGCCAGGGTGACTATGGCTCGGCACTCTTTGTTGGTGAGACTTCCCACCGGAGTAGCCTGAGGTGTGCCGACGTTCTGGTCCATCGACCTGCCATAGAGGCTCCCACATTCCTACTGTACCAGATGTCGGAGTCAGGGTCGCGTCCATATGATGTTCGGAAACGATCGAACTCCTTGGGTCTTCGCTCCAGACAAACGAAGAAGACAGGCCTGCTCCATCCTCGAACCATGTCGCCTTCACCAGTTCCGTAGTTGCTTGAACAGTAAATTTGCCTGCAGTGTCTACCCAGGCTGCCAAGCGAGTGAACGACCACCAAGAGGACTGTATACATCCGAGGATCCAGAGAGAGACATAATTTGTCAAATTGTCCAAGAGCTCGTCATCCACTTCCCACATCAAGGACGAGTAAGGGACGATGGCAGGAACAGGATTTTGCTCCTGTAGACCGTCCATACGCTCCAGTTGTTCCAGGAGGGGTTGACCTAAGAAAGAGTCCATGTCAGCCTTGCGTCCGCCATCGTCGTCGTCGTAAAGCTGCAAGATTGGAGAGTCGCCATCTTTGGGAGCCTGTATGTATTTCCGAGTTTCCAGGTCATGGAACTGATGGAGACCAAATAGAACATTTGATTGCCTCGAATCATGGAGCGATGCTTCCGAGCTCATAGCCTCGAGCTCGCTGATCTGAAAGCTCAACCTGGCAATATGTTTCAGCAGTTGGCCACGCCGCTCACCAAAGTCTTCCAGAGTGTTACGCGAGAAGATGTCAATGGGAACACCCGCTGCCATTCTCATCTCCATATCTTTCGATAGGGCTGTGTACTCCTTTTCCTGGTTCTCGAGACTCTCCTTCAAGTGTCGCCTTTCCTCCACCAGTGCCAACAATCGTTCGTCTGCCGTCGCCTCATCGGGTCCCGGTAAATATGTTCTGTCTACATGGGCTTTCGTAGGGCGACGATCCGGTGGAACCGTCGTTCCAAGATCGATATCCAGGTCATCTTCCTCGTCCGAAGCTGATGGACCAAGTACGGCTTCGTACAGTCTCCGTTCCGAGTCTTCTAATTCCCATTCTTCTGGTAGAAGATCACTTTCTACAATGTCCTGAGCAATGTCCTCGGAGTTGAGTTCGTCGCAGGCCACTTCTGCTGTCTCCAAATCCTTCATGAGTGTGGGATCACTGTCCAAACCAAAGGGATGTGCTTCGATGGTCTTGAAAAAGCGCTGCAGGGCACCATGGAGGCGGTGGCGCGTAGCTTTTAGTTGACCTCGCCCGTCCCTTGCTCGTACCCTGAGCCGTCGCACCTTGCGCCTCTGTGCCGCGAGTTTCTGAAATCCAGAAACGAAATGTACCTGCTTGTCAATATGCTCAAGGGGATTTTCTGGGTGTTTGGCGCCCAGCGAGGCGTCCGACACAACATCCACTGTGAAGGGAGGAAAAGGCAAGGCCTCTGATATGGCCCAGTCTGCCACCGAACACGAGGGCGTACGAGAGGGACGAGAGTCATAGTCGATCATAGCTAGCTCCAGTGGTATTCTCCTGTTATCTGCTTCGTCTCTTGCTTCGTCTCCACTGATGGTTGCGAGGATCTCTGCTTGTCGTTGCATGCCGGACCCCCTGCAAGAGTTGAAGTCCAGCATTGAATATTCCCCATCGTGGACTGGCGGCGGAGTAGGACATTGAGGAAAAGTCACATCCCTGTATTTCGAGTCAGTCCCAAGTCAGCGTATCAGGAGGGGATATTTCCACTGTGCAAAACCCCGTCGCGAGAGTATACCCGAATGCTGGTCGAACTCGTCAGATAGGCAGTCCATAGACGGCACATTTCATCCACGATCAGCTAACATGAGCAGCTCGCATGGGGAGACTCAGTCGCCAAAGCCAGTAAGGCTCCGAGAGCGACAGGAAGTGGTCAAAGTCAACTGAGCACGGAGCATGGAAGATCACATAGCCTTGGGCCGGGACAAAGGCAGTTGTAAACAACAGACAGAGCAGAACATGTCGCTGAAATACACATCACTAGAGCAGCATCAGCCATGGCTGCAAACATTACCTGTGCACGACCAATGGCCGAATGCAACGTGCCCGGTACCCAGCATTTCAAAAGCGCCTCTTCGACAAAGACATGCTCCCAGGGGAAGGATGTGGATGGCAATCAACAGAGAGACAGATATGCAAGGCGGCACATGTTTTGGCGGGCGGCATACGGACGTATGACGGTCGGTGATGGGGGTTAGGCGACACAGCAACCCTGGTCTCCATTAGGGTCTGCTGATCACACCGACGGGAGGCTCTAGGAGGTGCGGGGTCCGCCCCCTGTCAACCGTGTCAAGCCCGAGCAAGCCCCAAGAGGCCCCAAGTGTCCCTGTGTAACCCCAGCAGGCATCTGCAATTTCTGATCTCTGGAAATGTCGGCCTGTCTGATGGACGTCTGACATCTGGTCATTTCAAAGATTCTATCAGCCTTCTTGCAACTCGCCGCATCTTCCATCCACACCACCCACAGGCCTCTTGACCATTTCCAATCAGCTCCTCCCTCGTCGAATTCCCTGCAACATCTGCAGCAACAACGAGAGACGGCAAGGGTCCTCCCCGCAGGCTCTTCAGCTTGCTCTGATCTTTCTCTCTTCCTCTCTCAGAGTGACCATGGCCGCCAATCACCCAGCTCTGAATCAGCTGCGTGCGTTGTCTTGTCCCGTCACCCACGCCGCCGACGGACCTGACGAGTGCGCGAGGCCTATCGCTTCTGCGAGCAATGTCGAGCATCGCAGACACTCACTGCATGAACGCATGGTCCACTCTCCTCCCCGCAGGTGCGGCTCTGCGGACGGACGTGGTACATATGTTCATTGGGGTCACTGTATCCGACTGGCTACCATGGAGCTGGTCTCAGATCACGCCTCGCCCACGCTCCCGAGACTATAATGGCCCCATTTGATCCTATCGAGAGATATGGTGCTGGGTGGAAGACACACGACGATGGACGTGAATCACGTGTACTACGAGTCGTGATCAAGGACGGTATGTTGTAAAATCTCAGGCCTAGAACGCGTCGCTGACCGGGTAAGGGAGGTACTGTTTCGAAGATCGACATACGGGGAGGTTCCAACCGATAGCCAATGCAATATCTCCCAGCGAGGAAAGGTGCGGCACCATTGCTTATTCAACCGCTACGCCTATGGCCTGTTGACATACGCACCTTGCAGTAGCACGCCGAGATCTGAACGAGATCAACTACCCCGACGCCTGGAACGTCCTGAAGGACGTGGTGCTCAGCAGGAACCTCGACGACGGGAACATCAAGCACCGATTCCACAAGGCTACGAGTTGCAGACTGCCGCTGCAGGCTCGCGTTCAACGTCGCACCCGTCTGCTAGTGAGACTACAGCATCACATCGCGGAGTACCGATCCGAACACGGAGGCCATCACAAGACGCCCAACCAGGTAACCTCACACTGGATAAACCCACCTTGGAAAACTCGTCTCAGTCTGACCTCCTTCTCGGCTTCATCGCTATTAAATATGGTGACCTCGAGGAATGCAACGCCTTCATCAAGAAGCATAAGCGCATCCTGGACGTGGATCCTCAAGCTCTTCTGAACTCTGCAGTCCAGCCCAGGAGAACTGCAGACGATCTGCATACTCTCCGTTGCGTCCAGCGCTATGTCATCCTCAAAGCTTGCAAAAGTCGCAATGCTCGCGAACGGGATGACTATCTTCATCATCTGGGGGGAAAGGGCGAAGAGGGCAAGGACGACCGGGTGGAGTATGCTCGAGACCTTAAGCAGACACTGGACTCCGTGAGCCGCCTGTTGAAGGCCGACCCCACCGCAAGCCGCGAATCAACGCTGTCCACATCCAGAAATCAGGGTTCTGGCAATGATCAAATGAACATGAAGGACCAAAGCCAGCAATCGTACAGCGTCCCCGGCCTTCCCGTTCCGTCGTATCGGCCGCCGGCGATGTCAAGCACAGCTACATATGAGACCACAGCGTCATTTTCGTCCTATGGGCAGCAGACCAGTCGTGTTCAATCCAACCAGACGAGTGGAGAGGTACAGGGCAGGACCTTTCCCCATCCGTCAGGCACCACTGCGCCGTTTATGCCAGCTAGACACAACAGCGGACGCGGAGACTGTCATGTACCTGCGGTTCCCTCTATCCCGATTTCGCGCGCGAGCACGAATTCTGAGCATGGAAATAAGGCAACCCATGATCAGAGCGGATCGCGGGGAACTGGATTATCTTATGCTCATCCTCCAAGGGAATTCCAGCCTCGCCGCAACAGGTTTATCTTGCCGACTGTTGGCGGCTTGGACAATGTCGAGTTCAGGGGTCTACCCCAGCTTCAGGTGGCAGACACTGAGCTTCTCGATGCAAACTACACCTTACGTGACGATGCCAGAACCTTCTTCTCTGAGGGAAGGGTCTTTTCGATGATGTTCCACGAAAACTTTGGCCTCACACGTGGTTTCCGTGGCAGCCTGCAGCCTCCCAGTCTTGACAGCCCCGGAGTGACCAAAGGACCGCGAGGTGAATATATATATAGCCACATCCGGAGAATGGCTGTGGTCAGACAACGAAAAGGCTATTGCATTTGCGTGCCCATCTACTCTTATCGACAACGAGGCGTTACGAAGAAGGTCGGTGATGACGGGGCTCAAGCGCACGCGATCGTCTACTCAAGCCGTCGGAAGGAACCACCTGCAGCGTTGCCCGGAGAGCCCGATTTCGAGAAGAAGGCCATCGCCGTCGAGCTCGCAGATGACCAGGAGTTGGGCCATGCGAGCCGAATCCATTTTGGGAAAATCCATAGCATCGAATGGAATATCAAAGTGATGACCATCGGTCATGTTGCCCAGCGTTCGATGGTCGACTTTGAAACATACTGGAAAGAAGAGTTGGCTCGCTAGCCAGGCCAGGATCAACAAACTACGTTAAGCACCAAGAGCTGCAGTCATTGCCGAAATTCACTCTACCATTACTCGCACCATCACACCATTCACACTGATACGTCTAGGGACCGTGGGTCCAGGATTGGATGGCAGCCGCTATGTCGGGGGTTTCGAAGGGGAAAGCTTGTCGCCGAGTGTCTGGGAAGCTTGCACTTTTCTTTGATTTTGTCGCCGCGAACGAACTGGTCTACAGGTGCGGGACATGAAGTGTCGCTCTTCATTTTGCTTTTCCTATCTCATTCAGACTGTCTATTTCAGCCTTGCGGTCCGTTCAGCTGAACATGTTCCTGTGTCACCGGGGTGGAGAGGGCTTGACAAGAGCCGCTTTGACTCACTTGCTTCGTTCTCTCCACGTTTGTGGGCTTTCTCAGGCTTTACGACGATATGTTTTAGTATGCAGTGTTAATATGACCTAACGACTCGATTTATCCAGAAGCTCAGTAATGCTTGTGACTTCCACGGGTGTACTGTGTAGGTGTCTCCGTGTGAGGCGTAGCTGAAGAATCTTGTCCCGATGGTTTGATTCATCTCTGCTTGATCTTTCCCGAGCGTTGTATCTTTGTCACAGTTTGCGTACTACTGAACATTATACACCTTTACCTATATATATGTCTGCAGCTCGAACGAAAATGACAGCCCTACTCAAGTAGACTGCACCCTTCATGCCCTCCATACCAAGCCATGCATGCATAATGTAATAGCACACAACGGAGTAGAAGGCATGGATTGGATACTCACGCTTGAATGGCCAGAATACCGGCTCATTGCATCGTTCTTCGAGACGTTTGACCACGGGCATGTAGGTACTCCGTTCTCAGTGCTGTACTTCGCAATCCATGCTACTACTACTACAGTCTATCCTTTGAATTCGCCTATTAAAACTTACCACGAGACTAATGCCAGGTATGAGCAGCGACCTTCTCCTTTAGGCTTCAGAGAGTTCGCTAACCTGTTTGCACCATGTTCCACGCGATTGAGAGTATCTCCTCTCCTGTGCACTGTTGTGTTGGCTGTATGATAGAGCGGCAGGGGACCATGCAAAGCGTGTTTCATTAGGAGGATTCAAGGGTACACTTGTAGTATGTTGTGTTGCGTGAGAGAAGAGCACTGGAATGGTCATATAAAAGTGGCAGGCCGTGGCCATTCCGGCAAGTAGTAGGCACGGTACGCACGCCTGTGGGGAACCAGGGGTCACACCTATATAGGTAAGTAACGTCGGGCACATGTATGTATGCATGCATGCATGTCATGAATCACCCAGTCTCCCAGCCCAGACGCTGCCAACAAGAGTAAGTAACCTCAGTACGGGGTGCTCTGTATGGAGTACAGTACCTATTTCAACGCGGCGCCGCCAATACCTATGTAGTACCCCGCCCGCTGGCTATGTACATGACTTTTCCGCTGGAGTCACCAGGATCATTATCAATTACCCCGTAATGTACCAGTAACTCTGAAGAGATGTTTTTCCCAGGCCGTGGCGTTCGTGTCGTTTTCTCGTGATTTCTCGTTTCCCTGAAGAATGATTTTGGGGACGGATGCACTGTCCTGCAAAGCACGTCGCACAGTCGCACGTCACACGTCACAACGTCCTTGCAGGGGGTGGGCATGCATGAAGGGCCCTATTCAAAATAAGGCTTGTACAGCAGGTCTCCAAGCTGACAGGTCACACCCTGCCTACTCCGTACTGCCGCCGTTTACAACATGTCGTCCTTCAAATCGCCGTCCACGCTCCCTTCTCCGACGTCCCCGCCTGCTGCACTCCCGCCAAGTTCTCTGACCTCGGCGGTCTCCCAGCACAGACTCGTCAGGTCCAGCATCCAGCGCTGATACTGCTCTTCCAGAAACTCGATGGTCAGGGGTTTGGGCCATGCTTTGAACGCCGAGTCCGATGCAGGGTCCTTGAGCATCTTGTCGTACTTTTTGAACGAGACCCGGTGGTGCGAGATGTTCTGCCAGCTGTCGTCCATGTCGATGTGGAGTTGGGAGCCAGAGAAGAGCTCAAACCTAGGTAGAACAATGTCAGACTGGACCATTGCATTGACCACCTTTTGTCGTTATATGACGTTCCGAAAACGACGTAAACCGCGCCCGCGCTTCGTGCGACAAAACATTGCTGACAGGGACTTACCCAATGTAGACGCCGTGGGCGCTGCCGAGACTGATGATTTTCGCACCGGGCGAAGTCTTGACCAAATGGTAGATCTCACAATATGGCACCAGGTCTTGGTGGGTCGGAAATTGCGGAAAGAATGGAAACTTGAGCTGTCGAGTCCTGTCAGTTGAGGGAGCTCACAGCGGGTACGGGGTCGCAAGAAACGCACAAAATGAAGATCTCGGCTCTTGTTCTCCTCGTATTTGACGTCCCAGAAGTGACGCAGGACGATCTGATCTGTTCGTGAAAGATTGCCGATGGCGCTGTTGGGCAGCGCGGTGATCGGGTAGTTTGACGGCGGACGGTTGGCGAAGTCGAAGCTCGAGCTGGTTTTGGCGGACACGGGCCTCGAGTCTTGGATCGACCCTGTCGTGCCATTCACCATTGGAGCGTGAGAGAGAGGTGGTGTGTATGATGTTGGAGGAGCGGTCTGATGTGAGGCTGAGGTTTTGGAGTCGTGGACCGAGCCAGATCGGGAAAACCTCCTCATGCTGATGAACGGGGACATAGTTCGCCTGAAGGAAAGTAAGAAAAAGAATTAAACTTCTGGAACGGGGCGAGATGGGTATCAAGTCTCGAGATGCTCAATGGAATAAATGAGGTGGCGGAGGGTGATGAAATGCGATGAATGCGAAAAAGATGTGGCAGGTTTCGATGGGTGGAAGGTCGGTGATATCGATAAATCGACGCGTGGTGGATATTTCTGGAGCGGCCTGGGCCTAATGAGGTTAGCGGCGGATAAGGTCCGTTGGAAGAGCTCCCCGCGCTAGCTACATGAAGTTACTCCTGAATGGGCCGCTCATGCCAATCCCATCCCCCTTGTCGATTGTTCTCCGTAGCCATCACTCTAGTATCCAACTTCTTGCAACTTCTGTCAAGATCAGGTCTGTGTTGTTGACGCTGTGGTTGAATTCTGTTGCTGGAGCCCTACACCCATATCCTATTGCGTGCGGTGCTAAGTTCTGCCTTGAATCATGGAAAGTTGACCCTTAACTGACCGTCCCAGCGGGATTCCGTACCAAGCTTTACGTCAAGCTGTTGTCGCCTGCCTTTCAGTGGTGAAATACTCCGGAAGCGATCCGTAGTGGACGATCAGATGCGATGCGGGAGATTGGCACACGCTCGTGGACGGCTCTCCTTTCCTTTCTACCCAGACACACGAACGACGATGAGACATAGCTTTGGTGCCGCGTTACCTTTTTGCAGCGAGAGAAGGGAAAGGTTCACATATCCCTGGTATTATAGTGTTCGTCTGTTGGACCTGGCCTTACAGGTCTTGGCGTATCACGTGCCTGCAAACTGCGACACGCACCCAACTTTCACTTTGCATTCACCGGAACCTCATTTCCACGTTTCATGTCAATTTCCACTCTTTTGACTTCAACACGTGCCTTGTCCATGCGAACATGTAAGGTAATGGTCATGCGCAAAGTCTAGTGATAGGGGTTTTCAGGACACGACCTACGGGTAATTATTCCAGCTTTGCTCAGCTTCAAGCTTTCGCCCACGACATCGTCGGACTGTACCATTTCACCAGATGATGGCAAAACCACACATCAGCTCGGTCTCATTCGCCTCCGAAGGCATTGCCTATTCTGTCAGGTCCTCCAAATCTGGCCAAGTCATTGAACTGTTTCGTCGGCTCCAGGATCCCTTCGACCAATGACAAGTGGCAAGGCTGTGAGAAAATGCTGGAGCCTGGCCAACAGAAGACAGAGCAATATCGCGAACCATGGGCCTTCCAATCATTGTTGTCTCTAACCTAGGCGCGTCAACTAAACATGTGTGCGAAGCGGGATAACATTGATGAAACCCCATCTACATCCATCTAACATTGGACGCCGGAGCAGGCGATTTCGTCTCAAAGCCAGCTGGTGTCACCTACATACCGTACAAGTGCCCAGTCCCGTGTCCATACAATGTGGATATCTGGTACTTCGGCGAACAGTATATATATCGAATGCATGCCTTTCCAAGGTTTCAGGCTCTCACGATCTCTCTGACACAACTGCAAACTGCCACCGGACTCGCGCCTAAATAAATTCATTGATAGCCGACGGACGCGTCCAAACACTCACACATCTCCAGGATCTTCACAAACCTCACTCCTGATCTCAATCATGGCGACCTCTCTCCGCGTCGGCGTCCTTCTCGTGCCTCCGATGCAACTCCTCGACGCCGCGCCCATTGACGTCTTCGGCATGCTAACCCCCGAATATCTCGGTGCATGCGGCCTCCCCGCGGCACTCACCAACCTTGCCATTCCCGTGTCGATCCACTACATCGCCACCTCCGGACCGGGCACCTACGCGTCAATGACCTCGTCGGCGTCCCTGCCCGTGACGGACTCTCTGTCCTCCGAGGCCGTCCAACCAGGTCGTCTCGACGCGCTTCTCATCCCGGGCCCGGATCCCAGCGTCGTGCCCGACGACGACGTCCTCGCCTTCCTCCGTGCCCACAGGGACGCCAACCGGACGGATTTCCTCGTCATATGCACGGGCAGCTTCCTGGCCGGGTATTCCGGCATCTTGGACGGGAAGAGAGTGACGGGTCCGCGGGGCATCTTGGGGAGATTGAAGCACAAGTTCCCCGACGCCAAGTTCGTCGAGCGGAGATGGGAGAGGGACGACAGGGTCTGGACGTCAGGTGAGCGCTCCCCTGCTTTCGTTTGCCACCCGAGGTCGTATTGTTGTTTTTTTCACTCCATATTAACGGCGTGCGCGTCTCTGTCTTTTTCTCCGCGCAGGTGGCATCACGAACGGCCTCGATCTGGCGGCCGCGTATTTGCACTCGACGGTGCAGAAGGAACTCGCCGACTTGGTGTGTGCCATGGCCGAGATAGGCGATCGCGGACAGGACTACGACAGCGGAAGGGTCAGCAATGTGCTGTGGTGGCTATGGTTGATTCAACGGGCGTTTTTCAAAGGAAAGCCGAAAGCGCCGAAAAGAGAGTGAGCAAGCGAAAAACAAGCCGGACTGAGCTGGTGCTGTGGTGTGGTGTGGTGTGGTGTGGTTTGTTTTCGTTTGAGGCCATGTATCAATACAATTACATGCCGTCAAGTATCCTCTGCTAGGACAACGTGGATCCTTCGTCCCCTGCGTCCTATCTTCCCTCCAATTAGTGTACAGACTAATCCCAGACGCGCCATCACCTCAATCCCTGCATGGCGCCGTTGGATATCGACAGGCAGCCTTTCCTTCCCCACCCTCGCCCATCGACGCCGTGCTCGTCACCTGCCTCTTCTCAGCAGCCTCCCCTCCCTCCCCTGCTCTCACCACAGCATCTGCACCTTGGTGTCCTCGAGTCGCGCCCCTATCGACGTCCTCTCTGGCGACACCGTGCTTGTTGACCATGTGATTGACCATCGGCCCCACCCGAGTCTGGATGGTGTGGTCGCACATGTAACAGCGGTACGAGTATGCTGGCTGGGCTCCCCTAGGCCTCGCTGCTGCAGGACCTCGCTCTTGACGTGGTGCAGGTGACGCTGCGGGAGGAGCAGGAGGAAATGTCCCCGCCATGGCCGCATATGGACCATGGTTGTAGGTGAAGGCCGGTCCCTGACCTTGACCCGGCCCGTACTGCGCTCCTTGTCCCAGAACCGGGACTCGGTGCAGAGGCGAGATTGGAGCCGGCTAAGGCAGCGCCGATGCTTGTCCGTACATCTGACCGCCGTGTCTCTGGGATGGCACTTGGCCATGTTCACTTGTCGAGACGCTGGAAACGGTGGTGGCCGCGGCGGCGGGGGCATCTGTTGTCGACCTGTAGATTGGACGCCCGCGGGAAGGTGAGGCACCATGACAGGGTGCAGTTGGTGAGAGGCCGGTGCATCTCGAGGACCAACAAATTCCACGATCTTGTTGTGGAATGAGACTAACGTCTCAGCAGCTTCGATCTCGCGCCGGGTGTAATTGTTGGCTTGTCGTGTAGCCATTGTGCATTCGAGATCGTCCTGTCGATAGTCCCGCTCCGCTCACAAGAGGGATATACAGAGAGAGAGATATATATAATAGGTAGGAAACAGCTGAAAACAGCAAGACCGTTGTCGGAAAGGTCATGACTGCACATATTCACTGTTCGAAACATGTGGTGACAGTCGTTCCGATGCGTTGCGCATGGATGAGTCCAAGACCACTCTGCCGTGAACAGGGCGCCTTTCCGACGAGTACTGACATTGCAGGTTTCCTCCGTGACAACAGCCGTTCCGTGACGGGCGCAAACACAGAACCTACCCCCATCATGCAGAGAATACCGTGGCAAATCCATGGTGAAGAAGCCCATTCCGTGACAGTACTGACGTTGTTGGTACCACAGTCGTGTAGAGGTTGCTGTGACGGATCCACGGTGGAGAAGACCGCCTCACACGACTACCAACTGTCAGGACAATGACCCCGTATGGCCAGCCCACCGGTAAGTAACTTGCTCCGTGGATGAAGGCATCATTTCGTGGAGAGAAGGTTACGGCTCGTCTGCCGTGAAGAGCATCGCTCCATGACAAGTGCCAGCACTGAAGTTGTCACCCTCGTGTTTCGGAAGTGGTGAGCAGTCAACGATATCTCAACGGCCGTCAGCCAGGACCGCTCTCTTCATCATATCCCAGTCAAGCATTACTGCAAGGACTGTTCCTCCAGCCTCTGAACAATCAGGTCCGTCACTTATGTGAGGACTCGACTGATCATGTGGGTGGTCCCCAGGAAACTCTGTGTGAGGAGGACAGTTCTCTGTAGCAGAATGCGTAGTGTGGCAAAGGAGGGTATTCGAAGCTGCTAGTGTCCGTTTCAACAGCATGACCATGGCTGTCCCGTCATGTCCTACCGTTGACAAAGGTATAGTGAGCGACAGGGATGCGATAGTCCGATCCCCAAAGCCCACAACCTCGCGCTGTTGGCTTCCTCGCTCAAGGTACGTGGGATACCAGTATTGGTGATCTGTGGGCAATGTCGACGCTCAAAAAGCTAGTGGTGCAATGTCGATGAGACCACGCTCGACATCCAGATGCACAATTTCACCGGGCCTTCAGCTAGGCGTATAATGTCGACGAGACGATCGTCGAAGGCCAGATGGATTGGCTCAACGAGATGAAGCCCGAAAGCTAGACATACAACGTCGGTGAGACGACGCTCGAAACCCAGGGTACAATGTCGACGGGATCAAGTTCCCACGTTAGGCACATGATGTCGACGAGACAATCATCAAGGGCCAGTTGCACTGTCTCGATGGGACGAAGCCAGAATGCCAAGCGTACACTGTCGATGCGACGACTCTTGAAAACGGGATGCTCGTGTCGGGTTCTGCTTGAGCCCCGTACATAGGCAGACGTGCCTCCACCAAGTAGTACGCGATGCCTGTCCAACGAAGGCATCAGCCGGATTCCTCGGTCTCATGATACATCCACACTACTAGGTGCGGAGAGGAACAAATCCCAACATGGAGATGTCTCGAGTTTGATACTGTCGTACCGATTCCGATCTCCACCAGATGAGCATACCGTGGAGAAAAGCAGGACAAGCCGTGTTCCTTCATGGCGTTCTGGCCTTCAGCATACCGACCACTGCATATCGATGCTTCCGGGCGCATTGCCCTTTCATCATCGAGATGTCGAACGATCCCAGAAGGATGCACTGCGTCTGAAGGACGCGTACAGGCTGGACTACCATCCGCCCGCTGAATTGAAACGGTCGAGAGATGCTCCTTCGTGAGTCATAGCGATCTGGTACATCACAAGAACATTTCTCGACGGTCGGATTGCGGGAGACAAGCATGTTGATGATGATTTGTTTGCGGTCAAGTGTCCTTGTTGGTACCTCGCCTTCGGCTTCCGAGCTCCAGCAGACAGCGTCTGTGGCTTGCTGCAGATATTCTACCGTGAGTTGTCGGACAAGGCGCCTTTGTGGTTTGTGTCTCCAGCTGCTCCACTCCATGACCTGATTGCAGCCAGGGATACGTTTCCGCTTGGTCGACACTCTTGCCGGTGTGCTCGATCTGAATAAGCACGTTCCCGACTGTTGCAATGGCCCGGGCCTGAGGCAAGCAGCCATGGTCAGCACATGTGGCTCTGGGATTGAGGGAGGAAGGCGATCTTCTCACACGATAGGCATGCGACCTGCAAAAGGGTCGTAGTCAAGCCAACATCCCTTCATCATACCCTCTCAGTCCTGTCCATGTAGACAACTCCAGCAGCGACCATGGACTCGGATGTACAAGTCGCCTTCCCAACGTGAAAGGTTTGCTTGCCGGACGAACCAGCAAGAAACACACAACCCTGCGCGCTTTCGGTAGAATGTGTGTACCGAGCCAGAAAGAAGCCCGTACCATTACAAGCCCAGGTTTGCGGACATTGCCGTGCAATGGCAAACGTGTCTCTTCCTTCATGTATATGTGGAAGGAACGCCGCAGACGTCTCATGGAGTCGACTCCTCGTGTAAGGGAGAAGTAAACGAATCGTCAGAAAAAGCTCAGGGAAGCGTAAGACGTGGCTCTTGATGAGTGACGGATCTGCTTCTACGTGAGCGACTGGGTCGACACAGAGGCCCGCGCCGACCGTCCGGCGGACTGATAGATTTGGCTCCAAATTAGGGGGAAGAAGACGACGATGAAGAAGAGGATCATCAAGGCCCGCCCTGACCATCCGTGCACCGATAGGGTGGTGACCGCCAACGAGGATGAAGAAGAGAGGTACAAAGGCCCGCCGCGACCGTCCGCCTCACGGGAAAGTTGGCTTCAAAAGAAGGATGAAGAAAAGAAGCATAAAGCAAAGGTGCCTCAAGCCAGCAGTGGACATCATATATATAGATATATGAGATGAAAAATCAGACATGGCCAAGCCCTCATCTGCCTCGCGAAGGGGACGAGACAAGGACTTGGCCAGTCGATGAGGAATGGACAGAAGCAAGAGGGCCACAAGGTCGGGGGGAAGGGGGGATACTTATACTTGTTCGCCGGAGGGAGGATGCTACCTGCTGCTGCTGCTGACCACGGTCGTCGAGTCATCCTGGTGACGCGGACATTTTCACGCGAACTGAAATCGCCTGTTTGGTGGTGACATGGACGGGGCGATGAAGTACGCGAAACCGCACCTCCTTGGTGGTGACATGGTCACGCCGATGAAGTTCCCGCGGATCTTGGAGGGGCTAGAACGACAGGAGTGCCATTGCTACCACAGTATTCCCATTGTTCTAAGCAGTTGGTGATTCACAAGCTCGTGGGGCGGGACAGAGATCGGCGCCAAGACTCACCAGGGAATTAACAAAAAATCGTTAATGCTGATTTGCTCACTGCTAAATTAACGAAAGCGCTGGTGGGAGACTATGACAGTCAGGTGTGTCGACGGCGGGAGTACTCGGGGAGACTGAAGAGGGTGAGTCCTTGGTGCCTGTCTGAATGTCATTTTGGAGTTTGAAGACGGCTGAGACTCTCTGTGCATCTACATGGGCTTGTTGTGCTTGTCGACAGCATGCTCTGGATCCTTGTCGGCACGTCAATTCGACAAAGTGTGCACGTACGTCTCAAACACCCCTTTCAGAACAGTACTTCTTGACCTCCTTGTCTAGCTTTTCCCTCTGCATGGCGACGTTTTCCATCATCTCCCGAACCATTCGGACCTCCTGTCCGACGTCCTGCTTGATACACTCTGCAAGCCCACTATCAACGAAGACCTCCTGCATCATGTCCATGACAGCAAACAGCTGGTTCGGCAGCCAGGTGACAATAGGGCTTCCTCCTGTTGCAGTGGGATGGGAAGACCGCTTGATGATATATTCTCTTGCAAAGAGCCAGTGGCGCCAGCGGAAGCTTCGAACATGATCCAGCAGTTTGAGGTATAGTGTTGGCAGCAACCAGCGATTCGCGTCACCTCCGGCGGCAGGGCCGGAAGGAGGATGAGTGCAATAGTTTCTCACACCAATCTCCGCGCTCTTGCTCATGACCCAACCGAGAAATTCTCTGTGCGGCTTCGGTCGATAGCTCCGGAAGTCCCTGAGGATCTCCGTCAGCGGATTTTTGGGCATGGGAATCTCCAGCAGATGATCCAGGAGGGGGATGATACTGTCGTTTGCCCCGGACTCGCCTCGGAAGTATAGTGGTTTCGTATCTCCATAGCGTGTGCCCTGGTAGATCACACCATTAGGGAACATGGATTGCGAAGTAATGCCAAAGATGAAGGTCCGGTAGGAGATGTAGTCTTTCGGCAAGGAATGTGTCCACATCTGCTCCATGTGAGATTCAATCAGGGTCATAGAGGATAAGAGGGTCTGAAAGGCGGCAATAGCTGCAGATGTATCGTTGCAGCTGTTCTCGATCGTCGACAGGAGGTCCACAGCGCCCGCTATCAGAGGCCCCGTCTCTTGCACCATGTGGATGTGCGTGAGGATGAAGCCAGCTTCTGAACTTGAGTGATCAAGTCCACGTTCGAAGGCGCGGATGAGGCGAAGATTCTCGTAAACACTTGCTCCCAGACTCGGCTTGACGAGGCTGTAGTTGTACAATGCATACGAGGCAGCATACGACATGAATGGCGGAATGTCAAGGCTAGAGGCAAGAGCATCGGTGAGCTAAAAATCACTGGAAGACACAGAATGCGGTCACTCACATGTCCGCAGCCTTGACGAGCGGAGAAGCAATGCATTTCGGCAGGATGGCTCTGCCTAAGCCATAGCCAGCGTCGTGATCTTTGGACCACTTCTCCCAACATGGCTCCAACAGATAGGCACTAGCAAGGAAGGAGTAGTCCCGGAAGAGCGCGGTGATAGACTCGAGGTCGATTTCCCCTTCGTCGGTCCGTAGGTCGTCAACGTACGATGTCAAATCTGGGAGAGCACCAGAGTCGATAAGCGGCCCGAGCTTGAACGTAGCAAGAAGTCCAGGTGAGCCATCGCCCTTGACGATAGACATGTCGTCCAGAATGGCCGACACGAGATCGAATTGTGCTGGAAGGCGGAGCAAAGGGGGACGACAGGGCAGGAAGCCGGTAGTTGTAGTGACCGTGAATGGATCAGCAGACCGAGGCAGGCTGCTGCCATTAGAGCGGATATTTGGGAAGAGAGCGGACAGTGGTGGGAGTGGGGGGGAGTCGGTGAGGTATGTCATCCTCGCTGATGCTTGAGCAACTGTCTGAAGAAGAGCCAAGGTTCTGTTGTCTAGTCTCTGTGGACTGGCAGAAGACGCAGGACATGTGGCCGGTCTTGAGAATTGCACTCCCAGTCAGCGAGGTCTGTGCCCAGAGTGCCAGGCTCAACTCGAGGGCGAGACAGGCTGATATACTCAAAAGGCCGGAATGCCTTCCGCCACCAGAACCACTACAGGATAGGAGAAGAGCGACTTTTGCAATCACTGTAATCGACGCCAGTGCAACGCAAGAACAATCATACCAGCCCTGGTAAAGAGATCCCGCAGATATGGCCATCACGACAATTGCATGCAGTCGTTGGGACACCCAGCCTTGTCTTGGCGCTGGCATGCTCCTTCGACGACCACATGCGGCAACACCACAAGCTTCTGATTGACAGTCTTCGTGCAGACTCCGATGTCTGACGGATAGGGCCGTTGCATCCACCTGATCAAAGCCGCGGGTGCCCAATGTTGAGGGAGTTTAGTTGATGGGGACCTGTTGTATACAGGCCGTCCGAAGCCTCCGCCAGTCGCGCGCGTGATGCCTGTGCTGCAGTTGTTGTAATGGTGGGTTGACTGGTGAGAAGGAGAAGCCCACCGCAACCCCTCCTCTGATGCTTCATTCTTAAGTAATTGATTGTCTGTCATTCCGGCCTCTGCTGGGTGCAGTCGGTGAGTCTCCCTGTGATTGGGTCCGTGGCCGGAATAGAAACCGGCCTCGACTGCGCCACACAAGCCAATATTTGATACAGTCTGATTGGCTCACTGGAAGTCGTGGAGAGTTGCTCCAGTCCACGTGAGGGATTGCCAGATATGATCAGTGTTGCTGGCACATTTCGATTTCCATCGCCGTCATGGTATCGTAGAAATGGCGAAACGTCAAGCTTGAGCTGGTGAGGCCCAAACTGCCCCGGCTCGAACAATCTCTGAGGTAACTGTCTGGCTCCCACAGATCACTTTGGCAATAGCTGCTGGGTGTTTGTCTGGAAGAAGTGAGATCGAGGGGGGTAAGTTGCGGCGTCCACAGCTTCGCCTATGTCAATTCAAACTCCATCATCTCCTCTTCGTCTACCTGATGTCCCAACAGCTCCGCTGGATTCAGCCCGTGCACGGCGCATTCCCCTAGGAAGAGGCATTTGAGGGACCAGTGAGGCGCGTCGGCGGATGAAGACGTGGCTGTCCGGGTCGAAGAGCCTTGTAGCTTCCTCTTTCCTCTGGGGCCACGCTTGACAACATGGTTGCGACCTGAGTTGCGCTCCCCTTGGAGAGGGCGTATTGCGAACAGCACCTTCCCACCTGTGAATGCACAGATCAAATCTCCAGTTTCAACCATGGCAGATGTTCGGACGGCGCAACATCGAGCCCCAGCTTCGAGTGAAGACTGAATCAACTTCGCAGAGTAGTTCTGCTCCACCTTCGATCCTCTCACCGTCTGGGACTGATGTAGCAGCGTCGTGAACGAGGGAGCCAGGGAAGCGAGTGGTTGCGAATATTTGTCTTCACCCATGGCGAAGACATCTTCCAATGCGGACCGGCCCAATGAGTCAGCGACCAGGAATGATCCAGGCCACGCGAGTGGACGTGTGACAATGCAGCCGAGACGCACCCCGGTAACGACCATGGACAATCGGCGTGACGATAGAGGCAGCATTGCAGGGTCGAAGTGCAGCTTGTAGAGTAGTGGCTGGACCCGTTCCGATGGAGTTGAGGAGCTGAAAGGCACTTCCTCGTCGAAAGCAGACTCTGGACCAAGCGTCGTGGGATTGTTGAGAACCAATGGTCGCAATGGCAGTTTCTGCCTCCAGTCTGGAAGCCAACCGGGCCAATTTCCTGCTTGAACATTGCCCCTATATCTCCCGGCAGCGCTCAAGATCGCCAGATCCTGCTCTTTGTCGATGCAATGTCGGAAGACCTCCAAGTAGAGTCTGAAAAGATCTTCTTCTCCCGAAGATGCGATGGCATCGAAGGTGCGATTCAACGACGGCACCAGATCAGGCACCAAGCCGAGCAAAGCGTAGACCGCATCCTCCGGCTTGGTGCTTAGCCTCGGTCTGGTGAGCATGAGCAGGTTGCTCAGTGTCAGGGTGCCCTTGTCGAGTTCATTTCGGACTTTCAGGATGTTCTCAAAGGCGCCATCGGAGTCGTACAGCAGGCTGGAACTGCGAAGCTTGGACGCATAGTGGAAGTACCATAGAGACAGATCGCTCCATGCCATTTCGAGGTCGCCGCAGCAGATGATTGCTGCTTTGGCCAGAATGATCTCCTGAAACGTCCATTTTCTCGAGAAGTAGACGTGCTGGAAGATTGACAGTGCATGTTTCAGCGCAGGAGGTGTATTGTTTCGCCGGTTCTTCGGTCGTGAGGCCTGGTAAGAGTGGCTATCGAGGCTGGAGGTTGATGCTGAAAGGCTGGTAAGGCTCTCTCGTGAGCTCGAGGCACGGCTGGAGCGTCTTGAGAAGCCCGCTGATCGTGGCGTGTTCCGTGGCGGTAGCGACTTCCTTCGAGGCGTCGACGGCCCTGAAGACGAGTGAAGAAAGTCGGAGCGGACGAGACTTGAACTCAACGAAGTCTCCTGAACCAGGTCGAAGGCAAATGACATCTTTTGGTCGTACATCCCGAGCCAGACGATCACCCGGCACGCAGAAGAGTAAAGTTTGCCTAGTGTCAATTTGTTAGAAGGGATGCTACTTGAGGAGAGCATCGATAGACATACCCATCATGGCAACTTGCTTCATCAACTCGTGATCTTCGAGCTGGTTGATACACAGCTGGTCCACCCAAAGCCGTCTCCACGAATCCGGGTATCGCAAGTGAGTGAGAGCTGTATATAACGACTCGGTGACAGTAAACTCGAAGCCGTTGCACGAAATGGCGTTGGATTTGGCGGTGTCGCCCCAGACATATGAGAGCGCCTCGAACTGGGCGCTGCTCGGAGATGGTATTACCTGCAATTCGCAGACGATCGGGGTATTCTTGCCAGGGGCAAGCAACAAGGTGCGAATCTCATCGCCGTGAAGGGTACTGTACACATCTCGCGCCGTGGCATGACCGTCCAGAATGAAGCCGCGGTCGTCCATGGACAGGGGGGCCCAGCGGGCCTGGAGCGGGACGTTTCAAAGCGCGGCTATTTAGCGACAGCTTCACCATACGTCGTCCTTCGTTCATTGGAGTTGCGTTGAGAGAGTCACAGGGCTCGCTATTCGGGGGCCCATAGGAGTTTTACATAGCTGTCGATCCAGCTGAAACGTTCGTCCTGTGCTCCGTCCTCGGCACTCTGCCGGGAAAGTCTTCGCCCCCAATTGTCGCGGGGGTTTCGATCGGAGATGCGACTCGGGCTTGTCTTGCAGGGGTTGTTGCCATGTTCGTGCAAGGTCTTGGTCGTATGTAATGTCCAAATGCGCAAAGGTAAATATGACAGGCAGCCAGTCGAAGGGGAAATGTAAGAAGCTGAAGATTGAGAAAGAAGACTGACGAGGATGGAGAAGGCAGAGATCCCTGACACCTTCACGTCGACGGCAACAGTCACAAGCATTCCAGCAAGGAGAACCCTACTCCGTATACACGCACGTGCACATTAGTCTATGGATTTTCTGTTATCTCACATGGCTACGTGGACTTTCGATCTATTCCATCCACGCGTGTTATGCAAAATGCTCGAATACCCTCATAACGCCGCTCTTATGTGTCGGAAATCTAATCAATACGCCACCTTCAATTTCCATCCTGCGCCGACGATCCGCGCCGCGCTCAACAAGATGCAACTAGCCGCATAGCTGCAGCTTGTAAACACTATCAGACCCCAGTATTCCCCGTCGCACGCGGTAACGAGCTGACCAGCAATCGGAATGCCCGTCAAGCTCCCGAAGCTCACTAGTGTATAGCAGGTCGCATAGTAACGCCCGTAGTTCTCAACTCTGCAGAGCTGTCCCACGCAGACTGGCGTCAATGAGATGCCGGACCCGGACGCGAAGCCGAAGACCAGGGCATAGACAATGATCAACGCGATGCTCCCTCCGGCAGGGAGCCAGAATGCCAAAGTCGACACGAGGCATAAAGCAACGGTGACCACCATGGCATTGAAACGGCCAACCTTGTCTGCTACAAACCCGGGGAAGTAGCGTCCAAAACAAGATCCGACGTTCAAGATGGCAATAATCTGATAGGAGAAGGACGACGAAACGCCGTTGCGCAAGCTGTAGCTGCTGAGATAAGTAAGAGGTACAAAGAGGCCCCATTCGACAAAGAAGACACCAGCGGTAGTAAGTGCGAAGACTGGATCTCTGAAGATGCGAAAGTCGGGCAAGATGTTCTCCTTCGTGGCCTTTCGAGGAGGGAGCCTCGATCTGATGAACAGGTTTGCGACAATGAGCAGCACCAAGTTGATCAAGGCACAGGCCCGAGTGGACCACGCCCACCCAATCTTAGGGAACAGTGCCTGGAGAGTCAGGGGGAAGACGATTCCGCCCATCGAGCCTCCAGCGGCAGCTAAACCAGTTGCTTGCCCCCGTTTTCGCAGGAAGAAATGACCAAGTGCAGCGATGGCGGGCGTAAAGACCAAGGATGTCCCGGTCCCGCCGACCACACCGATGACGATCAAGAAATGCCAGTATTCAGTGCAGACGCCCATGACGAGGTGTGAGGCGAGCATGAGGATGGACCCGGCGAGCACAAGCCATCGAGGCCCTTTCGCATCGAAGATTGGACCGATCTGGACACCGAAGAAGAAGGAGAGGAACGCATAAATGCCGAAGATCCAGCCAACCGTACTCTCGTTTTCCCCCTGAAGCTGATGCGTCGACAGGTAAGCTTGATATGTTCCCAGCGTGTTCATCATGCCTAACGCAGCCATCAGCCCGCAGAAGGAACCCAAGACGCAGAGCCATGCCTCCTTCCCTCCTTCGGGATAGGTATTTCCGTAGGCGTCGGTTGAGACTCGACTCGCTGTGACCAGATTACTGGGAATTTGGTTCAATGTCGGCACCGAGCTCGAAGACGAGGACGACCTTGGTCGAGAGGTGCAGATTTCCTTGTCAAGAACTCCATGACTGTGATGGCTGTGCGGCCGTTCAAGGTCACAGCAGTCAGGACCTGTGAAGGGCGCAGCGGCTATCGATGGAGCGGCGGATGTCCCCTTGCGAGACCCAAGGCTTGGGCGCCTCAGCTGGGACTTTTCTTGGGCGTCAGCTGACTGCTTTTCTGCAACGATCGCAGACCGCTTCTCGTTGTCTTCTCCTTCCATGCTTGAGTCGGTGGATGCATCGAGCGTTTGTTCACTGCCTTTCCACGCAAACTTCTCTGATCCCACTCCCGTGCTTACCGGCGATGTGGCAGGTGGAGGACGTGTTGTGTTGGAGTGCCACCATGAGTTCCGCCGATGATCGTCATGGGTCGGCGCTGGTCCTGACGGATAAGGCTGCGGTGAGAGACCCTGATCTCGCGCTGGACGGCTTGCGTCCTGGGCCAGCGTTGCTTGGCCCAGGGGAGTTCCGGAGTCTTGGTGTTCTCTCGCTTGCTTCGAGGTCATGGACAAGTAATATGCAGACAAGGAGGAATTTGCTAAAGCCGAACACGAGGTGACTTGGGCTTCCGACTGTGGCGTATGTGATTGCGGGAAGACTCTCTGACCAAACCTCGACCTATTCCTGTATATATATGAAGTCTTGCGCTTCCCGGAGGGTAGAATGAACACAGCCCGCACAGCACAGCAGATGACCAGCAAGAAAGAAAGACGAGAGGGACGGCGACCGCCATCGTACCAGTCGGTGGAGGAGCAGCCAGAAATTTCACCATGTTGAATCGGTCATGTCCGTTCAGCTACGGAGCTCCATACCGTCGTGCATCCTTTTAACACAGGCAGGACGGGGTAGTAGGCCAGGGACAGTGAGGGATCTGCCGGGGAACACCCCCAAAGAGATGGCGTATCTCGTACATGGCTTCGTACATTGCCCGTACACAGTACGTACATGGTTTCGTACATTATCGAAGCGGTATTAAACTCCGAACCCACATGACTCGTGGTTAGCCACGCGTTCTCGCTGCCGCATGTCGAATTCCCGGAGAGCAAAAGATGCCTATACACCGCCTAACTAAAGTACATCACGACCGCTACCACATGGCACCCACATGGCAAGCTTATTGGTGACAGAGGGCGCAATGGATTTCATTATTCATTTCTAGACATCTTTAGGCTGGGTGTATTTCTTGTGCATTCCTTGTTTCTAGCCTATGGCCTTCGACGCACAAGTAAAAGTCGGATTATCGACAGTTCGCTCACATCATTCATTGCTCTCTTGCTCAGCAACCTGAAATTGGCAGAATCAAGTCAATTCCTCACTTCGACTGGACCCAAGGCATCTTACCCAGCCAAGCAAAGTATGCCCAAGTCTGGCATTCAAATGGTTTCGCCGTTGTATCGACCGACCATCATGGCTCACCGAGCACTGATCTCCTCTCTCAGCTTCGATGGCTCGTTCGGGTTTACGTTCCCTATCTTGTTTCTTCTGCCCAATAGTGTCGAGTTGTCCAGGCTGAGCTCGAACGGTTGCTTGTTTCTCTTTCCGACGCTCTGTTTGGCCGCAGCAGCGACAGCCGCGCTATGTTGCCCGTAGCCTCTCTGTTCTTGCTGACTTGCATGGTGTTGGCTTCTAGCCGGGGCAGCTGCGGCTCTTGCCTGTGCTGCAGCCGATGGTTGTGATCCAAGGTTGGTCGAACGCATCTTGGCCTCCATACTCGAAACGTCAGCCGGCTGCTGACTCTTTGGCACCTTACTCGAGACCTCTTCCTCGTCCTCTTCATCATCGTCGTCTTCGTTGAGAGGATTCAGACCGCCTGGTATACCGGCTCCACGGTAACCTTGCTTGAAGTTCTTTCTTCGCTTGGCTTCCTCTTCCTGTCTGTGCACGGCGTAGCCAACGTCAAATACTTCACGCAGATTGACTGCACCAGGAGACCGGAAATCTGCTCGCCTCCCTCCTGGAGTGAGAGTCCCAGGGAATTCTGCGGGAAGATTCGCGGCTTGAGCCTGCTCTTTCTGCCGGACGTACAAGGGTGTGGCCAAAGGCGGGGCGTCCGCGGCGGCGTACGTGGGCTCAGTGGTGTTCCGGATCCACGGGTGATTCAGAAATTCTTCAATGGTGTAGCGTCTGTCAGGGTTTACAGTCAGGAGGTGAGAGACCAGGTCTTGCGCCGACTTTGAGATATCGTCCCACCAAGGTGACAAGAATGTGTATTGACCACGGGCAACCTTTTCAGTCAAGACCTGGATCGATTCGTCGTAGAAAGGTGGAAATCCGCATAGAAGAGTGTAGAGGACACAGCCCAGAGCCCACATGTCGACTGACTTGCTGTATCGCTCATCCTTGACAATCTCGGGGGCCGTGTAACCCACCGTTCCGCATGGCGTCATGGTTTGGGAATCCCAGATAACCTTGGACAGACCGAAATCGGCAATCTTGATCTGACCAATACCGCCCGCACCGACGCCTGGGATGAATTCTCCCTCGTCGGCTTTGTCTTCGTCGTCTGGGCCTTTCGGTTTGGGATTGCGCGTCGGTACGAAGGGTATGGGATAGAACAGTAGGTTTTCTGGTTTTATGTCCCTGGGTTGAGATCAGTTGCGCTCCTGTTACATGTCTCCAATCTGTCACGCTTACCGGTGAACGACGCCCGTCTCTTCATGCAGGTAATGAAGTGCCTTTGCCACTTGGGTAATGACATGACGGCTAAGATCTTCGCTGAAGTATGTCAGGCGGACGATTTGATGGAACAATTCACCACCAGGGCAAAGTTCGAGAACAATGTAGTAGTATTGGCGTGACTCGGAAAAGTCAATGAGCTTGACGATGTTGGGATGGTCCAGCTGACGCATGATCTGGACTTCTTTCAGGATATTGGCTCGCTATGAACACTCGTCAGTCTACACTCGGCCAAGCATGGAGTGGCTCGATCATGTTGATTGGAGAACAATGGACGAGGTCAACTAAGGTTCAGTTAAAAAGGATGTGCGCACCTCCACGCCCTTTGGTTGTTTTTTGAAGTTCGGATGAAGGTGAGCATCGCCCTAGGTTAGAAGAGGTTGGTTCTGAAGCTGTCTTGAAGGAGTGGTGGATTTGAAGAGAAGAGGGGGTTTGTAGAATACTAGGAAGGCTCGAAGCTGACGCAGGGGAAGGAACGGGAAGGGAAGGGGAGGGGTGGAAATGGGAGGTCAAGAACATGGCAGTGTTCCCTGGCTCCAGGCATACCTGATTCGAGTTCATTTCGAACTTGCGGACGACCTTGATGGCGACCTCGTCTCCAGTCTGGGTGTCCCTAGCTTTGTAGACGTTGCTGAAAGCGCCGTCGCCCATCTTTTCTACCAGTATGAACCGTTCGAGTCCCGGATATCTCGGCATCTTGCTGGCCCTCTCTCTCTCCTCGGCGACGATGGCTTGGATGTCGGCCTGGTTGATCTTCTGGTTCTTGCCTGCGACATGGGCTGCGGCCCCGCCTGCCTGAGCCGCGACATTGCGGTTGTCACCGGCGGCGACGGAATACTGTCCTGGTTGAGGCTGTGCGTCCTGGTGCGGTTGTCGTTGGTTATGGCCTAGCGGATCGCTGACGGCGTGGTGGTACTTCTGCTGTTGAGCGTGGACTGGAGAGACGTTGGTGGTGGGCTGATCGCGGGGAGGTTCGGCAACGCGGGCTTGCTTGCCATGACGTATGAAATTCTTGAGATTCTGAATGGTGCTCATCTTAGCAGCGGTACAGAGCGCGTGAGTTACAAGAGGAGGAAGAGTGAGAAGGGCAGGGCCGAAAGACGTCGAGCTGCCGGGCTGGTGACAAATGAGGGCGAGTGCGAGGTCGAGATAGAAGAAAAGTTAATGGGGTAGGAGTGGCAGTAGCGGCAGGATCAAGCGGGCGAAATGGTCCTGGGCCCAGATCTCGTATTGCAGGATGAATGCGGCGGATGATTCAGCAAGCAGGCCAGGTAAGCTAAGCGTAAAAGGTGGTGTGCCAATTGCCGGTCGGGGTTAGAGATGCAGATGCAGTGCAGCACTGCAGCTCATACAGGGGAGACAAAAGGATAAAAAGACCTTGGTTGGACGAGAATGAAGAGAGAGAAGAGTCGAAGATGAGAGATGGGAATCTCGACATCAAGTTTCGGCCGCAGTGACGCCGTTTGGGCGCGAGAAAGCAGTGACGAGGCATGAACGCAAGCATGGCGGATGGGCAATCGTGGAGGGGCATGGGGGGCTTAGCGGCCATGATATCATAGGGGATCGACGACCACTTACAGGTGGGTTTGGCGGCGGATCCACGCCTAAAGATGCGCCTGCTGAGGACGCGTTCGGGGCTCTGCGGGCGGGCGTCCTGGTGGCCCTCTGGCCGTCTCCGCGACGTCGCGCTTCGTCTGCTGTCGGTGCCGAAGTTGCTGTCCAAAACGGTGTCGTAGCTTGCTGCTGATGCTGATCTGCTTGGGTCATCTGCAGGGTTCTGCAAGCCGATGCGGCATCGCGAGATCTCGCTGTTTCACCTGCGTTCCCGCGCCACTCAGGTGCCACGCAAGGCTGGGTCGTGGTATTTGCCATCTCGTCAACCTGCATTCCTCCGTCGACGTCATCAGGCCGTCTCCTGACTGGCGCAGGCCGGCGATCTCTTCGAATCTGGTGGATTTGGTGCACCGTTTGTCCTGGTCCCAGGGGGCGGCTTGCAGAGCTCCGTCGGTTCGACATGATGATCGCATGCCGTTTGCTCACAAGATTGGCGCCATTCAATCTCCCAAACGCTTTGGGAGAGCACCGGGCTTGATAGTCTTGGTAATGTTGGTCGAGCTCCCAGTCAAGGTCCAAATCCAAGGCATGGTTCATGTTGAATTTGGTGTTCAGGAGGCTGTTTGGGGTGTAGAGCTCGTCGTCGACAATGATGGGCTCCATGATCGCGGGCACTGGAGGTGGATGCCAGTCCGGTATTTCGTGATCCTCCACGCTCCACGAGTCGAAGTATGACTCCCAACTATCCGTCGGGGTGACGGTCTTGGTTGAGGATGCTATGGACGAGTTTCGCTGGTGGCAGGCCATAGTTGGCAGGTGCTGTTGACAGAGGGAATACTCGTACACAGTAATTAGGAATACAGAGCCTACACAGTAGGGTAGGTCTGCCTCACATGGGGGATAGCGAGAACAATGGACGAGGCACGAAGTGTGCAAAAGATTCAATCGCATCAGGATGGGGATCTATCATTCTTTTGTGAGCACCCGCCTGTTCCCGTACGCGGTCCATGCTGGTCGGCTTCGATCACGCTGTATGATGGCTTGATGATCCGAAATCACCGATGGCCATCAGCTTACCATACCCCGGGCCCCTCCCGCAGCCTGTCCACGGCATGCTACTCGCTCAGACTATCTGGCACTGACTTGAAGTTAGCCCAGGATTGCAGAAACAGACCTCGCATGATGGTGTTACCCCTGAGCGAGAGGCAGGTCATGCATGCTCGCTCGACTGGGTTCGGCATACCAATGCAAGGGGAGCAGAGCTCTCCCGAGCCCATACCAACTTTTTGCCAGGCGCTAGCACCATGAAAGCTCCCCACTCGTTGCTTCTTGTAAGGCTCAAACACGTCACCACCGGTGCTGTGCCGTGCCTGTCTCGCCGCCGATTCGACCATGCCTTGCTCTGGCGCGGCAAGACGACAAGGCCACGAACCCTATCAGTCCTATACATCCTGCATTGTCTAGGTCCCGGCGCCAATCGATATACTCGTCCTGCGTTGTCCGTTGGACCGCCGTTACTTTCCAGCACCGAGCCGCACTCTTGCTGAACTACTTTGACATCATGAGAAGAGATAAAAGGGGCTTGCTCGACCAGGTACCCCCTCCTCCTGGCACGAAGCCGAGTCGCGGTGGACGCGGCGACGGCACTCTCTCCAGCGAAGAGGTGGCTGTTGGAAAGGGGGCCACTAAACCTGCCCATGACCGCTTCCGCGCGCCCATCAGGCAACTGCCCAGAATCCCACGCTGCCTACTATGGACAGAGCGTGGCTCGTGACTCTGGGTGTCGGTAGAACAATTTCGTTTCGATGGTCTCATGACACCTGGAGATTTGGGCCTCTGCGGCTCGAATCTCCCGGATCCTGGCTTTTCGTACTCCATGCACACGTGTCGTAGCAGATCTTGTCGCATGACAGATGCTATACCTGTTCCTAGCTTGTGGCCTATCTCACTCCAATCTCAGCAACGGTCACGCCGGCAACGCCGGATCTGTCGAGATCCCGGAGATTTGACAGTTGACGCGGACCGTGCCCTTCCACCTTTCGATTTGAGGCGGCTCTCGCGTCGACGCTTCTGCATGCGTGCGCCGTACCTTGCATAAGTTCGCTTGGACGAGGCGGAACGACTACCCAGAAAAGACATCACCCATCAGCACACCACAGACGATCGGTCCTCTCGGTCTTGACTTGCTTGCAGCCGAGCTGTCAATAGTTCCTTTGGGCTGGTTGGCGCTCGAGCGCGGACCTCATCTTCGTCAGATGGAATGCTTCCAGTCGTCAAGTGTCTTCACCAATTCTGGTAGAAGATCTACAGCACGACACCGTGCACTGCATCGACACCTGGATGACGCAGAGCATGGTTTTCCGAATGTGTCAGAAGAATTTACCTTCCTGTCAGTTGCGTTAATCGGGGTAGCACCATTCGCAAACCTTTCCTGCATTCTGATGGAATGAACAAGGCACTGAGATGCCAAACGTAGAAATGCAGGAGGTCAGGCAGGGAGTCGCCCTGGTCGCCTGTTTACCCGTCAGACAGCAGAAGACGAGTGTAACTCCAAGCAGGGTTGTCGCTGTTTACACCATAGAGACTCAGGTGAGCTCCGTTGGCCTTATCGTGATACACAGTATGGACCCGAACTGGGTCGACATGACACGTCCGAGTCCTGCATCATGACCTCAAGGAAGGCTTACGGACCGTCTCATGGTGGAATGAAGGGAGTCCCAGAGTTTTTGGCAGCTGCTGTTGGTCGTCAGCACAGGTACATACTCCCTTCACACTCGCCAACCTCATCCGAGACGGACATCGACTCCCATCCAGCGGCCACGGTGATGGTGCTACAACCCTTGCCGGCCTCCAAGTAAAGTTTCCGGCACCTCCTGTTTAGGCTCTCCTCCTCACGACTGCACAGACATTCTACGTACCTAACGTGGTTCGTGCCCAGAGCAATGCTCGTCCAAGGTGGCATTGACCACCCCATAATCTCCGCGCAGTAAAATCGAATACCTCGTATTCAGAACCTCGATTTTGGTCGGAACCAGGAACAGCTTCACCCTGCTTCGTGGATGTGGTCGCGTTTGGTGCCATAACAGAAAGATGGGATCAGGAAGGGTGAGGGGGTTCGAGAGGCGTTCGATCTTATGGCTCTGATATCGCTCTCCCTACGTTCGCAGGGATGGAAGATTTCTACAAGCATAGGTGGAGACGGAACGCTACTACGATACAAAAGATTGAGAACGAGCACATGAATCGCGAAGCTTCGACGATTTGCGCCTTGCACAGGTCCAGTGCAAGAATCCAGTTTCGATCTGTTGAACATCTCCGAGGAAAAGGCTGAGGGCATCCAAGATATATTGTTGCAAAGCTCTTATGTGACTTTTCAGCACCTGTGCTTTCCCATCCGTCCTCTCTTTCCAACAGGGCCGAATTCGTGCCCGAGCATCTGCTGCAATCCATCGCTTCGCCCTTCTTCTCTCGATATGCATATGTGGCCGGTAGCGTCATCACTCATTCATTATAAAATTTCTTCATAATCAAATGCAGGAACAAGTTGACGTTAACCCTTAGCGCTCCTTCGAAAAACTCCATGAACTGCGTGTTGTTGAACTGCGCCTGCAACAAATCGTCCAATGGAATCTGTGCATTTGCACCCGGGATCATCATGTTACCTGAACTGCCATCGATGGTGAATACACCAACTGCATTAGAGGAGATGGTGAGGTCCACGCGATCCCATTGTCGTTCGCTATAGCCCTGCCATTGAACCAGGACACCTTTGTCGGCGAGGGTGCGGGCTGAGTACTTGTAGGAGCCGAATTTGAAAGAGCGGCCGGAGCGTTGCAGTTCGCGTTCGTGTTCCCATTGCTTGCTGAAGGGCATGACAAAGCGCTTCTTGCCTTTCTTGTTTTGAAGAGTTACCATGGCCTGCTCGATGTAGTCGTTGTAAGTCTTCAGCTGCTGTTCCAGATACACCGCTTGTTCATTAAGCCGTTCCAATGTGGTTTTGACATTTTCCAATTCTCGTTGACGTTGAAGTCGACGGCGGTGCTTTGTTCGAATGTCTACCGCAATGGCGTTGAGCAGGTCTTGGTATTGATTTGCCCTGGTCAAGCGACCGATGGATTCGAGCTGCAGAATGTTTTCCAAAGCAATGCGCTTGAGATCAGGATAAGACAATGAGAGGATGTCAAGGTGGTTGTTAGCATCAGCATATGCGCCGCGTCGCCCGCTGCCCGATCGAAGCTCTTCCGCGACCAAAGCTTCCCACTTCTCTTCATCTTCTGGGTTGATGGGCTTCACTAGGATCTCGAGGAGGTTAGCTCCTGACTGGATTCGGATAATGTATAGAACGCATCGCTTGGTCTCGGTCAACAAAGCCTTGACATCCGCATCAGGATCCTCTGAGTTCAGCAACTTGGGAGTCAAGGTGAGACTGATTTCGCTGGAGCTGACACCTCTAAGTTCACTCTCGTTGCTCTGGACGCTACCCAGTTCTCTCAAGATGTCACGAAGCACGTCGTCTTGGCTCGGACAAATGGCGCTGATCTCTTGGGACAATAGTTTGTGGATGGAGAAGATATCGGCCATTTTGATGTACAGTGTTGGTTTCGTTTTGGCATACAGGTCGTTGAACTCATCAATGTCGTAGTGCTCCTCAGCTGGCGGTATAGAGATGACTGTAAACTGTTAGTTGCAGGCAGATCAAGAAGGAGTATGAGACTCACCGTGACTCCAGATTACCGCAAACCGTTCGATTGACTCCCGTACGTAGTTGTTGAGTGGTTGAAGGTAGATATTATCGCCTCCAAACTCGCGACCCGTAGCAGCTTGGTTCAAGACTTTGGCGATCTCGCCCAGATTGCGTTTCTGCTCTTGAGTCATTGCGCGATCAGCAACGCCGAACTTCTCTGGTTCCAGAAGAGCAGGCTGAAGATAGTGACGCCATAGCCACTGGCCAACTAGCTGAAGGACAAAATCCGCTTCCTCGCCCGGAAATCGTGCCACCAGATGTTGATACGTCTGCTGGACGACAAAGCGGACACCAAAAGGCATCCGGTGCAAACAGTCCTCCAAGCAAAGGAAGAATTGATCGGTTATATCGCGAAGGTCTTGCATATGTGCGATGAACGTTGCTCTCGTCTCTGGATCTCGAATAGCTACTTCTCTGGGCACGTTGGGATCCCTCCGACTCCGCTGGCCCGTCCTCAGTTCTTCGTTGTTGATTGCTGATATGTAGATTTGAAGAGGGTCGCTCTCGAGATCAAGCGAAGCATTGTCGATGATGTTTTCCTTCACAACCGCACCAAGGACATCTCTCAAGAACTTGCGGTCCCGGGGTGATTTGCTGTATGCCGCAAAAAGCTTGTTTGAGAAAGAATTTGTTCGGAGATAGTCCTGGAATGATATTGAACAGTCGACCTCCTCTTTGATGGATCGTGCGATCAGCTTGACCAGGTAGTACTCCTCCCTTCGCTTTTGAGCATAGCCGAATATGCCCATGGCTAGATGCTTGATCCGATCGCATTCCTTCTCAGCCGTGGCGTGTTCCCGGATGCGCTTGAGCAGTCTGGAAAGATACTGTGGTTGTGTCTGGAGCAAGAAGAAGAGCTCTTGGTAATGTTCCAGTTTCCGACGTGATGTTTTGTTGAGCGCCTTCAGGTCGAACGGGTCCTTTGAGGCAATGTCAGAATTTGGCAGGAGAGCACCCACGTGGCCACCAAAGTGTCTTTGATGCTTTACCACTTCATCCAGCGTGATCTTGTTCTTCACCAGTAATGCGATCTTGATGTCTAGCTGGGTGATATACTGGTCGGCAAGTTCGTTCTGTCGCACATGCTGCACGACTGTTTTTCGAAGTCGCTCAAATTCCACTTCTTCCTCAAAGTCGAAATCACTGTCGTTTAGGAGGTGGACAAACCCTTTCAAGGTCCCAACAGGTGGGTTCTTGCCTGCGGTCAGGCTCTTGTATGCTTTGCCCTGGATTTTGGCTCGAACCACACTTTGAATTTTGACTACCTTTTCCATGTTCTCCTTGTAGTGACGCTGCTTCTCGGCAAAGCGGGTTCGAATTGCTCTTGCCCTCATAATTGCTTGGAGCTCGATAATTGATCTCTCGTTGGCTTCCAACTCGCTCAATAAGTCACCGACACGGGCGCGGCACAGCATGGCGCGTGACAGAGCTTGTAGTTGGATGACTCCATCTTGAGTGTCGTCAAGATTTCCCAGCAGTTCTGCAGTCTGGATACGAAGGAGCGCGCCCCTTCCTAAGGCCTGCAGATGACTGATGCGAGGAATATGTCTGTCCAACAATTGTCGTTGAGTTCGCAATTGATGCCTCAGAATATACCCGCGGACGACAGCTTGGAGAAAGATGGTGGAGGTTGACTGTTGGAGCAGAGCAAGCTTGAACGAGTTGTACTTTTCCCTCGCATTCGCCCCCCTCAAGTTTGCTTGAAATCTGCTGATAGACGACGAATGTGACTTCAGGGACTGTTTCAACCGCGTAACGTCCGCACGTAGTTGACCGGCTCGAATGAGGGCCTGTAAGCCGATCCATTTTGGTGCCGACTTTTGAAGAGCTTCGTGCAGTCTGCTATGAGCCGACCTGGCAACGAAAGCACGTGCCGCAGCTTGGAGTTGAATAACAGACCGAGCATGTCGTTCGAGAGATGCATGATCCCTTTGCAGCTGCCTTCGAGTCAACATGCCACGAATATTGGCTTGGAGGCTGAGGACTTCCTTCTCCGCTGCCCTGGTCTCTTCATACTGATCGAATGCATCCTGCCTAGAGAGTGCCCCGCGGATTGCTGCTTGTAGGTTGCGAATTCCAGCGTCGTGTTTGTGGAACTGAGACTTGAGAGTGCGAGTGTCAGCGCGGACTCGGCTAGCTCTGAAGAGACTTTGAAGTTTGAGAATCTCGCCTTCTTTCGATTTCCATGCTTGTTTTGTTCCGCAATGTCTTTGTCGTGCCAGAAACCCGCGAGTGGCAGCTTGGAGGCTTGTAGCAAAACGCTGCATATCAAGCCTGTAACCCACAATTTGCCGTGACCAGTCACCACGAATGCGAGACTGAAGATCGGCAATAATGGGCTCATTGTCCCATAGCTGCTGCATCATGTCGCCCAGCTGCAGTCGGACCAGAGCACCCCTGACTTGGTTCTGGAAATCCACAATGACGGCTTCTTGCTCACGCAGCTCTCGCTCTATCCGCTCATCTTCGGACTCCACTGGTTCTGGCTCAGGCTCTGGCTCGCCGAAGCTTGCACCCATGCTTGAGAAACTTGGCATACTGACGCCAGCTTTGTCCAGTCCTCGCTGTGTCTGCTCCAATTCATGGTGCTCGAATTCGAGTTGTCCAACCAGATTTCCGATGCGAAAGTCCACCATGCCCTTACGATAGAGGAGCCATGACAGTGCATGAATGCAATATATGACTTTGGGAATGTTTTTCTTCTCGTACAGGTCGATAAGCTCGAATCGGAAGAGGTCAGGTAGGCCCACGTCTTCCAAAAACCGGAAGAACAGGACGATATTGTCAGAGTGCTTGAATTGGAGTTTTGGGTTGCGGAAGATTCTCAGCTTCTGATCAGGATGAAAGGCCTGGACGATTTCGGCCAAAGTTACGCCGTCACGAAGCGCCTCCTCCAGCTGTACGATAGGCGGGATTTGTTTGTCGATGACATCTTCAATCCACTCCTTCGCTTCGCCGATGTGGCAGAGGTATTCGTATGCCTGTAGGAATTGTCGTTGTTTGTCCATCCAGTTCCTGTCACCCCATCCATAGCTCTTAGCTGCTGGCCGCCCACCGTGTACCACAGAATCGGTACGCTTCAGTTGTCTTCGATTGTGCAGCCCAACGACAGATTGACCTGGTCGGGAGATTCCAAACTCTTCGGCCTCGCCATTTTGTGCAAATCTAGATAGCGTCTTCAGATAGCCCGTTGAAGACTTCTGCAGGTCCTGGAGATCGGGCGCTTTGAAAGTGTTGCTGTGCGGGCTCGTTATACTATGATGAAGATGAGGCCTTGCCTTATGAGAGTCCTGATGATGCTCAAGGAGGTGTTGCTTGTCAACAAATATGTCTTCGGAATGGGTCTGAGGAAAGTGGTCGATCGTTTGGGCGCGAGCATGGTATGGACTCGGTCGTCTTGCGCTAGGAGTTGAGGAGGGTGAAGGAGCTTGAGGCAGAGGTCGAAGCGATTGACGGATATTGCGGTACACATGATCGGGACTGTTCTCGACACTACTGCTTCCAGCGTAAGCCTTTGTAGGTGTCATGTCCTCGATTGTGGTGTTAGAACGTTTATGTCCTGGAGATCCTCTTGAGTAAATGCTGGAGTTGGTCGAAGTCACAGTGCTCGTTCGGCTTGGCAAGAAGGCGCTGGATGCCGCTGAATAGACTGATGACGCTGTAGATGCGACAGAGGTTTGTCGATGAGGTAGGCTGTATTGATTGTCCGTCTGTGCGCGGCGGAGAGCGTAGTGCGACATCCCGGGGAATAGCTAGAGGCCAAGTGATCTGTGAAGAAGTCGAGTGGGATCGTAGTCGAGGCTTGCGGCGCATCCTCAATTGCTTGTGCTCGGTGTCATCCAGGTCGTCAAGAAGGCCGCATCAGCTTGTTGAACATACAGCTTCAGCGGACAGAAGAGGAAGTCCAACGATTCAGTGGCCCTCTAAGGTTTGAGTAGAGTTTTTGCAACGGTCTGTAAGGCATCCACTGGGTTGAAAAGGTAGATATCACGTTTGAAGTCCTGAGTGACGGAAAACTTGCAGTTGACGCTGAAGTCGTCCATATCGGGTAAAACAAAAACATTGGCCTCAGCCCCACCTTGGTCGTATCACAGCGACTCAGGGTGCGGCATGGTACGGCGAAGCAATGCGGCGATGAAGCGCAGTGGAACGCGCCTCCCTGGTGCTAATTCGCATGACTCGGCCACCAATGACAAAGTGAGCTAGCCGAGCTTGGGAATAGTGAGATCCACTTTCTCTCCGCCTTTTCTTTGTGAATTCTCGAGGCACAGGAATTTTTCCCTTTTTCTCTTTTTCTCTGGCAAGGCTCTCGCTGAACCCCAGCAGACGTTTTTCCAAGTGTCTGCTGAAAGTCGTTACTGCTTCGAATTCCCCAAGATGCCTATTGCCAATGGAGAGGTCGCCAACGGCTCTCCTATCAGCCGCAAGGTGGAGGTGCTCGACTATCGCAAGGCGCTACAAGTCCTTGAGTCCGCCTACGAGTCTCGCGATGGGCTTGACATAACGAGTCTTCTCGACTCGAAAGAGAATGGGGCTTTGACATACAATGACTTCCTTGTTTTGCCTGGTTATATCGGTACTTAAGATTTCATTCATGCCCGTCGCGGAGTCGCGTGTCTAACCAACATGCACAGGCTTCGCCGCGTCTGAAGTGGCGCTCGATTCTCCAGTCACAAAGAGAATCTCCCTCAAGACCCCTCTCCTCTCATCGCCCATGGATACCGTCACAGAAGAGTCAATGGCCATACACATGGCTCTGCTGGGTGGTTTAGGTGTTATCCACCACAACTGCTCAGCTGATGAACAGGCCGATATGGTCAGAAAAGTGAAGAGATACGAGAACGGTTTCATTTCAGACCCGGTCGTCCTCTCTCCGAAGACTACCGTAGGCGAAGCCAAAGAGCTCAAAGAGAAATGGGGTTTCGGCGGCTTCCCTGTTACAGGTATGTGGACAATCTAGCCGCTCATCTCTCGTTACAAATGATGTCCAAACACATTTACCCTTTTAAACTTTCGTTCATCCGCAGCATGAACTTGCAATGGGGAATTATGGAGATTTCTGTCTGAAAAAAACTGCAATTCGCTATGCCTAGCCGTCAATGTGCCAATCCGAGCAACAGCTGACAAATTTGCAGAGAGCGGTCAGCTTCATTCCAAACTGATTGGTATCATTACAACGAGAGACATCCAGTTCCACCCAAATGCGGATGACTCGGTGACGGAGGTTATGTCGAAAGACTTGATTACCGCTCCATCTGGTACCACCCTCGCAGAGGCTAACGACGTGCTTCGGAAGTCAAGAAAAGGCAAGTTGCCCATCGTCGACGCGGAAGGCAACCTGGTTTCTCTTCTCTCACGCTCCGACCTCCTCAAGAACCTCAACTTCCCCCTCGCTTCTAAATTGCCACACTCCAAACAGCTTATTGCAGCCGCCGCGATCGGTACTAGACCAGATGACAGGAATCGGTTGCAGAAACTGGTGGATGCCGGCTTGGACATTGTGGTTCTGGACAGCAGTCAAGGCAACAGCATGTACCAGATCGACATGGTCAAATACATCAAAGAGAATTACCCACAGCTCGACGTCATCGCTGGAAATGTGGTGACTCGGGAACAAGCTGCGAATCTGATCGCTGCTGGCGCCGATGGCCTGAGAATTGGCATGGGTAGCGGGAGCGCTTGCATCACGCAAGAGGTCATGGCTGTAGGTCGTCCCCAAGCTACAGCTGTGCATGCTGTGGCATCTTTTGCTGCAAAGTTCGGCGTCCCTTGCATCGCCGATGGTGGCATCCAGAATGTCGGGCACATCGTCAAAGGCATTGCAATGGGCGCCTCAACGGTCATGATGGGTGGTCTCCTGGCTGGTACCACTGAATCACCAGGTCAATCATACATCAATCGAGAAGGTAAGCTTGTCAAGGCTTATCGTGGGATGGGCAGTATCGATGCTATGGAGGACAAGAAGGCTGGGGGTGGAGTCAAGAACTCCAAGACCAATGCAGGAACAGCACGCTACTTCTCGGAAGGTGACCGACTGCTGGTCGCGCAAGGTGTTTCTGGGTCTGTTCTGGATCGTGGTTCTGTCACCAAGTTCGTGCCCTACCTATTAGCTGGCCTCCAACATTCTATGCAAGACATTGGCGTCAAGAGCCTAGTTGAGCTTCGGGACGAGGTAAACAGCGGCAAGGTGCGATTTGAGCTCCGGACTGTCAGTGCTCAAGCAGAGGGGAACGTCCATGGCCTGGACAGCTTTGAGAAGAAGCTCTACTCTTGAGCAGGCACATATAGCGCGATTGAGGATGACTCCATGATTTTTTGAAGACCCGAGTCGACACCGACATGGGCGTTCTGATGGCGACGGGGCGTTGCAGACGGCGGAATTTTGATATCAATGCTTGATCAATAGCGTACGAATTGGATGATTGTCTCCGAACAATATCACGATACTCTCTGTACATAGACTCACGAATCTCCTGCGAGCACTGCGATTGGAGCACAAACTTCATTCGACGAATTCAATGGACCTCGGCCCGCTCGCCGGCCCACGTCGTGTGGAGATTCTGCTCCTCGCCGAGTTCCAACATCTAACAGCCGAACGTGCGATTACTGCTCCATCCCTCAGTATCACCACCAGTCGCTCTTTCGTTCAGCCTCGGGTCATTCTCTCTGCTTTGTCGTCTAGCAGTATCTCGATGCGGGTATTGTCCTCGACATGCACATATAGATCGTTGCCCGCGTTGTCCCCAACTTTCTTTCCTTACCTTATCGGAGCCGGAGACTCGAGTCGTGTTGCCCTGGTCTCGAGCCCAGGCTCATGTGTGCAGATACCAAATCATAGATCTTCCTCATCCACTAGAAAGTTCAGCCAACAACTCTGCTCCAGGCGAGGACCCTTGCCTCAATTTCTTACCCAGATCGACGACCGCACGTCCTTGTCACTCCGCAGTCGCGTCAGGCCTACAATCTGCGCCATGTCCAAACCTTCCCCGAAGCCCAAGTTCGAAGTGCGTGGCTACTCGGAACACAAAACTCCCGCTCCGGCCTCCCCCTCCGCCAGTACGATCCTAGTCTCGCCGTCCAACGAAATCCTGCTTCTTCACCGCGTCCAAACCTCCAGCGCCTTCCCATCGGCACACGTCTTCCCTGGCGGAAACCTCGAGGCCTCTGATGGTGAGGTCCCTTCCGATCCGAAGGATGTGAACCGACATAAAGACTCGCTCGCCTACCGCACCGGCGCCATCCGCGAACTCTTCGAAGAAACAGGAATCCTCCTTGCTCGGTCGTCCAGCTCGGCAAAATCCCTCCTGCGGATCTCGCGCGACGCGCGAAAGGCCGGCAGGCAAGCGGTCCACAGCAACAGGCTAAAATTCAAGGAATGGCTTGCCCAAACTTCCGGGCCGGACGCCGTGCTGGATACAGATCGTCTGCTACCATTCACGCACTGGGTGACCCCGCCCAACGTGCCCAAGCGATTCACGACCCAGATGTACGTTTACTTCGTCGACCCGTCTGAGCAGGGAAACCCGAGTGTTCATGCGACGGCGGACCGGATTGAGACGATGGCGCCGGAGTGGCGGAGGGCGAGGGATTGGTTGAGTATGGCACGCAGTGGGCAGATCATCCTTTTTCCGCCGCAATTTTTGCTGTTGCATCTCGTGTCTGAAATACTAGATGGGCCGGGGGATAGCAAAGAGGAGGTGCTCAGGAAAAGGGAGTTGTTGAAGAGGAGGATTGAAACGGAGGGCTATCCCGTGCCGTGGAAGGACAAGTTCATCAGTCCGATCGGGATGAGCTTCGGGGAGGATGGACGGTCAGTCCTGGCGCTGGATAAACCTGGCCCAGAGTTGAAAGACAGCGGACTGAAGGGCGATGAGGAGTATGTCGTGCTCGTCAAGTTCAACAAGGAGGGCCCGAGAGATGTCGAGGTTGGGTTGAGGAAAGAAGTCCTCAAGGAGAGGAGAGAGAAGGGCGTGGACAAGGCGAGCAAATTATAGAATCCGGTGGAGTAAGGATACCATATACTGTGTAGATGTGCATTGGAGCAATCGAAATGAGATATCATATTACCATCAGTCATGGTGAACGCCGCCAGCGCCGTCGCTAATTCGAGCAGGAATCATCTCTCATCAAATCAGTCTCACCTCGGCTGGTTTTTGCTCAAAACCACGATAGCGTCCACAGAGCCGGCAAGTTGGGCCACCGCTCCTGCCATCTAGCCAGTATCTCGGGCACCTTCTCATCGAAGCTCATTCTCGCAGCTCCCGTGCCGTTCTCCCAACCCTGGGTACCGCTAATCTTCCGCTCCTGGATCGCTGCTTCATTCAGACTGTCTGCCAGCTCCAAGATCGCACCCCCTCCCACCAGCGCTTCCTCGTGATTGTCTTTGATGTCAATGTTGAATACATGTACCGGTCTGTTCAAGGGCGCCCCGCGATCTAAGAGGTTGTCCACGACGGCATCCCAGCACCGTTCCTCACATGTGAAAATCACGTCGACCACACCACCTTCTGCACCCATGGCACCTTTATCCCCGCGATTCAGGGCTTCCATCCTCGGATTTCCGATGACCCAATCGTGAAATCGTTCCGGGCCCCACTTGATCTTGCGGTTCCGATCGAGCATATTCAAGATGCCATTGTTCCTGTACAGCCGCGCATCCTGCGCATTAAGCTCCTCGTACATCTTGGTGTAACTAGTTGTGTTGAAATTATACACCTGCGGCTGCGAGATGCTAGGCCCAGGGAGGCGGACGTAGGATCCCGTGCCAAAAGAGATTACAGGATAGGCGTGCGAGGACGTGGAGAGGCGGAGATGTGCCTCCATAGAGCGGTTGTTGTTCGAGGCGCAGACGGTGCAGAATTTCAACTTGAAGGGGACTTCGTCGGTGGAGGGAGGTGCTTCGAGGGGAGCGGGTGCCGATGCTGTCAACGTAGCGGCAGCTGTCGGCGGCGAGTCGACACTGCCGTCGAGAAATGGAGATGTTGTGAGTTCTGGCTGTACTGATGGTTCAGCTGGTACAGGTGCTGAAGCCACAGGAGGAGCGGGAGGAGCTTGTGATATCGATGCGGCGGGTTGAGGGGTCTGTGTGCGTGCCTGAAGGCGGGCACGCCGGGGGTCGACAGACATGTTTAAATCGATGTTGTTATTGTGGAAAGGTGATCATATTCGTTGCTGTTCAAGGTTGTCAGTAGGACATCTCGCTGAAGTTGTTTAAGTCGCAAAATGAGATCGAGATGAGGGCGGTTCAGATGTTTGAGAATGCGTATAATGATTGTCCGCAGCATGAACTAGGACAGCTCCAATATGGTGATCATCACATTAAGAAAGTGAAAAAGCATGCAGTGAGTGGGAAGTAACTTGCCATCAATATGGGTCTAGGAGACGGGAGATTGACGCAGATGCAACATGAGAACGACGTCGCGCAGAGAGAGACGTGCTTTTCATCTAACGATAAAATGTAGCTGGCTCTGAGACCTCTGCCGAATTTTACTGATAGCGTGTGCGATACCGATATCGATGTCGAGGTCGGTGGTGAGTGAATTTCACCCCGATACGCGATCTAAGCAACTCCAGGGAATGCGAAGCTCGTCTTTGCCTAGGCCTGACTCGGCAACCTGAAACACTTGTGGGGAGCCGTTGATGGCTCATGGTTGGTCTCACACTGCCAGCCTTAACCGGCGGGCTTCTCTACCACCTACCCAGTACAACTTCCAATCCATGGTGGCTTCCCCCAGCAACCAGGCTATCTCGATGAATTCCATCGATCCTGGGTGACTCCTATTCACCGCTTACCTCGATTGCTTCCTGTTCTTCATCCCGCGATTCCTGACACTGCGCTGACCACCTGAACATAATGCGCCGTTGCATGACTCGGCTGCTCTTCTAATCTTCTCTCTGCGGCATTGACTCTATATTTAGACCTGGCGTCTTTCTTGCCCTCTCGCCTTTCTCGCCTCGCCTAATTGCTCGTCTGGGGAGAATTGTTCTCGTTCTTCTTTCTACAATTCTCTGATCGGCACCATCTACAGCGCCTGCAGCTCGCTTCTTCACGGGTCTGCGACTTCCATCCTTTCATTCCACCTTGTTCCCTCATAAGCGCGCGCTGTTGGCCGGTCATCCAGATACACCGCCACCATTGGTACTTTTGGCACTCAATTAGCCGCCCGCCTTTCGAAGCCCCTCGCGCTGCCCTCGTGGCTGTAGACGCGCCTCGACCGCCGAGTTCAGCCCTCCTATTCTTTTTGTTCGGGCTTCTTCCTGCTTGCCATCGACGTCTGGCGACGGGTCTACCTCTCCTCCTGTCAACATGGCCACCATCACGGCCTCACCTCCCACCATGTCTCCTCCTTTGGCAGCGCAAACCTCTTCTCCTCCTCAACTCCCTCCTCTGATTACCACTACCCCGACTCCGCGACGGACGAGTGCACAAAGACCAACTTCATATGCTGAGAGGCGGATGTCGTCCTTCTCCACAAACTCCAAGGCTTCATATCAACCCCAGTCTCGGCCGGCGTCGCATGTCTTTCCTGCCTTCCACTCGAGTCTACCTTATACCGTCGTGCGAGACTTTGCATACTTTACCTCACATCCATTACACTACGGACCCCCTCCTAATTCGTCGGGCCTGTCAACACCGGCCAGCGAGTCACGGAGGCTGTCAGATCCCGCCATATCGACATGGGAAGATACAAGAGGACCATGGTCGGCGCCTCCGTGGATCACAGAAACGAATATTGGTGGGTTCAGCAGGGACCGGTTACCTGCAATGAGCTTCAAGGACGATGGGCCACCGTACAGTGAGGACGAAGATATTCAATCTCCCATTGTTACCACCAGTCGCCATAAAAAGCGAAAGTCCAACGAGCGCGGGCGATCCCCTGGAGCAGCAGGTCCCAATCGCGGGTTCCTGGTCGGCGGCTCCCTTCACCCTGAAGACGGGCCTGGCGAAGCCGTTGAGACACTAGACAACACTGCCCTGCGATTTGCTTACGGACCACAACATCGCGACTCGAACTTCGCCAAACCTTTACAGCGGAATCCGTCTCCTTACAGCCCCGAGGAGCATGTGTCGGAAGATGAATCTTCAGACGCTGATGATGATGCACGGTTCTCCAAGGACTACTCGTTCACCATTGCTAGCCCTGACGAGGAAATGCACGGCAAGGCTGTTGCACTGTTTGATTTCGAGAGTGAGCACCAAAATGAGTTACCGCTCAAAGAAGGTCAGATAATCCTAGTGTCTTATCGACATGGTCAGGGCTGGCTGGTGGCGGAAGACCCTCGGACAGGCGAAAGTGGACTTGTGCCAGAAGAGTTCGTGCGCCTGGTTAGGGACATTGAGGGCGGCTTGCATGGCTTAAACTCCGTAACGCTGGACGGTGACGGGATCATGAACGAGATTGTCAGTCCTGTCTCAACCGAACCGAGTTCTATGAGCACGCCCATACCGAACAATCACGATTTCCCTCCGCAACAGACCAAGCCTAGCAACGGGGAAAAGCACCCTCCGGTGCAATCAAGCTTTTCTACCAGCAGTCGCGATTTTAGCCCATACCCGTTACCCAACAAGGGCGAAGAGGGTGCGGTCAGAGAGAGAGAAAAGGATAAGGATAAACAGGTAGACGCATGTTGACGCCTCCGCAAGTTTCACGGCCTTGAACCTTGACAACAATACCATTGAATGGAATAGATTCAAAGGCCGTCATCGACCTTGCCATCAATCACTGGGGATCTGGAACGAATCAGTCTGTCGCATCCTGAGGATGACAACAGCTATGATAAACTTTATTCTATAATGTGTTGTATGATATGATATCCTGTCGACGACATCAAGATGACGGCGTCTCGCGCAACATAAGCTATTGAGTCGGTCCCCAACAAGCCCTCGGGCGAGGCTAAGAGCAACTCTTGGGTGGAAGATGATGGATGATTGAGAACACTGATGGGCTAGAGTGCGCAAGGACCAATATAAAGACAATGGCCCTCTTAATCTGGGCCTACAACTTGTGCATCAAGGGCGCTTTCTTTCTCCTACTTCTACTGGCGGTTGTACACTTGCATTCGACGGTACGTCTTCCAGGCACAATGTCATGGAGCGATGTTATTCCCCGCAAGGCAACCAAGTAGAATCGCCCTGGGCCTCGAGTAACCAGGATCCCTCCAGTATCAAACGGCAGATTACATGGCGCCAATTGTCGCGATGTCCAAGAATGTGCCTGGGTATTTGGTTGGAGCCACTTCCAGCCTCGTCGTGACAAGAAATGACAGTCAGGTGAAATGTACTGACATTCAAGGCTGAGTGATCCCCGCACTGCCGACTATCTCCAACATACGAGACGGTACGAGATAGGACTTTTTTTGGCTGACTGAAGCCCCGTTGTACCTCTTCTTTCAACACCCACCACCTCCTACAATGGTTCAAACACCTCGCGAACTAGGCGGCTTTGTAGTTCTTCCCCTCCGTCTACCAAAGACAGACGCCTTTCCTCGAGAAGCCATACACTACCTCTACCTCAAGCCGCACGACCCCAAAATACCTGAAGAAGACGCGCCACGGTCATTGTTCCTCGTCAACATCCCCATTTCCACGACAGCGCCTTTACTGAAAGATCTATTCGCATCAAAACTAGAAGGAGGGCGGGTCGAGAGGGTCCACTTCTCAGATACGGCGACGTCGGACAAGAGCCATGCGCCCGCCGCGAGAAGTCGCAAGCGCAAAAGAAAGACGGTGGAAGAACTAGAGGCGGGACTGGACACACATTCTTTGCCGAAGGTGTTTGACACTGAGATCCACGAGAGCGGTGCGACTGCTGTCGTTGTCTTCGTGGACCGACCTAGCATGGAGCTCAGTCTGAAAAGCGCCCGCCGCGCCGCGAAACGAGGCACACCGATCTTATGGGAGGCTCGTCCCGATGCCACCACCACCACCCCCTTGGGTCTGGCACGGTGTGAACGCCATAAAAAACTGCAGTTCCCGTCGCGGAAAGACCTCCTCAGATCAGTAAACGCATACATGACTGCTTACTCGGCTCTCGAGGAGTCGCGCTCTCGAGAGAGTGCACGGAAACGCGCCGAGCCAGATGAGGACGGCTTTGTGACGGTCACGCGCGGCTCGAGGGGCAGTGTGCGTATGGATGAGGCAAAGGAGGTTGCGGAGAGGCAGAAAGAGAAATCTAAAGGATTGGAGGACTTCTACCGCTTCCAGATGAGGGAGCGAAGGAAATTGGTGCAGGAGGATATGGTCAAGAGGTTTGACGAGGATAAGAGGAAGGTGGAAGAGATGAGGAAACGAAGGGCTAGAGTGGGAGGGAGTTGAGCTTCTGCCGTCGCCGGTCCTTCAACCTCGAAGCTGGTCTACAGCAGGAAATCCGCGACGACAGTTTTTCATCGTCACATGCTGCCTGCCCCGTGGTGAGTGTTACCTCATTCTCTCTCTTTCACGCGCGATTATATGACGAGGCAGCTGGGGCCAGATTAGCGTCACGATTCGGTGGTCGAAGGTCATGTCTTCAACCCTGGGCTATCGCACGCAATGCCTAAAACAACCAGTCAACCAACTTCTCAACCATGTCTGATGTCTCAATGTGCACTTCTATGACCACGTTTGGCCCGGGTTACACGATTTACGCTGACTTGTCGATTCTTAGTAAATATACACATTCCGAAGAGTCTACTTTACAACCTGGTTTAATGCATGCATGACCCAGAGGGGCCCTGTACACAGCAACAATGCTTGCAATCACTCGAGTCTGGGGAACTGGCAACAAAGATCATGGCGAGGCTCATATCAACACAGTTGACTGCAAGTCCCGGCCAAACCGAGCCGGGTCACCATGCATCAAACCATGTACATACGCCTCCCCCACAAGACGATGTTGCCTCTTTGGGCTCGTCCCCGTCCCCTCCCTGACTGTGACCGGCTGAAGAATGTACGGCACCCTTCCCCCACCGAGGATCCAGACCTCGTCACCCACGCGGAGCGCTTTGGGCCCGGTACCGAGGAGCATCATACCACTTGTTCGAAACAGGCGCCGCATTCTGCCCGAGCCGTTCTCGATGTCATGGTGCAGTTGCGCGAGATCAATTGGGGTGTAGGAATTGGAGGACAGCATGTTCTCGACCAATGCCGTCAGACGCCTTCGGTAAACGGAGATATTGTACGGCGAGTCGTTTGGCTCCGACTCTATAAGACTGCGCCAGTCGGGATTTGTGAGCACAGAGAGCGGAGTCGAGTGCGGTTGAAATTCTGAATCGTTAGACGACCAAGGCCGCAGACGGTGTCGGATTTGCAGGTTCAGGATGTAGTCGATGAACAGGGCGCCACATTCAAGAGGAGCGGGATGTTGACGAGCGTATGTGTTTGTTGTCAGCGTCCGCCAAAGCACATCGATGCGCGATATCGGAGCGCCTTTGAGCGAAGGGAGCGGATATGGACTGGGAAGATTCGATACCATATTCACAATGCTGGCCCATGGCTCCCCTGCGTCGGTGGCTTCGTATGGCATGATGGCCGTCTCAGAAATAGTGTCAATGTGAAACCCCTGGACAGGCAGCAGACCTCGGTCCAGCGTCGTCACGTCTTTCGGCGGCATCCACTTCATATTCCCGCACGCCGACCAGTTGCAGCGTCCCCGGAAGTCGAGAGGGTATGGTGAGAGCGGTACAGAATAATCTGGGACCCAAGATGGCAGGCCTTTGGTCTTTGTCAGGGAGCGATCCTGCACGTGTGACAAGAGATACAGGTTTCCATAGGTTCGCAGCAATGAGCAGGCCGCATCAATGTAGACCTGTCGGGTCGAAGTCTCATAGTTGGGCTCGATTTGGTTTGTTGATGAAGATGTCCTGCTCGCGAGGCCGAGAAATGCATACACTTTATCCCTGGGGTCAGTTGCATTGGTGTGACGATGTGTATCAATCAGCATTCTCAACGAAGGCGCTCCTCTGTTCCCTCCTTTCTCGTATGCCTGGAGGGCGTTCCGCGTGCTGTTCAGATACACGGGCTCCAAGCCAAAATTGGTATTGCTTGCGAGAAATTTCTGGTACGCGCCACGACATCGATTGAGCTCGCGTAGATGTCGCATCTTCTCGGTCGAAAGGTGGTGGTACCACCTCGTTGCGCGGATGAACTCGATTGTCCTCGCCAGATTTTCCCAGGGCAACGTTCGACTGCCGCAGACAACGCTTACCTTCCGCGCCAGTGCTAGTTCCTGGACCACCCAGGATCGACTGAACCAGGGCCGATTCGTAAACGCAATGAACCCCAACCAGTTGCGATAGGTCAACGGCTCGACGCCGGTACCGCGATAGCAAGATCCTTTGGGGTCAAAGAAGCCCGTGTACGACATGTCCGCCCACTTTGCCCTGGGAATCCTCGCAATCCTCTCAATCACGGTAAAGGCGTCCGGCGTAAATTCATCTTCTTCTCCGAGCCATACAGTGACTCCTTGGGCCGTCCGAAAGATGTCCGACATCAACGAAACTTGAGTATTCCTCTCTGTAAGAGAGGATTGATCAATACACCTGCGCAATGCGTCAGTAGGCATAAACACCGAAGGCGCCGGATCCTAGGAAACGCGAAGTAGGACCTTGAAGGACTGTGTAAGAATGACAGAGTGCTCGCGGTCTCAAATAGGGATCATAGGACAACTCATATGGAGGAAGCCAACGTCACAACTTTCTTCTAAAGGTAAGGGAGAGCAGAATATCAGTGTGGGAAAATGCTCGTCAGAGAGCCTCGTGATAGACGACATTTGTTCTGGTCAATGTAGTCTCGAAGATTGCCCAGTTCGCCTCCTTGGAAACCTGAAGGGATTGATTCCACTTGTGTAGAAACAGAGTCTTGCACAGACAGCACTTGCTACGCGAAGGAAAGAAGAACTCACAGTGCATCGACCCAGTAGAAGTTCCTCCTCCTGGGAAACTCATCATGCAGATGCGGGTGGGTGCGGGCCAGCATGGCCAGCGCATCGTGAAGATTGGCAGTGACGCGGAGATTCCTCCCATCACACTTGACGGGAAAGCATGGCATATTCTGCGTGAGTTTGATACGCAGCAGCGATGAGTGACTGCCGGATGTGGACGCAGGCGACGCAGACGCACTGCTACTGGTGACAGATCCAGCTCGGCCGTCATTCTCGAGCACACTTCGAGCCTGCAGGCGCTGAAGAAAAGCTAGACGACGCCAGGTGCTGCTCCTCGCGGGCCTCGACTCTGGGATGAGTGGGTAGCCCCAAGTGTAAGACAGTGCTTGAAATGGAGGCGCATCGTCGACGTTGTGTGTGCTCAACGAGACTGCGATCTTTCCACTACCATCAGAGGAAGGAAGAAGAGGGTGGACTTCGAGCAGGCGGATAGATCTTGCTGACGGGAGAGGCCGATACTGATATGTTCGCGACTCTGAAGTTAAGGACGAGAGGAGTTCTCTGGCATTGAACCCGCGACGGACTCTCATCACAATATATTGGCGATAGCTCCATTCCCCGTAGCTTGGAACACTGCGATAATTCTCAGATTATTAGTCGTTTTTCATGCACAAACGTGACAGCCCAGCGACTAAGAGGTCAGGTGGGTGTTGAGTAATTAGTTCAGATCAGATCAGTGCCGAGCCCATCGTTAGGTCGTAATTGACAAGGGTTCGTGTCAGAGCTAGAGAAGGCGAAAAGGGGCTATGTGGTTCCAGCAGGACGCCTAACGACGCTGTTCGAACAACCGGTGGCAATGGTGGGATCTGACAATTATTCTATGTAGCACTTCCGTAGCGATGGTGTAGCCTAGCAGAATATCAAGGTGCAACTATACAAGCTATACAAGTCGATTTCCACTACTTCATCGCGTGCGTCGGTGAATGTCCACATTCGTTGGCGCCCAAGATATTCGAGCTCTCAGCCTTGTGTCCATGACCTGCTGGCTGACCAGCTCGGTCGATTGCATTAGATTCTGCGCCATTAAGCCACTGGGTGCATCGTCATCCTAGGAGACCATCAACGATATTGTCGACGAGCTCAGTTGTCATCCGCAGCCCAGGATCGTGATCCGGATTTACCTCAGCAATACTGAGCCCGACAATTTTGTCACTGCTCAGGAATGTCTTGAATGCCGCCATGGTGGCCTCGAAACTCAAGCCTGTCCAGTTTGGTACATTGCCCAATGGACAGAGTCCCGGGTCAATCACGTCCACATCTAAGTGGACGAGGATGTAGTCGACCTTGTCTTCCATCCATTCCAATGCGGCCTTTGCTTCCTTTACTGGATTTCTGTGCACAAACTGAGAGGTAGTCACGCGGAAGCCATGGTCGAACAGGTAACCCAGGTGCTCTCGCTTGTTGGCGGGTGAATTGATATTCAAGCCAAAGAGAAGGATGTTGCGGTTGTCCACGACTCCAGCGCCATCGGGTCGACAAAACACTCTCATACTTTCTAGAGCACCTTCACGTAGGGTCAGATGTGTGAGTGTCATTCCGGCGATGTTTCCGGACGAGCTGGGTTCGCTTGGCGTATGCAGGTCGCAATCAGCGTCCATATAGACGATCCCAATGCGGTTCGTCGTTCCTTTGAAACGTTCCCAGTAGGCCGACAGTATGGCCGGGCAGTACAGACATTCGCCAGAAAGGATCAGCTGAAATGGTGGCGGGCGCCCGTTTCCACCTTCGTCGGCCGCAAGAGCATTGCCAACAGCTTCTCGGACCTTGTTACAGGCCTTCACGGTTTCTGCTTCATTACGCGCTCCATTAGGCTGACGTGTGCTAGAAGTCCATCCCGCTGGTCCCTGTGGTAAGGCGGTCGACACTGTCGTTTGCCAGCCCGCAGCAGCCAGTTTGTCCTGGAGGCCGGCGGTTTTGAATGCTCCTGGGGCTCGGGACTTGCCCGAATAGACCGACCCGACGTCGGAGGGCACGTTGATAATGTTGATGGACCGGGAAGGCATGGGTGTTGCCTTACGATTCTTGCTTAGATTCGACAATATGTCTGAACACTGAATGAATTCGGTGACAGACAAAATGAAACACCAACTCCTCAAACCCCTCTTGTATCAGAAACGTCGAAGCACGAAGTCAATCACCTTTGAAATCGCCGTGAAGCCTGAGCTCGTCAATCTTGACAATGCTGATTCTCGAAGGGCGCGATACGCGCTTGCTTGGAACTTCATTGGTCAAGGATACATCTTCCCGTTCTGGAGTGTATCTTTACATGGCCGCATCGTCCAGAAGGCTTTGAAACACGCGCGGAAAGTGGCATCAAAGATCACCGATGCCTTATTCAACTTCGATTGATGGCACTGTGGGCGATAGCTGCGTGGTGTTGTTGACATTATCATGGAAGCAACAGAAAAGTGTGCTACCGCGTAATCTTCAGCGCTGATTCATATGGAAGCTCAATGAATGGCGGCCGGCGATATTCAGCTCGGCTTTTTTTAACTCCGTAACGTCTTTCGCCTTGTCAACACGATCTCAAGATTCTACTGCTCTTGATCCATTGCACCATATCACACAACCCGCTCAATATGCGTCCATCATCAATAAGGACAGCATCAATAGCTGCTTTGATTCCGAGATCGCAGCCGTCGCGTGGAAGGTTGGCAACCTCTGCAATTCGATCGATATCATCGTCGACCTCACGATGCGCCACTGCTCTCCCCATCACGGCCACCGGACCTCCTCCGAGCGCCCCTGTCCCAACATCCCCACAGTATGGAGATCGCGTTGAAGAGCGACGGCGGAAAGCAGAAATGCTCAAGCAAGGGAAAGAGCTGCGCGCGGCAAGTCAACCGGGAAGCAAATCCAAGCCTCTGCAGAAAAGATTCTGGAAAGATGTGCACGTCACAGAAGCTCCAGAGGGCTATCAAATTCTTCTAGACAAGAGACCGGTCAGAACACCCTCAAAGTCAATTCTCACCATCCCTCGATCGAAGCCACACCTTGCACATGCGATCGCCATTGAATGGGACATGCTCGAGTCGGCACAACAAGCATTGAAGAATCATAACATCCCTATGACCTCAATAGCTGCGCGGGCGCAAGACATCCTCGAGGCAGAGGCGAGGGGCGACGCTACGGTGCGAAATGAAATCACCACAACTATGTTACGGTACCTGGACACGGACACATTACTGTGCTGGGCACCCGAAACAAAGTCAACATCACCTTTGGAAATGCAGACCGGGCGACCAGAGTCATTAAGACAGGTCCAGATAAAGACGGCGAAGCCGATCATAAGCTTCTTGAGTACTTCAGTCTGGCCCGGTGTCGACATCAAGCCCGTGTTGGATGAAAACAGCATCATGCCCACCAAGCAGGATGAGTCCACGAGGAATGTGATCAAGGGTTGGATCGCCGGGCTCCCTGCATACGAGCTGGCGGCTCTGGAACGGGCGGTACTGGCAGGAAAGAGCCTCCTAATCGGGGCTCGATTGTTGATCGAATGGAGCGAAGAGTTTCGGGACATGCAGCGGGACAGCGGCGAGCCGCGGTTTGGCATTCACGAAGCCGCCGAAGCCTCAAATCTGGAGGTGAGATGGCAGACAGACATGTGGGGGGAGGTGGAGGATACGCATGATGTGAACAACGAGGATATCAGACGGCAGCTTGGAAGTGCAGTCCTGCTCGTGACGGGCAGCCGGTAGAGGCACCAAACGGCGCTTCATGTACTACACTGTCAATGTATAAAAGCCCGTATCCTCTAATGTACACAGTATCACAACGCCAACCCGAAGGAACTTCGTCCTGCTTAATATGCCCGATCAGGCGGCGCGCAATGTTCTCTACCGCTCGCCGGCTGCGAGTGTGGAACGATGGACTGGTCAGATCTCGTCTTGGACGCCACATTTGTGGCTGTCAACCCCTTTCGTTATTGGCCAGTGCCATCTTCGTCCCCAGGAGGGAGATGACGTCGTGGTCCCTGGCTGGCTTTACATACTTCATCAACGCTGTCGATCATAACGTCCTCGTATCCAACGGCTCCGTTTGCCATGTTTTTCTTGCAGGACGTGCATACTGCAGTAGATGCTTTTCCTCGCTGGGTAAGCAGCTGTCAGAGCCCTGCGTGAAAATGAAAGATAAACCGTGTGCACCGCCACAGTCTGACGGCTGAGGAGCATACATATGATGATGCAGCCGCCCGCACGCGACATTTCATTCTATATAGAAGAATGCCTTGGAAGACTTGACCGTCAGTTGCTACCTTCCCCTGATCCATTTACCCCAAACCCGAAGATTTGTCACAATTGCCAAAGCTTTCTATCAATTGAATTGGCCCGCATCGCCAGATTTGGTACACGGTCGAGGTCTAGAAGAGTGGTGTAGAAGGCACCCTCAGACAGCAGCATCCTAACACGCCAAAATGAGGATACCACTCTTCAAACGCCTCATCATAGCCACTCTCAACATCCTCTTTCCTCCTGTCGCCGTCATGATGATCACCGGCCCCAACGAGGATTTCATCTTTAATTGTGTCATGTTCATCCTGGCCGTCATCCCCTCTCATATTCACGGCTTCTACATCTCGCTCACTTACTTCAACCGCAAGCGGAAAGTCCGCAAGGGAGTCTACCCCGGCAAACCGAAGCATCTCATCTGGAGCGACAGAGTGAACAACGGCGGAGCCAGCCGAAGGGAAATCGAGAGATTGAGACAGGGGAGGGAGCAGAGCAGACTAGGCAGACGAGCTAACAGCCGAGCTTCGGGGTTGCCAGAACGCAGCAGCTCCAGGAGACGGGTACAGGAGTGGGACGATGGATACAAGGAGTATGCCGAGTCCCCACAGATGAGCAGAGTTGGGACCGGCAGGAGTGGCCGATACGGCAGGTGACGAAAACGGAGAGGCGGGATTCACTACGACAGTTAGTCGACATCATCGATGAGAAGTCGCAACTCTAATGGCGCAGACGCCTTGGTCTGGTCTGATGGGGGATAGGGATCTTCCATACCACCGGTACATTTCCACGCTGATCCTCTGCGTGTCCGACGATGTGATGTATTTTGCCGATTCACGCCATCTACCTGTTGCTTCTGACAGAAACCGGGTCGACCAAGATATGTAGAGCGGGTCAAAACCTCTTCTACGCAAGATTCTGTATTACTAGTAAGGAGCGTATCTAGGGTGCGTGTCTGCTGTGTTCGAGTAAGGACCGTCTCGTCATCCTGGCACCAGCCCTTGCCCATGTTCGCTTGATAGTGCAATCGACAATACACAACGCCGATGCTTTCGGGAAACATCCAAGGAATGTGACGACTTCGCGTATTACTTCCTCCTTCAAATCATGGAAATCGACCCAAAGATCCTCCGTACCTCATCCGTCATTCGGTGGCTGCATTGTGTGGATTTCACGCAGCCCTTCACCATCCCCCATAGCTGCTGTAGCTGCTTGTGTACGTCGAAGTATACGCTGGGTACACGGAACTGTACGTGGATGTGTAGGTTGGGGTGTAATAAGTGCTGGTGGAGTAGGTCGAAGTGCTTCGGGAAGCTGGCAGTCAGCTTGCAATTCATCAGGCCGCAAGAGTCAAGAAGAGCATGAGGAAGAGATATGATCGCCCAGGGATGCTTACGGGTAAACGGTGCTATAGACGGTGCTGTACACAGTGCTGTATGCTGTACTATAGGCTGTGCTGTAGACAGTGCTGTAGAGTGTGCTGTACAGTGTGCTGTACAAAGTGCTGTAAAGGGTGCTGTAGTCTGTAACCGTCGAATAGTCGGTCACGGTAGAGTAGTCCGTGACGGTCGCGTAATCTGTGACGGTGGCATAGTCCGTCACGGTGGCGTAGTCTGTAATCGTCGAGTAGACCGTCTCCGTCGATGTCGGGTAGTAAGTGGAGTAGGTCGTGGTCGGGTAGTACGTGGTTGTAGGATAAGTGGTATACGCCGGATCTGCTTATCAATCAGCATGTCCGAATGTGGAAGAACCATCGCAGCGCCACATTCTATAGAGCTGTCCTGAGTAGAAAGGCAGACTCACAAACGGAGGTAGCATAGGTCGAGGTGTAAGGATAGGTCGAAGTGTAGTAGCCTCTCTTCTCGACATCAGCCTCTGGATGCGGCAGACCCAGAGCGAGGCCAGCGAGGGCTGCGACGATCAAAGAGCGTGAAGCGACCATTTTTGAAGTTGCTATCAAAGAGTCCGTGTGATTCGGCTAGATCAGAACGTGGAACGGCCGGAGAAGGGAAGAGGCTGAGTGCAACGAACGTTTGCTGGATCTTCGTGTTACAGGAAAACGCGAACACTGTGACGAAGACCCATGGTAGACGATACTTATACCCAGTACTTACCAGCTTCCTCTTCGAAGGATGAGACATCGCTGACCATCACTGGTGATATTGCGGAGAGACTGAGGTACGGATGAAGGGTCGAGCAGCACCTGGACGAACGTGGTGTTGTGAATGAAAGATCAGTATTGGTCAGGTCTAGATGCACCTCGAGGAAAAAGAGCGACAGGAGCAAGGCAAAAATGAGAATGACCGCAAAGTGTGCGCAAGTGTGTGAGGGCATAAACTCGTCGTTGAAACAACCCTTCCGGTATGCCAAAAGCTCGCCGACTACTTCCTTGTTGGGAAAACCTCGTCAACACATGATTGAGTCTCTTTGAGCAAGCTCCAGACTGTGATATGGATATTGCTGCACGTATTAAGAGCTGAGTTGCGCCAACCTCACAGCTCATACAGATTTACTTCGAAGGAAGTTCACAATGAAATCCACTTTGGGATCTAACGGTGCGATCCGACTTGACGTCATGTCCATATTCGTCTAGCGCGGTTATTTTTAGGGCTAGTCGATAGGTATCTCCATCTCGACCCGGAGCTCATTTTCTGACGTGTCCACCATGTCCTTTCCTCTACAACAACCGTCGTATCATATCCAACCCAAGTTCCCCCTTCTCGCTCCACCGGCCCCGGGCCGGTTGTACGAGGCGAGCTACTTAACCCCACCTCATGTCATCGTCCATCCCCGCGAATCAACTCCAGCAACGCAGGTATCTGTCCCGGCTTCAGCGGACGCTCAGATCCCGCTCGAGCCTGGCCTGCTTGTGTCAGAAGGAAACATACCGTGTCTCAGCATACGACGACACCTTGTCACACACGAATGAGGACCAGCTCATCAGAGGCTGACCCTCCGGTGGATGTAACTAGCTCCCCGACCCAAGAGTAGTCACTCTATTGCACAAAAAGCCGTCGGAACAAACAACAGGACTCAAACAAGGTTTGTAAGGATGTGTACGTAAGAGGGGGCCCGTGTTCATTGTTCGCCATCTTTATGTGAATGTCCACTTCATGTCCACTGCAACCCCTTCTGATGATACTCCCTTTGGGTGCTGAAAGCTCGACCAATGTGCCCCACTTAATGCCGTCGGAAATCGAGGGATTTTGTTATACAAGTATCGCAATGCACAGGAAGATTCCGTAATCTGTATCCTAGAATAGGCCGCGCGGAAAAACGTCCAGCGGCTGGGTAGGGGCTCTTAATGCGCAAAGGTATGCCAATGAAAGGCTCTGGTGTGAATCGAGAAGCCGCGGCCTGTTACCGGAGGTCACGGTACACGTAGCTCAGCTCGTATCGCCCTCCAGCTGCATGCATGATTCCCCTCTGGAATCGCTTGGTCCATCGCCGATTGCGATAGCAGGTGTTGCCGAAGATGCATCATGGGCTGGAAGTGGTTCGGCGTGGTGGATTGGATGAGACAGAATGTCCAAGACATCAGATCGGAGCCGGTTTCGACTTGCAATCGTCCTTGTTGCAAGGTCGATTTCAGGCTCAGTCCCTGCTTGCAGCTCTTCCTCAAGGCGTCGTCGAACGCTCATCTCGAGAGTGGAAGTGATAGAGACATGAATCTGATCCGCCCATCGGACGGATTTCGGACTCGGCGTTAAGCACGTGCTTGTGCTTGTGCTTCTTGGACCAAAAAGGTAGGATCGGGCACTCGGGAGGCGTTTCGAAGACGGTGGAGATTTGGTCAAGGCAGATCGGAGTGGTGTCGAAGTGGACCGGATGGGGTTCAAGAACCTCGTCTCTGAGGGCGAGTAAGGTGACATGACGACTGCAGCTCGCCTTGGGAAGGCATGGACGTTGATCTTCGTGATTGGCGTTGAAGGATTGGCCATGATATACCTCGAATTGCGGCTTTGCTTCTGACATTGAAGGTTGTATGGCTGGCACTCGTCGATCACACTGGCTCGTCGGCAGTCTGCTTCGTCTTGAACTTCTTTCTCACCATCGGCGCAGGCATGAACCTCTTCATATGTCTCCCACAATTTGGTGTCATGATGGTGGAGATAGGCTGCCAGTACCCGAAGTGTGCCGATGAGGAGACATACAAGAGCGCAAAGGATGAGGAGGGAAACCAGAATGCCTCGAATGAAGCCAAGTTCCAGGATCCGCAAGAAAGCCTTCTGCGCTAGTTCTGTAAAAGAGAGGGTGTCGGCTTCCGGCGAGAAGATTTCAGGGACGGGCGATGCCAGTGCCCAATGGAGCATGAACATGAGGGGAAGGAGACAGTCTAATAATCTCATGCGTCTTTGCGAGGACATCGTGTTGATCATAACTCTGCGAATGGCGGAGAGGACGCTTCTGGACGAGAACTTATCCAAAGGGCAACACTTCGAAAGACCAAGACAATCAACTTGGTGTTTTGATGCAAAGCCAAAGGGTACGTGATCAGAGTGTGACAGGCTGGGCTGCCTACTCGGTGCTCCCAAACACGGCGCCTGATGCGTACATTATGGGCGGACTTCGGGTTGTTGTTTTGGCCCTGCTGAGGCTGAAGCTGAGCGCTGAGCAAGGCATGGAATGTGGCGATAAGCAGATGGAATGCGAATCGAATCATGCAGCACGCACCGCACGACGCTTTGTTCATCAAGGGGAAATTGGACCAGTCTTGTGTTCTGTTCGCACTGGGAATGTCTCGAGTTAGAGGGAGTAGTCGGAACTGGACCGGTGCTTTGACGAGGTAGTTAAGGTAGAGCTGGCTGATACAGCCGGGCCATATTCGCTTTCCGACATTTCGTAGGGTGGAAGAGACTGATACTGTACTTCTGTCCCTAAGGAGCGGGATAATCGTACGCTCCTAGAGGCTGGCCATCCCAGTCTGAGATGAAGAGCGTCAGAGAGATACAAGGGGAAAGTGTCCAAGTGCGACTCGGCTGAGCTTCCTCTTATGCTAGCGTTTCGGTAGTCGCCTCAGCCGCTCTCCTTGATCCCTGTTCTGGCTGCCTCTTCTCGTCCATTGTCCTGCACAACTCGTCACTGTATATTCGCATCTTGATATCCTGCGATCAGTGTCCTACCTCAGGGCTACTAGCCGCGGCGGCCTCTCAACCATCGTCGTCGCTCCGTGGCCGAGGCGACGTGCAATTGAGCTCGGAAATCACACCCGCAGGGCGCTTGTTGACCAACCCCAACCAGCCATCTCTTCAACAGCGTACCTCGACCTTGTCGCCTTGCATCATTCACCAGGCCCGTCTCGAAATCACCTCGCCCTCGAAACTCTCCATTCATATCTTCAAGTGTTGACTGTTGTTGAAGGAGCTGACCCACTCCGAGGCCGAACGCGATCAAACACTCCGCCTGCGGATGCCCGGCTACGGAAAGTTTTTGGCCCTGTTACACGTCGCGCCACGCATCCAACCGTTTCCTGCGCTTTGAGGACCCCATAGGCTTTGACGCCGGTCGTCTGCGCAGTCAATCCTTCGTTCGAGCTAGCTCGACACCTCCGATGTCCTGAGAAGCAGACTCCTTCTCCCACGGTCATTTGTCGCAATGAGGTGGAGGCACCACTAAATGACATTGATGGCATAAAGTGATGCTGTGATGGGCAGGACTACCGAGTATACCATCATGGGCCCTCCCAGGGATCCTTCAACTCAATCGCCGCCGTCCTCGGCAAAATCTCTACCTTATCGCAACAGTTCAAGACACGCTTCGTCCAATCTCCGGAAGCTCTATCGCATATCCGCTCAGGATGTTGGCGACCGCCGTCCCCAGGAGCACTCCTATCACTCTGTCTCGACCGTCTTGCCAACATCGCCACACCTTCCCCCTACGCCGCCTGGAGCGAACGTTGAGAGCGACTCGCCAGCTCCAGAGGAAATTGCTCCATCTATTGATGCAGCTGTCTTTAGGTCGAGCCTGGTGACGCCTATTAACCAAAACAGTCCACCGACCCCTGATAACACCCCTCCACGCGAACGCAATGCTTCATACATCCGCCCCTTCTTGGGCACCCATTCGTCCATGGCTTCTACCCAAGCGGAATCATTCACGACCGCGCGCGAAGATTTCACCTCAGATGTCGATTCCGATGGGATTGTGCAACACCACGAGCATGGGTTCCAGTGGCCGCTGAGCTCCGTCGACAAATTCGGTGCGGCAGCGCACCGGCTGCGACCCAGTGCCTTACCTCGTTCGCCCCTAGTAAACTTATACAGCGAGGAGCCAGTTGTTAGTCGATCTCCAGAGACCCTCTTTGACAAACCTCGCTTTCTTAGTAGCGAAAGCGATGCAGAACTTCATACAGGGCCGGTACAGCTGAACCCAACCTCGAGCCCAGAGGCGGTCCCAAGTGGCGACCTTGTTCAGATTCGTATCGATACAGCTCCAGTCATACCGTCCGAAAGCGTTGAATCACCATATCCAGTTCGCTACAGCGTCGGTCCACAAGACGTGAAGAGAGGCAAGAGTCTGCGCGAAAGATTACTGCAAGCTCAAAGCCAGGACCCGTCCGCTTCGACGGAAAAGTTTGCGGACATAATTGGCTGGAACAGTTCTGTGCCAATTGGTGATGTGCCAGTTGAAGAACGTCGCTCGGGCGTCGAAGACAATCGACGTTTCTCTGGCATCTCAACAACGTCAACGGTTGAAGCATACGTCGTGGATCAGGCCCCTCCCCCCCAACGTAAGACAACGTTACGCCATGTTAACAAGCATGAATCCTTGCGCTCGGTCAGCTCGCCTCTACCAGCCTCAAACAGAAATTCAGTGCTTTCCAACTCCGACTCTCCGCACCGCCTCGTTCACAAAAAGGCACGCCTAAGCAATCAAAATCGCTGGAGCTTCGGTTCGGAGGTTTCCAGGTCATACAGTCTGGCTTCAAGTGCAGTGCTTCCCAAGACGGAAGTGATCCGGGTTGCGGTAATTCCAGAGAGGAGTTCCTCTTTGAATTCGTCTGCCCACAGCAGCCAGCGGCAGTCGCTGTCGAATAGTTCTGGCCGTACTCATTCTCGCAAGGGGTCGGACAATCCACCATCATCTTGGCATCATAAAAAGGCACTTTCGGAATCCGTTGAACGCGGCAGGGACCCACTCCAGGCACCTCTGATACCTGCACGGAGCTCCTCACTATCTGCGCCCACATCCAGGGCCACGTCTAGGGCCAATTCGATCACATCTGAGCACCTTCAAGTTCAAAGGAAACAGGCGGAGAAAGACCTTCGTAAGACGCTGGATAGAATGGAGTCCGAACGGCTGCTCAACAGCTTGCGCGGTTCGGACCTCTCAGATCAGGTTCATGATTCAGACGGGAATGCTTCAGCCCGTCCATATGGCAAATCTTCTAGACCAGGGGTCATCAAAATCACGGCTGCGTCTCCCACGAACCTAATTGTTGTCTCTGGCGACGGCGAAAGAGACTCGAATGCGCTTGGCTTGGTGGTTCCTGGGACGCAGGAATGGGCAGCTCTCCGGCCTCCATCAATATTTGACACGCCCTTCTCCCAACCCTCTTTTCAATCGGCTTCCCCCGAAATCAACGAGGCAAAGGCGATCAATTATTTCCCTCACAACAATCATTCCCTCCAGTTGATCGAGCCATTCTCGGTTGCGGAGTCAAGGGCTGTTCGGGAGGTTCAGAAGCAGAATCTGCCGGAAATCGAAGTGGAATCTCCTTTGCGCAATCCCCGACAACCTCCTGACCCACCACAGTTCAAAGTAATTCCGCCCACACCTGCCGACGAGAGTGCCGACCGTCAGCTCGGGGTTGACGCGAGAAGCTCTGTGAAGCGTCCTGGCGGATCGCGGAGTCGGTCAGAATCCTTCATGAGCTCCATTTCTCGCAATCTGAGCTTGAAGAACGCTCGCAACCGCAAAGCGGACCAAGATCTTGACAACAACCTACATCCAATGTGGCGCCCTCGAGCTTTCTGGGATGACATCGACAATGCTCGCTCAGAAGCCCAGCAGCAAGAACGCTCACTCGATGAAGGAGTTGTCAACAATTCCTTGGGTCTCCCACAAGAGAGGATTGTCATTACAGGCCCCGTGTCTCTGATCCGGCGGATCTCCGAACGTCGCAGGCAGAATAGAGGGATTGTAAAGCAATCAAGTCATTCGAGTCTAGCGAGAATTCGAGCGTCTCGCAAAATGCACAGATCTTCAAGGCTCGGTGTACGCTTCCACATCCCTCACATTGGAGTCAAGGCCGTCCAAGAAAGGATGCTGCATGCCAAACAGCGGAAAGAGGACGAACGGAGAGAAAAACGGAGAGCTGAACTCCGACGTAGCATCGGAGCGAATGTTGTTTCACAAGGCGACTCCCGGTTCCCAGCGAGCAATACGAGCCTGGCAAGAGAGATATGAAATCCGACAACCCACAGACAAGTCGATGTCCCGGAGTCGACGAGTTTGTTCGCCCACGTAGGCTGTCTCACGGATATTCCCCGATGTTCGAGACGGCGTTGACCATATATCATCCGGCCCTGGCGGCTTTGGATTTCTTTTTGCTTGGGCGTTTGTGAGGCTAGCTGGCAGCGTTGCGATCATGTTTTGTTGGAAATTGGGTTCTTGAGCGCAAGAGTTACGCACGATCTGACGTCTTGATGATTGACGATTAAAATGAACTAATGAGCATGTACCATCAGTGCACGGCAAACCCAGATGAAATGGATGTCTAGCGAGGAGTTGAATACAATTGCATGCTATCCTTTGGTGTTTGATCCTTCTGCTTTCGCATCCATCTGTTGCCTCTTCCTCAGATTCTCAAGACCGACAGAGTCAAGAAATGGTTCAAACGTGATGCTGGAGTCGAAAACGGTTACTAGGTGTTTTCGTTAGCTCTCGATTCGCTAGTAAAATGACTCACTTTGCTCCCACCGCGCTGATCATGGGCTTGTGGTTGGGTGATCTGGATATTGCTCCTCGATTCGACCGCCTTGTCACACCTCGGTGCTTTCTTCAATGGACGTTTCAAGAGCTCTCTCTTCTCTTCGGAGCTCGCCATTGGCAATCCGAGCCACGTCCGCCCAGTTCACGCGTGGATGACGATGGTAGAGGGGCTTTCAAGCAGGAGACAGTAACTTCTTAGCCAATTCTGGCGAAATTCTCCCCCTCAATTAATTGGTGCAAGGAACACCTGTTGACCAGCTCATGTTTCTTGTGCCTCCAGGATCTTATCTTATCTCTTAGCAACAGACTCGGACTTTGCCTGCGAGCCTGCGATATCGGATGGCGCACGCAAGTTGGACAATCCCAATTCAGACCCTCATCGGCC